GTAGACAACTACCACCCAGCCCAGAAGCTTTACGCTCGAAACGATACGCCTCTGTATTAGCACGCTCCTCTCACCCAGTGAACAAAATGTAAACGCTCCTCGCGCCACTACCCCTCTACACCCTCAACATACTTGGCCAACGCCAAGAAGAAGTGCTCGGCGAGGGCTGACGACCAAAACTCGTGCGCGCTCCCATGCTCCGTGACCTTGTTGTGTGCGAGCTCGTGTGCCATGGTGAAGAAGGTGGAGATGAGAGCGTCCTTGACTTGGAGCTTGCCAGCCTCGTCCCAGAACCAGGCGGCGGCGAAGCGATAGTTGAGCCAGATGGTGCCGCCCCGGTTGAAGGCGATTGTGGGGCCACGCGTGTCGATGAATGCCTGGCGGCGAGCGTGAGAGAGAAAAGAAGTCAGTTACTGTCGTTGCACACGCCGGGCTCACTCGCGTACTACGCACCTGCAGACTCGAGGGATCTAGACCGTAGATGGCACCCACGGGCCGGTACACAAGTCTGATCAGCTCGTCCAGCTTCGCGCGATTCTCATGCAAGGCCTTGGCCGGATCGAGCTCCGGACTCAGGAAGACGCGCATCCCCGCCACTTCGCCCGCAAGCGCCAGGTCGGCCGCCACGCCCGATGTGGGATCACAGTAGCTGCTCTCTGCCTCTTTGACGCCGTGGCGCTGCTCGGAGTGCATGGACGTGGACGAGTCCGGTCGTGAGGCGGATACGGCGCCGAGGACGTTGCGGCGGATCGAGGAGAGTGAGGAGGGCTGTTCTGCTTGCGTTGCAGGATTGGAGGCGCTACCGCTGCTCGGCCCCGCGTCGAGGTCTGTGGGCACGACGCCGCCGCCGTGGCCTTGAGGTCCACGAATGAGCGAAGATGTGCCGGATGCGAGGGAGGAGGGGCCGCTCGCGTTGCGCGTGAAGCGTTGTCTGAAGCCAGAGAAGAAGCCGCCAGGCATCGTAGGCTCGCGACCACCCAGCACCGGCGAGTTGCCTTCGCCTCCGAGCGCTTCGCCGCTGCCGCCGCTGCCACCGTTTCCGTACTTCTCTACGGCCCCCGCGTTGGCGCCCGCGCCTGGCTTCGCCTTTTTCACGTACCCCCTCGTGAGCATATCGTTGGTCGCCCCTTCCAACCCCTTGTGCCTGCGCAACGCCTCCTCCACAGCGCCTGGCTCCGCATCGGGGAACATCTGCAACACCTGCTTCTTCCACTCTTCAACCTCCTTCTCACTAGGACGACTGAGCGCCTCCATCTGCGCACGACGCTGCTCCTCCATCCTCTCCCTCTCCTTCTCCGCGCGTTCCGCCTTTCTCTGCTGCAAGATCTTATCGACGTGGAATCCGCGACGTTTAAGGTCGCGCAGCGAGGTAGAGAGGAGGGTCATGAAGAGGAGCACTTCCTGTAGGCGTTGTCGAGAGAGGAGGAACTTGTTGAGCGAGGAGGCCACCTCGAACCAATCGAGATGCATGTTGCTCGCGACGTAGAGCGTGAGACGACGCCCCTCGCTACGAGCCATGGCGGAGCAGCGTTGCACGTCCGTCTCCATGGCCCCGAGGAAGCGAAGAGTCCGGGAAAGGCGCAACCCCTCACCTCCGACTTCCACGACGTCCAAAGCCCCCTTCAGCCACTCTGCGTCGCGCCGGATCTCCCCTCGATTCCCGCTCTGCCTGCACTCGAAGAGGAACAACGGCGTACGCTCCAGCACGAGCGCTTTCACCTCTAAAGCCCGCTTCGTATCCGCTTGTATCGCGCCGGCAGTCTGGTACTTCTCCTCGATGAGCTGAGAAAGGCGCGGCGAGCCCAACTGAGCGTAGAGTCCCTGCTCGAGCAAATCCTCGTGCGGCGCAAAGAAGAGGGAAGAACCGAAGATCATGCCAGCGTTGGCGTCGTCCACTATCACTATCTCCGCTGGTCGTCGGAGGGAGTGGACCAGCATGCCCGAGTCGTCCGCATCCTCCTCGTCCTCCTTCTCGAGCAGATTCTTCGTAGCCCCGCCGCCGCCGCCGCCACCGTTGCTGGCTCCGTTCTGGACGCGCTTCGAGCCGAGCAGGAAAGCGCTTGCCTTCATCTTCGCCCTTAAGGGTCCCCTGATCCTACCCCAATTCGTCGCCACCTGCCTCAACAGCCCCAAGTACGCCTCCGTCGATCCGCTCAGCGCATAGAAGCGGGCCGGATCGCTCACGAGGCGGGTGGCCACCTCCTCGATGCTGGGCTCGTCGCTCACCCCGACCAGGCGAAGGAAGGCGTTGGCCTTCGCTCCAAGCGACGGAGGGACGTACAGGAAGACGGATCGGAATGCCTCGACGGTGTCATTTCCGCCAAAGTAGCAGGACGTGGGAGCTACGAGGCGCGGCGCCGGCGACAGCGCCTGCTCTTTGCCTGCGGAGGAGGGCGTCGTGCTGGGGAGGACGGGGACGAAGGCCGCCTGTCTAAGCACGCTGATGTCGTGGCTGGTGAAGTGGGAGGACACGCTCGCGAGATACTCAAAGACGCTGCGTGCCTGCTCGACGCTGCGTGGCGGGTCGTTGACCAGGCGCGAGACGAGGAGCTCCGAAGGCGGATCCGCGCGGAGCTGTAGCTTCGCCACATCCTGAGGGGAGAGGCTGCTGGCCACGACGGCGAATCCCATCAAACCCGCCTCGCGATTGGTGAACACGTCCGTCGACTTCATCTTACGGGTCTCCCCGCCGACCTCGCAGGGGACAAATGCGTGATCCCTGCCCTTGGCAAGGCTGTACGAGTCGCGATAGTGGCCTCTCTCAAAGAAGTAGGCGAGTGCCTTTGCCCCCACCTCATCGTTGCGCGCGGCGAGGGCTAGAATCTCCTCGAGGGGCGGATGGCGACGCAGCCCGAGGTCGAAGGCGAATTTGGCCTCGTCACTCCCGCTCCGCCAGGGCTTCGTCGTCGAGCCGGTCCAGTCCAGCAAGGGCAGGCCGAGCGCGCGTAGAGGCTCGAGCGGTTCGTACAGCTGGGCGGCGCGATGACGCACTACCTTGGGCTTGGCATTGGCTGCACCTTCCTTGGCTGGCAGAGTTGCCTCCCCCTCGCGTGGCCAGATGGGCGTCTTCCTTAGTCGATCCACCTCGACTGTACTGAGACTCTCGCGATTGGCGGCGAGGTATGTCAGGAGGTCCACATGACTCCAATCCCCTCCGCCGACCAGACGCGTGAAGATGAGTTGTAGATCTACATGGCGGCGCACGCCTAGCGCTACGAGGAGCTTCTCGAGGTTCCCGCGAATGGCAGGTGTCGTGGGGAGGGCGACAATGGCGAGATCTTCGAAGAGGGAGACGGAGCTAAAGTATGCTTGCTGCGGAGGTAGCATTCCCTTGCGCGTGGGGACGCAGGAGAGGCCCTGGAGGATGGTAGTGGCCTCGCCCTGTTGTGAGGCAGAGAGATTGCCCCACGAGCGGGAGACTATGCCTAGCACTCGTTCGGCAAAGGTAGGGCTGAGTTGCACATTCTCCTCCGCCTTGCACGCTTCGGTCGAGCTGATGGTGGCGAGATGGGCCAGCCACGCCGGGAGGGACAGTTCGGTCCAGCCGTACACTCCTGTCAGCTCCGAGCCGGAGAAGGATTTGGAGACTTCGTAGGCGAGGCAGGAGACGGGCAGGGGGACATCCGACGGGACGCGCTGCGGGTTGAGGAAGTGCTTTACGCCCGCGAGGGGCTGGACGGAACCGCTCGACGTGGTGAGGACGGCCGAATCTATCAGACGGGCGCGCAATCTTGCATCGTATCCGGGATGGGCGCTGACGTTGATCCACCAGCGGAGACACGCGACCATCTCCTCCACGCTGAGGGCACGCGACGCCAGCTCGCCAAAGACGTCTTCGAGCGTCACGTCCTTGACGAGGCCGCGCGCTCTCACTTGATCAAAGAAGTCGCTCGCCTCCTCTATATGGCCTGGCGGGACGATGGCCAGCTTCTTGACGAACTCGAGTAGCACGGCGTTGGGCAGCCGCACCTGCGAGGAGGTCTTGATTCCTTGCGTCGAGGCGAGGGTGAGAAGTGCTTGGCGCGACGAGGAGAAAAAGGTGGAGAGAAACGTGCTGCTGACCCGCTGTGAAGGCGAGGAGTCGCGCATGGTGAAGAAGCGCATGGTGTGCAGAGCACGCGCCAACAGCGCCTGATTTTGCGCGTCGTCTTCCCCGCCGCGCCCGCCCACCCACGCCTTGCGCAGCGCTTCCATCTCTCCCTCGTACACGGCGCGACACACGTAGCCGCCCACGGCTAGAAGCTCCATGTTCCAACGCGCGCAATAGCGGTCTACGAAATCTATGCTCTCCCGCTCTACGGTGGGGAGGAAGCGCGCCGCTACGTGCCCTGCAAATCCTGTAGTCTGATGCGTCCTGAACCCGATGAAGACGTGTCCCATCCTGTCCAGCTTGGGCATGACGCCCTCGAAGAGCAGGGCGGGGCCCACGACGTCCTCTCCGCTATGCGCGAGCGCGGCTTGAGAGGCAGCGTAGTCTTGCTGGTTGGCAAAGACGATGTGGAATGCGGTGCGCACGGGAGGGGGCTTCTTGGTGGATCGCTCGATTTCCCGCTTGAAGGCGTTGTCTACTGATACGGCGAGGTGCGCCGTGGCGATTTGTAAGTGGGCGGTGGCCGAGTGAGATGTGAGGAGGCGGGCGGTGAGAGCTGCGTGATCCTCGGCGGCAGACGGACCCGTGGACGCGGGACTCTTGGCGGGTGTAGATGCGCTGGCCTTGCTGCTCCGGCCGAAAGCGCTCTGTAGCATGCTGGAAAGGCCGCCACTTTTAGTGAGTGCAGCCGTCAAGCTTGGTCTTGCCGCTTGTTCCTTCTCTGCGCGTATCCTCTCCCTCTCTCCTTCCCACACGAGCGCCAATGCCTCGACGTCGATCTGCATCGCTTGCCCCTCTAGCCGTTCGACGCGCATCATTTTCTCGGGGGAGTAGGCGTTCAGGTGCGCAGGCATGACCATGGGCCTCGGCGTGCTCTCCAACGACTTGGCGACGCGACAAAGCCGTACACCATCCAACCAGAGCTCGACGGTGCGGACTTTTGACGTAAAAGTGAGTGATGTGGCCAAGAAGCGTGCGAGGGAGAGTACCGAGTCCGGTAGAGGTGCTGGTTCTCTCAGCGTCATGAAGAAGCTCGTCCACCCATTGCCACTCGGTGCCTTCTCCTCATCGCTCCCCGGGTTCTTTGCCCTGCGCGTGAAGAGGGAATCCCCTCCGTTCTTCCAGAAGAAGCCCATTAACTCGTCCCCACTCGCTACGACTGGCTCGTCGCAGATGGAGAAGAGGGAGTAGAAGCCCACGCCGAATGCACCGATGCGGTCTGGGTCTGGGTTTCCCTCAGCGATACGTCGTAGGCGAGCCCAGTCTTGGTCGCGGAATGGCCAGCCATCGTTTCGCCAGATCCATTTGGAGAGGGGAGCGCGAAGGTTGGGGAGCGGCGTGGGCGATGGCGACGAGGGTGAGTAGCCGACCGACTCGAGCTTGAGTTGGCAGCACGATGCATTTGCGTCGTCTGACCGCGCACGCGCAGGGGGGATAGTTTAGCCTGCATATACGCTACGACAGTGTCCAGTCTCGTCCGTGCTCACCAGCATTCTGTATCAACTCTCGAAAGACGGTAAACTCGGAAGCATATCTCGCCAACAGCTTATCAACGAGTGCCCGCTGATTGACAGTCACGGCATCCTCGCTGCCCTGCTCTATGAGGGCGCGACGGGCTGCTTCGTCCATCGCTGCCAACTCTACGCGATCGTCTATGAGGTAGAGAGAGGAGGGCGAGGAGGAGGAGCTGAGTAAAGTGTTGGAGTCGCTCGCTGCTCGCCGCTCGCCGCTCGCCACTCGACTGCACGACTGCACGGCTGCCCGCCCTGCCTGCACGGGCCGTGAGATGTTCAAACTCCGACACGGAATCAGGGACAGACGGGCGGTCAGACGTCGGAGAGACGAGGAGGAACACACGTCGTCGGCGGGGCGCAGCTCTTTGCTTTGGTTTGCTTCCACACCACACAATTCGACACCACATAATTCCACCATGTCAGTCGACGTCGGCCTCTCTTCCCTCGTCGCAGAGCCAGATGAGGCATCACTGCGCAGGCATGTCACGACCCACCCTCTTCTCACAGGCCTGTTACCTTCCTCGTCCGACCTGGCAGCACAGATCGCAGCCCTGAAAGCCTCCCATTCTGCCGCACAGCGTCGCTACGAGAAATCGCGGCAGGTCGCCCACGATGAGCTGGAGAAGGCTTCCACCTCCCTGTCCTCATTTCGATCCCGCCTCGATGCTCTCCCCACGCGCATAGACGAGCTCGACGATGAGGGGGACTCGATCCAGTCTAGCGTCCAGAGGGAGCGACCGGGCCTCGAAGCGCATACAAGCTCGCTACGATCATTGCAGGCTGCAGAGGATTATTATGCCCTCTTGAGCCGGACCGAGACGACGGGCAAGGAGTGTTTGGCAAGTCCACTGAGCAGTCAAGCGCTGGAAAGGCTGGCCGAGTTGGTCAACTTGGCAAGATACGCAGAATCGCTCTGCCCTTCTTCTTCTTCTTCTTCTTCGTCTGCTTCTTTGCAACCACGACCCAAACTGCTCGCCTTCCTCTCCACCAACTTAGACGAGACATACGAAGCACTCGTAGTCGCACGGTCTACGCAGTTGAGAGAAGCACTCAAAGATGCAGGATGGCCGCCTCTCTCCCCCGAGCAGGCAGAAGCGCAGGGCAAACAGCCGCGTAGCCCGTCGTCCCTCCTCAACGACCAAGCTGCAGTGCGCACGGCGTGGGACTCGCTCCTCTCTTTGCAAATTGTGGGGCATTTGCTCGAAATCAAGGCAAGACCATCCCTCCTACTCGGGCAGGGCGAGAGCGAAAGCGATCAAGTCAAAGACGTCCCCGCGCCTGGCTCGACCACCTACACCCCGCTCCTGGGAACAGCCCTCCTCCTCGAGCCCTACCTGCTTCGCTTCCGCTATCACTTCGACTCGGATCAACCCACCAACCGCCTAGATCGACCAGAGTGGTACCTCCAACACGTCCTCCAACTCATCCGTACCCTCTCACCCCTCTACACACCGCAAGGCCCCGCGAGGCGACTCTGCCTGCCTGCGTTGCATCGGTACGGTCGTGCATTGGACCACGAATCGGTAGAACCACAGAGCGAGGTGGTGCACGTGCTCCTTCGCGCAGTCCAGGCAAAGGTGGGCAGCTCGATGCCACTCCTCCTCGCTGGATCGCAATCGCAGCAAGGAGTCCACACATCCCTGCTAGGCCATACGCTCTCCTCCCTCTCCCAATTCGACGAGGACTTGGCCGAGCTGCTAGGCCCGGGTACTTCTGCACAAAAGCTGGCAAAGGGTTTGCTGGAGGATGGCGAGTATTTCACCGCCTGGCTGGCAGCGGAGAAGCGTGTTGCGGAGGAGGGGTTGGAGGAGATCCTCGATGACCCAGAGGCTTGGAGGATTGGGAGTGGCGAAGAGGAGGAGGACGAGAACGATCAGGACGAGAACGCCACTAGCGCACCAGGAATCTCGCTCGCATCCGCCCGGACATCAGCATTGCGCTCGACACGCTCCTCCCTCTCCCTCGTACACCTCCTCTCAACCCTCAGCGCGCGCCTGGCTCCCCTCCCCCTCACCCTCTCGCAACGCCTTCAGCTGCTGAGCGCGCTCCACCTCCCCCTACTGCGAAGCTACGCACAGCGCCTTACCCGCTCGCTCGACGCATTCGAGAGCCTCAGTTCCGCCTTTGCTCGCTCCCTCTCCGTTCCTGGCGGCGGGGTAGATGCGAGTGGGGTAGCCCTGGGGGATTCGAGCGAGAGTATGGTTCGTGGTCTGCGCGGGCTCAGTCGACTGCTCAAGGCTGGGTTGAGCGCGAGGGGCGTGTTGGGATGGCTGGAGCGATGTAGGGAGGAGAGCGAGTGGTTGGAGTTGAGCGACGAGCTATTGCGTAGCGAAGAAGGGCGCAGAGTTCTTAAGGCGCAGAGTGACGAGGCGGAGCAGAGAGAGTTGGATGGGGAGAGTTTGGGGGCCTTGATTCGTAAGAGTTTGGGCTCGCGCGGCGCGGCGCGAGGTGGCGCTGCTGCTGGTGGTGGTCGAGGGGTGGGAGAGGGGGGAGCCGAGCCCGCGTCAGGGTCGGTGTGGGACGAGATGATCAACAAGTACTCTGCGGTCCTCTCTCGCGCAAACGAGGGAATGCACCGACTCATCGTGAGCGAGGTGAGCGAGTCACTGCTGCGGGAATATGCGCAGAGCGAATGGCTCGACGAGCGTCGCGACGACCAGGAGAACGAGGACGAGGACGAGGACGACTCTGGGGGGATGGCGCCAACTCCCTCTCTCCTGCCCGCCCTCACCCTCCTGCACACTCATCTCTCGCACCTCTACCCGGCCCTCAGCTCGACGAGCAGCTCAGCAGACGCCCGCGCCCGGCACAGGAGAATCGCCCAGGACCTCTCGCGTTTTGTGGTCACCAAAGTCGTGCTGGCGGGGGGGTCGCGACGATTCACGCTGAGGGGGGCAGAGCGATTCAGGCGAGATTGGGAGACGGGGTGGGCCCCCGTTGTGCGTGGGGCAACGATGGGGGCAAGGGGGGAGGGGGCTTGGCGCTTCTTGAGGGATGTAGGGAGGCTACTCTCTCTCCCCTCGTCTTCGTCGTCGTCCTCCGCGGCAGAGACGGAAACGCGAACGGGCGAGGGCGAGTACACCCTCGCGCGGGCCATGCGCGTTCTCTGGGAGGGTGGGGAAGAGGAATGGCGAGCCATGTGCGATGCGTTGGAGCTGAGGAGCCGGGAGTTGACAGGGGACAGGGGGTTGGCGAGGGAGGTTGTGAGGCGGAGAGTCGAGTGTATGCTAAGATGATGTGGTGTGAGGCGCGGCGAGGCGGGGCGATGACATATTACATGATTGCAAAGGCATTTACGAGTGTTAGAGAAAAAAGAGCAAATGCCGGGCGTACAGTAGATGATGCGTGGATGTGAGAAGTGACGTAGATCGAGAGGAGCGAGTGCCGGTGCAGGTGCGCTTGCGCGTCGGGCGAGCAAGGCTTGAGTGGAAGGGGTACAGTTGAGATGCCCAGCATGGGATAGATGGCTCGCGTGGCCGCTAGTCGCCTCATCCTGCCTCGTCCCGCAGTTGCGACATGAATTAATACGGTCGAAGATGAGGCGGCATTCCCGCGTGGCCCTGGCCCTGGCCGTGGCCTTGCCCCTGAGCGTGGTGATGCTGATGCAGGCCATCCCCCTGCGAATGCTGCTGCTGCACCATACCAGCTCCATACGCCGAATGCTGCTGCTGCTGCTGCGCATAACCGCCCTGCCCGTACGCATGGTGATAATTCGTCGGCGCCGTTGGTGGTGGTGCCGGTGGGGAGTACTGCGGCTGCGGCTGCGCTTGCGGTTGTGTCTGTCCGTACGTCTGCGCGAGGGAGGGATTCTCGTTCCCCACCCCTCCCGCTGCTGCTCCTGCCGGCGGTGCCGGTGCCGGTGGCGCGCCCCCCTCCCCCTGACCAAGCAACATGGTCAAATCGATACTTATCAGGTCGCCCAAGTCTTGGTTGAACAGGTTGCCCAGCGCTACATCGTACTCGCTTACGCTGAAGGGGATGCCTGGCGCTTGTGGCTGCGGGTGCGATTGCGGTTGCGGTTGAGGTTGGGATTGCGGCGTGGAGTGAGAGTAGGAGTGCGAGTGCGAGTGCGAGTGCGAAGAAGAGGGAGTGGGCGTTGATGTCCCTGCGAAACCTGACGTAGAGGGAGAGCCGCTCATCCCCGCAGCGGGGCCATGGCCATTGCCGTTGCCGTCGGCGCTGACGTGGGCGGGATATGAGGACATGCCTAGTGGGGCGGGAGGGGAGTAGGCGTGCCCATGTCCTTGTGCTCCGCCGGCGCCGCCGTTTGCATTGGAGGTGAGATGGGTCACATTGCCGTACGAAGACGAGGACGGGTAGCCCTGCTGCTGTCCCTGTTGCGTCTGCGCTTGCGCCTGCGCCTGCTGCTGCATCATCATCTGCTGTTGATGTTGCTGCGGGCTCGCCCCTGCCGGAGAAGCTGAAGAGGTCGTTGAGGTCGAAACGGCCCCCCCACCTCCTGCTGCGCCGAAGGGCATAGCGAAACCCATCCCGCTCGAGTAGTGAGATGGGTGATGCGATCCTGCGCCTCCGATTGCCATTCCCATGCCCACGCCCAGCGAGGGGGAGGGGGAGGGAAGACCAGCACCGGAAACGGGGCCACCACCACCGCCACCACTGCGACCCATGGATGCAGGCCGGGGCAAGGTGGGGGGATGGCCCAGCGGACCGAAGGGTGAGCTGGGCGCTGAGCTGGTGGAGTGTGAAGGGGACGACGTGGAGAGAGGGCCATTCCCACTCGCGGCGGCGGCGTAGTGCTGGGTGTGGTGCTGGCTGTGTTGCGGAAGGTATTGGCGCGAGGGTGAGGGACGCGAGTGTCCTGGCGTAGCGTGGGAGTGCAGAGGAGCGCCACTGCCATCGTGCCCGCGCTGCTGCGGCTTTGCGTGTCCGGTGTGTGCTTGTGGAGAATACGGGCAGCCCCGAGAACCCACGGCAGGGTCTTTGCTGGCCATCCCAACGTCCCAACCTCGGAGCGCACTGCCCGCTCCTGCAGAGGCGACGCCTGCTCCGGTCCCCGCAGAGTGTACAGTGCCCTGCCCTACCGCTGTCCCTGCCGCGCTGCCCTGCTCCCTCTCCCGTTCCGCCCTCCTCGCCGCAGTCGTCGTCGTCGCAGCAGGCTTTTGCGCCAATCTTCTCGCCTTCTCTCGCTCCCTCTCCCTCTCGCGCTCGCGCTCGCGCTCCACCTCAACCTGCACCTCCCTCCTCTCCCTCTCCTCCCTCCACCTCCTCGGTGCCTCCCTGGGCAGACTATCCACCCACTCTTTGCCCCTTCTCTCCCTCTTCCCAGCCCGAATCAACGCTTCATAGCGCACCACCAACTCCTTACATATCATGACCATCAAAGCGGGCAAGCTGAGGGAGTCTCCTCGGTCGAAGCGCGCAAGTGTAGCAATTGCGCCGCGCATGATCCCGACCTGGTGATCGACATTGTGATGGAGCGAGCCATACCCGAAGTTGATGGCTGCACTATGGCCCACGAGCATCTTGGCCGCTCCGAAGATGCAGGAGGAGAGGCCGATGGGGCTTACGATGTGCAGCGGGAAGGAGGGGTGGTGCTCCCCATTCCCGTTGCCTGCGCTCTGCCCCTCCGCCGGGCGGGTGGGCGCAGGGGGAACGAACCGCCCAGCCTCTTCTAGGATGGCCTCGCATGACTCCTGGATATAGCCCCACAAGACACCGGCAGCCTCTCGCGTCTTGAGGGAGCTGGAGTGCCATCCTTCGAACATGCTTAGTCGCGACGTATGGAGGTCGGACAGACTAGCCGGACCCGCTGCTCCACCTCCCCCGCCCGCGCCTGCCCCTCCTGCGCTAGAGGCTGCGCCATTAATGACAGCGATGAACATGAAGATCAACCTCGTGCACAAGCTCGCCACATTATCCAACCTCTCCAAGCGATTCCACGCAAGAACAGGGCTTAACCTCGCGACCTGCTCGGGCGGGAACTTGGCACGTATCTCTTTTGCCTCTTGCTGGTCCATGCCTCTCACGTCGCGCACCATGCACCCCACAAGCGCCATAGCTGGCTCAATATCGCTTGGTTCGCTCATCTCTAGGCGCCGCAAGTCGGACCAGAATGTGCGGATCCGGTAGAAGAACTTGGAGCGCAGAGCGAGGGCTGTTAGCGGGGCGGCGAGGTGAGCTGTGGAGGGGTGACGGAGTAAAGGGTGGATATTGGTGGCGAAAGCTTCGATATCCACCAGCGAGGGGGCGGGACTCGGTAGATTGGGGTTGACCGAGCTCCAAGCGCAGAGGACACCAAAGTTGGAGAGGGAGAGCCACAAGGCGGCCTCGCGCAGTCGATCGAGGCGCTCCGAGAGGGGAGAGGAGGAGGTGAGGGCGCGTGGTCCGCTACACATTTTGAAGATGCATTGGTCCAGGCCTAGGGAGAGGGCAATATTCATTGCGCCGAGGTAGAGGCAATTACCTGGCGCATGGTCGATTGTCTCGTCTAGGTCTTCGGAGGGGCGCGGTAGGATTAGGTCTAGGGGCTCGTAGGTTGCCATTAGGAGGAGCGCTTGACAGACGTCGCGGCTACGCGTTTGGAACATGACGTGGCAGAGGGTACGTTGGATCAATGCGCCGAGCAGGGTGAGTTCGTGGTGCGGGCGTTCACAGATGTAGGCTGTTACTTGTTTAAGGTAGAGTGTGGCAGCCGGCAGCTCGTGTCTGCCCTTTCGCAGCAGCGAGTCGTCGAGAAAGGGGTTGGCTAACACAAAGTCGTAGAGGCGGGATGAGTCTAGCGCAGGGTTGGGTCCCATGGGAGGAACGTGTGACGAGGCCGTGCTGGTGTATTTGGTGGAGCGCGCAGGGTAGAGCGGAGACTTGTATATGATCTCGCACACCTGCGCCCCATTGCGGTCCATTGCGTTTGCGAGCTTCTTGCGATAGTCGAAGGAACGGATGTCTTCGCCGCGTGGGGGGGACGACGAGTGTGGCGAAGGAGCATCGTGACCGGCGTTCTCGTCTTCCTCGTCTTCTTCTTGATCGCGAGGACGCTTGTGCGCGTGTGATGCTTCGGCGTCCAATGAAGCTTCTGCTGCCCTGGCATCTGCCTCTGCACGTCGCTTTGCCTGCTCTGCATCCCACGAAAGAGTATCTGCCACTTCTGCTGGCGTGACTACCAGTCGCCTTCCAGCTACGATTGGTCTGGGTCCTCTACGCGGTGGTCGCGCCTGTTCGCTCTGACCCTGCGCGTGCGCCGACTTTTCCCCGTCGGCAGCTTCCACTTTGGCCACCTTTTCACCCTCACCACCACTACTCGTCGTCGTCGTTGGCGCCGGTGGGGGACCATATCGCGGCGTCTTTCCCTCTTTAGCTTTGCGATCACCATCCCACACGACGCACTCGGTCCCCAATGCCTTGCACCTGTGACACTTCAAGTGGGAGGGCAATCCATCGTGGGACGAGGGCACATTGAGGTCTGGCAGCTCGCATCGCGCCTTGCGCGTTCGACAGGCTAAGCAGGAACGTCGTGCGTGTGTACGGCGCGTCTTGCGTGGTGGTTGTGGTGAGGAAGAGGAGGAGGAAGGGCCAGCTTCGAGGGATTCGAGGGCTTCGTCGTCGTCATGCGAGGGGCGGTGATGAGGGTGTGTGGCTGTTGCTGCTGCGGACGAGCTCATTGGATTGGCATAGTTGGGCGTGAAGCGGGAGTGAGCGTGGATTGTATGCTGCGTAATAATGACAAGGGCAGAGGCGCGGCGAGTGGCCTCTAAGTTGCGAAGGCAAGCGTGTGAGTGTGTGAGTGCGACGGAGACAGAGAACGGAGAACGGAGACAAGGACGACGGAGAAAGGCGAGCAAGCAGGACGTGCGAGCGTCGAGGCGGCCACGCGGGGCGGGGAGGCTGTCGGACTTGGAAAACGAGAGTCGCACCGCTGCCCGCCCGCCTGGCCACGGCCACGCTCCATTCCGCTCTCCCTGCTCAAACAAAAGCAAGCAAGGATGGCGTGGTGTGGTGTGGTGTGAGAGGACTTGGACATTGTACAAGGATCAGTTGTGAGAAGGAGAGACGTTCGCGAGGTGTAGTAACAGGAGAACAAGAGTATTGACGGAGCATCGCAGCGAGCGAGCCAGCGATCGATCAATCGATCTACCGATCCACCTCGCCGAGCCGTAGCGCACAGCGCCAATAGGGCTGGGCAGACCGGCCCCTACTTACGGAACGCATCTTTCATCTTGAGAGAAGTCGCGAACGCACGCACGCCCGCTCAGCAGCATCCACCAGCCTTCTTGCTCGCCGCACCCCCATCATCCGTCGAAGTCTGTACGGTAATCGTCTCGCTACCACCGGTAGGCTTGATGACCTCGTCCGATGATTGGAGGGCCTTGTTCGAGACGATGCGGTAGATTTCTGCGCGTGCAGCGGGCGAGGAGAGGCGGATTGGGAGTGGTTGGAGGAGTGAGTGGGTAAGCAGGGCTGCGTGGACGATGAGAGCCCGCGGGAATGACGTACCCGTGAGGATGTTCTGGAATGCCTGCTCTACATTGCTCGCATCAAGGGCCGACGTCTCGATGAAGGAGAGGTTGTTCTCAGCTGGCGAAGCGGGCGAGCGGGCGAGCGGGCGAGCGGGCGAGCGGGCGAGCGGGCGAGCGGGCGAGCGGGCGAGGAAGAATCGCAAGACGTGTGAATAGGTGAGTATATGCTGACCCCCATCCCCCGCCTCCACACCCCCCCGCTGCTACTCACCAGCAAAACTCCTCGCCTCATCAGTAGGAACAGCTCTGAGGTGCCTCAAATCGCTCTTGTTCCCCACGAGCATAATGACGATATTCGAATCGGCATGGTCACGCAACTCCTTGAGCCAACGGGAGACGTTGACGTACGAAGGATGTTTGGCGATATCGTACACCAAGAGGGCTCCTACCGCGCCGCGATAGTAGGCTGAGGTGATGGCACGATAACGCTCTTGACCGGCCGTGTCCCAGATTTGGGCCTTGACCGTCTTGTTGTCCACGGCGATGCTCCTGGCGCGCAGCGAGAGGTGAGAGGGATGGGATGGGATGGGAGGGAGGAGTTGGGTGGAAAGGAGAGGGATGCGGAGGTGATCAGCACGACAAAGCGCGTAGACTGATCATCTCCCGCCCGCGCACCCACCTAGTCGCAAACTCGACGCCAATGGTAGACTTGCTGTCCAGGCTGAACTCGTTCCTGTGCAGAGGCAGCGAGGAGGGCATCGTACCGCATCAGCAAGGTGTCCTGTCTCATCATCGCTCCTCTCTGAGCTCCTGCTCCTCGCGCTCGCGGCTCACCTTGTAAATCGACTCAGCAGGTTCGACTTGCCAGCGCCTGCGCAGCGTGTGTGTGCGCGGCAAGGAGTGAGCGAGTCGTACGTACGTCAAGGGCATCGCTCAATTCCCATCCCGCCACATATCTCCCTCTCACCCTCGCCTACTCACCACTATCACCAATGAGGACCACCTTGAACAGGTAGTCGTACTGAGCGTCTGCCATCTTAGAGTTGGAGTGCGAGGTGCTGGAGAGGAGAGTGGGTGGTGTGTGAACGCGAGAGAGAGAGTGGGAGTTGGAGGTGTTGCGTTGCAGTTGCGTTGCGTTGCGATGCGGTGGGCGTTGCTGCAGTCAGATCAGAGGCGGCGGGCGGCGCGGAGAGAGAGGAGGCGGGCGTCGAGTTGAGTCGAGTCCAGTAGTCGAGCCGTGCCGTCGACGAGGCCAACCACACGACGCTCGTCCTGGCCTTGGCTGAGAGAGACACGGATGAGACGCTCAACCACGTGGCGCGATGTGGCGTAGCGCAGCGTGGCCTTCAAGTGCGGGGAGGCAAGGCGGCGAGGTGAGGGCTCAGTCTCACAGGCACAGGCACAAAGGCACCTCGCAGGTTCCTTTCGCCCGTAATCTCGCAGCAGGCGACGCAGCGACGCAGCCAGTCAGTGGGCGAGCGACACTTTCACTCTCTCCTTTGCCATCCGTCCATCGACTCTGCGGATCACGCTGCGAAATAACCCAGGAGAGAGAGAGAGGCATACGAGGATCGAGAGGCGACATTCTTGCCGCGCCGCCACCAACACCACCAACCTCCGCAGCCCTGTGCGGCCCATCACTGCCGCGCTAGCCCAGCATGTCCTCGTCTGCTGCTGCGCACCACTCCCACTCCCCAACCCCTTCCTCCTCTCATTCCCACTCCCACTCCCACTCCCCTCCCTCCACCACCACCACCACGACCGCACGTCGCGAACCCCCTCGCAAGCGGAATCGTGCCGCCCTATCATGCGTGGCGTGCCGTGAACGCAAGATCAAGTGCGATCGCATGGTCCCCTGCAACCAATGCACCAAGCGCGGCGACGCGGAGCTGTGCTTCCTCGACCCGTCCAAGCGCGGACCACCACCGGGTCAGAGCAAGAGTATGAAAGTGCAGGAACAGATTGCTAGGCAGGATGAGATGATGGCCAAGAGGGGGAGAGGAGCGGGTGAGGCGGGTACAGCTGCGCAACACCCTCACAGCGCCGATGAGTGGACGGCGGTCAATCAGAGGTTGGCTCAATTGGAGGCAGCATTCGCCGCACGCGGTGAGAGTGGCGCGTCGCCCTCTTCTTCCTCTTCGTCATGGAGACCATGGGCATCCGCAACAGCAGCAGAAGCAGCAGCCGCTCCTCGTCCCAACCCCGATCCCTCTGCTTCCGCTTCGGGCTCCCCAGTACCCATCGCACGCACGGCCGCCGCCGCCCTCATCAAGTCCGGACCTGACAGCGACACAGAGGACGCGGCCATGGTTCTCGAGGGTCTGGCCATGTCCGGCGGGCAGGGTGCGGCGCAGGTCAAGCGTGGCAAATGCGGTGGATCAGGAGCAACAGCCATCGATGCCGCAGATCCAGACGGAGACGGGGAGACAGACCCTGTCAAGTCTGAACCTCGCCACTCATTCGCAGCCTACGCCGCGCAGAACCAACACCGCGATATCATGCTTCCCGTGAGCCAGGGCGGCACATCGGGCCTTTCGGCGGCGGATGTGGTCAAGGAGATGAAGAGGACTTGTATGAACAAAGAGGGAAAAAATGGCGATGACGAGGAGAAGACTTATGCCGACCTCCTCGCGCTCGAGGCACAAGGAGTTGATGTCTCGCCAGCGGATAAGGTGTGCACGCTACTCAGCTCGTCGACTTCCCTCTTCAGGCCCATCTATGGTCCTGAGTCTTTCCTTGGGTTCGGTATGGGATGGGCTTTCCCTGCTGCTGAGGCTGCGGGAGATCTACATGTTAAAGGCGGAGAGTGCCCGGGGAGCGCACAGAGGGAAGCCGTGTTGCGGGCTATCATTAGAAGTCTGCCTCGCAAGCAGTTGGCTGAACAGCTGGTCAGCGTGTATGCGGATAGGGTCAACTTTCTTGCGGGCAATGTCGTGCATATGCCTTCGTTCAGGCGCGAGGTCGAGGTGAGAGCGCCGAGACGATCGTCGCGCAGACACACACGCTGACCTCCTCCCCCCCTTTTCCCCCGCACGCAGAGCTTCTACGCCCTGGAAAGCGTGGAACGCCAAGCACGCGTGGTCAACAACGTCGACGTAGGCTGGCTAGCCGTGTACCTCCTCGTTCTTACCCTCGCGCTCCGCTTCTATCCCTGCGAACCGCCCGCCCACTGGGCATCCATCGCTCACTACTTTGACGGTCGCTGCGTCCATCTCTGGGCTAGCGCGGCGCGTACCTGCCTAGGCCTGGCGCGCTACCAGTCCAGCCAGTCCCTCGCCGTTCTCCAGTCCATCCTCCTCGCCAACCTGAGCGACTCGCACGCCGGCCGTAAAGTCAACCAAACCATGCTGCGCATCGCCATATCCAACGCCCACTCCATGAGCCTGCATCGTCTCGGGGATCGCTCCCAACAGCCCAAGGCCGGGGAGAGCCAAGGCGTGGCGCTGCGTCGCGAGATGGCAAAGCGAATCTGGTACCAGCTCGTCTTCAAGGACTGGTCCTGCTCGCTGTGCTCCAATGTTTATGTAATCCAAGAGCGTCAGTTCAACACCCCGTTGCCAGGCAACTACAATGATGAGGACCTGGAGCGCAGCCCTCTACCCGCTCCACGGCCACGCGAGGAGCACACCGACATGAGCTACTCGCTCGAGGCCTTCGAGGTGGTCAAAGCAAGCAAGCTCCACGCCGACGTGCTCAACGACAAGTGGCTGGAGTCGGGCGAGTCGCGTGGGAGGGCCAAACTGAGCTGCTCCGAGGCCAGTCGCGTCGACGCCGCCTATCGTGCGGTGCTCGAGGGCCTGCCCAGCTTCTACGCCGTGGGGTCCGAGCACGGCACCAAGACCAACGTGGAGATCGAACGTTGGCTCCTCCAGCAGATGATCTTTCACCACATCCTAAAATTGCATCGTCCGGCACTCTCTTCGCAACCGAAAGCCCGCGTATCCTGCGTCGCCCTCGCACGCTCCATCCTCGACACTCAAAAGAAGTTGCGAGGCACCTGCACGGTAATCGATCGACTGCTCTGCAACCTGGCGCAGTCTTATACGGCGGCCATTGTCCTTCTCCTCGACTTGCTGCAGCACGGTCGAGAACACAACCCGGCGATGCGCCTCATCATCCGCAGCGAGGTGGCCGAAGCGCTTCGTGCGCTGCACCATGTGAATGAGAGCAACAACTCGACCGAGGGAGGGATACGCGTCATTGAGGCCCTGCTCGCAGAGGAGGAGAAGCGATACCAGGCCGCGCAGGCGGAGGATGATGCGCACTTTGCTGGTGCGGGGGGGAAACGCAAGCGGGGAGATGTGGCCGCACCACCCAAGAAGAAGGAGTTGCTCAGTCTTGCCCTCCAGATCGCCAAGGCCGCCAAGTGCGAAGCGGCCGGGTCTTTCCGCTCTGGCAGTGGTAGCGGGGCGTGCACGTCGCAGCAGGAACAGGTAGAACGAGACCAGCGAGCAGCGCAGGAGCAGATGGCACGACAGAACGCTATGCTACTCGACGCCACGCCAACTTCTTCGTCCGCGGACGCGCCGTCCTTCTTCCCGCCGCAGCAGGAAATGGCAAAGGACGCCCTCTCCCGCTCGCTAATGCTTCAATTGTTCAACCCTCCCGCTAACCTAGCGCTAGGTGGGGCAGGGGGGAGCAACCCGCAATACTACAACAACCTATTCGGAGGGGCCTTTGGCGGGGCAGGGGGAAGTGAGAGCGGGCTCCTTCACTCAAGCATGGTTGGGCCCAACGGCGTGGAGGCGGAGTTGAGCCCTACGGAGGGGGATTGGGCCGGTTTCGATCTGGGGGCGTGGTTGAACCAGTTTGGCGGGACGGAGGGTGGACAAGGGGCCAGTCCGAGTGGGTCGGTCAGTTCGAATGGGCGTGTGGTCAATGGCGCTGGCGGGAATGGGGGGAGTAGCGCCGCGGGCAGTGTGTGGAGTAGCGATGAGTCCTCTTCTGGCACATCGTCGTCTGCTCTGGCTACGAGTCACACCTCTTCGGATGCAGGCTCGCCCATGCTACATCGCAAGGCGAGCGAATTGAGCGGGAATGGAGCGGGACTCTCCCCTCCTGTCAGGCACGATAGCGCTTCCTCTTCGTCCTCGTCTGGCGCAGCGCCCACGCACCACCATAATAGCGATGCGACGCAGCAAGGCCTGGACGCTTTCTACTCTTGGGTCCTCTCGCAGGGCCTCAACATGCGGGGCGCGGGCGCCGAGCAACCTAGACTGGGCAACGGCACTCCCCTCCTCGACCAATCAGCGCCCCCCGCCTCGTCCATGCCCAGCACATCGGGCGGACCCTCCCTCGCCCCAGTCCCACCGCAAGCCCTCGCCCCCTCCAGTCTAACCTCAAGCGGCCCCCTCGCACAATGGCAACCCCCCTTTGGCGGCCCGCCCTCGCAGGGCTGGAACGTCACGTCGCCCGATACATCCCTTCCTCCTACGAGCGGGCTCACCCCTACCTCTTCCGCCGCCCTACCCAATGTCGGCACGCCCAGCGCGGGAGCCAATGCGGGGTCGGCCCAAGGGGCAGGGGCAGGGTTTGGAAGCATGTTCGGCGCAGCGGCTGGTGCTGACCCTTCTTGGCTAGCCAACGACCCGAGTAGCGTTGCGGCTTGGTTGAGCATGCCTGGGTTGTTGGATTGGGGCGGAGGGGCGGGGGCGGGGCTGGGTGAGGGAAGATCGTAGAGCTGCGCCGCGCGATACGATATGATTCGCTACAAAGCAAAGCAAAGTAGCCGGTTGAGGTTGAGTTGCTCCATCTCTTCTTCTGTGAGGGTATCATGGACTCGGCCCATTCACGCACACACGCGCGCAAGCTCTCTCCTATTCTTGTGGAAAAGAGGCGCTCCGAGACGTCCCCCTTGTATCCTTCTCATCTCGATTGTATTCTCTCTTCTTGACCCGTGACCCGACTCGATTTGACAAGACTTCGTCGTAGCCCTTCTTTCGGAAACACGCGATCCCCTTGCTGTGTTCTTTCTGTGTGTGTGTGTGCGAGTATCGCGATCCTCCATCGTGATCCTCAGGACTCGTCACTGTCACCGAGACTCTCTTGCCATTCGTTCATCATCTCACCTCATCTCATCTCGTTCATCCCTCGTCTCGCACCTTTCGCCGATGCCTCCCACCCACCTCATTCTCTGGCAGCCCAGCGTTGCGTCGTGCGGGCTTTGGAAGTGTTGAGACCACCGCACACGGCACAGTGCACAGGGTTACGTCAGGCCGCGGGCGCCCGCGCGCCAGCGGGCGCAACTTTTAGCCAGATCGACGTGAGACAGTAGCAAGGAGCGAGGCGCGAAAGAGATTCAGGGTGTAGCAAAGCGTGGTGGTAATGACGACGATGATGAGCAAGCATGATGCATCGAACACACTCGGAGGAGGCTTCTTTGCTATCATCGCTCATCGCTCTCCCTCGTGATGAGCAATAGCAAGTGCTTTCCATTTGCACGCGCGCTCACTCGGCGTCTTGCTGCTCAGGCTCCTCGGGAGTTTTTCCATTTTTTGCCTCCAATCCTGACGGCGTGACAGGCAGGCAGGCAGGCAGGCAGGCAGGCGCATCCATTTCCCTCCCGCCTCCCGCGGCACGATGACATTCCTCCTTTGCCTCTGCGCGAGAGGCCGCCGCGCCATCCTCTGCCGCCCGCCGCCCGCCGCCGGGTGCTCTTTCTCTAGCGCACGGCGGGCTAGCAGCTGCCGTCGGCGGTCGGCAGATTTTTGCAGATTGTGGCCCATCGGCGCGGCGAGGACGGCGAGAGGGACGGCGACTTGGACGACTGCGAAGTGCAACTCGCGGACGCATTCGAAAGAACGCAGCGATGAGGCGGGAGCTCATGTATCATGCGCCTGCCGAGCGAGTAAATTAAGGGGCTTAGTGTGCGTCTCACGATGTGCGGAACGAACATGGATGGGCAAGGCGACGTACGAGAGGAAGAGTGAGAAGAGTGCGTCGTTTTCGCAGGTGTTGGAAGAGCGGCGACGAAGGACGAGCGAGCGAGGGGAGCGAGGCGACTCACCCATCTTCTTTGCTGCCGCCGCTGCTGCTTCGCTGGCAAACGTACGGCGTGGGGCGCGCAGGTACCGTTGCAAAGTGGTGTATTGAGCTCTGGGGAAATCGAGAGCACGACGAGAGATGGGCGCGAGGAGAGATGTGGTGGCGAGCGTGGGCGAAGAAAGTCTGCCTACCACAGCCGATCCTGACCTCGACTCCCACCGCGGCGACCTCTCTTGTCGCGCGGGGCTCCCATCGTGTGTCATCGAGTCCCGTTGCGAGTCTCATTGCTCTGAGATCGCTCCTCGCTCGGCGGCAAAGCAGAAAGCACGCTCATCCATCTCTGTACGCACGCTGCGCTGGGTCGTGTGTGTGTGTGTGTGTTTTGGATCCGCCCGCGCCTTCGGGCACTAGAGGAGTCGGAGTTGCGGGATGCGCGGCGGGAATTTGCCGCCTGCTCGAGCGAGTCTCGCGGCTCGGCGTTCATTTAGAGACGCAAAAAGGGGTGTGCTGCGCAGACAAGGCGAGACGTCGAGCGATCGCATCGCAGCTTGACTTCCTTTCCATCACTACTCACGGCTCCAGACTAATCCTCAAGGAGTCCGCGCTGCTACATCTTCAAGTTCCTCAAGCCAACCACCCCCCATCAATCACACGCAGCCATGGTCTTCCAGCTGCCGGTCCTCACGGGCCACGCCATTACAGGCAAGACGCTCACGGCGTTTGTGGCAATGATTGCCTCGACTGGTTTCCTGCTCTTCGGCTACGACCAGGGTGTCATGAGTGGGCTCATCAACACGCGTCAATTCGTGAGTATCGCGCACGCAGCCTGCGAGCTCCAGCGCTAACCGCATGCCTCCCCTCGCCCGCCTCGCCCCGCGCTCGCAGGAAACGTACTTCCCGCAAATGACTGAGATCACCGACCCAAAGACGGGCAGATCGCTCAACGACCGCTTCGACTCGAGCGTCCAGGGCGCCGTCGTCGCCATCTACGAGATCGGCGCCCTCTTCGGCTCCCTCTTCGTACTCTGGAAGGGCGACGCCATTGGCCGCCGCTCGTCCATCGCTCTCGGCTCCCTCATCATGACCGTCGGCGCCGTCATCATGACGGCCTCGTACGGCATCGCCCAGTTCACCGTCGGCCGTATCATCACGGGCATCGGCAACGGTATGAACACGTCGACGATCCCCATGTGGCAGTCTGAGCTTTCCAAGGCGCACAACCGTGGTCTTCTCGTCCTCATCGAGGGAGCCCTCATCGCTGGAGGCATCATGATCAGCTACTGGATCGACTTTGGCTTCCACTTCATCGACTCGTCGATCAGCTGGCGTTTCCCCCTGGCCTTCCAGTGCATCTTTGCCCTCATCCTCTTCTTTGGCATCCTCTGCCTGCCCGAGTCGCCTCGCTGGCTCGTCAAGAAGGGCGAGTCGGCACAGGCTGCTCAGATCCTTGCCCAGCAGGATGCGACCACCGTCGACGACCCCGTGGTTCAATCGACGCTGCGCCAGCTCGAGGAGTCCATCTTTGCGAGCGAGAAGCTCATGGGCGACTTTTCCTACCGCGAGCTCTTCACCAATGGCCCCGAGCAGAACTTCTACCGCGCCTCGATCGCTTTCATCGCTCAGGCATTCCAGCAGCTCTCAGGCATCAACCTCATCACCTACTACGCCACGTCCGTCTTCCTCTCCATCCAGCCGGACGACACGACGGCCCGCCTCCTCACCTGCGGTAACGGTACCGAGTATTTTGCCGCCTCCATCGTGGCCCTCTTCCTCATCGACACGCTGGGTCGTCGCAAGCTCATGATGGGCACCGCCTTCTTGATGTCGGCGAGCATGGCCATCCTCACGGGCACCGTCTTTGACGTGCAGCGTCGCGGCATTGGCAACGGTGGCGGCTCTGCCATCGTCGCCGCCATCTTCCTCTACTTCTTCAACACCTGCTTCGCGCTGGGTTGGCTGGGCATGACCTGGCTCTACCCTCCTGAGATCACGCCTATCCGTATCCGCGCCCCGGCCTCGGCTATCGCCACGAGCAGCAACTGGCTCTTCAACTTCCTCATCGTCATGATCACCCCTCCGGCCTTTGCGACCATCAAGTACCAGACGTACATCATCTTCGCCGTCCTCAACCTCTCCTTCATCCCCGTGATCTATTCGTTGTTCCCCGAAACGAAGCGTCGCGGACTAGAAGAGATGGACGTAATCTTCGCCGAGGCTCACGAGACGTCCTTCTGGGTCCCCTCGCGCTTCATGACGCGCGCCTGCTACCTCTCGATCACCAAGCCGCACATGACGAGCGAGGAGCTCGACGCAGAGCTCACCAAGCGCTTTGGATCGGGAGCGGCTACTGCTGGAGCTTCGGGAGCTGGCGCTGCGGGCGAGAAGTACGCGCCTGGTGTAGAGGCTAAGGAGCACCAGCACGATGACGACGAGGCGGCTGTTGAGAAGCAGGCGGCTAATGCTGGTACGGGCAACAATGGGACTCGCGAGCCCAACACCGAGGCTTCCTCCAGCCACAGTGGTTCGTCGCACTAAGCGTGCAAGGGGCGGTGGCGAATCCAACTCACCGTCTACGGTGCGGGGCGCGGCACGACGCGAGTCCCGCGCATGACGTGGAGCCCAGCCCGCGAGTCTGCTTTCTCTGCCTTTCCTCTCGCTTTGTACACATCCTCTCGACAGGGCATTCATCAGCAGACGGTCTTTTGCATGCACCGAAATCAGGGAGAATCGTGGCAAAGCAACGGGAGGAAGGAGTGGGGACCAGGAAGAGGAGAGAGTAGCGCCTCGTGCTCCTCTCGCCTCCTCGACTCAAAGACGGCGACGACGCTTTTCCTCGAATTGTAATTTTTCCCTCGTTCATCTAAGCTTTCCTCTCCGCCCCACCATATATCTACGAATCGGATCATGCACACTCTAGCACCCACTTACAAGGCGACGCAGCGCATCGATGTGTGAGAGGGAGTCATTGAATTGGTGGAGAGTAAGGCGGAGCGGGGAGCGGGAGAAGCCACGCGACGCAGGTCGGCGCGGGGCGGGCGGACAGGGCCACGCGAGCGAACATGCGGGGCGGGTTAGTCTGGACCGCACGCTGGAGTGAGATTCGCCTCCCCAAGCGACAAGATGAGGAGCGCGATGTTGTGGTAAGGCGAAAGGGAGACTCAAAGGTGATGAGGAGAGGACAGAGAGCCATTCTGGTGGGTGAGCTGGTGCTATACTATTGAGAGGGGAGAGATGGATGACCCTGTGGGTATATTCAAGGTTCTGGGGCGCCATGTTGAGGGTGAGGGCGAGATTATAGCTAGTCTCCCGCTCAGTCGGCCGCGCCCTAGCTACTTGCTGCTGCTGCCAGTCTTTCCCTTCTTCTTCTTCTTGCCACTCTGCTTCTTCTCCTGGCCGCTCGTGTTCTTCTTCTGCGGCTGCTGCTCCCTCTCCGCGGCCTCCTCATCAGCATATGTCCCGCCCCTACGCTCCCACGCTATCAGCTGCGCCACGTTGTCCAGAATCTCTTCGCCCATGTACTTGACGTAGACCTGCTGATTGGGCTCGCACGTACAGATGTCCTCGTATCGCACCTTGGTCTCCCAAAGGCGGCGCATCGTGTCTAGGACCCAGTAGGGTCGCGGCGCAGCGGCCGAGAAGGTGGTTCGCTCCTGCTTGGCCTTTGTGCCGATGTACTTGAGGTCGTCACAGCCCCATTTCACCTTCCTGAGGCGACACTCTGTCTCGATCTTGTCGATGTTGGGCGGCCAGCGGAAGTTCAGCGTGCGCATGATACGTGAGAGCATGGCCTTCTTTGTGGACGAGAGGGACGCCAAGGTCAAGGGCGAGGAGATAGTCAGCATCAAGGCGCATCAGCGATGGTGCTCAACGCGCACACTCACGCGACGCTGGTCTATGAGCTGGCGCTCCTCTGCGTTCGTTGTCTGATAGACGTCTAGGGTCGAGTCTTCGTCGGAGTGGAAGTCGAGGGAATCTGTCGACAAGTCCTCGCTGCTCGACTCGTCGTCGTTGTCTGCTACTGACTGGTGTTGAGCTTTGGTTCGGCTAGACTAGCCTGCGCTCAGACCCCTTCTTTGCCCCTATCTGGTCTCTTGAGCTCGAGTATGTATCTCCTTCAGCTTCCTCCTTTTGAACCATCACTTTGAATCGACGTGCTTCACATTACACGTGCGAAGAGGATGTAGAGACGTATGCTGTGGGCCAATGTATGGAATGAGACATGCCTGCGATGTCAAATCTGACGAGGTGCGAGTGGATGCGACCGTGGGAGAAGGTGATGGTGATGGCAAGGAGCTGAGCCTGTGTTCAGCTCAGCTTGTCGTCGCCCATCAGAACCTTTATTCCACTCGATGCGATCTCGAGATGGAGCGAGCGAGACAACGGGAGGCAGTGGTCTACGCGCCGGCGCGAGATTGACTCTCACGCGCTCAATCCATTTGGGCAGAGTGCTCAGCAGCAGCGTCAAGGTAGCGTCTCAGTGGCTCAGCAGCGCCTCCTCAAGACAGCGCTACAGATTTGACACGCTTCGTCCATCTCACAGGTGACGCTGGTGAGAGCCCACGATACCGCAGGCTCTGAGCAGCACGCAGCATGCATCACAGGGGGACTGTATCAGGCTGTCGCTCGCGTCTACGGCAAGCGAGATATCTGGCGCTGCAGCACACAAGCCGCTCGATGAGAAGCTCTCAGCAAGCTCTAACATCCGTATCGTCTCTCTGGCCATCAAGTCACGGTGTCCTCAGTCGACAAAACCCTCTTTACTTCATCCCAAGCATCACATCAAGCCCTTCCTCGTCCATAGGGCAGGTGCATTCGTTGGACTCGCATTCCTCGTCGCTGCGGCTGGGGTGGCTAGACCGTCAGATCATTTGATGCAGAGGCCCCTTTCTGCTCTCATACGTACCATAGGCCCTCGTCCACGCAGCAGTACGCTCTGGCACCCCCAAAGAAGCAGAGGTAAAGGAGCAACAAGGCGGAAACTTGAGCCTCATGGCGTGCGATGAAGATGATGGCCAGGATGGCAAGGAACGTGCAACCGTCGGAGCAACAAGCACTACCTGAATGCAGCCATGAGCGGCAGATCATCGCGACTGATGGCTTGATCAAGCCGGTTTTCGCTGCCCCACCGCCACACGGCCCGTGGCTTGCGGGTAGTTGTGACGGGCGGTTTACAGAACTCTGCCGACAGGCGCTGAACGAGTATGACACTTCAGGCGATGCTTCGTGGGTAAATCAGTCGAGCAAGGGAGCAAATCCTCTGCGTCGAGAGATGATGGACGGCATTGTCACGTCGTTCAGTATCGAGCTGTGATGATCGAGTAGCTATAGTGCGGTACGCAGCAAGAAGCTTGCGGCTAGCCTCCGTAAGCAGGTGACGCTCAGCAGGCCAAGAAAGGTCCATTCCCGCTCGATTCCTTTTCTTCAGGTCAGCCGTCCCCCACAAAATCACCAGCAGCCTTCCCTCTGGGCCAAAAAGCTAGCGTGTGCCGATGCGGACGTCTTGCTGCCTATCTCCTTCTTGAGGAGCTTTTCCAGCTCAGCGGGGCAGGTACACTGGTCTGCCGCCGCACAGACGGCATTGGTCGTGCTGAGAAGGGACCGTCTACCGTCAGCATCGCGTTGAAACGAGTCAGCGAAGATGGACGGACGCACCAACGAGCCGCGTTGCAACAGCACATCGCCTTGGAAAGGGTGAAGAGAGAGATCAGAGTAACGGACAGGAGCAGGAAGTTCAAGCTCTTCATAACGGCGAGGCTGTTGGTGCAGCGAGGTGAGTGTTGGAGGTGAAGGAAAGTAGAATGGGGCGAGTTGATGGCCTTTCGTATCTTTCACTCGCCTTCCGTGCCCCACGACCCTCGAGCGGCTGCGGATGAATACGGCGGCTCGCCCCGGCATCGCAACGCCAAGGAAGATACGACCGACGTGGGAAGTCACGAGCGGGCCGAGCCGCTATTGTTTGGTGCTCCAACATGAGGGACGAGCGGCGCGTGCAGCAGGAGGCTGAGAATCCTCACCTGAGACGCGATCGATTTCGAGGTGGTCGAGGCACAATCGGGAGATGGGCTCCCTCTCTCGGCCGCTTGTGTCTGATGTCTCTATCTGCGCTGCGTGAATTGACGGCTTCAAAGAGCCGTCTCTGCACGACCCCTCCCTTTCCTCCACGGCAACCACCCCTTTACACCTCCCTTCTCCCTTCGCGGCGACTCAGATTGCGACTTCCCTTCCACCTCGCCCCGCTTGCTCTGCTCATCCTCGATCATGACCGCGTCCAATGACTCGTGAATGCGCACCATAGGGCCCAATGAGCTCGAACCGTACTCCTCCGCACCTGTCTCCGCAAGCTCGTCCACGGACCTCGAAGCGTCCATACCAGCCCTGCGTCGTTTCGCTACGGAGCTCTGAGTGCTCGCGCCCCTGCTCCTGCTGAACTCGAGGGAAAAGTCCGAAGCCACTCTACGCGCCCCTCGTGCCGAGCTTGGTGGTAGTGACGCTGCGTGTCTCGACTCGCTTGTCTCTGGTCCGTCTGCGGTGGAAGGCGGAGAGAGGCTGAACCCGCCTCGCTGGTTGAGGAGACGCCAGGCTGCTAAGCTCTTTGCGGGAGGGAGAGACATGCTTGGGCGTGGCGAGGGGAGGGGGGCGGGGAGCTGGCTTGTCTGGTCATCGTCCGCGTCGGCATCCGCGTCGTGAGAAAGGGAAGCATGAGGAAGAGAGGAGAAATCCCGTTGCCAACTATGAGAGGTTGCACGTACGGGAGAGGTGGAGATTTGAGGTGGCGTAGACAGCGCTCGTGGAGAGAGAGGTGCTGGGTGGAGTGGTGGATATGGTTGAGGAGACGCGACGCGAAAGGCGCGTTGGATCGTTGCGGTCGGGATTGAGGAGCAAGAGTGTTCGCTACCGTCGCTGTCGTGTATCGTGGCAATGCTTGGTGTGCGGTGGGTCGACGCACGGGCTGCAGGGAGTACGACCTCCAGCGACTCTTGTGAGCGCGACAGTCTGCCTTCACCACTGGCACGGCCTCGAAATGCTTCAAAAAGGCTTCCAACGATTGCGCTGCCACTTCGTCGTAGAGTACGAGGTTGATCTTGGTGCGTTGTCTTTGGAGGAGGGAAAGGAACGAGCCCGAGTACACGCTCAAACTTGGGTGCGCGGAGGAGACGAAGCTGATCGAGAGAAGTAGAAGATGCGTCCGTATCGCTTGGCGGAGGGCGTGACTCAATGCCGTCCTGCTGAAAACCCTCCCGCCGCGTCATTGGCGTCTCTGGCCGTTTCCAGAAACGGGAATCGGCGTCGTCTTGCACTGGCACCCGCAGCCGTGCTTGCGACTGTGGCTGGATCCGCGTTCCCACCGAAATCGGCGCTAGCTCTGGTGCTGGCTTTGGCGCTGTTGCTTCTTCTGACGATGCTGAGGCTGCTCCTGCTGCTGACTCCCTGCTCGGCCCGAGGGGCAGCTTCTGTGTTAGCGCGCTGCTCGTATCGTCTCCATCCTTGGCGTGGCCCGCGTGCGGGAAGGCTAGACTTTCCTGGATACCATGGTGGTCCTCCTCGAGGATCTGCCTCGCCATTCCCCAAGCCTGCGGAGCGAGAACCTCCATCTCCGTGGATGCGGAACCACTCACCCTTACCGTGCGGTTGCCTGACGTCGAGGGTCGGCGGGACATTGTTGCGATCGGAAGAGGAGGGCGGTCCGTGTCACCTGCGGCAAAAGAGCGCTTGCGCGAGGAGCCATCAGCCGTAGAGGGACGCTGGATGTGATGCGCGGTTGGGTTGAGGGGCGATGGATTCCAGGGCGCCGACCTGCGTGCCGTAGGTGAAACGAGCGTAGGTTGCGGCGCCGCGTCGATCGACGCTCGTGCCTTTAAGCTGAGCCTGCTAATCGGCGTCGCTGAGTGCTCCGGCGGCGTATCGAGCGAGGGACGCCCCTTCCAGCTCAACCTGCGAGTCGGCGTCGAGGTCGCGCCCATGACGGCAGCCATTGCCGACGTCGGCGTGCGTTGCGGGCTACTCTCCTGGACGGGCGAGCTTGGGAGACGCAAGAAGACGTTCATGACCGTGTCGTGACTGGTGGCCCTTCGCTCTGCATCGCAGCGAAGGTGCTGCGGGATCGACGAGAGTGTGACGGTGCGCGGCCTCTCTTGCGCGTGGGCAGAGGAGGTACGACTCGGGTCCGCCGGACCGTGATGTTGGGCGAGGGGCAAGAGTGAGCTCTTCCTGTAGTGTAAGCCTTGGAAGGGCGTGCGGGCGCTGTGCGGTGGGGAGTCGACGGACGAGCTGCGAGGACGGTGCGGATGCAGGCGGTCAGATGTGGTGAGCACGGTGCGCTGGCGAGAAGAGTGAGTGAGAGTGGGAAGAAGTGAGTGAGAGTGGAAAGAAGTGAATAGATATTGAAGAGTTGAGAAGGTAAGAGAGAGGAGACGGCGAAGCGAGGAGAAACGGGCGACATGCTAAGCTCCGCGTGAAGAGACGACGACATTCTGAGCTCCGCGTGAAGATGTGATGTTGATGTGAATGGCTCACTATGCTCTCTGGCCCTGTCGTCCCTGCTGGTGGTGTTGGTGCTGGTGTTGATCCTGCCCCTGCTGAATACCCGCAAGCACAGCCTGGTCTTTGGCCGTCAGCTCTCCCGGATTCTCCCTCGCCCTCGCACGTTGCATCCTCGCTCTGCTCGTAGGGGAAGGCGGGCGCGGCGGCGGATTCATGCGTTGCGCTTCCTTCAGGGACATCGTCGGGTTGTTGTAAGACGAGATGACCGGGACTGTTTGCAGGGGGCGAGGAACAAAAGTCAGTACCGGGAGCGCGCAGGTCAGGCTGCCATCTCGCGCACGCGCACTCACAGCTGTGATCGCGCCCAATCGTCGCCTTCATCAAGCCCTTCATCCACTCGCGCACAAGCAACGCATCATCGCTCGAAAAGTAGTGCGGCTTCTCCGTCTCGTGCAGGATCTTGAACCCGTACTTGCCCGGGTTGGTATTCTCGTCCGCAATCACCTTGTACCCCTTCATGCTGACGTAGCCTTTAATTTTGGGCGCCGAGGGATCGCGCAGGATGACGAGATCGCTGCCCTTCAAGGCGAGGTAGCGCGGCTTCCAGACATTGTAGCGTTCTCCCTTTTTGCGCATCCAGCCCTCGAGATCGACGGGACGGATGCGCGACATTACAGGGCCATTCGCGTCGGCTACGGGCGCAGGCGTCGATGCGGCTCCATCTTCTGTACCCACGGCTGCGGCGTACCCTCCCAGCGCAGGGCCCATCCTCGTCGCGCTCCCACTGCCGTTGCTGGCCTGCGACGTGCGATTCCTGCGCGCCGTGTCGCCCATGGAATCGTACGTCGGGCTCGTGGTAGGCAGCGAAATCTGGTCCTTGAATCCTCCCCCTTGCTGCGGCATCTGGCTGCCTCTGTTGGCGAGTCGGTTAAAACCGAGCTTGGAAAAGGTGCCTCCGCTCTTGAGTGAGGTGGGCGCGTCGTCATGGCTGTTGGACCCGCGCGAGGGTGGCGAAGTAGGAGCGGCCTTGCGTCCACGGCCTGGACCGAACGAAGAGAAGAACGAGGCGCGATCCGCTGAACCGCTCGGCTTGAGGTTGGAGAGGTTGCTACTGTGCTCGCGCTTGCGTGGCGATGCGGGCGGAGGACCCGCTGAGCTAGTCGAGGGTGCTCGTCGGTTGAGCAGCGCTTCGTCTGCGAGTTGCGAAAGCGATTTGCCGCTCGTCGCGCCGCCCGTCGCGCCGCCCGTCGCGCCACCGTCCTTTGAAGACGAGGTGGAGACGCGGTTGTCGTTGACATTCGCGCGAGGTTCCTCGTCGATTGGGTGCGTGATGATCGTCCCACGATCGTAGCTGACCTCGCGCTGAGCTGCAGCCGTGTCGATGGACGCCGGCCGAGCTCCCAATCCCGTTGCAGCTCCGGCCCCAACGCCAGCCGCAGCCGCAGCCATACCGGAAGCCGCCGCCGCAGGCTGAGCGTCCATGCTGCTCTGGCTGAAGTCTCGCGACGCCGAGTTCATGCTGGGCGACTGAAGACCCTGTGCGGGTGCGGACGCGGACGCGGGCACGCCCTTCAACTCCTTGATCGCGTTCGCCACTTGGAAGCGCTTCCCAAATGCCACGATGTCAATCTCCTTTAGAATGTTGACGTCCATCTCCAACAGCACATCCCCACTGATCTCGTGCTCGGCAAACTTGCTCACCACGCTCGACTCGTCCCAGCCACGAGAGCGTGCCCACTCTACCACTTGGTCTACGCTCCAGTCGCGTGGGTCTCCCGGAGGCGGCGGTGGACGAGCTGAAGCGGTTGATGCTGTGCGTGATGCGCCGAGCGCGGGAGGTCCACCTGGCATCATCGACGCCTCGCCCGTGCTCTTGGGTGTGTCTAATCCGCCGGCTGCTGATGTAGGGGCGGTCGTCGTGCCAGTGATCGATGATGCGTCTGCTTGCGAGGACGAGGCGTGCCTGCGCGTGTTGCTGTCGACGGATTGCTGGTCGGCAGGGCCCTCGGCACGTTGTGAGAGGCCCAGAGCTGCTGCGCCTGTACCAATGGCTCCGAGTGTAGCGGCGCCGACCGCAGCAGCAGCGCCGGATACGCCCGAGGATGCTGCGCGCTCTTGCTTGTTGGCTACCGCGTCGTGGTCTGTAGTCGATCCAGGAATGGGTGAAAGTCCCGTGGCCGGCACGTCATCGAGCTCATCCTTGGCCCCTTGCCCGTTGCCCTGGGCTGGTGTGACCTGTACAGGCGGTGTAGAAGAGGAGCCCGCACCCAGCAACGGCGAGCGATGCGCCTGCCCCGCATACTCGTCCAGGCCCGCCGCACTGCCCGCGGCGCTCCCCTCAGAATCGCTCTCATCGCTCATGTCCACGCCCGAAATTGGCGCAACCTTGGGCCCTTCATCGGGCACATCCCCTCGTGCGACAGCCTCGTGCCTCTCTGCCTCCTTTTGCAGCAACATCTCCCTCTGCCTCGCCTCTTCCTCCTCAAAGATGCGCTGAGCCTGAGCCTTCATGCGTGCTTGCTCCTCGCGCTCGCGGTCTGCTTCTGATGCGGCATTGGCTTTGGCCTTTGCGGCAAGGGCGGCTCGCGCACCACCTTGGGCCTGATATTGTGATACGTCTCCCTCGGCGCTCTCTGCGTCATCGCCCTCGTCGTCGGTACGCTGGGATTGGAAGGATCGGCGAGCAGGGCCGCCTTGTCCTTGCGCACCGCCTCCCTGCAGTTCGTCCAGTGCTTGATCGAGGTCTGCCATGGTGGACTTCATGGTGCCAGTGCCGGGAGTGGTTCCACTGGCTGGTCCACCTGCGCTCAAGGCGAGGGCTTTGGCATTCATTGCGAGGTCTTTGTCGAGGGTGGTATAGGAGAAGGGGAACAGTCCCGTCTCACCCGCTTCATTTGTGCCCTGAGCGAGCAAGGATGTAGCAATGTCAGCCACATGCGCTCAAACAATCACGCGATGTTCTCGCCTCACCTGCCACCATCCATCCCCGTAGGCATCATCCTTTTCTACGACTCGAATCGTCTCTCCCACTTTGAAGGACACCTCGTCGGTGTTCTCTGCAACGAACTCGTGCAGACCATATACGCGGTCCTGCTCCATCGCGAGCGTCGTGCGGCGTGGGTCGATGGGGTGATGATGATGATGATGATGATGAGGTGGTGAGGAAGCGCAGTTGTAATTGCAGCTGCTCTCTCGTATCGACGTCGCAGGCTGGCCCGCTTCCCGCCGCCGCCTTGCTGGGTGGGTGCTGCTGCTGCTGCTGCTGCTGGGCGGAGCGGGTAATTGCCAATTTGGGTCGACCAGGGCACGAGACGAGTCTGTCGTTGGGGCGAAGCGGGTGAGCGAGTGCGTGCGTGTGTGGGCCACGAGGGCATCTCGAGTCGAGGGAGAGCGGAAACGGCACCCGCGATGAAATGGACGGACCAGGCAATTTCGCGCGACGACTCCACTCTTGAGAACGGCGAGACAGACGCAACACTTTGATGCCTCGATCCTCAACGCCGCCTGCCTGCCAAGGCTGCATATAGCCTCGTCATGCCAGTCTCGTCGTCTTCTGCGCTCCATGTCAGTCTGTCCCTGCATACCTCCGAGTCATCCTCGCCATACATCCCACCACGCAGTCAATGGCCCATTGCAGGACAAGACGACGACGACGACGACGATGACGCATGGGGCTCAGCATCGACGTCGTCTAAGTCGAGATGGCTCACAGCAATGGCAGCCTGGCACGGCAGCCGCTCAGCCGCGCGAGTAGCAGTCGCTACAGCAGATGGCAGCTGTTGGCTCTTCTCTCAGTCAGACAACGCTGCTACTCCTCCTCGCCGCGCGCAAGGTCGCCCTCCGTCACCAACCCCCTCGATAGCCAGCACGCGCAGCCATCGCGAATCTCACCCGCCGCCCTTTGCTGGCTTTCATCACCACAGCAATGCGCCACCGGAGCCCGTCGTCAGTCCAACCTCGCCCACATCGACCAACCTCGCATCCACATCGGCATGGAAGCCCACGTCCCCCGATGCACGCCAACAGCAAGGCTTTGATGCCCTCGAGAGCAGGCTCGAATCGCAATACCACTCTGGAGCCGGGCATGGCTCAGCGCCTAGTAATCGCGACTCGGTAGTAGGCAGCTTCATGGAAACGCTCGGTCTCAGCAAGCATGCGCCTCACCATCACAACCATCATGGCAGCCACCACGGCAGCCACGCCTCGCCATCGCCATCGCGAAGGGAGTCGAAAGCTGCCACGCCATCAGAGACATCCAGAGCCCCTTCGCGAGCAGCTGCGGGCACGCAAGCATCTTCAAGCAGACGTGCATCACACACCCGCTCGTCCGCCATTGCAGGCCCCTCAACCGCAGCCTCTACCCTCCTCTCACTCTCTGTGCCAGCGGGCGATGGCAGTCACGAGTCTGGCAGGATGTCTCGCTCAGTCTCTAGGTCCAGTCGCAGGGAACAAGAGCCGCAATATGAGCCGCCAAGCCCGCCAGCTCCGACTCCTCTTCGAAGCGTCAAAGCCTACGCTCGCCTCACGGCCAGTAGCGCAGACACGTCTCCCATCGTCGCGATGGTCACTTGCAGTCTGGCGAGCGCGGAGTCACCAGACACGCTCGTCTTGCTGCATCGACGCGGCTGGATGACGGCAATATCGATCGAAGACGGGACAGTCCTGGGCGATCTGGACTTGGCGTCAGTCTCTGCGCCCGTAGAAAACAAGGACAAGGCCGCGCCGCCTGCTTCCCTGTCAGCCAGCAGCGGCGGCGGAGGCCTCGTAGCTTCGACACTGGCCGCCCTTCGCTCCCACAGCAATTCGCCAGCCCCTGCTGCTGCCAAGTCGCACCTCTCAGCGCCCGTACAGCCAGGAAGTCGACCAGGGTCTGCTCTTCTACGACGCGCATTAACCAACGACGCACCACCGCTCGAGCAAGCCGCGCAGGAGAAGCGAAAGCAACGAGCCGTTTCCTCTCTCGCGTCTATGCACCTCGTAGCCAGCTTAGACGGCGTAACGCTGCTAGCCTGTTTTGACGCTGCGGAGAAACGGCTCCTCTTCATTGCGCTGCGACCTGCTGCGGGGGGTGCTGCGAGCTTGAGCGTCATTGAGGTAGCCGATCTCCACGGATGTAGTCGAGAGCGTTGTCCGTCTTTTGCGGTGGAGGGCGATGCAGTCAAGGTTGCGCATGTGAATGAGGAGAAAGAGAGTGTGACGGTGCACCGCTTTCAGGTGACGATGGCGGCAGGGAATGCTACGGTCGACAAGGCTGGTTTTGCCAAGCTCACAATACCAGAGGATGCTGGTGGGCAAGTGCAGCGATGCAGTCTGCTCACCGCGGGTACGCTTCTGGGTCACGCGGCGGGAGAACGGCTCGTGCTGCTCAGCTCCGCGGCCTGCGATAGTTTGGGGGTGGTCAAGAGCATTCACGTCCCGGAGCTGCAAGATTTTGAAGTCATCTCTCCATCCTACGCCCTTGCTCGCACCAAGACTACCACTAAGCTCATCAGCATCGACGCCGACAGCCTCACGCTACTCAACGACGTTCCAGGGATCGACGTCGCAGCTCACTCCGGCCAGCTGCTCCTTTCGGCCTCAGCAGCGCCGGAGTGTCTCACGCTACAATCCCTCCTCGACTCGCGCGATCTCTACGCTTCGTCTCCAGTGCAGCCTGCAATCAGCGCCCTTTTGCCACTCAGCATGGAGCGCATTCTCGCCCTCACGTCCACGGGCCACCTCACGCTAGCAACCCTCAACGACCTCCTCGCCAATCGTCTCCCCACACCCAACCAGCCACCCTCCACCTCCGCTGCCCACCCCGCGGCTCGCGCAACGATGCTCCGCCAGGTCACAAACCCACGCAATTCCTCCACCAAGCACATCCTCGCGGCCTTCTCCACCGGCGCAGTAGCCTTCTGGGATCTCGCAACGCTACGACTCCAAGCGGAATGGTCCCTCTTCACTGCGCCCGTCCTAGACGGCCTCTGCGTCGTTTTTGGGCAAGAGGACAACACCTTGCGCCTTCACGGCTGCCTCGCCCTTGCAAGCACAGACGGTACGGTGGCCATTCTAGCGCTCGACGGCCTGAAGCTCCTCTACCTTCTCCCTGGGCGAGGAGAAGAAGCTCCACTCGACTGGCTCGCCGTGCGCGCAGACGAACTCATGCTAGTCTATCGCGATGGCAGAGCGCGCGTGTGGGACGTGGCCACGCAGGAGCTACGCCGCAGCATGGGCTTGGATCAGGCGGAGGGTATGCTCAGCGATGGCAGGGGCAGCTGGAGTCGGTACGATGTTGGAGTAGAGCGAGAGGTGGCTCAGTCGGGCGTGCTGTCCGCCGTCTCCCCTAGTGTCGCGTGCGATACGCCGCTCATGGGGGCGAACCTGAAGAAGGGAATCGACGCGGCTAGCAAAGCTGCGGGGGCGCACGAGGGGATGGCGAAACCAAAGGCGGTCAGGCCAGGCAGCGCTACGTCGACGTCTGGCGCGTCACGCGTGCAGAGCATCTTGCGCCCATTGATGGCAGCGCTCTGGCCAAGTGGCATCGACGACGAGATGGATCAGGCGATTGCAAGTCTTTTTGAACCGGCTCTGGACCTCGGTACCGCCATGAAGCTCGGCTCGGCCTCATCATCCACGCAGCCAGGGTCGCTGCGCCGCCACTACCACTCGACGACCTCTTCGCTCAAGGCTAGCTCGTCAACGAACGCCAGCCGCTTCCTAGCCCTCACAGCAATGCTCAAGGTGCTCGCTCGTAGCAAGGCAGGGACAAATGCCGATCGCTGCATATCCTGGCTCAGCACGTCCGCTCCTCGCACCTCGCCCCTGAACCCCGCTCTCCTCGCGCTACACCTCGTCGATCCTACGCCAGAGATCCGCTCCGCAGCAGAAGAGCTCCTCGAAGCGCGCATCGCCATGATGAGCGCAGAAGAAGTCGACACGCTCGTCGTCTCGTGGCGCAGCCTGCTCCCCACCGCACACTCCTCGTCACCTCGCGCGGCGCAATCACTCTCCCTCCTCGGCTTCCTCTGTCTCAAACGCTACGCACTCGTCGATCCGGCGCTACTCCGCGACGTGGCCGAGGCCGTCTTCCACTCTCTCAGCAGCGCCCACTCTCCGCAAGCGCTCCGTCTCCCTGCTCTCTGGCTGTGCGTGCAAGGCTTTTCAGTCTGGCAGAACTACGTCGATGCCATGGCGCTGCTACGGTCCCTTTTTACGCTAGCCATCGACACGCACGACGACGTCACTGCATCACAGGCAGCAAAGGACGCCGTGATTGCCATCGCAGAGGAGCATACGCCGCTCTTTATGACGACGCTCAATCTCGACTTGCTCGCGCTCAGTGGCGGAGACGGACACGCGCCTTCCTCGTCAACGGCGGCCAACGGCGTCAGGACTATGCAGCTTCTCTCTTTCCTCGTCTCTCTGCGGCCAAGCCTCCTCGCCCCTTCGCTCCCACGCATCTCGGAGGCGGTGGTTAAGTCTCTCGATCCCACAACGAGCAGCAGCAGCAACGCAGGCTCGTCGTCCTCGCCCAAGCCCAATGCCCCCGCCCTTCCCGGCCCCTCGACAACGCAGCGCGACCTTCTCCTCCCGTCGGCGACCCACCTCATCTCCACTCTCGTCCGCGCGTACCGCACGCTCGCCTTCCACGGCTCCACGCAGCGTCTCGCCGTGGGCACTCACGAGGGAGCAATTGTCATGTACGAGCTGCGCACTGCCACGCGACTCTTTGTGCTCGAGGGTGGTCACGGCTCACAGGCACACGGTCATGCTCATCACTCGACGCAGAGGGGACCGTTGACATTGCTCAGCTTCTCGCCGGACGGACGCAGATTGGTCAGCCTGTCTCTCACGGAGGGCAAAGCGCTGGCGTGGAAGGTTGGCTCTTCTCTCGCGTCCTGGCTGCTCAGACCAGGCGGGGTGCCACGGCAGGGAGGAGGGAGCGGCGTGGGCGGTGGTGGCAAGCAGCAGCAGCCGGGCGCCGAGCCTGCGTACAAGGTCTGGCGATTCACGCCGCGCAGTGGTGAGGACGATGAGGCGCTGCGCTGCGAGTGGGTTGGGGAGAAGAGGTGCGAGATTGAAGTGGGCGCGGACGGACACAAGAGGGAGAGAACGCTCTTTGATGTCGAGTAGAAGGCGCGAGACTGTAATTGTAAAATATCGAGCACAGCAGGCAGGGCTATAGCGTAGCGTAGACGCGGGCAGATCAGGTGTCAAGCTGAGACTTGGAGACGGGGCGAGGGAGTAGACGCGTGCCGTGTGACAGCAGCCGACGCGAGCGAGGCGGACTCTGATGCTAGGCTGGCCTGCCGCTCTACGGTACTGCGCAAAATTCATCGGTGAGTCACATCCCTCTCTGGCGCGCTCGACGGGAGCTAACTGCTCATGGCGCCTTTCGCACAACACGCCCCCCTCCATCTTTCCGAACGACCACCTGCAGCGCCGCACGAGAGATGCGTCAGCACCCGTCCGGTCCTCGCACTCTGGACTACTCACGACGTCAGAGGCTGCACCATTGGTGAAATGCGCCATTGCCCGAGTAGCAATGGCCCTTCTCCGTAATGGAGTCGCAGCCAGTGCAATCGCCCTCCGTCGTCCTGCAGGCGCGCCCAGAAGCGAGCACGCTCTTCCATCCCAAGGTGAACGCCGGCAAGGTGAAGAGGCTGGCATTCGTGGGGGGGAAAGACTTGATGATCTTTGAACAGCCTGCATCTGCGCAGGCGTAGCCGAGTATCTGCTGACCCTCGACCATAGCGGCGAAGAGGAGCAGCATGAGCGCAGGGAGCTTATTGAGGTGGGCGAGCATCTTTGGCAGGCGTGTGGGGGAGAGGACGGTAGTCGCGGAGGAGTGGCCTTTATGTAGCTTCGCACATCGGGCGATCGCGACGGTCGTCGCCCGAACGGAGCAAGCGGCCCGACGGTTGAGAAGTGAGGAAGATAGGATGGCTGCATTCTCACGGCCCGTATCCGGCCGGCCCGCCAAGGATCGATCGTCAGCCGTCTCCCACACGGAGATCGCGCACGGACATTGCCAGCCACAAAGAGAAAGACAGATGGTCACGAGAAGGAACAAGCCATTCGAGGATGCGGCGGTGCCGCTGCAGAGCAAGCTTGGCAACCTGCTGCCTAGAACGTCGCGGCACGGCGCACGAGGTCAACACCATCTCTCCGGCTCTTCGGCGACACGACTCACTGTGCCAGCGATCCTACAAGTCGCACCAGCGCTGGTAGGGTCCGCCATTGAAGCACTTGTTGGCGGCATCGACTCCATCACAGTCTGTACATTTGCCGCCGCCCTTCGACTCGCGGCAAACTTTTCCCCCCGGTTCTTTGCTGAAGTACGCCGTGGCGCCACCCATGCCTTGGGCGCCCATGTTGGCGGGAATGGCTTTTGTGCGAGTCTTACATGCAGCATCACTGCACGTATACCCGAGTATTTCATCCGCTCCCTTGGAGGACGGGGCCAGGACGAGGAAGAGGGTGAGCAGGATAGCGAGGTAGGTGCGCGCGAGCATGCTTGGCTTGTTGGTAACCAGGGCGGTCCAAGTGGAAGTGTGCTTTGGTCAACAGGCAAAATGCAGGTGACCGCTGGAGGGGCTCAGATAGTATCATTCAAGGGTCAAGGGCTTGATCGTGGGAGGGGACTGTAACATTTGACGCCTACAGCTGGCCAGCGATGGGTGAGGTGCGGGCGGGCCGATGGTGAGAACCCAAGCGAGGAACCCCGCAACCAGCGCTGCGCGAATCGCGAGAGAGGGCACGTCGCTCCACGATCGGAGCAGTGACATCGAGCTGGCGCAGCAAGGGAGCTGCCGGAGCGACTGGGAAGGGCGGTGTAAGCCCCGTGTCTCGGTCTACCGTAGGCTCTTACAGCTACTCACTCAGTCAAGGGCAAACCTTCTGGTAGGGGCCCTTTTGAAAGCACTGCTCAAGGATTCCTGCTCCGCTGCCCAGCGTAAGGGCAAAGCGGCTGATCAATACCGTGGCCCTCGTCCGAAAACGCCAAAGGCTCCTAACCGTAGCAACGCGACTCAAGAGGCGCAGTGCAGGGGCCACGCCCGACGCTCATAACGTGGTCGCGTTCCGCCACGCGGAAAACATCGCGGCTCGCTTCAGCTCAGCAGCGTTATCGCCGATTTAAGCGTACCATAGTGCCAGACTCGCTTCAGCGAGCAGCTGCTGCTGCTCTGGAGCATGGCCTACGACCATCACTCTGGCGATCGATGAGTACGCACTGCGGCTCAGAGCGATGTCACTGCTGCGGATCGTCTCTCAACTCGATCTCGCTGCGCATCGCGCTTGCGAGCGATTTGCGCATTCTGTGATCAATCGCCATTATACCAGCGATGACGAGGCGAGATCCATCGCGCTGATCTGCACCGCTCATCCGGGACAAGTCAGGAAGAGAGCGAAACTTGACGTCAGGAAACGCCGCACATCATAAAACGGCGCATCGAGCCTCGCTCGTCCTTTACCTTGCTCACTCCTCGCCACCCACGCTCATTATGAAGCTGCTCAACCTATCCTTTCGCTGCGCTGGCTCGCTGGTGATCAACGTCTTGCTGACAGTCTTTACTGCGAACCTGTGCAGCCCAGCTCAGGCAGCTGTGGCCATCAAGAAAGATCTTTGCTTCGACCACACCAGCCCCTTTGCTCGCAACACTATCCCCTTTGTCAGCCGCAACAACGGCGTGGGCAAGAATTTCGCCTCTTACATTCACCTCCGCAAGTCGATGGAGTCCGTGGTCTCGCGCGGGGTAGGCAAGATGGCTCGCCGAGGCATGGCGAAGAGGACGGAGGTCTTGGCAGAGGTGATGGATGAAGTCAACGACCCGGCCCACCACGCGGTTGGGCTCGAAGTCGCTCTGTAAGAGCTCATCGCCGAGCGTCCATCGAAGCAGGCTTCGACGAGGGCAACACACAACGATCGCACTGTGTGCTACGCTGTAGATACGTCACCCACACCGCACGCATATCCCGATCCGCCTAAATGGTATCGATCTGCGCCTGCGATGCTCGTAGGTAATGCGACAATCTCGCCGTAGCGGGCGATCCGTGCCGAAAGATGTGCCCTGTGCCCTCGATGATCTTGCTGAGGCAACGGCCTGAGCGCTCCAGCACCTTTCTCTTCAACACAAACTCTTCTCTGGCAAGCTCGCAACACAGCCATGAAGCTGAAACTGGTCTCATTCGTGCTGCTCGCCTTCCTCGCCGCCTTGTCTTTCCCTCTGGCTCAAGGTATCGGTTCCAATCCACCTCCCAAGCGCTGTTGCCCGATCAATGGCCGCTGGTCAGTGGCTTGCGCACCTTTGCTTGATATCAATGAGTCGCTGATGACGTCCTCTCTCGACCCCGCACAGCGTGGCCAACCCAAGCTGCGGCGCAAACAATGCATGCCAATGCACCCTCGGCGAGGACGACGAGCTGGTCGCGGCCAGTCTGTCCCTCAAGAGGAGCGCAGACGCTTTATCGACGCCGCAGCGACGCACGTTGAAGTCGTCGGCCTCCGCCTACGCCACGCTGATAGCAAAAAGTGTTGCTCTGTCTGGCGTCAAACAGGATGGCGGCGAAACTCTTGTTGTGCAGAGAGGGGCTGTAGTGAGCGCCAAGACAGGCTCAACTCCCTAGGAGTAATGAAGAGCCAGTGCGGTGGAAGGGAAAGGCAAATTAAGCCAGTACATTGCTCCTCTCCCATTGCGACATGTACACGGTGCGTCGCTGTAGATTTCTTCTTCGATCGAGCCCTGCTCGCTACCAGCAGTACACGCGCAATGCTCCTTGGTCCGATCTCTGAAAACATGCTTTGCATTCGATCACTGCTACACGTCGCCCTCTCTTCTCTCCTGCGCTCCCTCTGCTTCCTCCTCTGCATCGTTCCGCAGCCCCGTCGTCATCTCGAGAGGCTTCTTCATCTCGTGCATCAGTCTCTCCTCGCGCTTCCACGCCATGTCTGCCACAGTCGCGGGGAAGCCAGAATGGGAGGGTTGGTGGGGCAGTCCGGCGCCGACGTGTTGTGACGGTGGCGTCGTGAGGGTCTCGGACGCGGATGCCGAGCCAGAGGCAGACGTTGCGCTCGACACCGCGCTGGGCATACCAGGTCGCTGGAAGTTGAAGCCGTTGATGCTCCTCGTTCCCGGCGTGGCGACCATGGCTGCGATGCCCGTTGCACTGTCGGACGTGTGCTGAAATGGAGTCGCTGCGTCGTACTGGAGGCTGCTCGTGTCTGCGCCGGCGTAGCTGTTGTTCTCTCCACCCATGGCCGCCGCAGTCGCCGCCGCTGCTTCTTCGTCTGCTGCCGCTGCGTCCAGTTGCTCGACAAGATTGCGGATCCAGGGATGCTGACGCATCTCTGCGGCCGAGGGGCGATCGTACGGGTCGATGATGAGGCATTGCCGGATGAAATCGATGCCCATCTCGCTGAGCTGGCCGGGCTCTGGCAGGGGAGGATGTTGCTGCGCCATGCCGATGTGGAACATGATGGCCCATCTGCGTGTGCGTGGGGAGACGCACGGTCAGCTCTCTGCTCTCGCCATTCGCCCCTTCGCTGCTCGTCACACTCACTCGTTGTCGAGCTGACTCCATGGCCTTCTGCCCGTTGCAAACTCGAGCACAACGCAGCCGAGCGACCAAACATCCATAGCACCACGACGCCCACGCGACTCGCCCTTGATGACCTCGGGTGACATGTACATGGGCGTTCCCTGCAGAGACTGGACTGCGGCGGCTCCTACCGGCTTGCCATCCGGCCCCACCATGCCCGCCATGTTGTTTCCCGGCGTGATGCCCGAGCGACGAGAGCGTTGAACGGTGCGTGAGTTCTTGGCAAGGACCTTGGCTGCGCCAAAGTCGACGAATTTGATGACCTGTGCGGGCGCGAGGAGAGATGTCAGATGCGGACGCAGTTGCCCTACGCACGCGTGCACGCACCCCCATGTGATCCAGCAGAATGTTATCCGGCTTGATGTCACGGTGAACGACGCCCTGCGAGTGAAGGTAGACTAGACCGTCGAGCATCTGCAGCGTGTACACCTGAATCACCGCCTCGTCTTCTATCCGACCATGCTCGAGGAGTTGAGCGAGAGAGCCGCCCTGGCAGTACTCCTCAAAGATGTAGACCTTGTCGCGATGCACCTCGATGCCGTAGTACTCGACAATGTTTGGGTGGGACAGCATCTCCATGACGTTCATCTCGTCCTTGATCTGCTTGTAGAGTGTCGGCGTGTTGGAGATGTCCTGGAAGCGAATCTCCTTGACTGCCATAAGCCCGCCGGAGTCGAGGTTGACAGCGAGATACACCTGCGCGCGGCGATAAAGGGGTCAATAGGCGTCACGTCACAGCGGGTCTCTGCTCGCACGCACCGTTCCAAACGTCCCGCCGCCGATGAAGCGACCCTGCTGCCATCGAATCTGGATGCGCGAGGATGAGGAAGCCAAGAACTGCAAACCGCGATCCTCCAGTCGAGTGTCGTCAAGCACGCGCCCTATCAAGCGCTGCTCTGCCTCGATGCTCTGGCGCGCTTCATCCCACTCGATCATCTTCTGCACCCAACGCTCCTCCATCGCCTCTGTCCCGCTGTCCATGCGCTGCAGCTGCGGTTGCTGTTGGTCTGCGCCTTGAATGAGACGTGAAGCAGCAGCGTGTCGCTCAGCCGCATCTGCAGACTCGGGCAGCAGGTTGTTGCCCGCCTCCATTGCCTTTGATCGTTCAGCCTTTTCGCGCTCGAGCCGCTCCTGCTCTGCTTTGGCGTTGGCTACACTCGATCTTGCGCCGAGGATGTCGAAGTGGGAGATCAAGAGGGCGACGCAGCTGGCTACTTTGGCTCGCATCATTGCAAAGTCGTCTTCGCTGAGGTGGAAGATGTTCTCCTGCGTGCGCGACGAGGGCGAAGGTCAGTATGCGTTGAGATCGCGCGTTGAGATCGCGCCGCGGTGGGGCCTTACATTCCGCGTCACCTGCACCGCATTCTCGAGCGCTGCCACCGCCCACTTGAACGTCTTTCGATCCGTGTGCACGCAGTCATCGCAGATGAAGCCGACCCAGTTGATGGCGAGGCGGGCGAGCGCCAACGTCATGTAGCCTCGCAGTCGATTCGACTCGATGAAGGGCAGGGAGCGGAAGCCTTGCTCTGCCGCCATACTGAAGCAATTCTGGATGAGCTCTTCGCTCTCCGTCGCACTCTTGCTGCGGCGACCCTGCGGATCTGATTCACTCGACTCGTTGCGGCGGTGGCGTCGGCGAAGGTTGCGCTGCACGCCAGAGACGGCGTTGAGGACGGTATTCGAGAGCATGTACACCTGCGGGCCGGAGTGGGAGGGTCAGCTACTGCAAAAAACCCCTTCAAGCACGCGCGACGCGCGCCGCGCCCACTCACCCCCTTGTTGATGTTACGCAGCTCTGCCTGCACGTCGCTCATGTGCGCCATGTGCTCGTTGATGACGTCGAGGGGGAAGACAGTCGCACTAGAGTCGCCGCCTCGCTTGAACTCATTCTGGAACCGCTCCTTGCACAGCTGCAGCCTCTCCTTGGGCCCGTCAGCGATCAGGCGCAGCCGCCTGTCGTTGAGGCTGACCTCGACATACTCGATCTTGTACGGCATCACTCGCCCCGTCCACATGAAAGGGTCGCGCGGGGTGAGGAGCAGCAGGTAGTGAGAACTCTCCTCTTCCGATGCGGCAGAGCCGGCTGCTGCGGGCGTCGTCGGCTTGACAGTCGATGCAGCTTCCGTTTCTTCGACGGCGACGGTAGTCGTGCCTGCCCCTCGCTCCTCATCTTCGGCCAGAGCGCCACCAGCGCCGCCGCTCGGCCGACTGTTTGAATGCGGCGCAATCTTGCGCACGCACTTGCGCAACAGGTCCTCGATGATCTCGGGCTTGTCGTGCAGCGTCGGCTCGGCGACGATGTAGATGCCGCGCTCTTCGTACACCTCCGTGTAAACGAGAAAGTAATCGGCGTTGATCAACGTCTGCATGAATGCGTTGAGGTCCATCGTCGCATCGCCCTGGTCGCCGCTCGCCTCTCCATTGGCGTCCGGCGGTCGCAAAGTCGCCAGATCGTACTCCGCCGCATTGTCGAGTCGATTACGAATGTCTCGCGCGAAGCCTAGTAGCTTGCGGCTGCGGATGCGCACATTGTCGAAGACGGCGTGAATCCACTTGATCTTCTCCGGTAGCGTGAGGTGGACGGTTCCCTTTGTCAAGCCACCAGCAAGGGAAGGCCCACGCCCACTGAGCGCGACACCGTCTCCACCTCCCGCAGCAGCATTGGTGCCCGCCCCTTCACCCTGAGCCGTCGCGGCAGCTTTGCCCCTCCCCTTGGTGGCACTCGGCGCGCTCAGCTCGCGCTCAAAGTAGGTGACGATACGCGCAAACAACTTGTTGACGATGCGCGTGATGCTCTTGGCCACAATGACATCGCCGCCCTCGATGACCTCGACGGCCTGGCTGAGGAATTGCCACTCATTGTCCAAGATCTCCGTCTCCTTGAAGAAGACGCTGCCCTTGAGCTTGAACGAGATGAAGCGAAAGAAGAAGCGCAGAGCATCTCGCAGGATCTCGTCGTAGCTCGCGTCGATGACGGGCGGCATGTCCCAGCCTCGTGACGGGTCGGGCACCATGGTCGACAAGTAGGTGCGCTTGGTGCGGATGGCTACGTCTAGGACGGCTCGCAAGTCATCCGTGAGCGAGTCGACGATGAGCAGGCTGGGTTCCTTGATCTTGCCGGCATAGTCGAGGCGAAGACGCAGCGCTCCCTCGACCAGCCGCATCGGAAACGATATGAGCTGTACGAGCTCCGGAGCGAAAGACGGCAGCTTCATTCGCAAGAACGACTCGTGGTGCGTCTTGATGGTATCGCGCGCCTTGCACACGAGCTGATTGAGCGAGCCCAGCGTGCGCTTCTCGAACGTATGCTGTAGTGATCCCTCCTTAAGGACACGCTCGACGAAGGTCATGCCTTCGAGCTCGCCATTGGCAGCCGCGATGAGGGCGTTGGGGTCTGCCTGATCTCGCGCAGACGACTTGAGTGGCACGTCGATGCGCAACGTCTCTGATCCAGTCCACTCTTTGAGAATGCGCAATCGCAGTTCGAGGAGCGTTGCGGTGTTGTACCACGCATAGAGGGCCTCGAGTTTGCCTTGTACTGCCTTGTCTCCCCACTCGGGCACGACCTCAATTGCCTTGGCCAGAGAAGGGAACTGCGACTCGGACTCGTCGACTCGTTGCAGTAGGTTGCCGACTTCTTCGAGCACTCGCTGCTTCTCATCTTGCGACTCGGCGTGGTCCTGACCTTGGACTAAGGGCTCGTCTGCACCAACGCGCTGCTGCTGCTCCTCATCTGAGCGACAATTCTTGATGGCTTCGATGACGCTGCGTAGAAGCTCTGGCCATCCCCTCTTGAGCCTCTTCTCCTCCGCATCGACTGCTCCGCGCAGATGACCTCGACCACGAAGACTGGCGCGAATGTCGAGCCAGCGGCGATACATGAGCTCGCGTTTCGATACGTCTGGCGCATCGACGCTCGTGATACGCTTCGTCTCGCTGCGCAACACTTCGGACGCCAAGACGGACTCGAGCATCGTCTGCCACTCTAATCGTTGACGAGGATCTGCTTCTACCTCCTCTGTGCCCGGTGACCCTTCCATTGGTGTCTCGAGTGCCGGTGGATAGGCTAGGCCAGGTGTCTGCATTGCTGCGCTGTACCCTGCAGCGGGCCCTCTTTGATGCCATGGTGCCCTGCGTGGGCCATTGAGCGATGGTCCCCCTGGATCTCTTGCTGCATAGCGAGCGTTTCTTGCATGCCTGGCTCCCTCGTCCTCGCCCTCGCCCTCGCCCTCGTCCCCATCCTCGTGCGCGCTACCACGCCTCTCTTCTTCTGCCTCTGACCAATCGTCGTCGGTCTGTGAAGAGTACTCGCCTTGCTCTTGGATGGCCTCTTCATCATCTTCGTCTTCGGTCGTGGATTCTGCGAGTACATTGGCATCTAGGCGCTCGAGGGAAGAGGAGCTTCCTCTAGGTCTGCGCCTACTGAGTCTTCGCCTTGCTGATCTGCGATGAGGTGGCAAGATTGCGTCGAGTTCATCGCCGTCTTCTTCTTCGTCGCTCGTGGGAGTCAACGGGGCTCTCTGCCCTGCTACAGACGAGCTGGGCCCCATGCTAGCCTGTGCAGCTCTTGCTTCGACATCGCTATCGTCGTCTGCCCAGAAGTCTTCCTGCTGAAGCATCTCGCGCCTCTTCCTCTCCTCTGCATCCATTTTGCGTTTTGCGCTAGATCCCAAGTCATTGGGAACAGCATGCGCATTCGCATCTGCTGCTCGATCTTCAGGTACCGACTTGAAGGAGACGCCTCTGCTCGAAGTGGAGCGCGATGATGAAATGTGTCGAAGTGAAGAGGAAGAGCGAGGGACAGGGCGAGGTCCCGTTCGTGTTCCTGCGCCTGCTGCTGGAGTGCGTGATGATGTGTTGCCGCCTGATTGCTGTCGTTGAGGGCTGGATACGCCCGTCAAGACGGATGGTCCAGGTCGAGGAGGATGGCGAGGAGGAGACGAAGCGCCGCCGCCACCATCGCTTTCTTGTCGCTGATCTTCTTGCTCCTCCTGAATGTCGTCCGGCCGTGAAGATGGGGAGAACATGGCGACGACGAGAGTGCCCCACAGCTGCAAAGCGGTTCCTCGAGGCAATGGAAATGAACGTCGTGACGTTGTTCGAGGTGGCAGCTCCTCGTCTCTCCGTGTCCCGCCCGTCCCGCGGCGGACAGTCTCGTCTGGAGGGAGATGCGCGTGGAGGAAAGGGTGGGTGGGCGGGGGGAGCGGCAGATGATTGCTTGCCCTGAATACCATTGCCCCCACTTGACTTGATCCACCCGATACGTAAGGCGTGCGCGCCGCGTCATGCTGCGATCATCATACAGGCTCTGAGCGAGTGAGACAGAGAGACGTGCGCCATTGGCACACCTCCTGCTAGGCATGCCCTGGCCCCCTTCACGGGCCGCCATCTCCTCGGCCTGTGGAACCGCCTCCTTCATCGTATGGCTCTTTGCCCAATCACCTCAGATCCTCACAAACTACCAGCGCGGATCCGTAGATGGTCTCTCTCTCGTATTTTTGGGCCAATGGATGGGCGGGGACGTCACCAATCTGCTGGGGTGCATCCTCACCGATCAGCTTACCTTTCAGAAGTTGACGGCAGCTTGGTTCTGCCTCGTAGACGTCGTATTGATGGCTCAGTACATTGTATATTCACGTAGAGATGCAAAGAGGCGGAGACAGCAGCAGCACCACCAGCAGCAACAGCATCATCACACCCGCCACTCTCACTCTCGCTCACGCTCCGTCTTGGTACGGACCTCTTCAACAATGGACGGCGTATACTCAGCCCTCTTCTCGCCTTCCCATCACGCCCATCATCGCCATGAATCCCGTCGCCGTCACTCTACAAAGAGGAGCAAGCAACGGACAAGGACAAACACGCTCGATATGTCAGCTAGCGTAGACTTGGCACCCGCCTCTTCGCCCGTCCTACGCCCCTTTGTCCGCTCACAATCAGAGCAGCGCGTTACCCTTGATGGTACGACGACCTCGCATCACCATCGAGATCGAGGGAGACATCACAATGGAGATCACGCTTCGCGCAGTCGATCGGCCCTCACTGAAGAGGCAAGGAAAGTCGCACTCCTCCTCGCCGGCCAGATGAGGCATGCCAAGGGCAGCAGCCATCACGGCAATGATGACGAGCAAGACGACTACTTTGTTCGCCGTCACCCGCATCACGGCGACACGAGTCGACAGTCCAGTCGAAGAAACAGTCGTCCTTCGAGCCGCAATTCTAGTAGAAGCAACAGCAGGAACACCAGCGCAGCATCCTCACCCAGATTAGGCTACACCAGCTCACGACAGCACAGCAACTCGAGCGCCCATCGACATTTGGCTCGTCTCGACCCGATGCCACGAATTGACTCGGTCAATGAAGCACCCAGAGCCACAATCGACGCAGCTCTCATTCACGGCCGTCTCGACGACGAAGATGCCGCGAACAGTGCCATCACTATTCGACCAGAGGCATCACCGCCAACCTCGCGCAGAAGGAAGGCAGCATGGGGCATCTTGGGCGCTTTAGGTCTGGGAAGCTTGGCTGGCATCGGTAGCAGTGCCGCAGATACATTGTCCACCCTCTTGTCAGGAACTTCTCCAGCGCCACCACCCGACGCCCCTGCTCCCTCGCTGCTCCTCCTCGGCCGCCTCCTCTCGTGGCTGTGCACGCTCCTCTACCTCACCTCACGTCTTCCGCAGATATACGAGAACCACACGCGCCGATCTGTCGCAGGCCTCTCCATCCTCCTCTTCATCAGCGCATTCGTTGGAAACGCCCTTTACGCAATCAGCATCCTTACAAGCCCGCTCATGGATGCCGAGGACGATGGAGGAGACTATTTCCGCGAATGTATGCCCTTTCTCTTGGGAAGCGCCGGTACACTCGTCTTTGATGCGGTGATCCTGGGCCAGTGGATGGCGTGGGGAGGTAAAGAGGGCGAGATCAATCGCAACGCTGGAACAAGTAGCGACGAAGAGACTGGCTCGATATCTAGTCATTCTCATCATCACCAGCGGGGCAGGCCGCCACGCAAGCATTACGGGGCCGTGCCGACGAATAGCAGCGGCGTCAATGAGCAGGTACAGGTAGACACAGTGGCGGCATCATGAGACGAGTCTGGCATTACAAGGAGGCAGTATCGCCGTGGTATCGTGTGAATCGTATAATCTCATCGCGTACATCTCTTCACGTCCAGCCGTTGGCGTGACTGACGTCGACGTCTGGCTGGTCAAGGAAGCTGCCGAACGCATCATCGGGCGAAGACGATGGCAGAAAATCGCTATAGCTCAGCGGCGTCAACGTGCTCCCGCTGTCGCCGCTACCGCCGCCTCCGCCGAGGAAGGACGCCAGAATCGAATCGAGGTCAAAGTTGTCGAGAGAAGGCGGGTCCGTCGATGCGACAGCAGGCTGCGCTGATGGCTCGGATGATACAAAGTCGAGCGGTCCTCCATCCAGCACGCCCTTCGCTGCGGTAGACTCGATCGTCGTACTGCCTGGCATACCCGCAAACTTTTCGCGGGACTGCAGCAGCCTCTGGACAAAGGGTGGTACGGGGATGCTCTCCACTTCGACACCATCACGCCTCGCAAGCGCAGCCCGACGCAACGCCCACGTAGGCTTGATGATGTTGGCAAAGAGGGAGAAGCGCTTCAACGGCAGCATATTGAAGGGTCCCTTGCCCTCTCCCCCAGCGCCCGTAGCTAAAAGGCAGCATTTCCTTCCTCGAATTCCCGTCGGACCTTCAGCCACCTGCTCACTCTCGCTGATGGATTCGTTGAAGGACCACATTTCCCAACAGCGCTCAATGGCGTCCCAGCAGTCGTCGACTACCTTTCCCAAGGTGTGCTCGCGGAGGAGGGAGAAGGAGTAGAGAAAGGCCAGAAAGGGCATCTGCTGAATCCAGTACCATTCGAAAAAGGTGGCGCCAAGTGCGGGAGAGGAGCGCATCTCGGTGAAGAGGCGAATCTGATCTGAGCAGAGGGTGAGGATGTGCAGACCTCGAGCTTCACGGTCGGCGCCATTCTTCTGTGTGGCCTGTTGCTTGTTGAGCTGCTGGTTGTGGGCTATCTCTGCTTGCAATCTCATCTTCGACAGGTAAAACCTTGCGCAGCATCTTGCCAGCTTGGTGAGGACGTGCACGTCATCGCAGTGTCGCAGGAGCTTTTGCTCGAGGGTGCGCTCAAGGCCATCGATGGCTTCGCGCTTGTTCTGCAGCGACAGATTCGCAACGCTCGAGAGCTCCGTCATGCCCAAGTGTAACCCTTGTCGCTGCCGTAGGTTGGCGAGGAAGCTGGCAAGCTCACAGCGCACGGCGAAAAGAAATGACTCTGAACCAGGTGAACCAGGCGTGTGCGGCGTGCTGCTCGATTCGCCCGCTTGTACTAGATCCGCATCGTTGCAAGCTCGGGGCAGCTTGGCATTCCAATTGCTTGCTAGGACGCCGCAGCCTGCGCCGCTCTTCTCTACTGCTCGCGCGTCAAGCATGAGAACTTCCCACCACACTCGACGGCGCATCTCTTGCTCCAATGGGCTCTTGGCTTGGCGCAATTCGCGATGTATGTGGATCCGGCGAGCTGTGCGGTCGGCAATGGCGGTAAAGGAGGCAAAGGTGCGTGGGTCGATGAAGCCTGTGCGTGCGAGAGCGGTGTAGGTTCAGTTGACTCGGCGCGGTGTAGGTTCAGTTGACTCGGCAGGGCATTGGCTCCTCTCGCACGCCACTCACGCTGAAGAGGAATCAGATAGAGGATGTAGGCCTGCAATACGCCCAGATCTGAAGACTTGAAGACGCCAGCCCTTGCCAAGGCCGTCTGCGTTGACATGGCGAGGTGGAGAAGGGTGGTCTGGACGTCTGTCTCGCTGCCAAAGACTGCGCCGAGTTCCGCGCCCGACAACGTGAATGCGGCGATAAAGTAGATGGCAAAGAGGAGAGCGTGATCCGTTGGCGTTGCCTTAGCCTCGAGATTATCACCGATGGCAAAGATCCTCTCCTGCATCGTCGGGGCGTGGAGAATCTTGCAGACTGGATGGACGCGCTCGGTGTAGGTGCTCCAGAGCTTGAAGATTTGGAATGTTGAAGGATGGTTGAGCGGCTGACCAGGCGCGTGGTCCTTGAAGGCGAGCAGAGAGTGTGCATCATCTTCAAACGCTTCGTCAAAGTGTCGCAGGATGGCTTGACGATTTGGTAAGTCGCGAGGTAGGGAGAAGAGGGAGCACGACGATGCCGGCGCGAGAGTCTTCCCGCCTTGGATCCCATTCGGTGCGCCCTCGCCCTGCACAATTGACTGCACGTTGTCAAACTCCTCGAGGGCATCAGGATGAGAAGCGTCGAGGGTCGTCGATTCTGCCGACTCGTCGACGCTGGCCGCTCGCTTGACAGCTTCTGCGTCGATGCCGTTGGCCGTCAGGGCAGCCTCATACGCCTTGATGGTAGCTAGGAGCGTAGCCTCTGGAAACCGTTTCTTGCGCGGCTTCTTGACTGCTCCCTCGTCGTCGCCAAATTGCTCACAGGGCTGTCCTTTGGCCGCGCAATGTGAGCAAGGCTGCTTGCGATCGCATCTCCTTTTTGACCTCGAACAAGCTTTGCAAGCGTGTGCGTGCGAAGACGAAGACGACGTCGTGGGCAAGTCGTCTGGATCAAGGCGACGCTTGCCATTGGCCTCCGACATCGTCGTCGATGGTCTTGTTGGACAGAAGTGAAACGTCTTTCAAAGCGGGCTGAGCGCAAATGAGTCTGAGCGGACCAGCGTCGACGTGCATGCCAATCGGGCCAAAGATCGGGAGGCGCAGCTTTTCCCACGGAGCGGCACGACGCGCACGCATCGGTATACAATTGCGAATCCGCAGAGTGGTGGTGGTACATCTCGGCAGACGTACTTTCACTCCAGCGCCCTCAGCTCGCCCTCAATCTTGCCCAGCTTGTCTTCGTACGACTGCACCTTGCCCTGCTCCCCCTCAAGCTTCTTTGCCAAACTGTCCATCCTCGCCGTCACGCCCCTCCCACCAAGCTTCGTCAACTCCACCAACTCCTTGAGCTCACCTTCCAGCGCCCTCACGCCGGCCTCGCTCTTCGCCAGGCCAGCCTTGGCATCGAGGTAGTCCTGCGTCAGCCTAAAGGTAGCATCGTCGCGCACCAGCTCGCGCATCGCCTCGAGAAGTACAGGCCTGCCTGCTCGAATGACGCTCGGCCTCCCATCTTTATGGCGCACCGAGATGAGCTCAGCCTCTTCCATGGCTCGCAATTTGCCCTCGTCGCCCTTGAACGCTCCGCCGTCCGAGTGCAACATCCAGTGGTACGGAACGCTGCCGTCCTGACTCTGCGTGAGGATACGGATGACGGCCCATGCGGTCCCGCGACTCCACGGCAGGGTAGATGACTCGGTGGCATCGTCGCCGAAGAAGGACTTGCGCAGCTCCACGATGGATCGTGAGATGATCTCAGAGACGGCCGTCGGGACGTCTTGCCCGAGCGAAACCTTTTGCAGCACGTTCTCGAGGTCAGTCAGGCGTCCACCCAGCTTGTCTACCCACTCGGCGTCTGCTTCTGGCAGGGCCTCGCGAGCCTTTTCCCCGATCGAAGGGTCATTGGACTGGTTGAGCCGACTCCTCACAAAGTCTCTCGCACGACTCTGCTCTGCGTCGGCGAGAACGACATTGTTGGCAGGTGAAGAGTCTGGCAGAGCGCGACCAATCTCCTTTGACATGGCGACGGGGTTGTCCGAGACAAAGATGACGTGAGCGGTGCCGGAGGAGACAAGGGAGGAAGCCCAAGAGACGAGGACCGAGTAGAGGAGGGGCGAGCGCAACGACTTGAGGTGGAAGTTGTCGATGATTACGACGGGCGCTTGAGCGTGCGTGGCGTCGCGCTGAGAATTGACGGGAGGTGAAGCGACGTTGGCAATGGCATCCTTCTCGCCCTGTCCTCCTGCAAGCACCTGCGCATCTGACTGCACCATAGCGCCGCCGCCAGGCTGAGTGGCCGGCACGGCAGCGCTCTGCTTCTGCACGACCTTCTCTCTGCGCTTCCTCTCAGCCTCTGCCTTGCGAGCGTCCTTGCTGCCTGCGCTGGCCAAGGCTCGAGTAGTGACTTCGAGTACCTGACCAAGCTGCTCCTCCACTGGACGCGAGAAGCCAGCCTTGCTGCCAATGAGGCCAGCAGCGGCCAAATCAATCATGGAGTTCAGCGAGTTGAGCCAGCCAAACACGGGCCAGTATCCCGTCTCCGAAGCCAAGGCAGAGACGAGGGCTGTCTCCAGCTTGCCGCCTCCATCGCCGCTGGTACCAGGCTTGGATGAAGATGACGAAGACGATCCACCGACGGCCTTGGCAATTGAAGCGCAGTCGATGGTGAGCCTGGGCGAGCGAGGCAAGGCGAGGAGGCTCAAAAGGTCAGCAGAGGGTACAACAGAGCTCTTGTACACCCACACCGCGCTCACGTCTTTGCTCCCTTTGGAACGGCGGCCTCGAGGAGCTTGTGCTTGCCGCTCCCACGAGGGCCAGCAATGGTAATGAAGGTCTCTGGCTTCTCCCGGAGCCAGCCTTGGATCGATTCCCGCGCCGCCCTACGCTCGAACCAATCGACGGCATCTCCTCGGTCATCGGAGTCATCGCTCTCAATGAGGAGGCAAATCGTATTGCGCCTCAGCCAGTTGTAGAAGCGGTAGTTGCCGCTGCAAGTACGCGCATAGCAGCGGAGGGATCGGTCAGCTTTGTGCGTCTCCACGTCATCTCTGAACGCACTCACAGCTCGAAAGTGTGGCTGAGCTTCGTCTCAATGAAGAATGCTCGCACTGGGTCGAAGATTGCGTATGTGAAGCCGCCCAAGAGGAAGGCAAGGACAGGAAGCACGATGCGTGGATGATTGGTGAGCCAGTCCCAGAACTGCTTCGCCCTCTCTTGTCCCGCATAATTGATGGTGAGCTTTGTGCCATCAGGCAGGACAAGCCCGTGAGCGCAGTTCCTCGCAGATGTAGCTGAGCGCATGCGAGAGAAGAGGACCATTGCCTCGCCAGCCTTCTTGTCGATAGACGCGATACGACCATATGGTCGCAATAGCCCCCACAAGGCTTCCTCTGAGAGATCTCCGCCAGACAGATTGACCTTGAGGCGCATCGCAGGGAATCGATTGAGATCCTCGAGCCATGGCTTGCCGCGAACGACGTGTACGCTTGGACGAGTGCCCCAGCTCAGCAATGCACGCTCGAGTAGGTTGTTGCTGCGTTTGAGTTCACTCTTGAGCTTCTCCTCGATGTGTAGCAGCGCCTCGTCTCGGGTCTCGTAGACGGGCGCAGCAGGAGGAGGAGCATGCGCGGGAGAATAGGTGAAGGAGAGGAATGCGCCGCCGTCCTTCAGCCTGGCGAGAGTAAGAAGCGCAGAGGAGTGTCAGCGAATGACGGAGGTCAATCAGGGCACACTCTTGCTGCCTCACCTCTCTTCTGCGCCAATGATCTGAAAGGAGTGAGGGACTTGAGACGATTCTGGCAGGCTGTTTCGCAATCGATCGAGCAGTACGGTGTGATTTGTGCGGACAAAGAGATGCCTGATGTCCCAGAAGCCAAGCTTGATGGGGAAGAGGGAGTCAAAGTAGAGGTAGCCGACTGGATTGGTGGATGTATGCGCCTGATTAGGCTCGAGATGGTCTGCCTCTGAAGGTGAGAGTGTCGCCGATGTCGACGTCGTAGAGAGGCGTGGCAGCGGGCGCAGGGCAGGAGCTCGAGGTAGATGGTGAGCTGTCAGTGGCCGCCGCTGCAACGACAGCAACGAGAGCTGGCGCTGGCGTAGCATGGCGAGGAGGAGGAGGACGCAGTCGTGGATCAAATGTCAAGCCCAAATCCATCGACGTCACTCTTTGTCCGCGGGCGGAGGACGAGCTGCACGGGCCACGCGATGTGACGATGAGAGAAGAGAGAGGAGATGGCAATCTAATTTGAGGCAACGAAGATGATGACAGCGCAGAGGTGGCGGCTAGCAGGAGCAAAGGAAGACGATGTTTGGTGATGAGCGAGGAGGTAATCTTGCCCTCAGTGTGAGGTCAGGGTGACAAAGGCTTGGACGCCAAGGACCATATGGGCGCCTCCTGTAAAGTAGGCACAGAGGAACGAGGTGACCTCGTAGAGACCGCCAGCCTTTGCGGTGACCATGACCCAGTACAGGGCGTACCAGCCGGCTAGGTAGACGGACAGTGCGCCAAGGCCAACGAGATGCACAATTGCGCGAGAGAGTGATGGGCGGCGGCGGTGTTGTTTGCTCTTGGCTGAGTTGGCGGACATCCCGTCTTGGCTTTGCGATGAGTAGAAGACGGTCACAGCATAGAGGGTGAGAGCCGTCGCGATGACGGAGCAGAGAACTGGCAGTGTGTAGAGGAGTGCAAGTCGAGTCTGTTGGACCAGGACAAGCGCCGACTTGAGCGCTAGCAGGGGTAGCGTCGTCGTCGTCGTCGTGATTGAGGACGCTGAGAGATTAGACGCCGCGGCGACGGGTACAGCAGGAGGAGCGCGTGGTACAGCGACAATGGGAGCGGACATCGCGGCGTAATGCAAAGTAGCAACGAGATGGTGTGGGTGACAAGGTGTGGTGAGTTGGTAAAGAAGAGATCACTCAGCGAGACCAGACGAAAGACGAGACAGTCTGGCCCCGCGCCTCACTTCTCTGACACGACGACGAAGGTGAGACATCTCAACCCATGGCTAGGCACGCAGGCGGCAGGGTCACAAAACGCGGCCCCGGAGCCACGATGACGGTCTTGCACGGCACACCCGACTGCTGATACTACCGCACGCTTACTATTCCCAAGTGTCTCTCTACGAACACGCTGCTCTACGCCAAACCTGCCTCCTTCATTGCCTTGAGCATCAGGTTGCCAATCTGGGCCGGAGAGTCGGCGACGATGGCACCAGCCTGCTGCAAGGCCTTGACCTTGTCCTCGCTTCCTCCCTTTCCTCCTGAGATGATGGCTCCGGCGTGCTGTCGTGGGGGCAAGATTCGGTCGTTTAGCTCGAGCGCATTCGTCACAGTGCCGTTTGATACTCACCCCCATGCGGCGGCCGGGCGGCGCAGTGCGGCCAGCGATGAAGGAGACGACGGGCTTGGGCTTGGAGCGGGTCTTGTTGTGCTTCTCGAGGTACTCGGCAGCTGCGCGCGAGAGGAGGAAAAGGAAGGGGTCAGCCTGATTGCCGGGCAGAACGGGACGATACGCGGCTCGCTCACCCTGCTCCTCCATGTCACCACCAATCTCTCCGATCAGCACGATACCCTCGCTGGCGTCGTCCTCGAGGAGGAGCTTGACGAGGTCGAGGGTCGTGGATCCCGGGTACGGGTCACCACCGATGCCCACACAGATGGACTGACCGAGGCCAACGTCGGTCGTCTGTGCGACTGCCTCGTAGGTGAGGGTTCCTGATCGCGAGACGATGCCTGCAAGCGTGGGGGTGAAGGCAAGTGAAGATGAGTCTACGCACACAAGCAATCGATATCGATGAGCTACTATCTGCACGACTACCCACCGATCTTGCCGGGAGTGTGAATGTGGCCAGGCATGATACCAATTTTGCAGCCTTGCGGGTTGATGACACCAGGGCAGTTGGGTCCTACCAACCTCGACTTGCTCTGAGCTCGGAGGGCGTGGGCGACCTGTGCGGGATGGGTGCGAGTAGGGGCAGAGTGAGTTCGCTGAGGATGAGATTGGGGCTTGCCCGGGCGGGCGCACCTTGATCTCGTCTGATTGCGGGATTCCCTCGGTGATGGCGACGATGAGGGGAACCTCTGCCTCGATGGCCTCAATGATGGCATCGGCAGCAGCAGGAGGAGGGACATAGATGACGGAAGCGTGGGGCTGCGTCTCCTTGACGGCATCACGGACGCTGCCAAAGACGGGAAGGCCAAGGTGCGTCTGTCCAGCCTTCTTTGGCGAGACTCCTCCTACCAGCTTGGTGCCGTATGCGAGAGATTGCTCGCAATGGAACGTCGCTGTGCCTCCGGTGAATCCTCTGCGCGAGATATGATGGAGTAGAAGTGAGAATTGGCTAGCATATACGCAGTAACTTTACCTCGCTGCACCGCTACGCACTGGCAGATGACCTTGGAGTCGCCCTTGATGAGGAGGTTCTTGAGCGTGTCCTCGTACGAAGATCGCAGGGCAGAGGCAGAAAAGGAGCGCGCAGCAGGGGCTTGCACCTGGGCTGTAAGCCTGGGGAGCGCCCTGAGTGATTGGCGAGCGAAGAGCATGGTGGTGTGGGGACGAAGCTGCTGTGAAATGCGAAGGATATAATCACTCTTTGTCCCCTCGTGTTCAATGTTGCTCTCCAGTCCACAGTCTTGGCCGCTTCGCTCCGTCCGAATGTGGGCTGGCCGCCCCGTACGGCTCCGAGGCGGGTAAGTCGAGTTGGGCGGGCGAGCGAGCAGGTCGGCGGGCGGACGGACGACGACGACGACGCACGGACGCCTCACGACGGTCAAGATGGCCGCGATGGCCGTGACAGAACAGAGGAATTTGCCAAGGACAGTTGGCAATGATGATGGCAGTGGGAAAGATGATGAGGGAGGGGAACGCCGCTCACCGGGTTGAATACCTGGTCTCAGCTCAATTGCATTGCTGCACCTCCCGCCATTGAAGCGCGTCGCCATGTCCTCTGCGATGCTTGTGGAGGCAGAGACCCTGGCCTAAGCAAGTACACACGGAAAGAAGTTGCAACTTTCGAGCTTCCCTTCCTCATCAGCGCCGCCTCGTACCGCTCACAACATGATCACTCACAAGGGACTCACAAAAGAGAACCAAGACGTCGACTGCACTGACCAGCGGGCCGTCGTTGCGGGAGGCACGCAGGGAATTGGGGCAGGGTGAGCGAGCCAGTCTGGACTGACGTTGAACTTGTTCTGACTCGCCTATCCTCCCTCGCCCCTCGTCCCAGCGTCGCCCTCCGCTTTGCACTCGCTGGAGCAGACGTGTGGATCATCGGACGAGGCGAGCAAAAGGCCCACGGCGTCCTCGACCAGCTCCGTCTCGCATCAGCAGAAGCTCATCGCAGGCGTGGCGTTCAGAATGGCAGCAGCGATCACCAATTCTTTCAGGCAGATCTTCGCCGCGTCGAAGACATCGAGCGAGTAGCCAGCGACATCAAGCGTCGCGCAGGCAATCGCGGCATCGACTACCTTGTTGAGACGCAGGGTGGACCTCCGAATGGCAGCATCGAGCCACCAGCGTCCTCGCGATCCCCTGAGCCTAGCTTTGCAGTCCAGGTGGCATCGCGATTTGGTCTGGCATACCTGCTGACGGCAGACAAAACGATCAAGAAAGGTGCGTGAGCGTGGGAGAGGTAGAGGTGCGATCTGACGGGCTGCCGTGCTGAGTTACGAATGCCACACTTCGCTTTTCGCCAGGTATCTGCATGGTCGCCGCACCTGCTAGCGGCGGATCAAAGCCGCTCGACACAGACGATCTCGATTTCCTCAAGGCCAAGGAGAAGGGCAAGGCATGGACTGGATACCTCGGCATTCCTGGCCAAGGTCAGCGCGAGTCGAGTGTCCTGGACTCGGTGTGCCAGACGTTGGCGGAGCGCAACCCTGACCTCGTCGTCGCTCACTTGTTTCCCGGTCTCATCGCGACGAATGCTCCCGCCAATCGCGGCTTTGCATGGCCATTCGTGCAGGCTTACAAGGTGGCTGGCTGGCTGGGTATCGCTGCTTCGCCGATGCCTGGGGGATATGCAGAAGTGCCCTTCTATCTCATGGCGGGCAAGGGCGGGGCTGCGTACTTGCGTCGTGGGGAGGCCAATCTGCTTGGCGCTGGCCTTCGTCGATGGGATCTGAGCTCCAATGTGCGCGATCCTGCGGTGAGAGACAAGGTGTGGACCAAGATGTCGTCGTACTTTCGGACGTGACGGCGTGTGATTCAATGATATTCAATGCCATGGCGAGGATCGTGCACGTGTGGAGGTGTTGGAGTCAATCCGTGTGGGCGGGCGCGGGGAGAGCGAGTGCGGACGGACCAGAAAGTGAGGCCGCGCAGCTTGGCATCGATTCATTCCACCTTACCATCTCTCATCGTCCAGCGATGGCAACGACTTCGACTGCGACGATACCGATAGCTCCTTCGCCTACGCCACCTCCTATCATAGGAGCGCCAGATGTAGACGATGCCAACTGCAGGCTCTTGGGCCCGTGTGAGTGTGCAGAGTGGCAAAGGGTCGGGGCCCGCCGACTGACCTCGCTCACTCGCCCACTCGCGCTCGCTCCCTCACACTCGCAGTCGCCCTCGTCGTTCAGGCACTTATGGGAATCCTCGTCGTGGGGACTCTCGTCTGGAAGAGGCAACGTGAACGACCACGCAGACCGTGGAAGATCTGGCTGCTTGACATCACAAAACAGATGCTCGGCCAGCTCTTCGTCCACACTCTCAACGTCTTGCTCTCCAACTTTGTGGCCAATGTCGGCGACGAGAATCCCTGCAGTCTGTATTTCCTCAACATTCTCGTCGACACTACCGCTGGCGTAGCCATCATCTACGCCACGCTGCGAGCGACGACGCACTTCCTGACGACCGTCATGGGCCTCAAGGGGTGTGTCTCTGGGCAGTACACGGATGGAACGAAGCGGGGGCGAGGCAAGGCATCGCGGCCACGCTTGTCGTACTGGTCAAAGCAGCTCGGCATGTACTTCTTTGCGCTGTTGTAAGTGCGGCAGTCCACGCAAGAGGTGTACACGTCTTGCTGGCTGACGCTTTTCCCCATCTGCCTGCGCACAGTATCATGAAGGTCATCGTCACCCTCCTCTTTGTCCTCTTTCCCTTCCTCTTTGCACTTGGACGCTGGCTCCTCGGCCTCTTCGGCGAGGCAAAGAACGTGCAGGTGCTCTTTGTCATGTGCATCTTTCCGCTCCTCATGAACACGATGCAGGTGAGGGCGCTGCGAGAGACGCGGACATTGCTGTTTCGCAAGCCGCGCGAGACGCGGACGTTGCTATTTTGCAAGCTGACACTCGACCATCGCCGTCCGCAGTTTTGGCTCGTTGATTCACTCCTACGACACGACCCAAATAAGAGCAGGTACGCCAATAGCACACCACGCGACCAACAGTCATCGTCGCCGCTACCACCACCAGCCGCGGACACGACGACGCATCTCATCGGCGACGAGAGTGAAGACGAGGAGGAGGGACCCGTGAACGAAGATGCGGCGCCGTACCGCTATCCGCCGCCTACGTCAAGCAATGAATCCAGTCGGCGGGGATCACCGCAGGCAGCGGCAGCGAGGGAAGATGACAAGAGGGACGCGACGAAGCGTTGAAGGGCAGCGTGGCGGTCATCATCACTACATACTGTGTGCAATACATGTCATGAACAACAAGCGGCAGAACAACCCGACAGTATTCGAAATTGCTCCGAGACGACCCTGCTCCGGCCTGTATGATCAACTGTCTGTTGACAAGAATCGCAGCGTCCACAGCCTGAGTGAGGCACACCCTGCCATCGTTGTCTATCGACAGCAAGGATGGGAAGTTGATACAACCTGGACTTTGAAGCAAGGCAGACTCCAAAAGATACGCTGTGCTCGCCGGTTCGCAGCTGCAAAGTTCAGCAATGTCGTATGGTATCGACAACGGAGTCGTGGAACCTCCTGCCATTGTTTGCGAGCTTGCTCAGCACACCAAGAGTCAGCAGGTGAGTTGCGAAGCTTGCCTGTATGGCTACACAGCAGTCGACTGGCACACAGCACAACGCCACTAGCAGTTAGGACTTCTTCCGTCGCGCTGTGCAACTTTCACGACCCGTCAATCTCATCAAACTGCCTTGGACAGCTAGCAAATTCATCGCGATATCCCTTGTATTACTCCTGATGCTGTTGGATACCTCTGAGCATGATCTTTGCAAATGTAGCATGCTTTTGTCGTTCCAAATTATGCTCAATTTGTTGTCCTTGCCATCAGAAATGCGCAAGTGCCCATCGAAGCTGCTCAACGCAACGGAAAGGTATCGCTGCGCATATCTTGCATTCGCGGCACAACGCGCGGAGCCTTCTACGCCTCATCTGAGGCGATTTGAAAGTTGTGAGGTGTACCACGATCTTGATTCCAAGATCTCGTGAAGCATGTGGTCATGCTCGCCTTCAAATTGTACCGCAAAAAGCAACAAGGTGGCCTACGCAGCACGTTTCGTCGATGAAACATTCACAAAGCAACTTTCGGTCATCGCGACAGATGTGGTGTTTTTGCTCGTGTCTTGCAAACAATTGCGACGTTCGCAGATGACTTTCCCACCGTTTCGCAAGATCATCTTTCACTCCTTCACTGCTGCGGCTACCTTCTCAACACCTCTCACGTCACAAGATACGAGTCAGCCGATGTGGAGTTCGCTGCGCGCGCGACCGGGGCGGCAAGATCCATTGCATTGGCGCACGTGCCCAGCTCTACGATAGAAAGCGGTCCAAGATTGTCGCCGCATCCGCTTCAGCCTCCTCGCTCTGCGCCTGTTGCTGAAGAAAGAGCGACAAAAGGTCGTCTGGCAGCGTTGTCACCGACGCCTCCTCAATGCCTGCTGCTTCCGTGCCCTTCGCGACCCTCACTCTCTCAATCGCCCCACGCAGCGCCTCAACGAATGCTGACGTCCCTTTCGCAGAGTCTACGGTCGCAATTGCCTTGCATATCCGCTCACATGCGGTCAGCAGTGCGTGATGTGTTGGGGGTGACCCCGCTACAGCCAGCGGCGATTGTGCGTCCCCCTGAAGATGCTGCCCGACGGCACCACACGTCCAGAGAGCATAGCTGCTGGGCAGGTTGCGACACATGACGGGCGAGCAGCGAAGGACGCCGATGCTCGCTGCCTGCTCACACACGTCAGCAACTTGAAGCAAACTTGTGAAGGCTGCGTCAGCGAAGAAACCGAGCGTAGGCGTGGTGTCCTCGTCCTCGCCTCGCAGACCGGCCTGGAAGCACGAATTGACGCACGAGAGTATCTGACCGTGGTAGACCATCTCGGCGTTGAGGCTGCGGAGGAGCTTCTGGAGCTGATACCCGTAAGGTCGAGCATCTCTACCCAGGCGCCAGTTGATCGGAAGCTCTGCGGGTGCGCGTGCGCAACTTGATGTCAGCTTGAAACGCTGTGCTAGGTCGACGACTTCGCTCCTCCGCTACTCACGCTGTCGAAAGCGAACGGGCTCTGGCAGCTGCGCGGAGGAGGAAGAGTCAGATCAAGCGCCCTCAGTGACCTGTGCTGTCACGCCCGCTCACCTCGCGCCACCACTGCTGCAATTCCTCCAACGCCCTCAGAGCCGGCTGCGCGGGAACGCCATGATTCTGTGATGGTAGCGAGACAAAAGTCGGCGCTATGCTGCGCGAAATGTCACACACTCGACGTAAGGCTGCCACAGCCAGGGCTTCATAGACGGGCTCGATCTCCCCTTCTGGTGAGATGCTCGAGGGAGGGCCCCCACTTTCGTCTTCGATGAAGCCGCCGTCGTACGTCGGCCGCCTTGTCAGGTCAAAGGAAACGTCGTGATTGTCTGCGTGAAACAAAGGTGCGCGACCTTTCGCGAGCGTGCGGCATCCATCCCACGCGTACAGCGAGCTGCGAGGGCGAGGCAAGGACAGCCGTCAGTCAGCTGCCAATCCTCCGCACCCTACTCGCGCACTCACGCAAAGGTCCTCGCTCGTTGCAAAGCCTCAGCATCGGTGAGCAGCTTCTCGCCGCGTCCACTGCGCCAGCGCGGTCCGTCTGGAGGCGCTCGAGGCTCCAACTTGGGCGCTCGATTAAGTTTGGTCTTGAAGACGAGCGAGGCCAAGAACTCGTCGGTGAGTGGTTTCCGCTCAAAGAGACCTTCATGGTCGTCTTCGGGCTCCCCGTCCTCCATGGCCAGCCATGACTAGCGGCGAGCGCGCATGAGGGCGTGAGTAGGCGAATTCACAGCCCTGCTCGTCTCAGACTCACCAGGATGTAACAGCTATTGACGAGATCGAGACACTCGCTATCGCTGAGCTCAGTCCAGGGCTGCTCCTTCAAGCGCTGGAGGAAGCGCTTCAGCAGGCGGTCTTGCAAGTCGAACTTGTCCACGCCGAGAGCGGCTGCTTCTTCCTCCATCATGGCCTGCGAGCGCGCGGCGTCAGTCATGCTTTTCATTCTCGCCGTCTCGCACCGCACTCACCGCGCCAGCAGCCGCTACAGCCAGGATCAGCAACTCGCTGACAGGCTCCACGCTCGACTGTAGGCCGTTCCACTGCGCAAAGAAGGATCGATAGCGCGCCGTGTAGCGATCACCTCGCACCCAGCCATTGAGCGCGCGTGACCACCGAAAGTAAGCAGCGCAGCATGTATCGAGCGTGCGTCGGTCGAGGCCGGGTATTCTGAATAGGCCTGCTGAGCTGCAGAAGCCAACGTGAGGAGGTGGCATCGAAGAGGAGGCCGGCACAGACCAGGCCATTGGGGAGGAGTGAGTTGCGCCCATTATAGAGGTCTCGCGCCGTGGTGACAAGACTTCGATGGACGCTGATGAGTTGGAGTACGCGGCGATCGAGGCAATGTCACTCGGCGGCGGCGGCGGCGGGTTTCCCTGAAGCTGCCGCAGCCTCTTCCCTTTCGCGTCCTTCGCCGGCTTTGTGGTCACGGTGCACGGCAGATTGTGGTCGAGACAGTTGGTGCAGGATACTTCGCCGACGTCACCCAATGCTTCGGTCCTAGGAGTGAATGCGCGATCAGTACGATGGCTCCTCTGCCTTCGCCTCCACGCGCGCAAACGCTCACTTTGCTCGCAGATCGCACTTGACCTTGCGATAATGGCAGGCGTCGCAGCTTGCTCGGCGCCGCTCCGGTCTCCGAGAAAGGTGCGAAGCCAGCCGGGCGTCCATGGACTGAATCGAAGAAGATGAGGCGTTCATCATTGTCGTCGCAAGATGAGCAACATTCAACGACGTCGGGACGCACCGCACAGGGCAAGTCTAATTGCGTTTCGACGCTGTCCCTGCATGCATGCATCTCGGCGCCGATTCGGAGGTGAACCAGAGTTGCGACGCCGGCGGCATGGGCAGGCGGCGCGTATCGCCGGCGACTTGAACAACGCCAGGGCGAGCCATCGCCGAATCGTCACCGAGGGCTGTGCGTGTGCGACGATGACGCTGATCGTCGTCAAGGCGGGTGCGAAGGCATATAAAAACGAGGAGGAGAGTGAGAGATTCCAGAAGAATAGCACACCTCAATCTCACGCCAGACTTTCAACCTGCTCGCCTCATTCACACGTACCTCTCTCTCAAGACACCTCTGTCACACGCAATGGCACCCGCGAGCATCGTCATCGACATCGTCTTCATCCCAGTCTATGCGCTGCTCTCGATAGGGTCCGTCGTCAATGCATGCAAGCATCGCCGCTCTGGCGGCTTCATTCAGCTACTCCTATTTGCACTTTTCCGCTTCGCCGGCACCATCCTACTCGTCTATGCCTACTACAGCAAGACGACGGACAAGAATGTGTACATTGCAGGCGGTCTCTTCACTGGTCTGGGTTATTCATTCCTGCTTGTCAGTACGTCGCACCAATACATCATCAAGCCGCACGTCTTCTCACAACTCGCCCATCACGCTCACGCCCTCGCAGACTGCCGTGCTTTCGCAGTTCCAACGTGCATCCTCCCAAAGCGGTGGCGGATCAGTGAAAGGCCGGGCAAGGCGACCGGTGAACCTCCTCCGAACCATCGCGACTGTCTCTCTCATCCTGCTCATCGTTGGCTACAGCAGCTATGACGGCTTTGCGCCGTCCGCAGACGGGTCAAGCCAGCCACTGCCCTCCACCGCCAAGGTTGGCAGCATCCTCTTCGTCGTCACGACGGTAGGAGAGGCAGCGCTACTGCTATACTCGTTCCTCAATGCTAGCTCGGAGCTCAATAATGGCGGAGATCACGAGGCGCGCTTGATCGTCAAGCTTCTTTTGGCCGCCCAGCCTTTCCTGCTAGTGCGTATCGTCTACTCCACGTACTTGGTCGTATCAGACCATCCCTTCTCTGGCAACGTAAGTGCCCTGGAACCGACCGACAGCAGATTCTGTGACAGGACACTTACTCGCCAAACCCACTCGCCCCACAGCCGTACGCCCGTCTCGTGTGCATCAACATCACAGAATGCATCGCTTCGGCCATCTTGATGGCACTCGGCTTCATCCTCTCGCGCGACATGTCGTCGAGCGACAAGGAGCAAGGCGAAGGCAAACGAGACATCGAGGAGCCGCCTCGCAGCGCCGTTGGGGAGCAGCCGGCAGCGGCTGACTCGTATCCACCCTCCTACAGAGCTCACCAGCCTTCGACGTGGAAGGAGAACAAGGCATGAGCACGTCCGAAACGAGAAGAGTGGCAGTCGGCCATCGAGCGGCTATCATGTAAATAGCGAGGGGTGGTAGAAGCTCGCGTGTTTCACAGAAGACACGAGGAGAATGCGATAGACAATCACGACCTCTCTACTGGCCCGCCGCCCTGACTGGCGTCGTTGACGCTCATTTTGGCTATCTCGACATCTAGCTCCTCGAGGTTGCGCCGCAGTGCAGCTGCGTCATTGAGCTTGCGTTCCTTTTGCGCTCGTTCGAGAAAGTGGGCGATTTGAGAGCGCTGCTCTTGCAGGACCGCGAGGTGAGGGGATGCCGAGGGTAATGATGCCGAGGCACCGCGCTTGTGCGCAGAGCCGTTGGGCTTGGAGGACTCAAGCTTGGGGAGCGATTGGAGTGGAAACATCTGCGTGCGATCGCGGCAAGGTCAGGATGGTGCCTACTGCGCTGTGCTTCAGTCGCCTCACATTAGCTTGCAGAAAAGCCCCCGCCCTCAGCCAGACATTTTCTTTCAATCTCTTGAGTCCAACATCGCTGCCGTAGGGCAGGTCGCGAATCTTTTTTGCCAGAGCATCGTACTTGGCAAAGTTTGCCAGCAGCGTCTTCCTTGCCCGCGCTGCGTCACGTTGCAGTTGCAGCTGGACCTTTGCATGATTGCCAGCTTGCGCCGCAGACGGTGCCTCGTCGACAATGGTTGAGGCGACGTCGCCGTTGGACTTTTGCATGCCCATAACCAGCTCTTGAAAGGCAGGCAGTGTCGTCTCGATCTCACGTTGAAGTACAGTCAGCTCGTCATAGAGGCGGACGTAGAGAGGTGGAGCCGCCTGCAGCCTTGTGTCAGCGCCGAGCAGTCACGCGGGACTAGCACCTCATTTTGCTCACCTCCTCATCCATGTACTGTCCTCGCAGCACAACTTGCCGACAGTCTCGACAGAGACGAAAACCTTCGGTCGTCGCTGCGCCCTCACCTTGCTGCTTGCTACGCTGCTGTTGCTTGAGCAGGAATGCTTCGAAGCTCTCCTCGTTGCCGGGCGCCTCAAGCTCCTTGATTGTGAGGTTCGCTCCTCCTGCATCGGCTGAGACTGTGGCCGCCGAAGCTGCCGCTGCCTCGTCTAGCACAACGATCCCAGAGCACTTTCCTCCAAAGACGGTAGCGTGCCGCCTATCTCCTTCATCTTTCTCATCTCCTGGAGCATGGCCACCTGCCGTCGCCCCAGCTAGCTCCGGACTCGCGCACACAACCCTGCCGCAAGCTCTGCAATGATGCTTCCTCCTGCCGACTCCAACGACCCTTCCCCTCGCTCCTGTACCTCCAAAGCTGCCCGAGCAGATGGGACATGCGTGCACTTGTTCGTCTGGCTGCCAGGGCACGAGAGCCTGCTCTGCCGCTCGAAGCGCCGAAGATTGCCGCAGAGTGGAGAGAAAGCGCGAGTGAGGTGCCAAGGTAGTGAAGAAGGGACTGGAGAAGAGGGAAGATGAGCTCGATGAAGAAGGGAGGGAGAGCGGTTCTTCTGATGGTGCTGCTGGTACTGATGCCGCGCCTCTCGCAAAGTCGGGGTAGTGTATGGCGAGGAGCTTGAAAGCGACCGATCGAGGAGAGAAAGTCAGAACAGAATCGATTATGATGAATCTTCTTCCTCGCGCGAGGCACGCACCTTTTCAACACGCCTTCGTATTCTCTCCTCGGTGCGATTGGCATCTTGGTCATCTCTACCATCCTGCGATGTCAGCTCTGCCACACCTTGCTTCTTCGTCTTGGATTTCCTACTCTGCGCATCTCTGGCTTTCGCCTTGGCTTCAACAAAGTCCATGAGCTGACTACGGGATACGCCTCGAGGTTGAAAGGTATGGCGAGGTGGCTGAAATTGGGTATATGCTGGCGTGCGTAGCTGAGATGATGAGGCTGGAGCTGGAGAGGGCGGTGCTGGTGATTGCGTGCGAGGTGACGCAGCATTGGAGCTGGTACTGGCTGCGCTGCTGGCGACTGCGCTGTTGTTGTCGCTGCCACCTCGACGTGGTTGTTCGCGCATTCTCAGTGCTTGTGAGGTCGATATGGCCTTGGTCGCGGGACGAAGCGACGAGTACGTGCCATTCGGAGGTGGCGATGCTATTCGACGAGGTAGATCAGATGACTGCCCTTCGCTTGTGGCCTTGAGAGGGGTTGGTGATGGTGGCCGTGATGTTGCAGCCTCGACGATTGGCTGAGCATGCTGGATGGGCGCAGGCGGGCGCGGCTGAGGATGCTGCTCCGTCTTTGTATGCAGTCTTCGAAGTGGCGGCGCTTCCGGCAGCTCGTTGCGTAGAGGCGAAGGTTCAATGACGGCTGCGCTGGGGCGCGCAAAAGACGATGGTGATGCGTTGGTAGATATGGTAGATCGGGCAAGAGGCCTGGATGACGATGAGGGCGATGGTGGACGTGGTGCTGACGGAGGTGGAGTCGTCGATGCTGTGGATCTCTGGCTATTGGTGCGGCGGTGAGACTGGTATGGAGTGTAAGAAAGGGGCCGTCGTGATGTTGGCGATGGCAATGCAGCATAGTCGTCTTGGCCCGATGCCATGTTATCGCACTGAGCTGCGTGGGATCGATGGAAACGAGGCCAAAAGGCAGCAGCAGCGCAGCACACGAGTGATGCACGGACGGACGGACGGAAGAGGGTCACAGTCGAGTCGATTTGAGTGGAGATCAACGAGACTGGCCCCCCGACTGAGCCGTCAGTCTCGCAACTCTTTGCCTCCTGACTACATCCTCACCCAACACAACGCCTAGCCATGGGAGCACTCCTCTCCATCCCATTCCTATCGGGCTCACTGCTCTCAGGCCTGGCGACGTCATGCTTGGGAGGGCTGGCCTTCTTTTGCACCTCGACGGCTGCCTCTGCCTTCTTCAAGTCGTGCAACTGCCAATCGTCGATTGCCACTCGCGTAGGTTTCGCCCTCATCTTCTGCCTCGACGCAGCATTAGCATGGCTCAGCTTAAATCGCTACATCATGGACAAGCTACAGTCGCTCACTTGGGGTTGGCTCAAGATGGACTGCGAGACCGATTCGAAGAGATGCTATGGTGTACTCGCCGTTCATCGAATCACTTTTGCACTCGCCCTCTTTCACCTCATCCTCGCAGCCTTGCTCGCTGGTGTACGCGACACAAAAACGCCAAGAGCTAGCATCCAAAATGGCTGGTGGGGCCCTAAACTCCTCGCCTGGCTGCTCCTCGTCGTCCTCTGCTTCTTTATCCCAAATGCCTTTTTTGCATTCTGGGCAAACTATCCAGCCTTGCTCCTCGCATCCATCTTCATCCTCGTCGGACTCGTCCTCCTCGTCGACTTTGCTCACTCTTGGAGCGAGACGTGCCTCGATAGATGGGAGGAGACCGACTCCAACTTTTGGAAGCTCACCCTCATTGGCAGCACCGCAGCTGGTTACCTCGCCGTCGTCGTAGCTACCACGCTTCTCTACATCTTCTTCACCGGCAGCGGCTGTGGCCTCAATGCCTCGCTCATCACCGTCAACTTGTTCTTCGTCATCGGCCTCACCGCCCTTTGCATCTCACCGGCGGTACAGGAAGCCAATCCTCGTTCTGGCTTGGCTCAGGCTAGCATGGTGGCCGCCTATTGCACTTACCTCGTCGCCTCAGCCCTCATGAACAGGGACGACGAGCAATGCAATCCCATCACCCGTGGACGAGGTGGAGGGCCAGCAAAGACGACGACCGTTGTACTCGGAGCCCTCTTTACTTTCCTTGCCATTGCCTATTCCACTAGCAGAGCAGCCACGCAATCGGGAAAGCTCGTTGGAAAGGGAGCCGGCAGGAAGACGGGTCCCATTGCTCTGGGCGATGTTGGCTCAGGGGCAGACGCCGAAGCTCAGACATCAGCCACGTCAGGCATCACAACGCAGCAGCCTACGCGCAAAGACTCGCTGCGCATACAAGCCCTAATGGCAGCCGTAGAGGCCGGAGCAATCCCCGCATCTGCCCTCGACGACGAAGATGATGATGATGACGACGATGACGCAGCAGCAGCCGCACCTCAAGATGACGAGCGCAACGGAACCGCCTACAACTACTCGCTCTTCCACATCGTATTCCTTCTCGCTGCATGCTATACTGCCATGCTCCTCACAGACTGGCGTTTCGTCCGCCTTGAGGACGCGCATATCCCAGACGATGATGGCGGGGCAGGCGCGCCCGTCGTCTTCATCGGCAGGAGCGCTACAGCAATGTGGATGAGGATCGTCTCCAGCTGGCTCTGTGTCGCCATCTACGCTTGGAGCTTAGTTGCGCCAGTTGTCATGCCGGATCGATTCGGTCTCGATTAGCGGATGCAACTGACCACTGGTATCATAGCATTTCATTGTAAATGGTCATCTCCTTCTCAGCATGCTCACCAACGTAGCGAGTCCGCATCCCCGTCTAGTCTGTCGAAGGCTGTACGCCTCTTCTCTGGCGTGCCCCCGCTGCCATCGACCTGGCCTTGTGGCATCCGTGCTGCCTCTTTCGCCGGGACAGTCTTCTCCTTGTGCTCGCTATGCGTGTCGATTGACACTTGTTGAGCTGCCCCATCCTGACCATCCCCACCCCCGATCCCATTCCCATCGCCCTCGTCCTCTTGGATCACGCCTCCCATACTACGCAGCACCCCCCACGTCCGCTCACTCTTTTCGAGACTATCCGCCAAAGCCAAGCTGCGCTCTACTGAACCGCGACATCTCGCCGTACCTCGTCGGCGCAGGCTCCGCATCAGAGACGTGGACAGGCATCGTAGAGGCCAATGTGGAGGAACCAGTGGTAAGACGACGGACAAGGCGTCGAGTGAGCCAGTCGCGTGGGACGAAGAAAGATGCGATACGGCATGCTGGCGGTAGGTGGGCGCTGCGACCGCGGCTTTACCAACCTCGTCCGCATCGTTGTCGTCGCCATCGTCAAGGTAGAGGGAAAGGAGTGTGCGCAGCAGCTCATCTCTCGCGTCGCCCCAGGCGCGCCCGGCCTTCCTCGCTTTCCTCGTATTTGCAGTCTCGATGGCGCGATGCAGCATTTGAGCGTACGGTTTGAGGACCGCCTCTTCAGCTTGGCTCCCTGTTTGCCCCGCAGCGCCGTCCCATGCATCCGCGACGCAATCGGCCGCCCACGGCCCCATGACCAAAGTACCTGCCTGGATGCAGTAGGCCTCTGCAGAATTCGCATCACGCAGCACCATGGCTAGCGTACGTAGCGCCTCGCGATGCCTGCCAAGCCCACCGAGGACGACTGTACGCTCAAAGGCCAGAAGGTCGCCTTCGACAGCTGAGATCCTCTCGAGGAGAAAGCTAGCCCTTTCAGAGGCTTCTGGCGTCGCTGAAGCCATATCCGCCTGAAGGAGGAACATGAGTTTAAATCTCTCTAGCAAGAGAGCCTGAGGAGGCGCCTCTTGTCTGCGTAAAGCCAAGTGTGCGGCAAAAGACTCAGCGTAGCCTCCCTCCCGATAGTCGCTCATGGCCGAGGCGTAGAAGCGATTAGCTTCTCCATGCCCCTTCAATGCCGAGAGGATTCGGCTGAGCAACGAGTCAACGAGGGCTGCGCGATGCGACGCAACGTCCCTTTCTGCCTCCGCGTCACCACTTGGCGCGGCGTGCACCACCATGTGCTCCACAAAGCGGTCCGCAGCGTCGTGCGCTCCAGCAGCATGCAGCTCGGCGATGATCTTGCTCACATCCTCAGGGCGGCTACGCGGACCAGCAGGTACGGCGCTATCGTCAGTCTCACTGCCGGCTCGGCCTCGGCCTCGAGCAGCGACCTTTCGCCCTCCAAGCCCCGCTAGGAGCTTGACGGCAGCTTGTGAATCGAATCTAACCAGCCAAAGAGCGTAATGGTGCTGCGTTGCCTCGTCGCAGCGCTGTAGTGCATCGACGATGTCCGGTATACCGCGGAGACTGCTTTGCTGCTGGGGCTGCTCCTCGACAAGCTTTGCCCATACCTCGACTGCCTTGCCCCACTGTTGCCTGCTGAAGTAGAGCTCCCCCAGGGCGGCAGCAACCCCATCCAGCTGCTCGACATTCTCATTACTCGCGAGAATGGCGTCAACATCGGCGGCACTTTCCGGCTTGAGTAGGATTTCACAGAGTCGTTGTCCGTCGCCCTGTCGAATGTAGAGCTTAGCAAGGGCCGTGTCTGTCATGCAGCGCATTGAGTCTGAGCCCGACGTGTTCGCAACGGAAGAGAGGGCGCTCTCGATCATCGCGTAGGCTCGAGCGAGGAGCCGTTGTCGCAATGTTCGCAGGTGCTTGTCTGTGTAAGCATCGAGGTGCGGACCGTACAACCAGGCGATATTGGCGTCGATTGCCTCCTCAATGGGCTGCCTCGGTGCCGTTGCCAATTGAGCGAGGGCTGGAAAGATGGGGATCGATTCGCTCGCCTGACCAGCGTCCCAGAGGTCAGGGAAGAGGCGCAACAGCAGGCGCACGTCCAGCGAAGAGCGACGAAAGGTCTGCTGAGCAGCATAGAAGTCGAGCATGGAGATGTAGCGCATTGTGAGGAGGCTGTAGAGGGCTTTGAGTACCATGCTGTCCACGCTGCCCGTCTTGTCCCACACCTCGTCGGCCAAGCGGTGCAGAGCAGACCACTGTCCTCGAGCCAGAAAGCGCAGAGCCTCGCCCAGCTCAACAGGTTCTGTCAAGCATTGTACGGCATTTCTGCACGACATGATGACGGTGGCGGTACGCCGAGAGGAAGAGAGGATAGCTGAGCGCCATGAAGGATGACGAAGAGCTGCAGGAAAGTCTGCAGGAGTCGATCCTGTATCAGCAGCATCGATGAGGGTTGGCTTGGCCTGCACCTCTGTGTGAGGCTCAGCAATATCAAGAGTCGAAGCACCCGAGGAGAGCAGTCTGGGCTCGAGAGCGTCTGGCAGCTGTATCGTCTGCACGCACTGCATGCTTTCTAGGTCGTGCACCTCGATGGCATCGTTGCGCAACAGTGAGATGAGTTGACCTTGGGCATCGTCAATGTAGAGGGCGCGTGGGTGGCTCTGCCATTCGATGAGCTTTGGCGATGGTTCGCCGTCTGACTTTACAAAGACGCCGAGGGATTGATCCTCCGAGTGGCTGGTGATGAGGAATTCGCATTCGGCTGGAGCGTTGAGTGAAGGGGCAGAAAGGGAGAGGATGGAGGGTCGAGTCGATGCTGAAGGAGATTCTGTCGAGTGGCTGATTGGGAGGCCGAGAGGCATGACTTGTGACGAGGTCAGATTCACGAGGCTGTACTCGCTTGTGCTAGCTGTACATAGGACGTCGCCATTGCGCCTAGCGAGGACAACTCCGGATGGTAGAGGGACCTCCTTGATTGTGATGAAGCGGCCCATGCCCACCTTGGCTAGGACAGCTTGGCGGCGCTTGATGATGCACAGGCTGACGAATCCTTCGGCGTCGACGCCATCAGTTTCTGCGTCATCGAGGACTACGGTACTGACACCACGAGTGATTGGAAGTAGCCGAGGGGGCAAAGGGTCGAGGTTGGGAAGATGGAGGAAGGAGAGACTTCTGTAAAGGCGAGCAGGGACAGGTCATCAACGGTTCGTCCTGTGAAATGCCAAGCGTGACCGGTCCGTCTTCTCTCGGGGACACTTACGATTCGCAGAGAACAGCGGCCAGTCCGATGCGATGGAGAATGAGAATTTTCTCAATTGGCTTACCCGACGACGAGATGGTCTTGGAGCCTACCAGCTGAAACTGATCAGGCTGTGAAGGAAGCATGAGATGTCAGGCTTGAGCTGATTAGCGCACCCTCAGGCTTTGCTCACCTCTGTTGACGACCCCTCGTCGGTGAGACGATAGTGGTGAATGACTCCATCTGATGTCCCGGCATAGAGATTACGAGCTGCGATGGCATACAGGGACGTCAGTCATCGTAGAAGCTGGGGGTACTGCATCGCGTGCTGCATCGCGTGCTCACCATGTCCTTCTGCGCAACGGAGGGAAAGAGCGATTGCTGCTGGTGAGTTGGGCTGACTGTGCTGCTGATGATGTTGCGGAATGGCAGGGTGAAGTAGAGGCTGCAAAGCGTAGTCTCGATGACGAGGCGAGGCCATAGCGGCCAAGGTGGGCAAGACAAAGGCGAGAAGAGCAAGACGAAGGGTCGAGGCAACCGCCGCATCTCGCAAGGAGGGCGGACAGACGCGGCAGCCGGAGCAATCGACTCGACTCGACCCTCGACTTGATGGCTCGTGCGTCGGCAGATGGGCAGTCGATAGCGGCCTCTTCGACTTGGCTTTCCTTTCGACCTTTGGTGTCACGATCCCATCCAGAGGCAAGCAAACCTCTCGACATGTATTGGCCTCTGAATGTGGCAAGGCGCATCGTACCACCGCTATTGCCACCCGACAACGATGAGACTCCAGAGGGCGTCGCACTCGATGACGACATCGACGATGCCATTCAGCTGTCGCCCTCCCCTTCCTCGCACCATTCCCAACACTTCTCCATCATCACCCCTCGTTCACTACACATCTACACGACGCGGCCCACGCAAGTCATTGCTAGCCTCAGAAGGACGAGAAAGAGTATTCAAGACTATGGGCGCAACGTCAGAGCTTCATGGAAGCCGGCAACCACCACCTCTTCTTCCAATGACCGAGGCCGCATCACCATCGTCGTAGAAACATCTTCTTCTTACGTCCTCGTCTACCATGTCAAGCCATCTGCAGACGAGATGGCTTACCTTTACGTCCCTACCTCTTCATCTTCTCAAGCGTCTGCATCCAAGAAGCCGTGGGCTCCTTCGTCCAAATCGCTCAAGAGCACCTTTGCAGCCGCTTCAGGAGAAGGACCAGCGGGCGCTTTTCCCCTCGACATTTCCCTTCGACTTGCTCTTCGTGTCGATGCTACTCTGGCTTGCTGTCTAGCTACATCCGAAAACCTCCTCGTCTCAACAGTCAACCCTCCTGCCATACAAGCGATACCATGGCCAGGCGAGAAAGACGGGTCCACTGGCTCAGAGACCAAAACGACTCTACTCTCATCGTTGACTTGGTTCCGTGGCGGCGACGCGGCCAAAGAGCAGCCATTGCCCCATGTCACCACCATTGTTCATTCACGCAGGATGGATCTCTACTTCTGGCTCACCAGCGACGGGCAAGGCTATGTAGCCTCCTTGAAGGTCGACGGCGAGGTGCGTTGGCAGCCAAATAGACGGGCCGCCAGACAGCGCTCCTTGTATGCTGATCCTGCTCGCACTCTTCTCTCACCTTGTCCAGGCATCTAATTGGAAAGGCCGAAGGTTTCACGTCCCAAGACCTGCCCGTAATAGGCGGACTTCCTCTTCTGCATCGTCGTCCAAAGCCACTGTCGCTTTAGAAGCCAGCACGACCACATTGACTTCATCCTCGCCTCTTCACGCAACGTCGCCCGCCCGCTGCACATCCATCAACGCCAAGATGGGGCTCATAGCGGTCGGTAGAGAAGATGGCATCGTTGCCGTCTACATCCTGCGATCCCAGACCAAGGCAGTGATTTCGCATACGTTTTCGCTCCGAAAATCGCTGCAGTCGACGGCTTCTTTCCTCAAGCCGGGCACCGTACAGACTCTGGAATGGACGGCAGATGGTCTCGCATTGGCCGTTGGATGGGACAATGGCTGGGCAGTATGGTCAACATGGGGCAAGCTCATGGGCCACTCTTTCGTCGACGAGAGCCCCTCGCAACGTAACAAGGCATTTGGAGATGCTTTCATGGACGGCGTCAAGGACCTCTTCTGGGGACCTGGTGGTACCGACCTCTTCCTTCTTGCCGACGCCTCTGCCAGCGTGCCCAAGACTCAGAAGGCAGGATCAACGGCTCCTTCTGCGCAAATCCGCCATCAGCGGCAACATCGTCAACTATTTGTCGTTCCACACGCCAAATCGGCCGTGGCAGGGCAGCACTCACCCGACAATACTCGATTCGCCTTCATCCAGCTCGATGATGCGCTGCTCGTCTATCGAGGGTCAGATCAGCCCGATGTAAGCATCATCAATCCAGACTCGGACGTCTGGCAGCACATCAAGATACCTCAGCCTTACGTGGCAGCTCACTGGCCAATCAGATATGCGGCTATCAGTCCTGACGGGCTGCTCATTGCCGTGGCAGGAAGAAGGGGACTGGCGCATTACTCTTCCATCTCGGGCAGGTGGAAGACCTTCGACAAGGAGACGGACGAGGCGAGCTTCACAGTCCGGGGTGGTCTGCAATGGTTTGAGCACGTCCTCATCGTAGCCTGTCAAGCGACAACAGGCACAGGAGATTCCGCCAAGACGTCATCGCAGCTTCGTCTCTATTCGCGAGATGACGAGCTACTCAACTCCAACCTGCTGCACGTCGAGGATCTGCCTTCACCCGTGGTACTTACGAGCCTGTTTGAGGACTCGCTCCTCGTCTACACGAGCGACAATACCTTCTACCACTTCTTGCTGGTCGTGTCCAAGAGCAGGATTGAGCTACAGCTCTGCGGAAGCATCACCTTCGAAGGCGTCGTCGGCGAGCCGGAGAGGGTGAGGGGGCTCAGCTGGATGATCCCGAGGAGTCAACAGCGATTTGGAGATCCAATGGATGATCTCACCGTGGCTACGATCATCTTCCTCGTCGACGGGAAGCTCGTGCTGTTGCGTCCACGTAAAGCGAGCGGCGGCAATAACAGCAACAAGGACCCACAGTCACGCGGATCATTGCCAGAGAATGAAGCAGAGGAGGTCGCGTACGACATGCAGATCCTTGGCGATCACATCGAGTACTACTGGACCCACCTGTCCGGCATCGGCACTCTTGAGAATTCCTTGTGGGGCTACGACGGCTCAGGCATCAAGCTCTGGCTCGACGCGCTGACCATCGAGCAGGCCGAGCCCAGAAGCCAGACCAAGGCGGATGGGGGAGATGAGGGGAACGGAGAGGAAGAGCGCGATAACGATGAAGACGAGGAGGAAGAAGAGATGCCCGAGTACAAGACCATCGAGGAGAGCCTCAGCATGCCCCTCGACTTCTATCCTCTGTGTGTCGTCCTCGAGAAGGGTATCATCGTAGGTATCGAGCCTGAGGTTTCGATGCGCAAGTCTCTGGACTTTGCCATATTCCGCTCCACGACGACAACGCATCTCTTCTTGGACCGATTGCTTAGGCACTACCTCGAGGCGAACAAGATGAAGGACGCCGTACTCTGCGCAAATTCGTACAAGGTGAGCAGCGAGACTAGAGCAAAGAATGGAGGGAGCGCTGACGTCGTCGCCGTATCGCCTCGCAGGACCTGGTCTACTTCCCTCACGCCCTCGAGATCCTCTTGCACGCGGTTCTAGAGGACGAGGCAGACGCACTGTCCGAGGGCGGCGGGATGACGCCTAGTGCTAGCGGAAACAGTATACCAACGAGCGCGAGCAATGGCTCCATCGTCGACCACATCGACGACTCCGAAGCTGGGCACGACGTCGCAGGCTCATCCACTCCTCCTGGCCACCCTCTGCCTCTTCTCCCGCGTGTCATTGACTTTCTGGACCACTTTCCCTCATCCCTCTCCATCCTTGTTTCGTGCGCTCGCAAGACGGAGGTGCGTCGGTGGTCGTACCTCTTCCACCCGAACAATCTCGGCGAGGGCGTTACACCGCGAGTGCTGTTCGAGCGTTGCTTGCAGGAGGGGGACTGGGAGACGGCGAGCGGTTGGCTCATTGTCCTGCATACATTGAGCGGCAGCGAGGCGAGCGGTGTAGATAACAGCGTGGCAGCCTTCGAGGTAGGAGGCGACAAGGAAGAGCTGACGGCTAGGTTGCTCACTCTAGTAGCGGCAAATCCGAGGTCTTCGAGGCGGTCGAGAGGGTCAGCGAGCGGTGGAAATGATGGCTGGCTTCTCTGTCGCGACTTGCTGAGGTACACAAAGAGCATGGACGAGAGCGGCCGCAGCTTAAGGAAGGTGTTGCGCCTTGCTGGCTGGGACAAAGACGAGGTCTCGAGCAGCGAGGCAGCTCACGACGTCACCGATAAAACACAAAAGGTGGCGCCGCGGCCCAAGACCATGAAGCGTATACTATCGAGCACGGCACATTCGACCACTCTCGACTCTGTACCGCAGGAGCAGGACGAAGACGACGGCGGAGACGCGCAACGATCGAATGGCGACCGATCGATTCCTTTCCTCTCCGTGAATGGCCAGGCGGTCTCGCCTTCAACGTCATGGGGCCGAGCAGCTCCTTCAACGTCTCCGCCGATGTTGAGACGGTCCATCTCTGGGTCATCGTCGGGCAGCGGCGGCGGCGCTGGCGGCATGTATCGTGTTGGTCTCGGAGGGGGAGCGGCAAATGTCATGGGAATCAGGGGTCATCCTTGGAGAGCAGGAGCAGGAGCAGGTGGAGCAGGTGACGCGGGTAGACGAGCGAGCATGACGTCGACGTCTTCGATGTCTGAGGGTCATGAGGCAGCGGATGCGGCGCCGAGCGGTCAGTGAGGCGGCAGCATTTGATTGGAGCGAATTTGGGACGCCTGAGACAATCAGACTTAGTGTGCAGTAATGAATGGAGGTCGCAGATGTGCATTTGCCGTCATTGTCGGCGATGTTGCGTAGAGTTGCTTTTCCCCTCCTCTTGCTCCTCCTCGCTTCAGCGTTCTAGTCGTCGTGTCGTCGTGTCGTCGTGTCGTCGTGTGAGTCCTGTTCGTTTGTTCGGAGGGGGGCTCCGTGCGTCGTCGTTCTCAAAGGGGGGGGGGGCGGATGGAATTCCTTTGCTGCCCGCACGCGCTTGTGAGGTCGGGGCGAGTTGGCGGGTGGAGTGTCGACGACTTTGAGACTAGCGCCTCTCCTGATTGCTGCCGGCGTAGGCGGGGCGGAGGCGGACGAGGCTGGCGCGCCTGGTGCTTTGCCTTCCTTGGCCTCGCCTTTGCCTGACTGGACTCGCCTGCCCGAGTTGAGTGAATGAGTGCACCGCTTCAACAAGGCAGCGAGCGCATCTCACCATCCCATCCCATCCCATCCCAATCATCATCGATATCACGTCGCAGCCGCAGACCCAGCCCCAGCCTCCAACGACGACCAGCAGCGGCCCAGCCAGAGCCAGTGTCAGAGTCAGACAACTTCATCATCGAGCCCTTTGACGGCATTCGGCGTAGCTCATAACGACGAAGCACGCCTGCGCCTATTGAGCCAATCGCATCTTGGCCCTCATCGAGCAGATAGCCCCATCAAGCTCACAAAGCATTACACAGGAGCCCGATCATACCCTCTGGATCCACCATCCATAGCAATAAGCTCGCAGGCACACGTAAGCCTCTCCACTTCTCATCAACCCTGCGCATATTTGGGTCTTTTGCATTCGCACCATCCGCTCCCCTCCTTCTTTGGACCATCGCTGCATCGTCGCCTCCTTGATACCAGTCCGCGACAACGCCATCGCCTCAGCGAGTAGCCCTCGGTCCTCCTCTGCCAGTCTTGCATCCCGCATCCACCTCAAACGGCTTCGTTACAGGCCAGTCCTAAAGGCAGCGTGCATATACACGCACCACCAAGATGAGCGGCAAGATGATGATCTATAAGCTCGTCGTCCTCGGCGACGGCGGTGTCGGCAAGACGGCCTTGACAATCCAGCTCTGTCTCAACCACTTTGTAGAGACATACGATCCGACAATCGAAGATTCGTATCGCAAGCAGACGGTCATCGATGATCAACCATGCATGCTCGAAGTACTGGATACGGCGGGCCAGGAAGAGTACACAGCGCTGCGAGACCAATGGATCAGGGAAGGCGAAGGATTCTTGTTGGTCTACTCGATTGCATCGAGGGCCACATTTGAGAGGGTCGAGAGGTTCCGATCGCAGATTTCGAGGGTCAAGGATCAGGAACCTCACACGGTACCGATCATGCTCGTGGGCAACAAGATGGACAAGGTCAATGAGAGGGAGGTCGGGTGAGTAAAGTCGAGGGAGCAGCGCATCGGCTAGCTTCGTCTCACTAACAATGGATCCCTCGCACTAACGCAGTACAACTGAAGGTCAAGCCCTGGCACGTCGTCTAGGGGTAGGCTTCGTCGAAACATCAGCAAAGACGTGCGTAAACGTAGAGAAGGCCTACTACACCGTCGTTCGCCAGATCAGAGAGCAGAGAGGAGAGACGACAAAGGGCAAGGGAGCGAAAAGTCAAGGAGGAGGGCAGAAGAAGAAGAGCAAGTGCACAATCCTCTGAGCATCCATGCCGGAATGCGAGGAGCCAAGGCGAGGCGAGGCAGATGGGCACGGGTGCGGGACCGCGCAGCAGTAATCTAGAAGGGCGCTTGTCGACGCGGCGAGCAAGACAGAGCGATGAGAGGATGCCATGCCATCGAGGGCGGGATGGCACAGGAGACACTGCCAGCTGCAGCCAGCCGGTATCTTCGACGTCCTTGCTCTTGATCGCAGCAGAAGCGATGCAGGCGAGGTGCAAGAGCAGTAGCATTTGAGTAGCAGTGAAATCACGTCTGCTATACGCAGCCGGCTTCGCTCGCTCGCTCGCTCCAAGATTACCCCTAACGGGCCTCTCTACCTCGCCCTTCTGGATATCTTCTCCGCGGATTCTGGTCGATGACCTTTCGGAAGGAAGACAGCAAGGCGGGCTAAAAGGCACACATCAGCGAGCAAGGCACACAAAATCCCTTCCCCCTCCAACCATTCTCTCCCATACCCCCCGCTTCCCCCCCTTGCACACTTCTCTAACGTCCTGTGACTACCCGTGTTTCCTGGACGTTCCCCTCTTGCCCACCTCATTTACTTCTTTTGTTCCTCCCTTTCCCTCTTCTCCAATCTTGAATGCCTCATCCCGCTACGATCAAGACGTCTCGACTCAAAATATCAAAAGAGATTCCAATGAGATGCGAGGCGTGTGGCAGCGTTGGCTCGTGCGTCGAGGAGAGATGAACCACGTGGCTCATTTGTTGAATCGATGGAATTTTGGTCGAGGAAGCGGATAGCCAAAAGGGCGTCGAGAGTTGCCTTCCGCTCCTCTCACCATCAACACCCACCACCACTTACTCTGTAAAATTACGAGCATGTCAGGCGTAGCAAGAATGCCCTCGTCCTCTTCGTCTTCTTCAAAAGGCAAATTCAGCGTACGATCAGGAGGAGCCTCTTCGTCCAAGCAGATGCTGCCTCCTCGTCCTTCAGCTGCAAAGAAGCGAGCGAGGTTCGGTTCTGATGTCAAGGGAGCAGATGAGAGCGATGCTGACGACGATGTAGATGATGGCGACGTCGGTATGGATGACGATGATGATGATGATGAGGAAGCAATCGGGGCTGCCAATGCCGCTGCTGGCAAGAGCGACAAGACTGCGAGTGAGTTGGGTCGCGAGCAAGATTCGACCATCTCACAAGGATCCCAGTGTGCTGAGCGTGCCATTCCCCCCTTGACTCGCAGAGCGCAAGCGACGAGCACTGGACTCAAGCGCCTTTGGCTCGGCCCTCGACGATTTCCTTGGCCTGGGAGACGACGAGACTTCAGGTCAAGCGCAAGACGAGGATGAAGAGAGCGCACCGGCAGCCAAGATTGCCTCATCGTCGACTACCAAGCCCGTCCGCAAAGTCGACCAGCAAAGCCGTGTCAGCGCTAGTGGACAAGCGCCCATCTTTTCCCTCGCCCCCTCAGTACGGTCGCGCATCTCGTCGTCGACCCTTTCCGCAAAGGCAGGCCGCGTAGCTACAGAGGAACGTCGTGCCCGCATGGATCGTTTCCGAGTGCGCGATGTCATTGGTGGGTGGGGGCCGCCAGGCGTCTTGCCTGATGGTACTAGTCTGGCAAAGGCAAGGACGGCCGAAGGCAGTGACGCCGAAGATGATGCAGTCGATGACTTCTCGTCGAAACTGCACGAGCGTGCATTGAGGAAGGTCGCACAACGCGGTGTGGTCAAGCTCTTCAATGCGATTCGAGCTGCGCAGTCTACTTCCCTGCCGGATGAAGAAGACGACGGTGGCGCTGCCAAGAGGAGGGCAGACAAGGATCTGGCTGTGACGACTGCGGCGGGAAAGGAGAGGGAGGGCGAGGTGACGTCCCGTAACAACGCCTTGGGCGGCAAGGGAAGGCAGCTCAACGATTTAAGCAAGGCAAACTTCCTTGACCTCCTCAAGTCGGGCAAGGGGACCGCAAATCCATCGCGTGTCAAGGCGTAGTAGATGCAAGTACGAGAGCAATGCATCACAATTGATTTGCGCCGTCTACAGTCTGGAATTGACAAGGATGCAACGGAGGGCACTCATCATTTGCTCTCAATTGCTCTTGAGCGTCCTCTGCTTCTCCGCCGCCTCCACCAGTCGATCTCCCATGACCCTCATCCCCTTTCGTCTCCTGACCGCATCCACGTATCGCTTAGCAATATTCTCCCTCTCTCCCTTGTCACCCAAGTCCTCCAACTCCTCCTCGGTAGTTGGCACCCAGAACGGGTCTTCATCGTACACTTCAAAGCCCCTGAATACCAACAATGGGGTGGCCGCCCCAGAGGTACGGGTCCGGATCTCGTCTGCAAATCCAAATGACTCTACGACGGGAAGTGAGGCCGTGATCACGAAGTTGCCCATCCCACCTGCGCTAGATGAATGCCCGCCAGCTTCATCGTTGCCAAATGCACTGCCCGCCTCTCGCATTTCCTCCTTCAAAACCTTGCCGCGTCGCTTGGCCAGTACACCATGCACTTTGCCAAGCGTCTCGGCGGGGGTGACCACGTCGCACTCGTACGTCGCGAGCATGAGGCGCGGGCTCCAGTCTAGCAGAGCTGATCCGCACGAAGAGCGTACGGCCGCAATGAGGGAGGAGCTGACTTGCGCGAGGCGGAGTCGTTGCGAGGCGATGAGGTCTTGATTCACTTGAAGGTCCGAGAGGAAGTAGGCTAGGCCACGTACGGGCTCGCCACAGAGTGGGCCTGTGAGAGTGGCGAGTTGGAATCCTAACTCCAGAGAATCGTAGAGGTCCTGAGCAGTCCAAGTTGGGGCGGATGCGGCCGAGGATGATTGGGCCTCGCCATCTACTCCTTCGTCGCCGATATTGGCTTGTCGCTCTAGAGCTGCAGCCAGGTCCTCTGCCTCTTCGCCACTTTTGGCAACAGCGGCGCCCTCATCGTCAGGGAGCTTGGGCGTAGCTAAGCCACTCCCCATGCGACTCGCGCCAACTGATGTCGCGTCTCGCCTTCTTGCCGCCCTCGCTACCAAGCCCCTTCTTGCACTCTCATCTGACAAGCCAATGAGCACATTCGGCCCAATGCGCCTGGGTCCAAATGCCCAGATACGCTCGACGAGGTCAGGCTCCTTCCATTCTTGATCCCACGACTTGGCGGTTGAGCCTGCTTTGACGAAGAGCGCAGAGAGCTGCGAGAAGAAGGCCTCGGGTGAGAGGGCCTTCGCCGCCGCAGAGCTTGCACCTGTTGAGGAGCCCGCCGTTGCTGCTACCGTTGTGGCGTCCTCCTCCGTAGCACCTCCTGCCGCCGCCGCCTTGGCATCTCCCAAGGCACGAACCGACTTGGCATTCGCCTCCAGCCACATCGTGATCTGCTCTGGCAAAGGCTTGGCCCTTACTTTGCAAGTCACGGCTCCATTGCACACGCTCACTTTGACCGTGCCCCGAGGCTCTCCCTCCGCAGCAAGCGCGGGTGGCCTCATCTCGCCTCCGGCAATCCTGAGCGCCGTTTCTCTGTACGGCACCAATGGCTTGGAAGCACTGATTGCGCATCGAGCAAATCGTTCCCGCAGGTCCTTGAGACAGCGCTCCAAGTGCAGCTCGCCTGCAGCGACGATGACATGTTCTCCCGTAGATTGTTGGAGGGTCTGAACACACGGGTCCGACTGGTTGAGGAGACGTAGACCAGACACGAGCTTGGGAAGATCTGAGGGGTTGTCCGGCTCCAGCGCGACACGTACAATGGGAGGAGCGAGGCCGGCGCCCGAAGTGAGGTTGACTAGTCCCGGCGCGGTGCCATTCAACCAAGCACAGTCGCCCTCTTCGGTGTTTGATTTTGACTCGCTTTCCGGTATCGCAACGAGCGTTCCCATCCTGCCTACGATGCCTTCCAGTCCCTGTACGGCGCACACCTCTCCAGCGCCGACGCGATCCACGGCCACGAGCTCCTTGCCCATGATGACATAAAGCGCTTCAATGGGCACGCGCTTGATGTGCTTGACATTACTGGCGTGCGTGGGCGGTAGAGTCGGATCATACTTGGGCAGTACGAGGAAGAAACGCGATGAGGCTGTGTCTGGCGCTACGGTAAGCGAGCCACACAGGACGCGCACGAAGGCGAGGAGCACCTCTGTTGCACCTTCATCGTTGCTGGACTTCTTGCTGTCTGATCTTGACTCACTGTCGCCATTTTGAGGTGCCGCTCGCGGCCGTGAGACGGAGTAGTTGGCATCAAGAGCTACCGAATCAATGGGCTCTGCTGCGGCCATGTCCGGAATGGCACGGTCGACGGCGCTACCATTCGCAGAGACCAACGCGCCAGAGATTGACGTCGCATCGCTAGCGCCAGTCGCAGCCGCTTTTGCAGCCTCATGCTTCTCCCTAGCCTCCCTTGCTCGTCTCCGCCTCTCTTCTACGGACAAGTTGCGCACATCTTCCCTCTCGGCGCCTGCCTTATCGGCTGCCTCGCCTTGCTTCGACTTCGATGCGAGATCTTCGCGAGCCACGGCGAACATCTTGGAGATGACTGCTACGCGCCACGCATCTCGCTCTCCTCTGGCCGCAAATAGATCCCTCTCAACGGGCGTACGTCCCTCTGGCCTTGGCATGCCGACCTTATCTGCATAGAAGCGCGTGGACTCACTTGGCCAGACGTCGCCTGTTGGGTCGAGAATGCGCGGTATGCGTCGCCCCTGAGCTGCGGCTGGCTGCGGAATTTGGTCGACGATGGCGGCGAAAGTGCACGGCGCAAGTGGTAGCCAAGCCGAGAGGACAGCGGTGAGGAGGGCGTGAGAATCCGGGTTCTTGAGCTCGCGCGGTGTGAGCGGCAGGGAGAGGGTCGAGGCGATCTTTTCAATTGAATCCTGATCGCGCTGAATGACCGTCTTCTCAAAGACGCGCCAAACATTGTCGAGGACGAACTGCTGACAAGCAGTTGGGCCTAGCCTTCCTTCACCCCACATCTTTGTCGCTTGCTTGCGGTTGAGCATACGCCGCCCTTTGGCGTCAAAGAACCAGTCGCCCCAGAGGAAAGAACGAAACTTCTCTTCCGGGAGTGAAAGCTTCTTGGAGTAGAGGTGGGAGAAGGAGTGGAGTCTGAAAGCAAAGCCATAGAGAGACGAGGCGAAGATGACGTTCCCTCTTGGTGGGTCGAAGTAGAGGTCGTCGTCTGCTTGTTGGTCCTCTTGTGATGGGGGCGTGAATTTTTCGCCTCTTGCCTCTACAATTTCTCTCTGCCTCTCCTCATCTTGCAGCCTTTCCTCTGCCCAGAACTCTGCGAGTGCAGCATTTGCCTGTTCTAGTACTCGCTGCAGTTGCGCCTCTGCCTCTTGAGGTGACATCCTGACTTCTACGGCTAGGCGATCGAGCTTGTTGAGTACCAAGATGGGCTTGAGTCGATCGTTCCATGCTTGTCGCAATACGTTGATCGTTTGTGTGCATACACCCTCGAGTGCGTCGACGAGGATGAGGCAACCGTCGACTAGCCTTGAGCTGGTTGAGACTTCTGAGCTGAAGTCGATGTGGCCTGGTGTATCGATGAGGTTGAGTGTCCAATCTTTGGCGACTACTTGATCTCCTTCCCTAGAATTCATCTTGAAGCCCAACCTGATGCCACTGGACTCAATTGTGATTCCTCTCTGCTGCTCATCTTCTCTCGAATCGAGGTAGCGAATCTTTCCCGCCTGCCGCTGTGAGATGAGGCCATTGGATGCTAGGAGTGAGTCTGCGTACGATGATTTGCCGTGATCGACGTGACCCATCAAGGTGAGGGCGAGGAGGCCCTTGTGACCCGACATGACTGAGTGGGCGAGGCGATAGTACGAAAAGTAGTCAAGGATCGAGTGGAGCTGAGCACATCAAGACAATCTTTTGCTTCCTCCGTCTCTCCGTCGAGTGCCAGTCCAGTTCCGTCGATGGCGCGCCGTCGAGTCCAAAGTCGACGACTTCTTCTTCTTCTGCTCATCTCTCCACACCATCCAATCAGCATGGCCACAAAACGAGGCGCCTCTGCATCCACATCCGCAGCGGCATCCACATCCCTCGTCAAGCGTTCTCGAGTCGAAGACGCAGACGACGCCTCGTCAGGATCCCTCATCACAGTCTCGTCTTCCGGCAAGGACAAAGGCTTGGTTCGCACCGTCAAACGCACCAGCGGCCTCAGCGATCCCATCCTCAGCCTCAGTGGTGGCCATGCCGGGGAGATTCTCGATGTGCGCTTCTCGCCAGATGGACAGATCATAGCTGCCGCTGGTGCAGACCATACAGTGTCAATATGGCATACCTATGCGCCGAATGACCACATCACTTCCCTCCTTTCCCATTCAAAGGCGGTAACATGCCTCGCCTTCCTACGAGCGCCATCTTCGTCACCACTGCTCCTCTCCGCATCGGCCGATGGCACCATCATCCTCTGGTCTCCACTCGCCCCGCCGCCGACGAACAAGGTACGCAGGTTCCGCCAACATCGTGCCGTCGTCAACAGCATTGCCCCTTGCCCTACGGATGCTACCATCTTTGCCAGTGGAAGTGATGATGGTACCATCTGCGTCTGGAATACCGATGAGCGCAAGCCATTGGATGTCCTCAATGTGGGCTACCCTGTCACAGCCGTTGAATGGGCACAGGATGGGAGCTCATTGTTTGTAGGAGGCATCGACAATCAGATTCATGTGAGTGTTCGCGCACAAGAGGCAGCACACAACGCCCCCACAAGCTCACTCCGAGCACCTCTGACCTCCCGTTTCCAACCCAGCTCTACGACCTGCACCGCAAACAGGTCGTCTACACCCTCTCCTCCCACACAGATACCATCTCAAGCCTACGCCTCTCCCCTACCGGCTCACATCTCCTCTCCCTTTCCTTCGACTCGACACTCAAAGTTTGGGATGTACGGCCATTTGCCATCTCGAATGGCAACGGGGCAAGAGGAGGCGAAGAGTCACAAGACGAGCGGCTGACAGGCACCTTCACAGGCGCCGCCGTGGGAGGCAACGACTCGCTCCTTGTGAGGGCGGATTGGAGTCGAGATGGCAAACGTGTCGTCAGCGGCAGCTGTGATCGAACCTGCGTGGTATGGGATATGGAGGACATGAAGGGGAGAGTCGTGTATAAGCTGCCAGGGCACAGAGGGACATGTACTGCTGCGGCGCTTCACCCGAGAGAGCCCATTGGTGAGTGGAGGGTCTTTAAGGAGCGAGTGAAAGAAGAATGGATGCTGACCTGTACCTACTTCTGCCACTCCGCGCAGTTGTGTCAAGCTCGGCGGATGGGACGTTGCTCTTGGGAGAGATTGAGCCGTGATGAAGCAGATGAAAGGATGCGCGCGAGCGAGGTGGCATTGAAGAGGCAGCCTCCGAGTCTTTACCTCTTTGTACAGATACGAATCGATTCAACAATATTTCGTCCCCTTTTGCCCTCCTCATCCTTTCGAATCGTCCTTGGAGGCGGTTTTGCCCCCTTTCGTTGCTTCTCGCCGGCGTCGGCCGGAAGAAAGACGGGACGTCCGTGCGCGAGGGAGAAGTCGCGAAGGCGGATTGGACCTGACGTTGCTTCTCGGCCCGAACCTTGAACTCGACTACTTTCTAGCGTTTCTCTTCGTCACTTCGTCTTCCCACAGCAGCTTCAACACCATCACAGCATGGCCGCTCATCGAGCTGCGAGCAATGCTTTGAGAAGGATGGGCGGAATGCGAGCCGCCTCCTCAAAGTCGACTCTGTCACGATCATCGCGGTCATTCGCCTCTTCATTCGCCTCTTCATCCGCCTCATCGACGTCTGGTTCATCGAGGACGAGGGACATGGCAGCTGCCTCTGCCCTCGCTGCAACGGCTGTCTTGGCTGTCGCCTGGTGCACGCGATCAGCCTTGGTTGCATGCGATGACCTTGCACAGCCAGCGCCCTCGAAGACTCAAGCGCAGTCAGACTCGGTGAGCATCGCGAATGTATGCTTGCATCTCATGCCATCGCCTGACTCACCACCGCCTCTCCTCATCCCCAGCCATCTCTCCCCTCCATCTCACACCTCAATCCCTCGCTCATCGACGATGTCAACGCGCCCATGCGCTATCGCATGGAAACCTACATCAAGCTCCTCCAACACCGCATCGTGACTGCCTTGCAGAAGACGGAGCCAGGAACCAAGTTCATCGTCGACCAATGGCAGCGCAAAGAGGGAGGCGAAGGCATCTCCTGCATCGTTCAAGACGGACAAACATTTGAAAAAGCAGGCTGCAACATCAGCGTTGTCCACGGAAAACTACCCTTGGGCGCCATCAAACAGATGAACTCCGGCCGAATCAATGCCCGATTGGACTATCGCTTTGAAGGACCAGACGCAGAGATCGACTCGATGCCCTTTGTGGCCTTGGGACTCAGCCTCGTAGTACACCCAGTCAACCCTTTTGCACCCACAGTCCACTTCAATTACCGCTACTTTGAGATCTCCCACCCACCCACACTAAAGGACGGCTCGCCCAATCCTCGCTATGATCCAGCAAACCCAACACAGCCAGCAGCCTGGTGGTTCGGCGGCGGGACGGACTTGACTCCCATCTACCTCTTCGAGGAGGACGCCAAACATTTCCACGCCACGCTGAGGGACGCAGCAGCGCAGCATGACTCGGCCTTTTATCCTGCCTGGAAGAGGTGGTGCGACGAGTACTTTTGGTTGCCCCACAGGAGCGAAAATCGAGGGGTCGGAGGAGTCTTTTTTGATGACTTGACAGTGCCAGGGACGTGGGGTCAGGCCGAGGGGAAGAGGAGAGAAAAGAAGGAGTTCTTGGCGCTCTTGGAGACGAAGCAGCAGTCAGGCCCAGCAGCAGCAGCCAGTGGTGGCGCAGGTCTCGCACCTGCCATCGCTTCCTCCTCACGCCAGCACGACGTTGAATCCCTCTTTAGAACCGTCCGAAGCATGGGGGACTCCTTCCTGCCCTCGTACCTGCCCATTCTGGAGCGTCGTCGACAAACGCCCTACGACGCCCGTCACATTGCCTGGCAAGGCATTCGTCGAGGCAGGTACGTCGAGTTCAACCTTGCATACGATCGTGGAACGAAATTTGGCTTGGCCACACCCGGGGCGAGGATTGAAAGTATTCTGATGAGCCTGCCCCTCAAGGCTAGGTGGGAGTATATGCATCCGGTCTCGGGGTCGGGCGCGATTGGAAGAGGTGGGGCCACTGCGCCTGGAGAGCACAGCGGGGATATGGCGGATAGTGAGGAGGAGAAGATGCAGCAGGTGTTGAGGAGCCCAAGAGAATGGGTCTGAGCACGTGAAGACCGCAAGAGAGAATGCACGACGAGCATGGCGAGCACATTCACCAATCACAAACATATCGCACCAGCAGCGCGCAAGCAGTGATTGAGGATGATAGGGCGATTCTACAGAGCATAGACACGAACAGGCCTTCAAGTAGGATTTTGGACCGCCTAGCTCGCAGCATCGTCTACGCCTCTCGCATTCGAAGCTTGCGAAAGCTGGCAAATGAGTGTGCTGTAGCAGGTCGTCCGGACAGCGTCAGCACTTCATCGCATGTGAGCATGCTTCAACTTCCACGCGAGACGCACGCCGCCCGCTTGCCCCTACCTGCTGGATTTCCCTCCTCCGGGTCTTCCCTCCCAAGTCTTTCTTGATCCAAATGTCCACAGCTGGAGGAACCTCCTCCGGTCCAATGCTCTCAAACCACTGGCAATCATCCTTCTTATGCATCATCCGACACGTAAATCGATCAGGGTTGATCGTCGCGTCCGCCGCAGCATTGCACAGCGCCCAGTCCTCATACTTGTTGCAGTCGTGATCGGGCGCGAAGCCCTTTCCACCGCAGGGTGTGGAAAATTCTAAAGTATTCTCTCGGAGGTAGCCCCAGTCTGCGACTTTCACGAAGTGGCCGTAGACGGGATGATCGCAGTTGTACACTGCATGAGAGTAGTCGTGCCAGTAGACAGGAGCCCAGCAGAAGCGGACATACCCTGCGTTCTGAGGCGATTCGCCTTCGGCATCGTCCCATGTGCAGTTGTAGTGGTCGGCATACGAGAGGCGAGGGAAGTGACTGAGGAGCAAGAGTAGCCAGAGCGAGAAGAGGACGGCCATGGTGCGGTAGCTGTAGGCAGTACCAAGCCTGGGTCGGGCAGGGACAGGTGAAAAGTGCAAAGGCAAGCTGCACTGCTGCTGAATCAGTATCGTATCAACTCTTCGCACAAAGCCTCGCTAGGCCTAAGGGTTCGGATGGTGCGAGCCAATGAGCATGCGTAGGGTTCAGGGTGATTGGTCGAGCGGATAATCCGGCGAAGCGCGAATGGCTAAGGTCAAGCCTGCGGACCTACCAAGGCGACTTCGGCACCTTGACAACCTCTACTGGCTTGACAGCGGTATCACTTCTGCCTCAGCGGCTGGCAGTGCGGCTCAAACGGTCAGACGACGGTGTGCGCTTTGAATACGCTTCAGCAGTGCCGACACACCACTGCGCCTTCACGATATATCGCGCCTCGAGCGTTTGGAAATGAATCAGTGCGAATGAAGATAGCGAGAAGGGAGCTCGAGCTTGTTTTGATGTGTGGAGTGTCGAGTAGAGAAGCTGTGTCGAGTCAAGAGATGGTGACGGACATTCGCCTTCTATAGAGATTGCGCGGTCTTCTCAACGAAGCCTTAGAGATCGAACGCGCGTTTGTTCTTTTTGAAATCCAGCCTTTCTGGTGGCGCCAGCCTTTCTGGTGGCACGAGAGGGCTCGCCGTCCTACGTCGGAACAGCGCACACGATGATGCTTCAGAACGCGCCTCGCTTTCACCTTGTTGTCGCCTTGGGCACTTTGCTCAGCGCTTTCATCCCATTAGGCCGGTTTTCGTCGCATTGTGGGGGCGTGGGCAACCTTGAGGCGTGCACGCGCAGTCGCGACAAGCTGTGGTACCTCCTGGGCAGATGGAGCTCGGTAAAGGCGTGCTGCGTACGTTTCGAGCCGCAGTGCGATATCGTCAAGTGGTGCGCTGGCAGGTACATGAGATAAGACGTACGTACCAGCCACCAAAGCTTGTAGCGCAGCAGGAAGCATTGGCCCTCCTAGCGATGACGAGTAGGAGAACGGCGAGGGCACAGTTGACTAGCTTCATAAAGTACAAGAAGGCTATCTGTGGCGAGGCAGTAGTATTAGTGCGGTAAGTGGGAGCGAGAAAGAGAAAGGAGCTGAGGTGGCGATGCTTGATGACGGCAGCTTTTGGGCAGCGGGCATCGCCATCATGATGTGAACCCGCTCTGGGGCAACATTGCGCGAGGGAAAAGCCCTCGATCGTGGGCAAAAGCCCTCTCGCGCAGCACTTCCATGCCGCAAAGCGAGGGGAGCTCAGACGCTTGCGGAGGGAGACAAGCACAGAAGTTGTGTTACGGCATTATTGTCGCATTGTCTTGCGCGTGCTAAGCGGGCTTTGAGCGTGGGCGTATTCGGCGCAAAGTTGATACCGCAGCCTCTCATTGCCTAGCCAGTGAGGACCCCAAGCCTGCAGTTGCGTTGTCCTCGTCTCACACCGCGTCACGGAGAATCTCAGGGATGGCGTTGCATCCATTAGGCTCGCACTCGCACGCTCGGCAAGTGACTGCACCCGAGGGACAGCCATTCTAGGGGATATCACGGCTGCCGGCAGTTGAAGACGAATGAGGGAGAGCTTTAGGCGTATCAGCTTGGCTACGACCTGAGGCGTGCCTGCTCACCAGCTGAGTCCAGGAATAGCGCAGCATGCGGCGTGAGCAAGGCCAGCGAGGCTGACGATAGTAAGAGCGAAAACGAATGCAGCGGTTCTCATGGTGGGCGATGTAAGTCGTGTCGAGATGGCAAGGATGAAAGAGGTTCTGGCGCACGTTGGTTAGGCGCAAAAGGTCTGGAGGCAGCAAGTCGACAAAACGGCACGGCGAGAAAGCGGCCGGGCATTGCTCCCTCGCGGCCGTACTGCACAGCTTTCATCGATGATCTCTGAGTCATGACAAGGTAGTGGGAACAAATGAACATCAGAGGGCCCTCAATATGGGGACACCATGAGTGTGTACATTGGCGGCACGCGGCCGGTTCATCACGGTCAAGCCGCTGATTGGCAACGCTGTGTGCCCATCAAAGCCTGTGCCGGATCAAGATGGAGCATTAGCATGCCGTCGGCACTGGTGTCTGGCACGCTCGGCCACTCACTCATCGATGGTTACCATATGACCCACGTTCCCTCCTCTGGTAAGGTCAGCCTCGAAGTTATTCATGCCCGCACCCTTCTTGGTGGCCTTGCTGCGCTCGAAGGACCACCCGGAGGCCTTGAGCCTCGTTGCGCAGTGATCGTCGCAACACCAACACGAGTAGCCGGCGCACTTGAGGTGGCAGCCTAAGGCTTTGAAGCTATGCAAACTGACTCCAGGCTTGCTGACCTGGTTGCCCTTGGTCGCCCAGCCTTCGACCTTGAGACTGACAGCGCATTGACTGTCGCAGCACCAGCATTGGTTGCCTGAGCACTTAGGAGCGCAGCTCTCAGCACGTGGGATACCAGCTCTCAGCACGTGGGATACCCAAAACGTCTGCCGGACTGTTTGACATGTCGCGGGCAGCCTTGAAGTCATCGAGGCTGTTTCTGTGAGCAACAACAGCCTGTGAGAGACAAGAGGCCAATGAGCAGCTTATTGAGCTTTCTCTTCAGACGAAAGACGCACCAGGTTGGCCGGGGCTGCGCAAATGCTCGTGAATAGGTAGCTGAGTATGACTATAATGGCCAGAGATGCGCAGCGAGAAAGTTGCATCGTGTTGGTGACTCGTACACTTTTGTCGACTTTGTGGTATTTAAGAAGAGAAAGATGAGGAAAGCGCTATCCCCCTGCGCGACGAGCACCGCCTCGATTGCTGACACGGCGGTCCATTTGCTGCCGCTTGCAACTCAACGCAGCGGCCAACTCCTCCTTCGCCGTAGAGATGTACAGCCCCGGCGCCCCTTGACAATTCCCTGAGCCTCAGCGGCGTACGATCGCTGCAATGGCCATGGCCTCGCTCCCCTATTGTTGCCTCATAGTGTCGTCAACCTCCCTGCTGAGCTCGACTTCGCGCGCTGCCACTACTTCGCAATTTCGCACTCGATACATTCTCCGGCATCGCAGCCTTCATTGGTACATCCTGCAAAGAAAGCTGCCTGGCAAGGCATCGCGCAGTCTAGGCCTGTTCGGCCTTCACGGCGCCAGATTCTGCCGCTTGGTCCTGCTTCTCCCGCATTGACTCCTGCTCTCTCGTCTCCTCCGCAATCTTCTTCCCACGCTTCTTGAGGTTGATCCATCTAATCAGAGCAAAAGGCACGATCATCGCGGCGGCACAGGCCGTAGCTAGGTACCAGGCATCGCGCAGCGAAGCATTGTACGCCTGGGCAATGAGACCAACCTGATCCGGGTCGACACCTTGCCTGATCTCGCTGGCCCCTGCATGTGCAAGATGCGAGGCAATATTGTGAAGCTGAGGGATGGCGGACAGCTGTGCTGCCAGCTTGGACTGAAGGAGATTTTGCGCCACGGCAACGAAGATGGCGCCTCCCATCTCACGAGCAAAGAAGGTCGCAGCAATGCCAATGGGGATGTCTGGTCCAGGAAGGACAGCTTGAACGGCGAGAGAGCCGCCCTGCATTCCCAGGCCGATCCCGGCGCCGAACAAGATCTGATAGCCCATCCATTGCCCCGTCGACGTGGAGGGCGTCCATGTCGAGATGAGTCCAGCTCCGACGCTCGCTAGGATTGGCGTCGCAAGCATTCCTGGTGTGTAGTAGCCCGTCTTTTGCGAGAAGGCGCCGTTCAAGATCGAGGCGACGACGATTGCCAGGATGGAAGGAAGTGTATGGTAGCTTGCTGTCAGGGGCGATTTGTCTTGGACGACTTGGAACCAGATTGGTACTGCGTGGAGGGGCGAGACGAGTGGCTGATTAGCAATGAACAGCGAGCTAGTCGGGGATGAAACCTCGCTGCACTCACCATAGTAGAAGACGGTGGACATCGAGCCCGACAGGAGAATGAGATACCAGAAGGAGCCCAACACACTTCGCTCCATGAAGATCTTGGGAGGCAAGCTCGCTCGATCGCCGAGCCAGATTTGTGATGCGATGAAAGCCACGAGCGTAACGGCGAATACTACGAGTAGCGCAATGACGCGGCCGTTGCTCCAGGCATATCTGGCTCCTCCCCACTGCAGGGCAATAAGCAGGCAGGTGACACAGGGGATGATAAGGAGAGTTCCGATGGGGTCAAGCTGGTTGATCTGCTCGCTGACGGTCATCTTCCGCTTGTTCCTGTCCGTGAGGTCGCCGTCGAAGAAGAAGACGACGGCGAAGAGAGCCAACGCGGCCAGGGGCAAGTTGATATAGCTGAGCAAGGGAGCAAAGAGAAGTCAGCTTTGCCAGTAGCGCTAGCCAGGATGCGCACACTCACAAGCACCATCGCCAGGAGACCTTTTGCGTGAATGCACCGCCGAGGAGAGGGCCAATTGCGCTGGCGGCGCCGAACACAGCGCCAAACGAGGCCTGGAATACCGGTCTCTTCTCGAGAGGGACGAGCGCCATGACGATCTGTATGCAGCCTGAAAAGATTCCAGCAGCACCTGCTCCCGCGATGGCCCTACCAATGATCAGGGCAATGGAGTTGGGCGCAGCACCGCAGACGGCCGAGCCGACTTCGAAGAGGAGGACCGAAATGATGAAGCACGTCTTTGCCGGATTGAACTTGTAGATGCGTCCCCACACGAGCTGCAAGGCAGCGTTGGCGATTGAGTACGCCGAAAAGTACCAAGCAACATCATCGAGAGAGTGAAACTCGTCGGTGATGCGGGGCACGGCAACTCCCAAGATGGTGCGATCGAGGGAAACGAGGAACATGGCGAGAACAAGGCAGGCGATGATCGTATAGCGCTTGAAGCCGGAGATGGCAGTCGACGCCGACGGCGACGAGCGCTCTCCCTTGGCTTCGTCGTGGCCTTTGGAGGGAGGAGAAGCATCGTGCTTGTCCTGTGATGTCACTGTCGTGGCCCGGGAGAGGGTAGGAGCGGGTGCGCGTGCGGGCGTGGCCATGGTCATGATAATGATAGGTAGCGGGTAAGATAGAAACGGTCTTGGCTAATGGATTCCAAATCATCTTGAGCGAGCTGCGACGCCTCCTTTTGAATGTTGACGGCCATCTCCAGCGGACGCGATCCCATCGCGGGCTGTTGCGCTGGCCAGCATCGTTGAAGCTTGCTTCGGCCGGCGGGTAGTAAAGACCAGCATCGAGTTGGTGTTGGCCCGGAGCGCTCGACTTTGCGGATGCGGACTAAACGACCGGTCACGACACGTGGCAAAATGGAACGAGCATGGCCCGCATTCACTTTTCTGTTGAGGCTCGACGTCCGTACAAACCCGCACCTCGAAGCGACCACGACAAGCGACTCTTCCTGACGGCAGGTGTCCACTTGTAAGTGTGACTGGACTCGTACCATCGCGCTGATACCGTCAGGACGTCGTCGCTATCGGGCCCATGGGCGTCTGCTCATTTCGCCCTCTCAACGTTCGGTGCTGATAGAAGCCGATGGGGATCACGGCTACCTACGATACCGTGTTCGCCTCTTCTGACATCTAGATGGCAATCGGCCCTCGCTTGCAAGGCATACACAAAGTGGCCTTTTGAGCTCGTAGAAGCGAACCAATCCTAATTCGGCGTTGCGTCGATGGGTCGACTTGAAAGCGGTCGCGCAGTAGCGGATGCTCAGCTCAGCAAGTCACCAACTCGCACCACTGTCCGTCGTCTTCGTCGTCTTCGCTTCGAGTCAACGTGTGGCCTGTACTCTACGGTCGCATCGCATCGATGAGTGATTGCGCCTTGTGGCAGCTGTCAGGTACCAAGTGGCGTCGGCGCAACGACGCTAGTCAGTGACTCCCGCATCGTCGGGCGATCAAAAGGGCAAATCATCGGCCGCTCGTTGCTCCCCCACTTTAGGCGTCGCAACTCCGTTGACTGCTCAGCACCCAGCCGTGAGAAGCAGAGAGCGGGAGCGAGGATGCGAAGCGATGGCGATGCTTGAGTTTGGGCTGCCATGAGAGCGGCACGAGGTCCACACTGAGCTTTTCGATAAGGATGCGCAGATGCAATGCCATCGAAAACGATCATCGCGACTTGCAATAACAGCGAAGGTGGATCGATGCTCACGAAGATATGCAGACGCCATTTGCGAAGCTACCATGCCAAGTCGCTGCCCTGGGCTGCAGACGATGGTCTTTGCAGCGGTAAATGGTCTTTGTGCGGGGCGTCGAGTCAAGATGTTCATTCCACACTGCGAGTCGGGAGCGGTCTAACGTTCTTGCCTCGCCAAGTCACAACCATCGTCTCGTTGGCAACGTCGACCTGGTGGTGTCCGTCGGGCGAGGAGAGCCGATTTGAATCGCTTCACGCCGTTGCAGTCTCTCGCTGCGCTCCCTCCCTTTTCACCGCTGCGATGCAAGGCGGGGCTTGAGCCAAACCAGGGCTTCCCTGCCGCCGGCCAATTTTTCTTGCTACTGGCTGGCTGCCCTTCCGATGCGTTGCGCATTGTGTCCTGCCATCGTGCATGGGAACCAAGCCGGCGTCGTCCTTCGACGTCGAAGCGAGTCCACGTCGCGAGTCACTTGGCTGAGCCTTTTGTTACTGAGCCCACTGAGCATTCTCAGACGGGCAGCGAGCTGACGCCGGCCACCTCGCTTGTCCTCGCCACGACGATGAGGCAGGAACGAAAGCACTTTTGAGCCTAGCCAAAGTGAAATTGGTTTCTCGAGTCACGGGCAATGCAATGGGAGCGATAGAGTGCTCCTGAGCTTGCTTCCCGATGAGGGATGTGCCACAGCCATCTCGATACCAAACCGCCGTCAACGCCGATGAGGAGATTGGAGTTCCCAGTGGCGGAGTGCCCCACTCTCCTCCACCGACAGTTAGTCCACGCCGTCCTACGTCGCCTTCCCGTCCCCGCGCCGCCTCCTCACGCGGTGCTGAGATTCGGAGCATTCCCAACGAAGCGGCAGGAGCTGCAGCACTGACACACGTCGATGAGAATGAGACGAGTCCTGAATCACACACACACGCCCCCGCCATGCCTAGATTAGACGAACGGCCCCCTTCCCTCGTTGCCCCCCTCCCATTCGATGTCGGCGGCTACCTTGCTTGCCGAGCCGTCCATCCCCCCTTGCGAGCGCGACAAAGGTTCCTCGTCGCTCTATCTCCGGAGCCAGTCACGACGGCATCTTTCATCGCGTTCCACGTCCAAATCCCCAGGGCCTTCCGCTCAAAAGGTACCCAAGGGACGAGTGAGCTTATGTCCTGACTCCCCTCTACCTACCTTTCTCCACCATATCGCCGTTGTTTCATCTCTTGACTTCCGTCCACTACCTGTATCGAGGAACGGCCAGACACATTGCTCAGCATCACTGTCACTCCTCCTCATTCCCTCTTGCACGCACCCACGACTCAGCATGGCAGCCGCCCCTGCTCCCTCGTCTTCTTCCACTGTACGAGCTCGCGACTCGGAGACAGGTCGACGTCGTCGCCAAGCATGGTCGCAACAAGAGGATCAAGTCCTCATCGAAGCGCTTCGAGCAGGTGAGTGCGGCTTGACGTCAACCGAACGGCCGGCTGATCGGCCGTAAGCTCACCTGGTACCCTCCTCGCATGTGCGCTCGCTCAGCCAAAGAGGCAGCTGGCGTACGCAGCGACGATACAGCCTCAGCAGACCCGGACACGATCTCACACATCAGCTGGGCAATGGTCGCCAGCCGTCTGCCAGGTCGTACAGCAAAGGACTGCCGTAAACGTCTAGTGTATTCGCTCGACGTCAACTTGCGCAAGGGAGCCTGGACTGAGGAGGAGGTGCGTACAGAAAGTGGTAGACGCTGATGTTTTGGATCTGGTCACTGATCACTCACTCGCATCCCTGTGTCATCGCCGTAGGATCAGCAACTCCTTGAAGCCATGTCGGCCTACGCCAATCTTCGTAATGGAGACATGGCCAAAATCAAATGGTCAGCAATTGCCCGAGCCATTGGGACCCGCTCAGGTGACCAGGCATCCAAACGATGGCGTGAGGTCCTCAATCCAGCCCTGAATCGCGCCGAGTGGTCGCAAGAGGAAGATCAACGCCTGATGGATCTCATCGATACGCATCGATCCGATCACAGTAGCAGCGGCGGCGCAGGCAATGGCCTCAAGGACTGGACTTTCTCAACGCCCTCTACTTCATCTAGCTCTTCCTCTTCCTCACCCGATCCCAACAGCGGCGTCCGGTTGGACTGCTCCTGGAACGAGATAGCTAAGCAACATGGCACTCGCACCGCTCTGCAGGTGCGGAATCGCTTCATGCTCATCAGTCAGCTCAAGCACGGCGCTGGCAGCAACGGTGGTGCGGGTGCGGGAATCCCCTCTTCCATCTCACGGCTCGGGCCAGTACGACAAAACATGTATCGCGCCAAATTGGCGTCGTTTTCTTCTACGACGTCCTCATCTACTAGCAGCGGAGCAAGTGATGATGGCAGTCAGACCTCGCCCCACCTCCGCAAGTCTATCTCAGCAACTTCCAGGTCGAGGGCAAGCTCTTCTGCCACCCGGAGCGTATGGGACTACGAGCATCAGCTAGGCCGGACGTACGACGCACGGGGTGGGATTGACCCTAGCGTAGCTTCCAGCTCGGCAGCTCCGGCCTCGTACGACTCTCTGTCTGGTCCTCGACCCTCATGGCAGCAATCACCCTCGCTCTTCAGCAACTCCAGCTCCATCCCGACTGCCGGTGGATCTGAGGGCAGCTATAGCCCGGCACGGGCGGCACAGTGGGCTACGATGCCCCCCTCTACGACGATCGCATCCTGGTCACCGGCAAGCATGGCAGCCCCCGTGTCCGTCAATCCGGATCAGCTGGCCCAGTCTGCTGGAGCCTTCACACTTCCTCCTTCCTTCTTCGGGCCTAGTGCTATGGGTCATACGAGCTCACATCACTCTACTTCTGCCCCTGCTTCCCTCGACGCTGTCCATTCCTCTTGGCCCACCTCGACTCTCGCTTCGACGACTGCGCCTCTGATGGCAGGTAGCAGCGACGGCGTTTCAAGCGAGATGGACTTCTATCAATCCCTGCTGGGCGGCGTTGCTCCTCCGCAGCCACCGCCGCCGCCGCCACCACCACACGGTCACAACGTCGGAGGTAGCGTCTCGCCCTGGTCGCATGAGATCGCCAACCCGTCTTTCTCGCAGCAACAGCAGCAGCAGCAGCAGCAGCAGCAGCATCATCATCGACCTGCCGGCCTAGTCTCAAGAGGGCCAACGAACGATCCATACGACGCGATTCGCCGGTCATCTGTTGCCTCTTCGACGGAGTCCAGTGAGTACGGAAATGCAGCTGGTGATGAGGCTGCTCAGGCGCAAGGCGGTACGGGGCCCGGCAAGCATTTGAATATTTTCGGTGGGGCTTTCGTGCTGTAGCAGACGTGTGGCCATTCGGACAATATCTACCTGTCACCTGCTTCTTCTATCTGGCTTGTATCTTCTCGTGATCGACTGTATCATCTCCTTTGATTGGTGATGCGTAGAATAGATTCGATTGTTAGTAGTAGATATCCCTGCTCCATCTGCTCGGCGAGGCCAAGGCTGTGCGTGCGTGCGGCGCCCTTGTCTGTTCAGCGATGCCGGAAAAGCGGCGTCTGGGTGCCGAGAGATTGAGTCTGGTCTGAGGTCGCACGGGCACGCTGAGGCGCGGACGGCGACGTCGGCGGGAGCAAGGGACGGCACAGAGTAGGCTGGATTCAAGGGCAGCCAGACAGATGTCCCAAAGGGGCTTCTTTGCTCCCATACCATCGCCTGTGAGCCAGTGACCACTCTTACTGAGCTCTGCGATGATGGATGCTTCCCGACCCTTGCCTTCATCATCACGCACGGCGCTGGCCTCGACATCGACGCTACCACTGGGCGCAGCACCGGCTGTGCTGCCTGCGTACGTCCATCACGCCTCTCAACCTGCTTCAGCAGACATCGTGTCCTCTTCCCTCCTCACAGCCTTCAAAGTCAGCCTCGACGAAGTTGAGTCGTACCTCGTCGGCCTCGAGGCTCGCGTGAAATGTGAAGAAGACTATGTTCGGGCCTTGAGGACAACGCTGGACAAGGGCAGAGAGACGGAGGCCAAGCTCGATACCCGCGTCGGTAGCGTGGCATCGACGCTACCTGGAGCTAGTAACCTGCCCAGTATGAGAAAGGCTTGGAAAGAATTGCAGGCAGATACTAGGCAACAAATTGATGTGCGACTCAAATTCATCGAGACGCTCCGGCAGTCGACAATCGTGGGTACAGATGAGCATACAATCGACATCGACTGAGGCTCACCGTCTACCTCTATTATCTTCGCTGTCGCAGATTCCGCTACGCTCCTTCTTTGAAGCCCAAGACCGCATTCGTCGCCGAGTCAAAGAAGACCTCAAGAGCTCTCTCGCTGACTTCGAGGATATGCGACATAACCACCTCAAGCGCATTCGCAAGCAATACGAAAAGGCATGCGAAACCGTAGACACGCTCAAGGGGCAGCAGCAAGCAGTAGAAGATCAGCGTATGCTACTCAGTCCACCATCGCACTCTGCTGCTGCGGCGACGACATCGGCGCATTCTCAACGCTCCCCGCCCTCATCTTACGAAGACGGAGCCGCACCGCCGCGTCGCTCCCACTCCAAGTCAGGTCGGCATGGCCGCAACATCTCTGCTACTTCATCTCCACCAGACGAATCGCATGGCTTTGCCACCTCTCCGCCCCTCGACAGCAACGGCAACCCTCGCAAAGTCACAGCGGGTGCGCTCCTCGACGCCCTCAAGACCAAAGAGGGGTGGGAAAATGCCCGCAAGGAGGCAGCAAAGAAGACGAATGCCTTCATTACCAAGATGAGGGAGACGGGAGAGTTCGGTGGCGGAGGCGGCGGCGGCGGCAGCAGCGGCGGGAGTTTTGGTGGTGGGCACGAGCGCGTAGTCTCCGACCCTAACAGCGCTGGCCCAATCGACGGTCACATAGCCCCGTCCGGCTCGTCGCTCTCCCATTCAGCTAGCCTCTCGCAATCGCACAAACACACTCAATTCGCTCAGTCCATGGCCATCAAGATATCCAAGGCGAAGCGCGAAGCCAGCGAGGCGGACAAGGCCTATCGAAGAGTCATCTTCGATGTTGAGACGCTCGCGCTGCGCAGGGAGAAGACGCTTCACGCGGCCAGGACATCAGTCTTGGACTGCAGACGCGAGCTCTTCACCTTGTGCGGAGAAGCTTGGCTTAACTTGGTGCGCAACGCCCAGACGATGAGCAGCGCAGAGATGAGTCTCGCTCGCCACGCAGAGAGCGTCCTCGTGTCTCTACAGCAGCGCGAGAATCTGGACTCGGAGCTAGCAATCGTGGACTCGCGCCTGCCTTACCTCGACGCCACCCCCAACTCCGCCGACGGCCCGGTCCCCTACGTCAACTACTGGCACGGGGAATGCAAGTCCCTCCTCTTCGGCATCTCCCTGGTGGACTACGATTTCGCCCGCTCGCAACGGCGCTCTCCTCAGCTGCCGGGCCCTACTATCGCCGAGCCCCCTCTGATCGTGTCCAAGTGCGTGGCCTTCATTGAGGAGCACGGCATGGATCAGCAAGGCATCTACCGTACCTCTGCAAAGCACACCGCTGTTCAGCAGCTGGTGGCAGACTTCGAGCGCGATGAAGCCCGCTTCGAGTTTGACCCGAAGAGGGACGAGCCTGCTGCAGCGGCAGGCGTACTGAAGCAATGGTTGCGCGAGCTGCCCACACCAGTCATGGCAATGCCTTGGGAGGAACGCCTCAAGCTCACTCACTCGTTGGAGGAGCAGCTGGCGAATGGGTTTGCTACTTTGAAGGGCAGGATCAGGCGATTGCCCGCTATTCATCAAGTGACCTTGCGAACGATCATCGAGCATCTAGCTCGGGTAGCGGCACAGGCGGAGGAGAACAAGATGACTGCAAGAAATCTGAGCGTCATCTTCGGTCCTGTCCTACTGAGCGAGGCGGATCGCCCTACGCCTGCCAACGGTGATGCCGGCGGCTTGTCGTCTCCTCAGCCTGCCTCCTCATCAGCTGGCCAGCAAGGACAGGGAGGAGCTGCGGGTATGAGCCTCGCAGCCGCCATGGAGGAGGACAATGTCTGTCAAGTCCTCATCGAGTACTGCACCGACATCTTTGGCCATCTGGAGCGCAGCGGTGCCCCAGTAGTGGCTTGGCAGCCGCCAGGGAAGGAAGTTGGGTCGAGCTTGCATGTCGACGTTTTGCAGAGAAGTGGCAGTGGGGTGAGCAGGCAGGGGAGCGTGGCGACGTCGATGGGCAGGCGAGGCTCCTCAACGGGGCAAGGCCAGGCGGATAGGGCCGCTACGCCTGATTCGGATCGACCGCTCGTGCCGCAAGGCAGCCTGGTCAGGAGCAACGCGATTCTCGCTGGGCAAACGTCTAGCCCTCCTCCGAGCAGCCAGGCTTTGCCCGGAGCTTCACCACCTCTCCCGCCATCGCTGCCAAGGAGGGGAAGCCGAACTCTCGACAGCAATGCGAATGGTAATGCCGCTACTCTGACCTCCGCACCGCAGCATCAAGCGGCCGTGCCCGACGAAGCTGGATGGATGGGCACCGGCATGGATGGCAAGCCGACTTCAAGGCCAACTTCTTGGTCTTCGGCGATGGGCCACCAAAAGGTCCAGTCTCAAGCTTCTTCATCGCTTCTCTCGAGCTTGCAGCCTGAGCAACAGCAGACACCGCAGCTCGGCGAGTCGTACCTCCCACCGCCCCAACCGCTTGATTTGCCGATGCCGAGGGAGGAGGTGGAGAGGCAGGGAAGGGTCGGGTGACGGTGAGGTGAGAGTGCGATGAGGGATCAGGAGGGAGAAGGGAGGAGGGGCAGTAAGAGGTATGAACATAGCATGACTGTACACGACCAGATATCCGTATACGACACGACACGACGTGATTGGGCGAGAGGCAACGCTCTTTGTACATAGCTTTCGCTTCAGTAATGGCTGCATCGATCCTCTGCCTAGCAATCGCTGTGCACCTCGTCTCGCTGGCCCGAAAAGGCAGATGGCCGAAAAGAGATAGGGGATCGCATGCACATTAGCCACTCCTTTTGACCCTGCCCCAGCCCTCGCATCTACCCTCCACTTCTGTCAATCCCATGCTGCTTCGCATCACCCACCTCCCTTCTCCTGCTCAGCAGCGCGACCGCTCGTCTAAATCTTGCCCGCTCCTTCCTCTGACCCCGCAATCCAACCGTGTGCGCCGGGCCTGGGTTCAGTGGGTAGGCAATGACGCTCTCATGAGGTCGAGGGCGATGACGGCCGAGCGAAAGGGGCGGTCCTTGCTGCTCGCAAATCTCGCTGATAGCTGGCGTGGTGTGGGCCGTCAACTTCGATGTAGATGTTGTGCTTGAGGGCTTCGGCCGCATCGAGGCCAGTAGCAACTGCTCCTGTCGGTCAGCGTTGCGCCAGGAGCGGGCGAGCTGTAGGATCTCGGTGGCTCGCGACGCGAAGGAACGACGGGAAGAGGAGGTGCGAGCAGCGGTAGTCTTCCCGTCCACCGCGGTCTGCTCGACCTTTGCCTGCGACTTGTGGACTTCGCCGTGCTCCACGGGCAGTATCGCCCCAGCCACCGGTGTTGTTTCGGCCTGCGGCGAGAGCTGCTCAGCGTCGATACTGGCAACTGATCCACCATGAGCTGCCTCTTCTTCGGATGGCGGCGGCGCCTTCTCAGCCCCGGCTTCTTTTCCCATCTGGGATGTCCACCTCAACAACCTCCTCGCAGTTCGGACGGTCAATTTGAGCGTTTGAGCATTTTCCCTCACCAAGCGACGATGCGCTCTACGACGTCGTCGTCTTGTCTCGCGCGAGGGTGCGATATCACTGTGCCTGAGCCGCATCTCCGCTGCCTCAGCAGCGCCCACCTCTTGCTCTTGCGGGGTACTACGCTCCCGCAGTCTTTTGGCGTATCTCTCAATCTCTGCCATCCGCTCACCAGCCCGTCCCCATTCCCTGTCCATCTTCTTGACCAATCCCAGACCCCTGGCTACCCTTTGCCGATCGTACTTCAACAGGCTCAACAGCAGGAGCACGCTAGTCTCGTTGGGATGCCACCAGCTAGCACTTCCCCGAGGAGTAGCAGTGGATGGCCGACTGCATAGGGAGCGCACATCCTGCCACGCTGACGCAAGGGCACGACGGCCACTCCTTGCGTCGAGGGCGTGTAGCTGGTGAGAGCGAAGCAGCAGGTTGAGGAGGGTGCGCGGTTTGAGGAGAAGCGGCGGCAGAGGCTTCGGGTCGGTCTTGTGTGAGAAAGGTGAGCAAGGACTGTCAGAGTGAGCGCCTGATGTCGATTCGAGCGATGGATCTCGTTGCTGCTGGTCCTCTTCGAAGAGATCTGCGGCGAGCGATTGAGGAGGCTCCTGGTCGTCTTCTTCGCCCGCCAATAGCCCGCTTTCCTGACCGCTAACCACCGTTCCACGCCTCTGCTGCTCCTTCAGGAGAGCAGCGATGACCTCTCTGATTCTCTGCGTGTCCCCGCGTTGGGCGAAGCTTCTCAATGCAAGGTGCAACAACCAGGCTGGCGGTCCGGTCTCACTTGAGCTGTTTTGCCCGCGCAACCAATTGAGTACGACGGCATTTGCGAGCACCTCTCTCCTGACCAGCACGGAGAGGAGTGAATCTTGCTCATCGAGCTCGCCGAGGGCTTGCAGATTCAACGCACTCGGCCCAGGGTAGCGGGCGTCTTCTCCCCTGCCAGCCTGGAGGATCCGTATACGTCGCCTCAGCACCTCCTCATCTACGCATCGATCCTCATACGCCTGTCGAAAGACGTTCATAAGGTCATAGATCTGTCGTTTGACTTTTTGGTTAGCATTGAGGGTCGAAAGCCAGGTAATGAGAGGACGTCGCCGCCTGCGCTGCCTGCCTTGCTGCGAATCATTGCTCGTAGCTGGGCGTGAAGACGAGAAGAAGCCCGTGCCCTGCTCTCGCACCTGTGCTTCACCACCAGGGGAAGCCAAGCCCGCCCAATTCTCGGGTATAGGCAATGGTTCCATGAAGATGGTTTTGATCTCCTCTGGCCGCAGCTCATCTCTGTATCGCGCTGCGTGCAGTCGCTGCGTACCCTCTGTGATGAAGGGGAGCTGCAAGACGGGGTGAGAGCCAGCTTCCTTGCCTATGTGGTGCCGACGGCGAAGCGTGTAGACTAGGGAGGCGGCAAGCTGTTCGACGCGGGGAATCGTGGTGTAGTCGTCGTTGGAGGAGTTGGTGAGGGAGGCTCGAGGTGGGGCAGGATTGAGGTCTTGTTCTTCCTCGCTCACGAAGCCGATTTCATTCTTCCACCGCGCGAATGCGTCGAGAATGGCAACAAATGCCCGTCCGTCACCTACGTGGGCTGCAGTCCGCAGTAGAAGAGCCCAGGATGAAGGCGAATGGTCAAAGAGAGAAGACTTGGGAATGGGCGCCATCTCCTTTGCTTTGCCCTTTGCGTCGGCTGGGCCGGCAGCAGCGCATTGCGACTGCGCGACGAACCACTTGGCATAGGAGAGGAGCTCCTCAGGCTTTCGAGCCGCCGCGTGTGGTCGATGGTTGGCAGCTTCTGTGGCCGATCGAGGTTGAGGCACCGTCAACTGCTCAAGAGCTCTGTAGAGATTCTTTTGCGGCTGGGTCAGTGCGGTGAGTCGGCGCGTAGGTGCGGAGGATGTTGATAAAGACGAAGAGGACGCGCATCGAGCCTGAGCCTGTGGTAGTACATTGGCTCTGACATGGCTCGTTGCGCCTCGAAGCATGGAGCGAGGGGTGATGAGGCGGAACAAAGGAAAAAGGCAAAGTCCAAAGGCACACCGGCCAAAGATCAAAAGGCGGACTGAGCGCAATCCGAAGGTCAAGACAAGAGGCGGAGAGTCTAGCAGCGGAGAGCGGAGAGGAATCAAAGTCAAGGGCAGCAGCAGCATTTGATTCATCTGGTTGCATCCATCCTTGCCACCACTTGACCATCATCATGTCCGGCTACGCAGATGAGCTCCTCGATGACTTGGCATCAGATGAAGAGCAGCAGCAGCCGGCACAGTCGCAGGTCAATGGAAGCTCAGCACCTCCAGTCAACGCTGGAACCAAGCGCTCCTACCACGATGATCTCGACGACTTGAGCGACGGTGACGACGGAGAAGAGAATCAAGAACAGCAGGTCGACACCCTCACTGCCAAGCAGCCTTCCAATGGCGTACGACCTGCCGAGGAGCTCGACAGCGCCGACGTCCAATCGATGGACCTCGCCAGCATCTCGTCGGTGTCTGCCATCTCCTCGCTCCTTAGCTCCTCCAAGCTTCAAACCACCATGGCCAAGATCACCGAATTCGAAAGCAAAGCAGCGTCTTCGTCCTCATCCGGTGACGAGCAGACGGCTCAGCGCATGCAAATAGAGGGAGTCCTCGAGCACAGTGAAGAGTATCAGCTCATCGTCCGCGCCAACAACCTCGCAGTCGAAGTCGACAACGAGATTCTCCTCGTCCACAAGTTCATTCGCGATCACTACAGCCCACGCTTTCCCGAGCTGGCAGACTTGATTCCCAATGCATGGCAGTACGTCCAGGCAGTTGAAGCGCTGGGAAATGAGGACACTCTGACTTCGGGCAAGCATAGCGATCTCGAGTCACTTCTACCTCATGGCACCGTCGTTGTCATCTCAATGACGGCATCGCACACGACGGGCAAAAGGCTGCCCGACGCAGAATGGCAGCGCGTCATTGAAGGCTGCCGCGTCGTCAAGTCACTCGACGAGCACCGAACCCACATCCTCTCTTACGTCGAGTCGCGTATCAGCTTCATTGCGCCCAACCTCTCTTCCCTCGTCGGCTCGCGGGTAGCAACTAAGCTCCTCGCCGTAGCTGGCGGGTTGACAGCGCTGAGCAAAATCCCTGCCTGTAACATTCAAGTGCTTGGAGCAGCGCGAAAGAACCAACTGGGCGGGTCAGGCGTCCACGCCGCTACGGAGCGCCACGTAGGTTTCGTAGGGCAAGCCGACCTGGTGGCACAATGTCCACCCGACGTAGCGAGGCAGGCCATCCGCCTCGTATCAGCCAAGGTCGCCCTCGTAGCAAGGATGGACGCCAATCACTCATCCCCTCTGGGTACATATGGCTCCCAACTGAAACGCGATTTAGAAGCCAAAGTAGAAAAACTCCTCGAACCCCCTCCGACGAAGCTCACCAAAGCTCTCCCCGTCCCCAAGGAAGGAGGCGACAAGAAACGTCGAGGTGGCAGACGCGCACGCAAGATGAAGGAGCTGTATGGCGCGTCGGAGCTGCGCAAGGCTGCTAATCGCGTCGAATTCGGCGTGGCAGAGGAAGAGGCGGGTGCGTTTGATGAGACCGTTGGGCTTGGTATGGCTGGGGGAAATACGGGCAAGATCAGGGCGACGGCCGGGGAGGCTAAGACTAAGGCCAAGATGAGTCGCAAGAATCAGCTGAGGCTACAGGCGCTGAGTGGGGGTCAGGGGAGAAGTGGTGCTGCGAGTCTTGATGCCATGTCTGGGGGCAGTGGACAGGCGAGTGGGCTGGCTTCCTCCTCTTCGGCGTATGGTGGTGCTGGGGCTGGCGGGGGTACACAGACTAGCATCGCCTTTACGCCTGTGCAGGGGATTGAGCTGGCTGATCCCTCGGCCAGACAGCGTAAGGCGGACGAGGCCAACGCGAGATGGTTCGCGTCAGGGACGTTTAGTACCGCGCCTGGCGTGGCATCAACGACTGGGAAGGGGTCAATGGGCCCGCCAGCGCCGAAAAAGTAGAGTAGCGCCGGGAGATGCTTAGACAAATCAAATACCACATCATCAGACTCGCTTCGCCCCCATCCCTGATGAGCTGCTCATCATCACTGCCGTGAGAATGCAGAGAGAGTGGTCGCAGAGAGGCGGGGCGCAAAAGAGAAAGTGCCGATTTTCGGCATCAAACTGACGTTCAGAAATGAGTCGAAGTTGGCTTGCCAGCTTCAGTCTCATGCTCTTCCGACTAAATCATTTCGATGCAACAGCTCCGCCACACGCTACGGTGCTACATGCCACCAACTTACGTCCATCGCCCGATCTAGCGGCGTGTGGAGAATGCCGATCGATCACTTGACTCGGATATGGCGGCGATGATGTGAAGGGACCTGCATCTCGAGCAGCGGCCGAGCTTCTGAAACGGCAGCTTCGAGCTGGAGGCCCCACATCTGGGCGAAGGGGGAAAGTGGAGATTAGCTGAGAAGAGACCGGGGTGCAAGGCCTCGAAGTCTAACGATCCACTTCTTCTTCTTCCCCTCACCATCGTTCCATCTCATCACACAGCGACGCACACACACATACACACACTACACCATGGCACCGAATCAAGCCTCCCGCTCCCTCGCGCTGGGCGAAACTCCCCGTCCTCAAGGGGCCACCCCCAACGGACGCGTAGTGGTGACAGGCGGCTCAGGCAAGCTAGGCCGTGCAACCGTCTCGCACCTGGCGTCCAATGGGTGGGAGGTCATCAATTTCGACACACGTCGCCCACCTGGCGCGGCCGAAGACGGCAAGACGGGCATCGGGGGTGCCTACCGACTAGTGGAGGTCGATCTCACGGATATGGGAAGCGTCCTCGAAGCGCTCATGGAGTGCGATATGGCCTACAGCGGAATCGACGCCATTGTCCACTTGGCCGCCATCCCCAGCCCAGGGCAGACTAGCAGCTCTCGCCAGTTCCAGACGAATTTCATGGCTACTTATAACATTCTCGAGGCGGCACGCAAGCTCAAGATTACCAACCTCGTGCTTGCGAGCAGCGAGACACTCATTGGGATCCCACTGAGCACTCCTCCCCCTTCACTGCCCATCACCGAAGAGACGCCTAGGGAGCCACAGAGTGCCTACTCCCTCTCCAAGCTCATGGGAGAGCATCTAGCGGATCAGTATAGTCGATGGTGCCCAGAGAGCAAGTACTTGTCGCTTCGCTTCTCGAATGTGATGCTGCAGGAGGAGTATGCCAACTTCGAAGCGTGGCAGAAAGACCCATCGGCGAGATCATGGAACTGCTGGGGGTACATCGATGCGAGGGATGGAGCTAAGGCTGTCGAGTTGGCTTTGAAGAGCGACCTCAAGGTAAGGGAAAGTGAGAAAGTGCGCTTCGCCACCGTCATGTACGCTGAAACCCTCCCTTCCTTTGGCTTCGCTCACAGGGCCACGAAGCCTTCCTAGTCGCCAACAACAACACTGTCATGCGCACCCCGTCTGCCGACTTGGCCAAGCAGGTGTACCCTGGCGTACCTTACGAGCCCAAGACTAAGAACGCGAACGAGACTCTGCTCTGTATTGAGAAGGCAAGGAAGATGTTGGGCTTCGAGCCGCAGTACGATTGGAAGTAGGGCGGGAGAGGCGAGGGCAGAAAAGACAGCGGGATAATTGAGGGAGCGGACGGCGTGGCGTGGAATGCAAGCTTTGTAGCTACCTTGATGACAGGAAGTTGTTGGTGTGCTTGTGCTGTGACTCTAGCTCCCCCTCTAGTTTCCGATCTCACGCCGGCCCCCACTCTCAGCCATCATCTTCAGCTCCTCATTCCCTCACATCCCTCCAGCATCGCCATACCCGAATGTGCCCCTTCCTCCACTCTCGAGCCCGTCCCTTCTCTCCCTGTCCCCTCCTCTCCCCTGCTGGATCAAATCAAACTTGTCCACATACTCATTCAAGCTTCGCATCCCCGCAGTCATACGGCTGAGCGAAGAGATGAGGAGAGCATCGTTGTACTCGCGCAGGAAGTGCGTGCGGAATCCGTCGTCATCCTCCTCGGCTTGCATTGCGGCGTTCGCTGGTGGCGCGCGGGGCATGGAGGAGAGGATCGACTTGAGTTGCCTTAGAGCTTCGTGGTCGCGCTGCCCCACTGCGCTGCCACTGCCATTCGCCCCTGCGGTCACCCCTTGTTGTCCTCCAACTTTCGCATCTTTCGCAAGCAGACTGGTCACATAGCCGTGCGCCATCTTGATGCGCGCATGCAACATCCTGATGGCAGATTGCTGGCTCTCCAACGAAGAGATGACTGCTCCATGCTCCCCTTCGCTCCCCTGCGCTCCGGCCGGCTTGCTCACGTAGTCGACAGCGATGCGCTCTGCTTCAGCTGTTTCGATCCTGTAGCCATTGGACTCCACGAGGATCAGGGACGTAGATGGCTCGTCGCTGCTGGCGGTAGGAGGTGCCGCGCCCTCATTGCTGCTGTCAATCGGCTGGTCGGCCGAGGTGACAGCCATCTGCGACTCGTAGACTTGTATGGGCAGCTGTCCGCGACCGTCTCTTCGCGCGAGGATGTCTGCATTGGGGCTGAATTGAAGGAAGAGAGGGGACTCGTTGTATTCGAGGAACTGCACACGAGGGGGCACGGGGTCAGCGTCGGGTGTAGGCGATGCGAGGACGGTGAGGGTGGTGGCGCCACTCACCTGCTTGTGGACGGCTACGTCTGCTGAAGTGGGGCGATTGCCATTTGAGTACCAGCCTAGGAGGTCGAGTGTGGGAAACGTTTGCTTGTCTGAGGAGAGGGGACGAGGGAGGTCAGCTTCGTCAACAAATCTGATGTCCTGTGCTGGGCGCACACTCACACTGCGCTTGCCTGCTTTTAAAGAATGCTTCATCTAGCTTTCCCTCTACGTCTACCTTGACTTCGAATGTATTCTGTACCTCCAAGTGCCTGCCATTCTGTGTGCCTAACAGTACGCCGTAGACGTGAAGTGGCTCCTTTCCTTGCTGCTGCTGAGCACACGAGCGGACGATATGCTCCGAAATGGACAGAATAGGAAGCGGATGCAAGCTGAGGAGCGCAGCCGAGGTGGATGAGGGTGCCGCCTTGGATGTAGACGGCCCTGCTACAGCGTCCGCCATGACTAATGATGATGCTGTCGTTGAAGGGTATAGTAGTGAAGTAAGGTGGTAACAGAGTCAGGCCTCGAGTGTCGTTCGCCTGTCCGTTCTGACCCAACTCGACTTGACTTGACTGGGCCCGTGCACCGCTCTCGAGGTCATGCCATCGGCTCCGGCCCGACTCACCCAATCAACGACGACGGCAAGGGCGAGACCGAGACTGAGCGGTCAGGGCAGGCAGGCAGGCAGGCGGGCAGGCAGGCACAGACGGTCAGTCAGCCGCCCAGGTCAGTGCAGCAGCAGCGGTATCCACTTGACCTTGACGCCGACATCACCACCGCGACGAGGCAGCCGCCCTCCAGTAAGGAAAAGAGGCAGCATATACGCACCTGGGCACGTCGCATGGCCTTTGTATACACCATCATCACACGCCTCGGTGCCTCCTCGTCGCCCTCATACCCGTCCATTGCAGTCTCGCAGCCATCCCCGTCGAGAGGATGAGCGCAGCGACCGAGACCAATGCCAGCAGCAACGATGCCAATGGTCAGCCAACACAAGATACCGTGAGTACGACACCCGTCGTATCCAACGATGCCATCTCTGCGCCCGCCGTGTCCGCGCCCGCGCCGGCGTCGACTCCGTCGCCTACATTAGCTGCAGCGACGGCGGCTGGTCTGGGAGGTGCAGCACCGCCAAAGAAGTTCACATCCTTCAATGTCAACAAGATGTTTCTTGAGAAGGCCAGCCCAACACCACCACCGACAGCATCCGCTTCATCGCCTTCGCTAGCAGCAAAACCAGCTACACCTTCCGTGTCAACAGCCAGTCGACTATCAGTCACGCCTGCTTCAGCGGCATCGCGCCTCACGTCGGCCAAGCTCGCAGCTACGCCCAAGCCTGCGCAGCCATCATGGGCATCACCAACTCAAAGCGCAGCAAAGGCATCCCCACTCCCAGCCTCATCAGGGTCCGCAGCAGCTGCAGGCGCCACTGCCTCTCCACGCCTATCGACGACGATGTCCAACGCCCGCTCAGCCTCGCCCGGTGGAGACGTCAAGGCCAGTCCAGGGCTGCGGGCAGCGACACTGGGGTCAATGAATCGCAGCGGCAGCCCAGCATCAGGCAGTCCATCCACTGCCGCCACAACGGGCCCTTCTGCAGCACCCTGGGCCAAAGTCTCCAAAGGTCCCGCCACATCTTCATCCTCGCGCATCGCCAACAAGGACTTCCCTACTGCCGCAGAGGCCGCGGCAGTCAAGAAGGCGCAAGAGGAAAAGGAGAGACAAGAGGCGGCAGAAGCTCAAGCGCGGCACGAGCAGTACCTGAAAAGCTTGGACCGCTTTCGTGGGACTACGAACACGCAGAGTGGTGAGCACTGGGACGAGCTCGATGATGAGGACGGCGGGTTCCTCGACGAGGTCGTCGAGTTTGCAGATGGCACGCAGTACAAGATTCCGGCCCATCCTTCACAGAAGGAGAGCGAGATGGATCATGCTAAAGAGGGCGCGACAGGGCCGGGAGGTGTACCGGTGAGCAAGGAGGAGCGATTCAGAGATGTCAACCACGATCGCAGCTGGCCACAGAAGCAAGCTCAGGCTCAACAGGCGGCAGTAACGTCAGGGCAGGCGCCGCCAGCATCGCAGCCGCAGCCGCAGCATCCGGCACAGTCCGCCCCACGAGTAGCAGCGCCCGTCCAGCAGCAGCCGGCTCGACGCCCTGTTGTAAAAGAGACACTCGACATCATGTCAGGCGAGGCGTCCATCTCTCTCGACTCGTATGCAGGACGTGGCGGAGGGTATGATGCAAGAGGAGGATCGCGCTTTGGAGGGCGGCGGTACGATGACGGGTCAGGGGGAGCAGGAGGCGGTGCAGGAGGGGCCCCGCCTGTCAATCAGGCTGCGGTCCGAGCTTGGGGACCGCTGGCGCAGCGCAATCAGACGCACCAGTCGCTCGGTACTGGTGCTCCGAAGCCCACCTCGCCGCCGGCCAGCAATGCGACTACTTCGCCGACGATGGCTGCGCCAGCGCCTGAAGCTCCTCCGCAGATCAAGTCTCCGCCAACGATCGCAAAGCGCCCATCGCCTTACGCAGCGACTAGCAAGCCCGCAGCCACAACGGCAGTCTCGCCACCCCCGCCGCAGCAGCAGCAGCAGCAGCAGGCCGTAGCCCCCGCGCCAGCTCCATCGACTGGGAGAGCCCTGCCCCCGCATCTCGCCATCCAACAGCAGCAACAGCAGCAGCAGCAGCAGCAGCAGCAGCAACCACAATCGACGCCGCCACCGCCGCCGCCTCAGGCAAGAGAAATCGAGCGCCCATCAGCACCAACTCCATCAACAGCGGCAGCTGCTACGAGCTCGCCCTCGGCCCCAATCGTTGCGCCCTCTAAGCCCATCGTGCCTTGGGGAAGAAGAGCAGAGCCGGCTGCCCCTACCAGCCCACCTGCGCAACCTGCAGCTCCAGCACAAGCAGCTCGCAGCCCGCCCTCTTCTGTCCGCTCTCCGGCCGCCGCAGCTGCCCCTCCCGCCGCCTCGACCGACGCGTCCGACCGGCAAGAGATGCACTCAGCAGTGGAACGTGCTCGTCGACGTCGGGAAGAAGAGGAGCAGCTTCGAGCTGCCGAAAAAGAGCGGGCGCGTCTGAAGGCCGCGGCTATCGAGGAGAAGATGAAGGCCGAGGCTGAGGCGAAAGCCGAGAAGGAACGGGCAGCCAAGGAGGCGCAGGAGGCTCAAAGGAAGAAGGCCGAGGGAGAGAGGCAGAAGCGATTGGAGGAGCAGAGAAGACAGGCAGCCAGTGCTGAGGAGGCGCGCAAGAAGCAGGAGACGGCAGCCGCTGCGGCTGCTGTTGCTACAGCGACGAACGCGAGGCCGAGCTTGTGGGATCCTAAGGCTGCGGCTCCGCACGGCACGATGCCGATGCCTAACGGACGCCCCTCCCCTCCCACCGTCCTCTCACCAAGCGACGAAGCCACTTCATGGCGTCGTAAAGCGCCCATTGCTGCCCCTCCCGGTCCGGCGGCTAGACGCTCTCCAACAGCTCAGCCGTTTGCGGCTTCGCCCAAGGGTGCTACATCGCCAAAGCAAGGCAGTCCGCCGTCGCCGCAACTGCTCCGTCGCCCTGCGCCTGGCCTGCCCTCTACCTCGCTGGAGAGTATGGCGAGCTTGGATAGTGTGATTGATCAGATCAGGGCAAATGATGATGCCAGCGCCAAGGCGAGGGAAGGGGGTGCTGCTACGCAGCCTCAATCTCAGACCCAAGCTCAGGGCTCGACGCAGAAAGGTCTTGCGATTAAGGGAGTGTCTGGTCAGGCGCAAGCTGGACAACAGCAGCAGCAGCAGCAGCAGAAGGGCTCCGAGGTCACATCCTCAGCTACAGCACCAGGGCAACGTCCGATCCCCACCGGGCCACGCGCTGCCGCAGGAGGAAATGACGCGCCTCGAGGCAAGCAAGCTACTCCTCAAGTAACAGCTGCGCCGTCAGCCAAGCCTGTCGCTCCCCCTCGTCCCGAATCCTTCGCCACGCGGGAGTCCTTGCCCCTCGACCCGCCCCCGGTATGGAACAAGTTCAAAGTCCGGGTCAATCCCTCCTCGTGCAAGGCTTCTAAGCCTGCTACCTTAGGCCAGAACAAGGGGAAAGCTCCGGTCCACCCGTCCGCATCCTCGCTCGCCTCTCAGCAGCAGGCTCAGCCTCGCCAGCCCTACATCCTGACGTGGGAGCCACCGCTCGTGACACTGAGCGCGCGTACGCTGAATCGAGACGATGAATTTTTCAGGAAGCGATTTCAAAGGGGCAAGGTGATCAGTGAGGTCGTGTTGCCAAATAAGGACAAGGAGATGAGAAGAGGGGCTGGACCACCTGCTGAGCTCGGAGTGAGGAAAGGAGCGGAAAAGGCCGGCACGGTTCAGCAGGGTGTGCCTGCTGCAAAGGAGGTAGAGCCCTCTGCAACCGCAGCACTTTCTCCCGGATCAGTAGCCGTCAAGCTCCCCTCGCAGGCATCCGCCTCGAAGACGGGCAATCTGAATTCGCCGCGATCGTCTGCACCGGCAGCTCAACCAGCCGCATCTCCAGCTGGTCGTGCCCCACCTACGGAGCCAGCGTCCATGCGCGCGCGTGGCCACTCATCGTCTGCGGCGACCAGCCCATCGGCGACATTTGCTGCGGGACCGTTCGCCACGACATTGAAGCCAAGCCTAAGCAGCGCGGAAGCCCAGCGCGATGCGAACGGAAGCAGCTTGGCTACGCCCTCCCCGTCAGCAAACGCCTCAGCGCCAGCTGCGGGGGCCAGCTCTTCCCCATTCGCCTACCAGTCCTCCTTCCCCGTCGACCTTTCCTCGACCACTCGGCCAGAGCTCGACTTCAGCGCCAGCAGCAGCAATGCGCAACGCGGTGGCGGGTTGGCCTTCTCGCATCGAGCTGTGATCGGGAGCGGGCGTGGTGGCCAGCCAGCCTCATTCGGCACTACTCGCCCAGGCGCCCACTCACCGAGCTTCATGGTCAATTCCGAGCTAGGCGGGCCTTCGCCCTCTTCAGGAGGAAGCGTAGCGCAAAGCAGCAGCCTCGCAGGCTCATCGGCCCTGTCTGGCCTTCCCGTCTCCCCTTCCCCGTCTGTGGAGATGCCCGTACCCCACCACCACGCAGCAGCAGGGGTCCCCTTGACTTCTTCGACTTCGCTGCCCGCCTCGAGGGTGCATAGCACCATGCCTACTCCACTCCTTCCTACCGCCGGCTTGGCGGGCAACTCTGGGACGAGCTCCACATGGGGTCACGGACCTTTGACGTTCCTCGAGAGCAATGCTGCCGGTAATGCGAGCGGTGGAGGTGCGCAACATGGAGCTAGCCGCTACTATCAGGCACGACCGCACATGGCCTCCATGATGATGCCTTCAGCGAGCCAGCAAAGCACCGGCGCCGCCTCGTCGACTCAAGCAGGGTCACACGGCTCTGCTGAGCTAGGCGATGTGGGAACGGACAACTTCCTCCCCTCCAGTCTGCTAGATGACGACGCAGCCACACCTTCGCCTGGGGGTATGCACGGACGCAACGGCGGACTCGGAGTGGGAATGGGTGGTCCTGGGGCAACGAGGACAACGAGCTTGCTGGGCAGCAGGAGTGCTGGAGACTTGCATTTCCAGCAACAACATGCTCACCAGCAAGGCTATGGTCAGCCGTCGGCGTACTTCCAGCAGGGGAATGTCGCACAATCGCCGTACTTGCTGCAGGCGCCCGGAGCAGGTGGCTACTACCAGCAGCAGCAGCAATACGCGAGCATGCCACAGCCTCACCATTACGGTAGCGGTCAGCAGCATCAGCAGCAGCAGCCACAACAACGCTATGGAGGCTACCAGCACTACGCGGCCAGCACGAGTAGTCCTTACCTCGATATCGCAGCGCACAGCCCCACATCTTCGCAGCCAACGGCGCAGTCGCAGGCGCGATACGGCGAGTCCACGGGCTCTCGATTTGCAGGGCGCGGCTTGTCGTCGACGTCGACGTCGAGTTCGGCGTACGGCGTACCCCCGCACATGAGGCTCCCACAGCAGCAGCAGCAGCAGCAGCGGCAGTATGGCAGTCCCTCTGCCTCGATGATGGGATCCGCCACCGGCCCCGTCGATGGAGGATCGGGGGACGCGGCCACCTCTGGGGATGAGAGCGAATACTATGTACCTCACCCGCAGCAGCAGCAGCAGCAGCAGCAGCAGCAGCAGAAGCAGGCTCAGCGTCAGGATGGGCGATACGGAGGCTGGGGCAGCCAATCTGCCGACGGCCTTCTTCCCTCCGCCTCCTCAAACAGCGCGGCGAATCGCAGCCCAGCGGGCTCGCGGATGCTTCCCTCCTTTGGCGCGTCGTCTGCCTCATCCTCGCCTTCTCGCGGGTACGGCAGCTCTGCCAGCAAGACGCCAACGCCCCGCTATGCCCAGCACTCTGATGGACCGACGGACCCAGCTTTGTCCTTGGGATCGCAGCGTCTGAGCGCGACTGCTCAGGCATTCACGGCTGGCGGGACAAGGGGATCGCCACAGCGTCGTGCTGCTCCCTCCTCCCAAACTCAGCAGGGTCAGCAGGCGGGACAGAGGAGGAGCGCCTCGGCTACGGAGGCGAGTGGTGCGAGTGGAGGAACGGCGGACGACGGCGAGGAGAGTAGGAGGGTAAAGAGCCAGGCTATGGCTGCGGATCTTTGGAAGTGAGGGCGAGGCGAAATCGCGCGCCAGGATGATAAAGGGCGAGGCGGGCCATGAAGAGAGGTGCAACCTTGGAGGGCGTCGAGCTCTTTTGTTCTATGTATCGCGACACAACAGACGACACATTTCGCTACCCATGCGGCATGCATTGACATTGCTGCGATGATTCATGGGCGCTCGCTCAGATGCCTCTTCCTCCCGTCACCTCGATGATCTGCCCGTTTACGTAGCTGGCGAGCCCACTTGCCAGGAAGAGGACTGCACTAGCAGCCTCGTCAGTTCTTCCCGGCCTGCCCAGCGGGATGTCCGCCGTAGCATTGACACTCGCTCCCCCGCTACCGCCAGCAGCCGGTCTGCCTGGAATCCCAAGCGCAACCTTCTTGCCATCGATCTCAATGGCAGCACCGCTAGCCTTGGATTGAGTGAGGCGAGTGTCGATCCAGCCAAAGGCGCACAGATTTGCTCGCACGCCAAAGGGACCCCATTCTTTTGCCAGAGTCTTGGTCATCCCAATCAATGAGGCTTTGCCGGCCGCATAGTTGATTTGCCCGACATTACCGTGGTTGCCCGAGGTAGAGCCGATCTGTACGCCCAGTGCGAGTGTCAGTTGAGGAGGATGAAGAGGCTGGGGTGATGAGAGGGGGGCGGACTCACCATGACGATGGAACGATTCTCGCGCTTTTCTGCCTCCTTGATTCGCAGGTAGGGGGCAGCAGCTCTCGCCAGCCTGAAGGGGGCTACCGTGTGCACCTCGAGCATCATGCGGAAGGTGGCATCGTCCGTGGTATGGAGCATCTTGTCGCTGCCCGCGCGATAAGGCAGAGGAGAGAGAGGAGTGTCAGTAGAAGGCGGCGAGTGGAAAACGAGGCTGGCTATATGCGGTCGCCGCTCTCACTTTGTGAATCCGGCATTGTTGATCAGATGGTTGATCTTCCCCCACTTGTCGACCGCAGCCTTGACGACGCCCTCTGCAAAATCGTCTGCCATGACGTTGCCCGCAAAGTCGATTGCCTCTCCACCGGCATCCTGAATCTCTTTGGCTACGGCAGCGGATCGAGCCTTGTCGAGGTCGGAGACGACTACTTTTGCGCCATGAGAGGCAAAGAGGAGAGCAGTTGCGCGGCCAATTCCTTGACCGGAGCCGGTAATGATTGCTACTTGATCCTGGAGGAGTGCGCCGACCAGGGGTGATGGGCGAGGAATCACGTCCGAGGGTTGGAGGTGCGATGCCAATTGAGCTAGACGAGACGAAGAGGACATGGCGGGCAGTGATGAGGAGAAGAGGCGAAGAGATGTGGAGTGCGGGAGTGAGTGAGCAATGGTAGGGACCAGGTGAGGGAAGATGAGCGCTGCACGACGCAACATGTAGTCACGATGGGAAAGCAAAGGGCGCACGTCCGGCTTCGAGTGGGTCAAATCCAAGGCCGGAGTCGAAGCCGGCCCTCGCTCATGCCGGCCACGCGACTGACCAGAGCCGAGTGGAGCGGGGCCCCAGACTAGCGAGACCGAGGAGGCAAAAGCAGCTTCGCTCTTGAGCAAACTCACAATCATGGCAATGAGGTGGGTGAGCTTGCGAAGAGCATGCGTGCCCGCTCTGCGACCGTATTGATCCAGTGGCCGCAATCCGCAACAATGTCTCTTCCGCAGCTCGTCACCGGCGCAACGAAAGGGCGGAACGCACAGCCCATCCTTCACACGCGTCCAGGGCGAGCGGAAGAAATGAAAAGGCGCCGAATACGATAGGGTCATACCATGCCCTCGCACACCACCAATTCTGTTGCGCTGGTTCGAGAGGAGCGTGCAAGGTTCTCGCCTTTGAGTGCGCACCAATTTGTCTTCCAAAACACATCGATCCGAGCTGGCAGTTCCTCTCACCCCAACCCCACAGTCTACGCCACCTCACCACAAGCCTGCCCTTCGATCCGCATTGTAATGCACGCCGTCTTGTGGTCGATCCTTTGCGTGGTTCAACTCGTCCTCAGGACCGCAGCGGACCACTACACTTGCGACTGGCAGGGTCCTGGCCTGCTCTCTCCCGAATCGTACGGCACATACCAACTGTTCTGCCGGGCGCCCAAGATCGAGATCAACAGCACTCACGCTCAGTACATTTGTCCCTCTCCCATCGTCCTCTACGCTCTTGCAGCCGACTATGGTTTCCTGGCTCCTGGCAAGCTTGAGTTCTCGACGCCCTGCGGGGGTGGGGGCTACGGGACTAATTTCGACTGCAGCTATCACACTTGGGCCCTCTGTGATGCGCCCGCAGGCAAGGATAATGACCCTTCGACCTTTAATTGTCGCTATATGGGTCGTATGGATGATTGTGAATGGCCCATCACCTATGCAAACTCGGCCAATGCGCCCAAGAGCGTGGATATCTGGAGGAAGAAGGAGGGAGGGCCGTGAGATGTGCGCGCTCAGACGTGAGGCAGAATTGACTTCTGATTGACTCTAGGCAGGCAGTATCTGCGCGAGTGAAATGGGACGCTCGCTTTAACAAAAAGAGAAAGCAGAGACTTGAGAGTGAACTCGAATTGAACGATGGAGAGAGGGTAGGGCGGCCGTTGACGTCTTCTGACCAGCTGCGGTTGGCGCACGAGCTGGACTGATCCTTAAGAGCTTGTCCCCTCGACGCCCTTCAGATAGCTTGACCCTCTCTGGGTGGCTCAGCTGGAGGAGCTACCCGTCTTGACAAGCCAGGCAGGCTAGTTGTCCTTCTCGATGACCTCAGAGCGTAGAACAGGTTGGTTGGGTGCAGTGCTCTTCGTCCGTTTGGCATCAGTGCGAGCATCACCGGCAAAGGAATGGCCACCCTGTCCAGGGATGGCACGGATCATCTCTGACCTGCGGGCGTGCTGGCATGAGCAGTTGTTGACCGTGCACTGAGTTGATGGCTGGCTGCGCGCAAGAAGCAGTGCCGCGTGTTAGCGGGAAATACGGAGAGCAGCGAAGGCGTAGAGTCAAGAATGGTGCGCACCATTGCCCGTAGATTACGCAGCAGTTCGTGGCAGAAACCATGGTGGAAAAGGCAATCAGTAGGTAGAGGAATGTCGTGAAAGCAAGAACACCGAGGGAAAAGCGACGCTTGCTGTGGCCCAGAGCCTTGCCCCGCTCGGTACCGCCGCCGCGAGACGCAGGAGTAGCGACCATACTGTTGGAGTTCATGGATTCTTGGAGTTGCGCCGTTTTGCTTCGCGGTGATCAGGAGGATAGTGAAGAGAAGCTGCTGTTGCCAACGTACAGTAGCTGCCCATCGATCTGCCCTCTTGGCCCTTTGCTTCTGCGGCGGCATGACAAGATCGTTTGGCGCCGCTGGTCACGCGTGCAAACGAAGAGGCGGCTGAGCATGTCAGCCCACCATTGGCACCAAGCACTTCTGCCCCGAAGGAGCCCCGGGCATGTTGCCGCACCCTTGCCCACCTCCGCAGTCTAGACGATCGAGTTACACGCACCGAGCTAGTCAGATGTGCCGTTGTACTTCCCACCACAATCACACCTCCGCGAGCTTGACCTCGCCCGCATCGACAACACTTCTTCGCGCTCTACGTTATGCTGCACAGACACTGGTTTTCGTGCATTCTCTACGCGGCATTCTCCGTGCTCCACGCGGCCGCAGACCATCACACTTGCGAGTGGCAGGGGCCTGGCACGCTCTCGCCCGAAAAGTATGGGTACATTCTTTTCTGCAGAGCGCCAATCACGATACTCAACACAACCCACGCCGAGTATGTGTGCCCCTCCGTCTACTGGCTGAGGATCATGGTCGCCGACTATGGCTTCCTCCGACCCGAGACGCTTGAGGTGGCGACGCCTTGTGGGCATAAGGGCTTTGCACGCGGCTCTCAGTGCGACTACCATACGTGGGGCGTCTGTGATGCGCCCTCCGATAGGACCCGTGACCCCTCAACCTTCAATTGCAAATTTATTGGACGGAAGGACGATTGCGAATGGCCTGTTACTTTTCCCACCTCGGCTTATGCGCCCGTCAGTGTCGATATTTGGATGAAGCTGAGGGGGGGGTCCTTGAGATGGTGCGGCTCATTGGAGCTCGTGGAGCCCAGTGAGGGTGACACGGTGACGGTTCGTGGGGCAACGCGACGGTCTTCTGCGATACTTTCGTCGACCTTGACAAAACGCGTTGCGTGTCTTTCGCTCTTCGCCTGACAACGAGGCTGTGCTGCTTTTGCTGGTCGCTCTCCCTCCGAGCATGATGAAATGATAGCTCGTTGCTCATTTGAAAGCCGAAAATAGGGCTGGCTGTGACTTTCGCGCAGGCGTCGCCAACGTGAGCCTGAGGGGGAGGCGTCTCCCTTTAGCAGTCTGGTTCAGCTGGCTTGGAATGCACCTTCACCTCTTCTCATGCGCCGTCGTTTGCGCGCTGGCTAGCTACACACGTGCATCAAGCGGACTCGTGCCGGGCCGGCCGTAAGGATGTCCTCTTTGCCGTCCAGTCCTACTCCATTGCCTCAATGAAGCCGCCGAGATATCGCCTCAAGCTGCGGCGAGTCTGGATGCAAGGCTGCGCACGTTCGTTTGCCGAGACCATCTCCCAGGGGTGTTAGCGGCTCAAAAAGTCAGGATCAATGAGCTTAGCTTCGCTTTCCCTCCCAACTCACCCTCGATCGCCCATTATGCTCAGTCTCTGTTTCTTGGCCATCGGTGTACACGCGGTCGCAGTCGTAGCTACCCACTCGCAATGCCTCTGGCAAGACCAGGGCAAGCTTTCACCCTCACTTTACGGCTACAATAATTTTTGCACGCCCGTGAAGCACGCGGTCAATACTACTCACTCGCAGTACTTCTGCAGGAGGCGAGCTGAGGGGGTCGGAGCCAATACGACGGTCCTGGTAGCCGACTATGGGTACCTTGCTCCGCAGACGCTCGAGTTCGCGAGCCCTTGCTCCCGTGGGTACGCACCGGACTGTGACGTCCGCTTTTGGGGAGTCTGCACAGAAGCTGCGGATCTTGGCAAAGATCGGAATCAGACCTTTTCGTGCCGCTATCTTGGCCGCAGAGACGACTGCGAGTGGCCTGTCAAGCTCGACAAGTCGCCCGACAGGATCAGTATCTGGTCTAAGCGGCGTTGATTCGGCAAGCGGCGTTGACGCGGCAAGCGGCGCATCAACGCAGACGAGGCTGGTGATACCGCTGCGACCGTACGGCCCTCTCCAGCCAAGCAGAGAAGCTACAGGTCTCCTCGAGCCCGTCAAACCCATACTATGCTCCTCCTCCGCCTTGCGCATCAGAGCCGGTCGTGCAAGACGTCTTTGCACCCGGCGTGCCATCGATATGCTCCCTCGAACTGTCCGTGCTCTTGAGCTGATTTGATGGCGAAGCGAAGCGAGGTGATACGCGGAGAGGGCGGCTCGCCCACGCTCTTGCGCTTCGTGATCGTTCGTCCTCGCACTCGCGCATCGCCATGGTCATCTCGATCCGCTTCGAGGCCTTTATCCTTGATTTTGCCCCCGCTTTGCATCAAAAGCCGCCAGATGAGCTCAGCCATTGTCATGTGCTCCTTATCTCTGACGCTGGAGCGAACATGCACTTGAGGACACAACGCATCTTGATCTCCATTTTCTCTCTCCATCACCTCAAACAGCCAACCTTACGTCGTCAACATGCACGCCATTCGCCACTTCATCGCCTACTGGCCTCGCCTCCTCTTGCTGGCTCTCTTGGTCCTTCAGACTCTCCTTTCCACCCCTCGCCTGGGAAGCACCGGCTTAGGCATGGTGCAGGCTTTGGGAAGCTGCTGCCAGACGCAGGAGGTGAGTCCGCTTACCGTGCTGAATCATACCGAGTCACTGACGGGCCAGCAACTTCGCAACGCAGGGCACGTACTTCAGTCGCGTTGGAGGATGCCCGAAGGGAACGTGAGTACGGTGGCGCCCCTTTCAACAACAGCTGCAACTGACGCCCTGTCTGCTCTCTCCTGACGTCCCTGCACACTCGCAGCGACTATGCTGAGGCGTGTCATTGCAAGCACTCTTGCAAGAAGCCTCCTCTCGCTAGGGCCGTGAGCGAGGGTCGCGGCCTTGCCGTCGTTGTGGAGAAGGACAAGTAGCCACGAAGAGAGTGTGAAGCCGGGAGTTTGCAAGCAGCAGAGCTGTGGTATCTCCCTCCAATCGTTCTCAGAAGCTCTCCTCCTCGAACAATCCCAGCCACATGTCACGTCGCGCGAAGTGCTCCTTGTGACTTGTCATGATCTTGACGGTCGCACAATCACGCCGAGCTCGCACAGAAATCAAAGAGGTAAAGTAATAGCAAGCTTCGTCTATTCATCATCATCGTCGCATCACATCGCGACGTACCGCACGCTGCGGCATCCGGTCTCTCGCCTGCTACAGTAAAGTCGAATCCGTTCGAGTCCGTGCCTCTCTGCCCCTCGCCCTTACTTGAGCATCTTCTGGAGGGCGTCAACGCTGAACGACTTCGGCCTCTCGATGCCCATGCCGTATGCGCGGTCCCACACCAGCTGGGTGAGCGCCAAGGCGCGGGAGATACCGAAGACGACGGTGTAGTACTTGAACTCGGTCATGCCGTACGAGTAGAGGACACATCCGGAGGCCGAGTCGACGTTGGGGTTGGGGTTCTTGGTCTTGCCGTGCTCGGTCAGCACACCAGGAGCGACGCGAGCGAGCTGCTGGACAAGCTGGACGAGGGAGTCCTTTTGCAGCTCAGGGCGGGTGTCGCAGAAGCGCGAGAGAGCAAGGAAACGGGGGTCGGTCGAGCGAAGGACGGCGTGACCGTAGCCGGGGACGACACGGCCCGAGTTGAGGGTGGACCAGAGGTGCTCCTTGACCTTCTCGTCCGAGGCGTTCTCTCCCACAGCCTTCTGGAGGCCCAAGCAGAAGCCGAGTACCTCCTGGTTGGCGAGACCGTGAAGGGGTCCGGCAAGACCGGCGAGACCGGCAGAGTAGGAGAGGAAGGGGTCAGAGAGGGCAGAGCCGACGAGGTGGAGGGTGTGGGCAGAGACGTTGCCTCCCTCGTGGTCACCGTGAATGGCAATGTAGAGACGGAGGTAGTCGGTCATACCCTCGTGGTCACCGTAGCCGATCATGTTGGCGTAGTTGCCAATCAAGTCGTTGGAGGGGTCGATGGCCTGCTTGCCGTCACCCTTGCCGAAGACGTTGTAGTAGATGCGGGCGGCAATGGCGGGGATCTTGGCAATGAGGGTGATGACGTCGTCGTAGGTGGGGGACCAGTACTCGGACTTCTTGATACCTTTGTTGTAGGCGGCCGAGAAGGCAGAGTCGTGGTTGAGAGCAGCGACGGCAGCCGAGAACTGGGTCATCGGGTCTGGTAGAGAGCGGGTGGGTTGGCGGTCAGCTACGGACTGGGCACTCTGACCATGCCTACTCACGGAGCGTCTTGGGGAAAGAGTCGATGATCTTCTCAACGTAGTTGGGGAGCTTGCCCTTCTCAGCGAGCTCAGCAGAGAGGCCACGGACCTCGTCGACGGAGGGGACCTTTCCTGTGAGGAGGAGCCAAAGCATGGACTCGGGGACTGGGGGCGCATGCAAATGAGTAAATGCTATGTCATTTCTGCTATTGTCGGACACTCACGCATCTCCTTGCCCTTGAGGCCGAGGTCCTTTGCGGTAGGGAGCTCCTTCTCGCAGTCCGGGATGCTCCTGCCGTGGAAGGCGATACCGCGCTCAGAGTCGAGGACGGAACCCTCCCAGAGCATGCACTTAAGGCCACGCATACCGCCCAGGAGGTTCTCAAGCTTGACCTCGCCGAGGGACGAGTTGTTGTGCTTGGCCTTGAGGGCCTTGAGCTGCTCCTGCTTCTCCGGGATGACCTGGGCAACGGCATCCTTGAGAGTCGAGGCGTAGCGCACGCTCTGGGCGGCCGAAGCCCACTGACGAGCAGGAGCAGCCGAGCGGAGGGCGACGCGGGGGAGGGTGACGGAGAGCATGTTACTGATGGGCGTGAGGTGAAAGGAGGTGTAGTGAGGTCGTGGTGGTGAGGAAAGGAAGAAAGTGCGGTCTTGCTCTCCCGTTGCTCCCTAATCTTGGCTGGCGGCGCCTCTTCACGTCCGGCCCAGACGGGAGTAGCCGTTGGTTGGCGCACCACTCAACTGTCGAGACAGACTCTCTTCCGTCTGCGTCTGCGTCGTCGTCGTCGTCGTTGCATTGCGCCCCGGCCCCTTCTCGCCGTGAGCCGCCCGCCCGCCCGTCCGCCGCCTGGGCCTTTTCATTTTCGCCGCCTTGGGACGACGACGCAGCAATGGAGCCCAATCAATCGCGACGACGACGCCGTCCGCACCCTGCTTGCTTTGCTTGCTGAAAGCTTAGCTCGCACAGACTGACCCGGCGGCCGGACCACACCACGCTCGAGCCTCGCGGTCAGAGCCGGCAGCGAACCGCATAATGGTGCACACACGCATCGAACAACGGCCCAAACAGGACACGACGGCGGTGAGACGGCGGTGAGACTGCGAAGAAGGACAACCCCAAGCAACCCCAACACTCGACGAGATGCAGCACACCAAATGAGACACGATGTTCTAGGGCAGGGCGGCGAGTAGCAGCGAGGAGAACGTTGGAACAGAGGTATCATTGAATCGCGAATCGCAACACCGCCGTGTATGGAAAAAGCGAGGGAGAAAGAGATGATGACAATGAGAAAGAGCGCATGCGAGCGCGCATGCGAGCGAGGCAGTAGATACGAAGGATGTTGCCATCGTCCAGCGATGCGGCTGATGATGATGATCATGATGGCCCCTCTGCTCGTCAGGTCGAGAACCGCTACCTGTTTTCTATCACCCATTCATTCCACTCTCTCGCCTCCCTCGCTACCCCTTCGAGTCATCTTCCACTCGACACAACTATGTGCCGCCTCAGAACCACCATCTCCCTACCTCGCTCCCGCCGCCCGATTTTGCAAACTCCTCTGCATCATTCGCCACAGCCTTGTCTCCTCAAACGACCATCCCCCAGGCACATCCGGGAAGACGTGATCGAGCAATCTAGCCGCAGTAGGCCGGTCATTCGGATCAATGAAGAAGCAGTTGCGCAGGAAATGCGCTGCCTCCCTGCTCAGCCTCACGTCAGGCGGGACAGGTGGGGCACGCCCCTCCTTTCCGATTTTGAACATGGCCTGAACAGCTTCATCGTCGCTCCATGGTCTTCGACCAGCGAACATCTCCAGCGTCACGCAGCCTAGAGACCAGATGTCCACCTTGGCGCTGTACCCCTTCTTGGTGAGGAGGACCACCTCAGGAGCCATCCAGAATACCGAGCCTTGGAGAGACATACCAGCCACGTCGGCGTAGATGTCATCACTCTTCCTCATGGTACCAAAGTCGCTGATCTTGACCGTACCGTCCAGATTGACTAGGAGATTGTCGCCCTTGAGGTCGCGGTGGAGGACGCCACGTTCGTGCAAGTAGGACAAACCAGAGAGGACTTGATGAACGAAGTATTTGATGATCCCCTCTTCAAGCTTGCCGTACTTGCGTAGTACAGAAGCGATCGAGCCACCGGGGACGTACTCGAGGAACAAGTGGAGGAACTCGGGGGTCTCCTCGAAGCCCAGGTAGGACACAATGTGCGGGTGGTCCAGGTCTTTCAGGGTGGAGATTTCGCTCTTCAAGGCGGCAACGACATCCCGTTGACGAGCGTCACATCTATCGTGCTCGGTAGTTGGCAGCTCGACCTGCTTCACTGCAATCATCTCCCCCGTCGTCGCATTGAGGGCAATGTAGACTCGCCCATATGTACCCTTGCCGATGAGATCTCCCTTGACCCACTTGAAGACCGGGCGATTGGAGGATGACGCGGAGGAAGACGACGAGGAAGAGGCAGAAGAGCTGCCACTGGCGGACTGCTCGTGGCCTGGTGTGACTTCCAGAAGCTTGGTGCCCCACAGCTTGGTGCTGGGACGACGCGCCAGGTCTGAGCTTGCGCGAGGGGGAGCTTGAGCAGCTGAAGAAGACGACGCGGCAGGACCGACCGCAGATGTCATGGCCAGCCCGCCGAGCCCCGCTCCCCGTACACGATCTTGCGCTACGCGACGAATGGACTTCTTGTGGCGTGCAAGGGCGTTGGCACTCGTAGGCGAAGAGGCATGCGAGGGGGATGCTGCTCGCTGAATGCTGCTGGTCGCATTGGCCATGCCGACCGTAGGGCTCGCCGCTGCTCCTCCAGCGCCTGCTGCTCCAGGCGCTCCTGAGGTCAAGTCGAGCACAGGCTTGTCCAAGTCGTGACGCGGAAAGAAGTCGTCCAGGTTCTCGTAAAGCTGCTCAGGCGGAGGACGCAAAGCCCATTCGTTGTCTCCTCGTCGAGCAAAGGAGCTGCTACGCTGAATGCCAGAGGGAGTCAAGGTAGCGCTACCGCCCTCTCCCTTAGAAGAGGGGCGAAGCGTGCTTTCACCGGCGAGACGAGGAGACAAAACCCCAGCGGATGCAATGGTTCCCGGTGATGCGCGAGGGCCGCGTGGACTTGGAGCGGCGCCGACAAGGGGAGAGGTTGAGCGAGGCGAGTCGATAGTGAGGCGCAGCTCGGGACGTCGAGGGCTGTTGGTACGGGCTGGCTGACCGTCAGGCGAGGTAGGCGTGGCTCTGCCTATGACTGAAGGCTGTGGAGGCCGCAATGTGACGCTGGGGGCCATATCCTGCGACGAGATGGGGGCCGCCAAAGAGGGAGATGGCGCTGCCGCTGGGGAGGGAGAAGGTATAGCGTCTAGCGGCTTTGCCCACGTGCCCCCCTCTGTGTCGTCATCATCGTCCGCGAAGGAGGCAAAGGAGGCGAAGGTGCCCGTACCTGGCTCCGGCTCAAGGTCGTCACCCGTCGTGGTAGGGTGGATCGTTGACGTCGAGCCAGCCCCTGAGCTTTCCGTCGGCGCAGCTGCGCTTGAGCTTGCAGAGGAAGGGGTCCTGTGATCCCCTGCGTTGGCGGCCAGCTTGCCCTGCCTCAATGTGTCCCCGCCGTTGTCTCCTTCGGTCCCCTTGCGACTCATCATCGCAGCCCACTGAGCAGCCTTCAACGTCCCCTCATCCTCGCGCTCGCGCTGCTGCTGTGAAGGCGAGAAGGGTCCACTCATTCCAGTGGAGCCGGCAGAGGTGGGAGGCTGAGGTAAGGGACGAATCTTGGAGAGGTCCAGCTCTTCCTCTGCTTCGTCATTGCCCCCACGTCCAGCGCTGCCGTCGCTGCGCGTCCTGCTCATTGCGATTGGCGCTGGCGGTTTCACGCCCATCGAGGAACCGCTGCCACTCCCAGCTCGATCGCGCCGCTGCTTGTCACCACCGCCGTCTGGACTGAGAGGCGGCCCCGACCTCGAGCTGCGTGCCGAAGTGGGCGCCGTGTGCGCATCGTCGTTGCTGGTGTTGTAGTAGTACGGCGAGCCTCCACTCTTCGCAGCACTGTGCCCTCCCCCAGCACCTTCGGTCGAGGTGTTTCGCTGGTGCTGCTGCTGAGCGTGTTGCTGCTGCTGCTGATGGAAATTGCTCGAGCCCCCAGTGGAAGAGGAGACGTACGATGATGTAGATGATCGATCTGACGAGGGAATGCTGGTCCGCGGCTGAGTCTGCTGGTACTGCTGAGCCTGTTGAGGCGGCTGCGGCTGTGGCTGCGGCTGAGACTGAATGCCCAGTGGAATCGATGCTGGTAAAGGCGGGGCGATGGCGGCTGCCGGTGGGCGAGGGGAAACGGGCAGGCGACTTTGAGGGACGTGCGCGTAGCGCGGATCGGATGGTGGAGGGCGGAACTGCTGGTGATGCTGGGCGTGGTGCTGGTAGCCGTGCTCCCACCCTTGGTGATGAGGCTGCTGCGGCTGCTGATGTCTCGCCTGGCCGTGGACCTGATAGCCTGCAACTCTCGGCTCCCTGGGCCCAAAGCCATGATGATGGTGCGAGCCGGTGTGCTGTTGAGCATGCCTCATCGACTCCTGCACCGTCATGCCGGGACTTAAGCTCGTCGCTGCACTTTGGCCACTCCTCTGGAACTCAGACACCTGTCTCGAGCTCGAATGAGGGAAGAGGGCTTGCGTGTAGGGATTCTCTGGTGGAGCCATGCCGCGATTAAGCGGTGGATGAGTGGGACGAGGACTCGGGCGCGGACCCAAGGCGGGGTGTTGCTGCGGATGCTGCGGATGGTAGTAACCAGCGTCATGGAATGTGTGCGGTCTTTGCGGAAAGGGGTAGGGTGCAGATGGGCCAGCAGCGTTGCTGTTGTGCAGAGGCGGCGAGCCAATCGTCGTCCTCATACCAAATTCGCTGGTAGCGTACGATGCTGGGGAGCGGGTGAAGGCAACAGAGGGAGGTCCACTTGCGTTTGGCGGGCCTCCCATCGGGTAGCCTTGCCCATATCCATCGCTAGACATGGCTGGCCGCATGGGACGGGGACGCTGAACGGCAGCAAACGGAGGAGAGCGAGTATCAATACCGCCGCTGCCCCATGGCGAAGAGACTACTCCTCCCATGCTTGCGGGCGGGACGACAGCATGCGTTGCGGCGGTGGAAGGAGCCGATGAGCCATAGAGGTGCGTATTTGGGACCATCGGAGCTGACAGACCCGGGCGAAGGCCATGGCGCGCGTTGAGAGAGTCAAAGTCGATCGGCTGGCGAGAAGCGCCTTGTCCACTCCCACTGCCATGGAGATGCTGCTGCTGCTGATGGGACGACGTCGACAAATTGCCACTGTCCGCCGAAGACGACGACACTGACGCTCGTGCGACCGTCATGCTGGGGTATCGCTCATCTGCTCCTCCACGAAAGAGCTCGTCAGGAAGCATGCCATCCGCAGCGGCGTGGTTGCGATTCTGCTGCTGTTGAGCCTGCGTCTGTGGTCCCACGTCTGACCCGCGGCGTACACGTTGCAGTTGCTCCTCTACGCCTCCTACCGCTCCTGGTGCCCAGAGTTGGTGCGCGTTGCGCTCACCGCTGGGTGTCGAAGGTGAGGTGGCATCGTATTGCGCGTACATGCGAGCCGCATCGTTGATGTCGTGGTCTGCGGGGCGATGGGCTGCATTGCTACCGCTACTCCCGCCGCCAGCTTGAAGGGAACGGGGTGTCGCAGCTCGTAAGTCGATCTTGGGCGGCTCGAGCTCGCTTGGCTGCCTGCTTTGACCACTTACGCCGGTAGCTGCTCCAATCGTAGGAGGCAACGCGGCTGCGGGGGGGCCCGACGTGGGCGTCTCGCTGCCTAGTGCTCCTTGGCTCGTCGCGGGCCGGCGCACCGAAGAAGGGCTAGGACGACGACCGATCGAATGTAGTGGCGAGGCTGAAGGCGAAGGCCTCCCGCGGGAGCTACCGCCTCCACTCCTACCCCCCTCTAAGCTGGGCCTCAGCTCCTCAACCTCTTCTGCAATATCATGATGGACATGAGCCGCTGCGGTGGAGTCGCTAGTCTGCCTAGTGCGTGCTTGCGGGTCCATCAAAGCGTGAGGAGAGGGCATGGTGCCGCGATCCCCTAGTGAGCCTGAGCGATGCTCCCTGTGCTGCACGGGCGCTGCTGATGGTCTTGCCAGACGGGGCGAGCCTGCCGTCGACCCACGATGGTGATATTGCGACTCGTCCCCACTAGCCGCGCCTCCGCCTCTCCTGATCATTCTCGATCTCGCAAGCGTCCCACTCCCGACACCACGCTGCTTTGACGCTTCTGACCCGCTATCGTATCCAGCTGGAGGATGTTGCGCCTCACTTGCTGACGAGAGGGAAGAAATACTATTCGACTTGCCGTGCAGCTGCGTGTTGGACGTAGAGGCACCAAGACCCATGACAGGGCTGCGTGGCGAGCCAGACGAAGAGTCGGGCCCTGATGCGCGGAGCGGCAGATCGATGGCCGCCCTACGACTGCGCGGGCTTGTCAAGGGAGGTGGCACCGCATCATGGTTAGGCTCAGAGGGTGGGCCGAGCTGGCTGACGAGGAATTTGAGGTTGCCTTTATCGTCTCCTGACTGCAGGCAAAGAGCAAAGAGGCCGTCATCTGGCAGAGGAGGGCCCTCTGGTTCCGAGGCGCCAATCTCTGTGCGGTAGATGCTGAACGCTGAAGGATCGTCATCGAATCGATGCAGCTTGGAAAGCATTCGCTCCTTGATGCCGGCAGCCGTTCCCAGTCCAGAGACGTCGACGACGGCAAAGCGTTCGTTGTCTTCCGTTACTTGGATTAGAGTACGACCCAGTAGAGCATTCCGCCTTGAGACGACTTCGAAATCGTCATACATACTGATGGCAGAGCTGCCCGACCAATTGCGCAAGAGCGGCGGCGGCACTGGGCGTGAGGGAGACTCGAGGTACTCGACCTGCGACTGATTGCTGCCGGTTGCGCCGATGGGCTCCTCCGGTGCGACGGCAAGTGCACTACCAGTCGCGAGAGCTGCGCTAGCTGCGATCGTAATGGGCGTCGCGCTGCGTCCTTCCTTTGATTCGGTGCGTTGATGTACCCTCTTACCCCATCGCTCAAAGACGTTGCCTACATGCTCGAAGACGCTGCTCGGTCTGCGAGATCGGGCATCGAGCGTCTTTGGGTCGCGAGCGATGCGCTGCTGCTGCTGACCAGAGCTGCTACCTTCGCCATTATTCATGTACGCCGCCGTAGAAGTGGATGACGCAGTACGCTCCTTGTCTCTGCGCAATCCGCCGTCGTTGTTGGACGTCGTCGTGATGCGTGGCGAAGCTGGGCGGAGCGACGCAAAGAATCCGCTGGTCGTTGACGCCGCGCCAGGTGATCGAAGTGCAGAGGGCGGTGTAGTGACAGTGTCTGACGTCGAAGTGGTGCCAGGAAGGATGCTTGCTCCCCCACTGGATCCCGCCGAGTGCGGTGAGGTGGGTGCAGCCGCGCTTACGTGCTCGATGGTCGTCAGGTGAAGAGAGTCTTGCACAGCAGGTTGATCCATCTGACGGCCACTGGCTGACCTTGTGCGGGCCATGAGATTCTGATCGCTAGGTGCTGCAGTAGTAAAGGTGAAGACGGTCTTTGTCGGTGATGGGAGAGGGGGAGGACTGACCCCCTCATTCTCGTAGAACTCCCAAGGCATCGGGTGGTCATCTGGGATCACCGGCGACTGCTTGGCTGCCTGCGACTGCTCATCATCGATGACACTGAGTGATGTTCCACCACGATGAGCGCTGCGATCTGGGGAGCGGCCATAGTCGAGCTCGAGGGGCCCTCGAAAGGATGACTTTGTCGAGCCCGTGGGCGAGATCGGCATCGCGGTGACCTTATTGCGAAGCTACGTTGACGTGAGAGCGTGGAGCGAAGGCTCAGGTCGAGGACAGGAGCGACGACGATCGTCTTGCGCTGCACCGACTGATTCGTTTTGCTTAGCTGTTGATCAGGTCAAGTGGCTCAGCATGGCGGCTTGCAGGGTAGCGTAAGTGGACGAAGGCGTTGGCGCTCGAGGGGGTGCCAGTTGGCGTCACGCAGCGGCCCTGATCAGAGATGATGCAAAGGCACGAGTCTGGTTGGCCTGCCTGCTTGATCGTGAGAGATGAGGTGGAGAAATGGTTTAGGCCTCGATATGGGTAGAAATATCGGCCCGAAGGCGAGCGGGCAATGCGCTAGGGATGAGGGGGCCGGGGAAGAGGCGGGGGGAAGCAGCTGCGAGTGGCGGCCGTCTCGAAAGCAGTCGATGGCAGTAGGAGGATAAGCACGCCCAGCCGACGGGGTGGTATCGATGATGAGGTGACAATGGTGAGAAGTGCAGCGAGGCCTCAAAGAATGGACCGACCTGACTCCAAATGCAACGAAGCGGCTCCTCTCCGCCGGCAAGGCCAATCCACCCAAGTCGTCGTCCCTCCTCCCCGCCGCCCGCTTGTCCAATTGAGCGCGTCAGCTTTTCCGCCCGCACGTCCTCACGGCTGCCTCGCTGACCACCACAACTCGACGAACATCAGTCTGAAGTGAGTCAGGCCACAATCTCCGCCTCTGCAAGAACCAAATTGCGCCGCTTCCATTGCCACTGCTGCCCGTACCATCCTTCCTTGGCCTGCCTCAAGGAAAGTTGCTCTTACGGCGACGACATCGCCGACGTGACTTTCGAATTGACTCCGACCCGCGTCGTCGTTCGTCCCTTGGTCGTCTCTCTGGTTCACTCGACTCCCGCGACTCGCTAGACTCTCGTTGACGGCAGAGTACGACGTGCAAATGGGAGCCGTAGCTGTCTCCCCAGGGCGAGGAAGGAGTAGGGACGGGTCAACGTCACGAGCGAGTAGCGAAGCATGTCCGACGTCGCGAATCCGGCGTGTGATGGAGGTCGTGTCTGATTGGAAGGTATCATTCGCTCACACCGAGAGGGACGCTTGTACAAACCAACGAGCGGAGGCTTTCGAAAGTGCCGGCTTCTGGACATTGCTGCCTCCTTGAGCAACGAACTGAAGTGAAAGTCTTCCGTGCACGAGCCAGTCCGACGTGCAGCCCGTCTTCCTTGCCTTCCTTACCCTACCTCTTACGCATACATTCACCTCTCCTTGTCATCGACCTGCGCATCATGGCCGCGACATCACGCAGCACAGCTCCCGCCCGCTCAGATCGTGATCGTCTTCGCGACTACTACGGCCTCGCGGGTCCAGACGACCAAGCCGCCTCTTCCTCAGCTGCTGCCTCCTCTTCCTCTTCGCCTTCGCTTGGTCCTACTTCAGCTCCATCCAAACCATCACGAGATGCCCTGCCAACCTCGATACCCTGCCTCCTACGCTGCCATGCCTCTCTCCTCACCTCTATGCGCGAGCTAGATGGAGAACGTCAATCCCTCGTGTATAATCATCACGGCGACTTGGTTGCTGCTTCTCAGACCATCAGCAAGATGAAGGAGCAGAGCGATCAATTGACAGCTACGTTGCAGGGATTGCAGAGGGGACTTGAAGGGATGGGAAAGTGGGAAGGTCAACTAGCAGGGATGGAGAGTGTGGGCGGGGTGAGAAAGGGAAGGCAAGAGACGGGCGTGGACATTGAGAAGGATGTAGCGCCCATCGTGACCTTGCCTGAGAGGCTGAGGGATGCGGCTGCATTACGAGCAGCGTCAGAGGGCAGGGATGAAGAAGCTGCGGAGTCAGCGAGGGGTCTCGAGCAAGGTGAGTCGGCATGCGCCGTATCAGGGTCGTCTGGACGTGCACATCAGGTCTGACCTCTACTATCTCCCCACTCGCGCGCAGGCCTGGCAGCAGCAGAAGCCCTCTGGGGACGTCACGAGAGCGTACTCTCATCATGGGCGAGCCAGGGAGTCGCAGGAGCAGGCATAGTAGCGGATGAGTGCAGAGCAGTGCTTCGAGAGCTACGAGAACGAGCAGCAGCAGCGAATGCGGCGGGTGTGGCGACGACAGTGGCATCGAGGGGCAGGTGATCCCATTCTCATAGAGCATCACGGCAGCGTGCAATCACATTCATTGACAACGCTACGCACACCTAGTTTCCGCTTGACTTCGACCCCACTCCCTCGCCAGTCTGCGGGCAAGCCTGATCGGCCATCTCTCCAACCTTTCCACCCTCAGGAGCCTGGTTAACCGCCTCACGAATCGAGTCGGCTCCAGCCTGCTTGGTAGCCTCACCGCTCTGCTGCCACTCGGACGAGCCAGTAGCAGAGCCGATTGCCTGCGTAGCGAGAAAGTGAGATGGGTTGGCAAAAGCGTCAGTGAGTGAAGGGTAGGCAAGAAGGGCTGGAGAGCGAGCGAAACGCACCGTAGTGGCAGCACCCTGAGCGTACTGTGCGTGTCCCGCTGCGATTCCAGCAGCAGACTTGGCCTGGTCAGCCATCGTTGCCTGTTGGTCTGAGGTGTTGGAGGACATCTTCTTTGACTTCTTTGGCTTGTCTGTTGAGGCGAAGAGGATGCGGGAGTTGGTGGAGAAGGGTCGGGCGGTACGGGCGAGTTGGGAGGGGGCAGAGCGGAGCGTGGTTCGAGTGAGCATGAGGTTCAACATGTTGCAGAGAGATGGCGTGGAAGAATGCTTACGAGGTGATGGGGCGCTCTTGTAAGATGGAGAAGGGTTGACTTGGTTGGTAAGAAGCGGAGGTTCAGTGGGGCCTGGCCTCGAGGGCTCTATGCGTAAGCTCGGCGTGGAGTCGGAGCGAGGGAGTGGAGGCGCGTCTCAATCGGGACGACACGAGACCCTGGACTGAACCTCAGCCAAGCTCCGTCGCCCACTCACAAGGTGGTCGAGCTAGCCGCACCTTGTCGACTCGCGGCCACCTCCGTCTCGTAAAGCAATGGGCCGGCACAGTAGAGGCAAGGCAAGCCGACCTTGCTACGTGCCACCCCGACTTTGCCTTCTCAGCCCGTGACTCGTGCAGACTCAAAAGAGGACATGCTGCAGGCGGCAGACTACCGTGTTTGCGCTAGCAAAGGCAATGTATTGACAACGACGAGCTACGGCGGCGAGATGACAGAGAATGTAGTGATGCATAGTGAGTGAGGTCAAAGTGAGTGTAAGATTGTGGATCTAAAGAGTGTGATGATGAAGTCAAAGCACGAGTCGTATGGCGAAGGGGATGCAAGATGTACTGAGCGATGGATGATATCACGGGAGCGAAGTGAGAGGCGTGCGCAAAGAGGCAGCACTCCCTGGCGTCACCGTTACCACCAGCCTCCAGCGGCGGGGGCGGGGCGGGTATGAGGAGCATTGCTGTTCATGAGGGGCGAAGGAAGGGCCGGTGCGTGATGCATGTGCGGGCGAGGCACAAAGTGCGGTTGCTGGTATTGTTGAGGAGGCGGAAGACCGTACGAGGGTCGAGCAGGGATAGCGTGCTGGTGCATGGGTGGGGTAAAGTGCTGCTGCTGTCCTACCATGGGACTCATTCGCCCGAATTGCTGAAGGTGAGGGCTGTCCCTGATCATGCCCGGCTTTCCCCACGCCATTGAGGGCGGCAAGGGAGAAGTGGAAGGCATCGGAGGCGTTGGCAACGCGGCGACTCCTGGAGGAAGGCAAGCAGCCGTAGCGGCAGCGGCGGCGGCGGCAGCAGCAGCACGACGGGCTGCTCGGCCTGCCCCACGACCGCGGGAGCGGCGTCCTCGGGTGCGGGTACGGCGGGGCTTGCCAGCATTCTCCTTGTCATCAGAGTCACCCTCCTCCTCTTCCTCTCCCTCTTCGTCATCGTCTTCTTCGCCGTCCTCAGTCCGGAATGATGAGGAGGTGCAGGAGGAGAGAGCTGGAGATGCCAATGGAAGTGAGGTAGTAGGGCTGAGAGGGCTGAGAGAGCCGAGCTTGCCGGTGTCGTTGGGCTTGTCCAAGAGCGCTGGCGCAGAGTCGACTTCATCTACAACGACGGTGAGCGGGCCGGCTTCACGGCGCTTGAGGAGCCCAACCTTCTCGAGGGGAGGAGCAGAGGGGTATGCGTTCACCGAGGCGTGGCTTTGCTGCGGGACTGGGGCAAATTCGAACACTTGAGGTTGAGAATGTTGGTACGGCTGCTGGATCATGTTGGCCATTCCGAGTGCATTGACCGCGGGCTGCTGATGCTGGAAATATGCCTGCTGCTGAACCTGCTGCTGCTGCTGGGCTGCCCATCCTCCCGTACGGGACAATGTTCTGCTATGCTGCGTCTGCCTGGCGGAGCGCGATGAGCTTGACATGCTCGAAGCACCACTCATGGCACGGCTACGTCGGTTGCCACTGGCGCCAGAGGACGAAGCAGTCGAGGCGCCACCGAGCTTAACACCCCCGCCGAGGACGCCGACATTACCGTTGTCGAATGAGGTGACACTGGAGCTGGCGCTGGAAACGGTCGAGGAGGAGCGCGAGTGCTGCACACGAGGGCGCTGTTGCACATTTGTAGCAACGGGTAGCGAAGCGATCGCGGCTGCGGTGATCTTCTCTTCCGTACCGGCAGGGCAGATTGTCTCGTCCGCCTCGTTGAGAGAACGAATCGTGTCATCGCCTTCGCCGTCGCGCTCTTCGTCGTCCTGCTCAACGTCGGCGACGCTGACGGCATCTTCGGGTGCAATGGCGTCCGCTTCGTCCAGCCCGCAGTCCTCGAGGCCGAGGCCAAGCAGGTCGACGTTCTTCAAACTGAGTGGCGTGGATGAGGCTGGCGAGAGAGCTACACTGTTGTTCTTCTCGTCTGCGTCTGCGCTTGCCTCGTTGTCCAGCTTGTCCCATGTAGCGGGCGGCGAGCTGGCAGGGAGGGAGGTGCCGATGGAGGAGGAGGCTTCAAGTGACTGGCGCCCGCCTGATGCGAGCGAGTCGCGCGAACTACTGTTGCTGCTGGTGGCCGAGCTCGACGTAGAGGCAGACGACGAGCGACGCGCGCGACGAATACCAAGGTGGTGGCCGAGGGCAAATTGTGCGTTCCACGGTACGACTGGCGTGACGTCAGCCGAGTCTGCCACTCGGTCCAGGGCAGGCGTCGATGGGGATACAGTGACGGATGGCACGCGGTTCGTGGCAGGGAGAGGGCGAGAGATGATCGCCGCCCTGGAAGTCGCGCGGGCGAAGCTTACTGTAGGGCTCGTGTTGACGGTGACGTGCGAGTAGCCGGCAGCGGTCTTGGGGAGAGGAAGCGAGCCGTAGATGACCTTGAATCCCTCGGATGCTGAGGCGCCGCCAATGAGATTGGCAGCTCCGTTGCGTCCAGGTCCGGGCCCAAGGCGCAGAGCTACGCATGAAGGGTCGACCCAGAGCGTCCATTGCTGGCCAGCTGCGACCGTGAGACCATGGCGCTTGCAGGCTGCGGTGACAAGGAGCGAGCAGCCTTCACCTCCCGGTCCGGGCTGCCAGTGAAGAGCACGAGCGCCGCTGCCCTTCTCCGGATCCTGAGCGTGCCATTTGTTGGAGTAGGCGGAGCAGAGAGCGTCGCACACAGTTGCCTTGAAGGCGTCCAGTGAGGCGGTGGGTGGTGGTGTTGCGTGGTTAGGGATGAGGAGGAGAGAGGAGAGGTAGGATGCTGCTGCTGCGACTTCGTTGTGCATGGTGAGCGGAAAGAGAGTGAGGATGTGTGGTCGTCAAAGGTAATGAGTTTACGTGCTAGGCGTCTGCTCCAGGCAGTGTTGACAAGAGTGAGTGAGAGAGCGTGATGAGTGGCAGTGGTAGTGGTAGTGAATGAATGCAAGCTCGACGCAGGATACCAGCGGAGCGATGAGGGAGAGACAATGACCCGGGGGGAGTAGTGAGATGAAGGGGAAGGGGAAGAAGAGATGGATTCAATGGCAAGCCATCTTCTCGTTCAGGTCCTCGTTACAAGAGGTTACGAGGTGGGCCATCCGGCGGATGGGTGGCTTCGACGCCTGGACACACGATTAGCGCAGCGCGGCACAACGCCCCAGCTTCACTTCTCATCGAATGTCGACGACCAGGCAGGCAGGCCGCATGACTTGACTTGACGTTGATTGTCGAAGTCGTCCTTGCTCCTGAGAGGAGAGGTGCGAGACAGGGTTCATCTCGGTCGTTCGCTTTGGCGTGTGGCTGTCCGTGGCGTGGCGGGGGCAGAGCAAGGAGGCGTCGCAGCCTGTCCAATCGGTGAGGCAAGGGGTGCGAGTGCGGCTAGGCGGCGTCGAGGCAGAGGCGGGCGGGCGGGCAGGCGGACGGACGGACGGGAGCAGCGGGCAAGAGCAGAGGCGCGTGCCTCGAGCCTCGTCTGTTCAATTGGATGCGACAGATCAACACCGCGAGCCAGGCCCAACACAACGCACCACGCACCACGCCCACGCCCCCGATAGGCTTCGAAAGCAATGATGCGTCAATGCTTGAGCCCGCCAGCCCAAGCGGGACAATCATCACGTAGCGCTCAGCAAAGGAAGAGCGCTGCTGCAATTGAGAGTCCTCTCGTGAGTCGGACGACGCCGACGACGGCGACGATGTCCACCATCCCCTTTTGCACCGAGCTCGAAGCGATAGACGTGGATCGTGCAGACGTTACACAGCAGGCTGAAGCAGCTCCAACACTATCCGCTCTCGTTGCGCTCCGCTCTGCGAAGCGATCAGACAATCGACGTCAAGGTCTGCGCACGCGGACATCTGCTCGACAGCATAGCACGCAGCCAGGCAAGGGGGTTCGGCGGGCTCGCTCTAAGTCGCGAAAGCTAGCTAATGTCCCGCCGGCTCGCTCTCGTCCTCATCACGAGGCCTAGCAAGTGAAGACGTCTTCTAATTCTAGTCTACCATGTAGGATGCGAGACATCGACGTTCGCCTAGGGCCTGAATAAGTTAGACTCGATAACCCCTCTCTCATCTGGCTCAGTAAGCTCATTGATCGTAGCTGAGGTGCGGGGAGAGCCCTTGCGACTGGGATGTCAGACGTGGCATCGGTCCAGCAATGAGAAGCAGAACTGTGAGCTGGGGTCAGCGATGACGTCGCTGCCTCGCGAGCAAGCAAGTGAGCCGGAGATCGTGCTGGTGTGCTTGCTTCCTTTGTGCCATGACATGATGCGACGTCTGCTTCGCCTGGCTCGCCAGGACGTCTTGCTGAGTGAGTCAGCTCTACAGTAGAGACGAGCTGGCTCAGAGTGTTGCACGGCAGCCTGTCCTTCATGAGAGGTCACGCGGTGCGCCACGGCGAGCAGTTCTCCACCCACAGCTGATGACGAAGGCGCTTGGTGATGCAGATGACGACGATGACGATGACGACGATGGCTCAAGGCCCGCCCGCTTCGTACGCCCTGCAATCACTGGGCCCACCGCCCGCTCTCGCGCCGCCAATCCAATGCGATGAGCGTCCGCGGGTCTACCGGCCCGCTCTACGTCTCGCTCGATTCACACTCACGCTATCAAATGAACGCCAGGTTCGTCATGAATTGGTACTCGAAAGAAGGCGAAGCGGGATGATAGACATACGAGGGCCTACGAGCCAGTCGGAGAGTCCCGCATGATGACGAGAGCAAGATGAGTCGAAAGCCACTACAGAAGACAGAGAACGGGATGTCATGATGATGGTGATGATGATGGTGATGATGATGAGGCGGCCAGTCTTGAAATGACTCGTGAGCGACGACGACGACGAGTGCCTATGTGCGGGCGATGGCGCGCCGATGAAAAGCTTTGGTGATCAAAAGGGTATGATCAAACGTTGGAAGTGAGAAGTGAAGACGAAATGACGGACGAGGATGGCGTGTGGTACTTGATGAGGTGCTGTTGAGGGGCCGCGCACAGCGTGCCCAATAGCGGGATGGTAGAGGTCGGTACGAGCGAGCGAACGAGTCTGACGTCCGATGGGCAACGTCTTCCAGTGAGCTTGGGGAAGGTGGTAGACCAAATGCTGATGATGCTGAGGAGGGGGCCTACGAGGAGCGCTCCCAGATCGCGGTGCTGCTGCTCTCGCTGCCACCAGGGCTTAGACCCTCCTCTTTACCACTTGCCCAGCTTGAAGGGACCGAAGAGGGCCTGGTTCCAGTCGCTCTCGCTCGGGTCGCTGACCTTGTAGAGCTTGAGGTTGTCGACGACGCCCTCGTCGAGGCCACCGCTAGGGGACAGAGCCTTGAAGCCAGTCTTGGTGAGGTCGATGTGGTTGGCCGCGCATCCCGCACACTGGTCGATGACACGGACGGTGAGGCACTTCTGTCCATCGGGGTGCTTGGGGTTGCAGATGTTCATGAATTCGCCGCACTCGGGTCCGCCAGCCCAGTGGCCGACAGCACCGATGAGGGCGTCATTTCCAGGGTTCCAAGAGCCGGTACCGCACGAGGGGGCGAGGAGGTCGTGCTTCTCGTAGTAGGTGACCTTGATGGTGTGGTCGAGCTCCTTTGCGCCCTTGGCGGGGGACGAGTTGACGAACTTGCTGTTGTTGCCCTTGCCGTCGTACGTCTTGCCTCCGCTGTTGGACTGCTTCGAGTCCTTTGCCTTGTTAGCGTGCTGGGCGTGGTGCTCCTTGTGCTGCTGCTTGTTGGCGGCCTTGTTCTCCGACTTCTTTGCCTCGTCGTGAGCAGAGCAGCGCTTGTGGTGCTTGCGACCACGGCGAAGGGCAGCGAGGGCGGGCGAGTCTGCGTTCTCGAGCGAAGGAGAGCGAGCAACGACGTCGACGTCGGCAGCCTCGGGGGTGAAGGCGGTAGCAGAGGCGGCGGCCACGGCGAGGGTGATTGCAGAGACGAGGGTGAACTTCATGTTGGGCGGCGGAGGTGTTGATCAAGTGAGTGTTGTCAAACGAGGGTGAGTAATGGGCGCGAGGAGGGTTTGGTAGTGCGATGTGGTTGTCGTTGGAAGAGTTTGGCGTCACCGGGACACAGCTAAACGGCAGAATCGGAGGGGGGAGGTTAGTGATGGAGAGATGGAGAGATGGGGGAGTGGATCGGTTTGATCGCAAAGTGGGAGGATGTTAATAAGAGAGGGAGGAACGGAGGGGAGGAAAGTGTGCGCCCAGGTTGCGCCAGGGGCAAAGGCGGGGCACGGGCACGCAGGCTGGCTGGCAGACGAGGCGAGACGAGGCAGGTGCGCGGAGGAGCGGCAACAAAGTGGGCGTAACGAGGCGCGCGGGCGGTGACGAGCGCAGCAGACGATCGATTGGCATTGGCCAGCAGACAGCCAAGGGGCACTCCCCCTCTCCTCCTAGAATACGCCGCCAGCGATTGCAACACATCAACAACCAAGACGGACGCCGTCGCGCCGTCGCCGTCGCTGCAGTCGCTGGGGCGCTTCGAGACGAGAGCAACGCACGGCTCTCATTCGAGGTGCAAGGTCAATGGCTCGTCTCGCAAGCGCAAGCGACTTTTGTGATTCTCGGCGACCAGGGTGCATCCAACGCCCCGCGCGCCCGACGACGGCAGAAGAGGAGGCAACAGAGGCGCCCGGAGACAGAGGCAGGCGCAAGCCAAGGCCAAAGCGAAAAGAAGCCTCAGCGATGCGTCTGCTACATCGGCCATCTCCTCGTTGCGAGCCACGATGGTCACCACGAGAATCTATTCTCGGGGGACACGAAGGCGAAGCTGCGAGGCTGCTAAACGACAGACTTCTCTCGCAGCCTCGCTCCCAACATCGAACCGCAGGCAGACAACAAGTGCCTTTTTGTGCGAGCCAGCCGGCAAAGATAGTCGCCAGGCGAGACGTTCAGCCGCTGCCTACGAACGTTGTTGCCGAAGGTGCGCGGAAGGGACGACGGTCATCATGACGACGACGATGAAGAGTGCGGCGACTTGAACGTCCAACTTGGGAGCGTGCGTAATCAGCGAGCCTCGTGAGAGGTCGAGGGAGCGAAGCAAGCAGCAGGCTCAACGGAACGGTAGACAATCATGTCGTCGACGGAGTGAGGGCGAGACCTCCTCATCACGTACTCGGCCCTTCTATTGTACTGCGTACGAGGAGACACGAGACGTGGTGGCGGTGTTCCCCCGCGTCCCTCCTTCCTGTCTGCCTCTCTTCCTTGTCATGTCATTGTGCCCATGCTGCTATCTCGTGATGTTGTCGCCATGCTCCTGCCACGCTGTCGTCATGTGATGTCTCAGCGGCCGGGAAAGAGCAAGTCGATGTTACTGGGGTCGTGTACGTACGGGCGTACGGGCGGGCAGCTGGTCGAGCTAGTCTGTAGCGGTCTGGTCTGTGGCTTGGTGGCTGTGGACACAGGGCTTGGACGAGGAGGCAATGCGGCGCCCTTTCGCCGTGGCCCGTGCCCGGGTATCCTCCACCGAGATGCGGCAGGCCTCGTGGCGCGGACGTGAATCGCAGCAGCGCAACCCCAATGTTATCGAGGCCATCACACCGCATCACACGCCTTGCCTTGCTTGCCTTGCTTGCCTTGCTTGCCTCGTCGCCATCCTCCGCATCCGCATCGATCCCACAAACACTCCTGCTGCTCGAACCTTGCGAGGGGAACATAAGGCGCAGTACAGGTCTGGCCGAGATCATCGCCGCCTTCGCTGTCTCTGCCGCTGCTCAGGAGGTCGAGCACAGGGGGGACGAACGACGACCCCTCCGGATCCTCCCTCGAAAGTGACGACGTAGCTGGGGCGCAGCCAATCAGGCCTCCGCTGTCACAGCAACGAAGCGACGACGAGGTTGATCACACCACCACCACCACCACCATCACCTCCTGGACGATATGCGCCTTTGACTGCCTCACCAAGCGCTCCTCTTTGCCTTCGCAACCCTCGGCTCCCGTTCTCCCATGGCCAGAGCACATGCTTCACCACCTCTTCACTTTGACCCGAGCTCCCTCCCTTCTTCCCCAGGCCTTCTTTCCCCAACAACTTCGTCCACATGAGCAAGCCAGCAGCCTCAATCACACCAACGACGACGATGCAGACGCAGACACAGACGCAGACGCAGCGCTTGGCGGATCAAGAAAGTAATTGGAGGAGGCCACGATCGCCTGCTCTCGCCATTCCAGGCGCAGCAGTCACAGCGGGCAAATCATACGCATCCAATCACAACATCTCCAAGTCGGTGGGAACCAACGGCAGCGGAGGAGGAGGATGGGCTCATTTTCGCCGAGCAGGCAACCACAACAAGGCGACCCCCTTGGATTCCGGCTTCGTAGCATCGTACGACGCTCGAGATGCATCGACCGCTGATAACTGGAGAGCGCATGCTAGCGAGGGAAGCGGCAAACCATCCCAGACTGCGCCAGCTCATGCCCACCGCAAGCACATGGGCTTCGTCGCATCGTCGAACGCAGCCGAAGTCGCCAGGAGGGCATTTGTAGCGTCAGAGATTGGTAGCATTGGCAAGGCAGCAGGGGGCGGAGCGGGCACGGGAGGCCACAAACAGCGACAGCATTCGCCGGACAAGTCGTCGCTGCAGCCAGCAGTACCTTTGAGGCCACTCTACGTTCATGGCTTCCAGACGCCCGACCAAGAAGACCGTAAGGAAGACTGGGCAGTAACTCCTACGTCGACGCTGCCCAGTCTACCCACCAGTCCAATCAAGCGGGATCTGAGCAGGGATAGCCAGCCTCAGTCATCACCGCGCTCCATCGTGCAGCGCCGCGTTGAGAGTCATGACGCCCTCGTAGGCAACCGCAATGCTAATGGCAGCGCATCAGGGCTCGTCCGCCTCCCAGCTCGAGCACACCTCAGCCACGATGCCAACGGTCCCTCACCCCTCAACCCAGCTGTCGTACGAGCAGGCAATGCCAACTTCGCCCTTCCTAGCCCCAAGCGTGCCCCTTTGTCCTTTGGCACCACCCCTCCCACGGCCACAGATGGTGTTCGCGCCAACCTCGGGCAGCCTCCGACGAGCTCCTCGCCTCGACGCCCTACTGAGAATCTTGGTCGCTTTAGAAAGAGCGTCGACTCACCCCAATCGCAGCAGCGCAACGGCTCCCCTGCCTACCTCGGTCCGACCCGCAAAGGCTCGCACGCCTCACTCTCTTCTACCTCTGGTCACCCTCTCTCTCACTCACGCCGCGACTCAACGGCAAGCAGCAACTTCTCTTCCCCCTCAACCGCTTCCATCATCTCTTCTCGCCCTGCCTACGGCGTGTACCGCCCGCCCCATCTGCGCAACCGCAACTCGACAAATGGGCTGCAGACTTCAGTTGCCCACTACGATCGAGTGAGGACGCCATCGCTGCGTGGGTACTTGCGCAGCCCTGAGCCCCCTTCAAGACCAGGCAGCACGCAGCCACTCTCTTCTGGAGATCGACTTGGACCAGACTGGTCGCCTCGTCTGTCCGATGTAGGGCTGGAGAGCCCGGTACACCTCGATTCGCCTGTCCAACATCATCGCCCGCACCACCACATGCTTGAGCAGTCCCTCAAGGAAGAGAGCACCGAGGAGCTCGTCGACTCACCACCACGTCCCGTCCATGACCAACTGGACGACGACGCTTCTGAGGAACTCAACCTCTCGCACGAAGCCATGATGCAGGTCAAGACGTCTCTAACTGATTCGTACTGCATGTCTCGCCGTTCGTCCATGATGTCCAACTTCCGAGTTGGCAATGGCGTTGCTGTTGTCGACATCTTCCAAGTCGGAGATCGCCTGGGACCAGGCATGATACACGACGGGTACCCGATCACAATCGCAGAGACAAGTGACGGATTCCGCAAGCAGCAGGGGGATGTGACTGGCACTAGACTCGAGGTGATCAAGAAGCTGGGTGAAGGGAGCTATGCGGTCGTGTATCTTGTGCAGGAGGTCGCGGGTGACGGACAGGTGATTGTTGGGCCCAAGGACGATGTGGGGGCCACGGAGGGAATGAGACAACGTGGCCAGCCGATCGCCGGAGCTGGCGGCGAGGAGGAAGGCGACCTGACGCTTGCTGATACGACACTGCCTGCTGGTACGCTCACGGATCGCGAGCCCAGGGAGGGACTGCTGAGCTCCACCTTGAGGGCCAAGAAGCCTGGCGGAGACAGCTTCGCAACGCGTGTGGCCGCAGAAGCAGCGGCAGCAGCAGCGCAGGAAGGCGAGAAAGCGGCCGCCGTGGATCCAATCACCGGCGATCAGCCCCTCCTTTCCGGCCTCGGCCAACCCCAAGAAGGTCGCCTCTTCGCGCTGAAATGCCTCTGCAAGCGCGATCTCAGCGACGAGATGCTCGAAGTGCAACGCCTGGAGGCCACGATTCACCAATCCCTGCCGCCTCACGCGAACATTGTGACCCTGTACCGCACCTACGAGACGCCGGAGTGGCTCTTCCTCGTCCTCGAGTACTGCCCGGGGCAGGACCTCTACTACTGGCTCGAACAGGCCCAGGATACGAACGGAGACTTGACGGCATTGAGTAGCCCGCATGCCAGTGGAACGAGCACGCCGCTCAGCGATGCGGATGGAACTCCGCCTTCACCCTCACTTTTGGCCTCGACTGCGGGTACTGCCCTGCTGTCGCGACGTCGTCTCAAGTTGATCAGCAAGATGTTCCGCCAGATGTGCGAGGCGGTACAGTTCTGCCACGACAGAGGCATCTCGCACCGCGACATCAAGCCAGAGAATTTCATCGTCGAGGACCGGCGCGGCGAGGCTGAAGCTGAGGCCGGGCAGGAGGACGAGGATGGATTCAGCGTCGCTACGGAAGATCTCCCTGAAGACCTCGTCCACGATGGAAACGAAGACAAGACTTCACCCCGCCGCCCTCCGAGCTCTCGCGGCCGCCCCTCTTTCGCCTCCTCCAGCCGACGCCGAGTCTCTACCGTCTCCACCAGCACGACGCACAGCGTGGACACGACGGTGACGGCCCTCGCCAAGTCGAGCCGCGTTGTCGTCAAGCTCACCGACTTTGGCCTGGCTACTGCAGAGCCACACTGCCGAGACTTTGACTGTGGATCCAAACCGTACATGGCGTACGAGTGCCGCAACAACGTCACATCCTACTACGACGCTCAACAAGCTGACATTTGGTCGCTCGGCATCGTGTTACTCAACTTGGTCTTCCATCGCAATCCGTTCAAGGAGCCAAGCATGGAAAAGTGCGAAAGCTTCACCGCTTACTGCTATGACCCCATCGGATTTCTGACAGAGAGTTTCGAAGGCTTGACGGCGGAGATGGCCGAGTGGCTCAGCACAAAGGTGCTGTGCAATGTCGTTCCCAAGCGCGAGGACGGAGCCCTACCTGGCAACGATGATGGTGAAGTCGCGCCGCTGAAGCGCCGCGTTTCTGCTCGCGAATTCGGCGAATGGACCCGCGATCTACCCCAACGTTTTGGCCTCCGCGCTGGTCAGACGCACAAGCCTCTACGCCGCGGCGGGGCCTCTGTGATACGCACCTCGCCCATGGCCCACTCCCGCTGCGGAAGCGACAGCTCGACGTTGCCGTCCATGCTCTCCTCGCCGCATTTCACCTCTGCCCCTCGGCCTGACTTTGGGGGCGGAGGCGTAGGGTCGGGCCTTGTAGTGGAGGAAGAGGACGATGCGGGCATGGGAGGGCGATCCTTGTTCCCCGAGTACGATGGGAGGAGAGGCTCAACCTCGTACGTACCGCCGGAGACGCCGGATATCCTGCCCAGCCCCACGTTTCCCTCTTCACCTCGGCAGCCATTTGAGGAGCGGGATAGCCCGTCGCCACTGCCGAAGGGGACGACCTCTCAGCCTCCGCGCGTGGTCGTCCACTCTCAAGACAAGGATGATGGTACGGCGAGAGACTACAAAGGACGGCGTGAGAGCGGGGAGGTCCCGACAAAGCCGGTGGACAGGGAAAGGATGTCCACGCTCACGCGGATGCTCGAGAGCGCGAAGCTGGCTGTGGGAGGTGGGGGTTAGAGAGCCGCGCTCAGCCTCAACATTACCTGTTATCTGCGCAGGGCGGTTCAAGCTGGTGAGCAACTGGGCGAGTCAATGAGTCGCGATGGCGAACCCGTGCGACGCCTCTTACTCTGTGTTGCTTGTCTCTTGCCTTATCATCTATGCGCTCGGTTTGCTCGATAGCCTTCATCGCCTTCACTCTGCCTTTCGCAGTTCTCCTTCACTTCTCAACCAACTCAACAACAAAGTCTATGTAACAGTAAAGCCTCGTATATGTCATTAATTCAACCGTCGTACACAATTGAATCAGATTTTGCTTCTATTCTCTTCTTTGCTGGCGCGACTAGCGCCATCGCAACGCTCGGACCTCGTGACCTAGGCCGTAACGACGCCAAGGCGAGCCAAGGAAGGGAAGTCGGGTCGAGGTGGCGCTCCTTCTCTGCTCGCGCTCGTGTCGGCCGTCATCGGGCCGTTAATCCCGCGTTCTCCCAGGGTGCCTGAGGATCTCACGGCAAGCTCAGTGATGGCTTACTTATGCTCGAGCCCCGTGGTGGCACGGACGTAAAATGGAAGCAGCTCCCATGCGTCGTTTTGCCAGTACCATTGAGATGTCGTCGTCAATGTCAGCTCACTCAGCATATTAGCTGAGTGACGACGCGCTTCATTTGGCTGCCCTTGCGTCCGCACGTCTTGGTTTGGTTCGCTCTCCTTTGGTGTCGTGTCCACTCAATCGTTGAATCGGCAACGTGAAGCCCCGGTCGATCGTCTCGAAACTAGAGCCGGGCGCTATGACACTGTGGCTGGCTCCTTCTTCAGCGGAATCTGATGGCCGCTGCTGCCGCGTCGTCGTGCCTTGCCCTCTTCTCTCAGTCTGGCTTCGCGGCTCTTTGGCTTTGATGATGCGGGAAAATCGGAGAGGAGAGTGCGCTTCCGTGCTTGGCCTGCGCTGCATCCGCGGTCCGCGTTTGAGAGAGAGAGAGGGAAGCTGCGTCCGACTGAGGTGACTTCCTTTTTGCGTCCACCCAAGCTGACATCTACCTGAGGTCATCAGAGACTCACGGTCGTTATCCATCCCTCTCGTCGCCACCACCACCAACAACTTGTCCCTCTTCCCTCCCCTTTGTCACCCTTTGCGCGACTTGTCGTTTGCGCATCTGCAACTCCGCGCTCGGAAGCTTCGGACGAAGGACCTTCGCATCTCCCACCCAGTCAGGATTAGACGCGCCTCAGTCGCCTCTAAGCTGCGTCGCGCCTTTTTTCGTCCTTTCCTCTACCTCCAAGTCGAGTGACGGCTGGTAGTCGACACCGCCGCACGTCGTTGATCCCTTCATCCATCCATCCTCAATTCTTCTCATCCACCTCTGCCGCGCCAGCCATGGCATCCGTACTCAAGTCCTTTAAAGCCAACGCGGCCTCAGCGCCCACTGGAGCTTCCACCTTCTTCAATGCCAATGCATCTTCATCAACATCCTCGTCATCACTGCTGGGCTCATCCACTCTCGCCAAGCTCTCACCTTACCTGGACTACCTGTCCCTACCCTCCCTCAAGGGCGCTTCCGCAACCTCGACGCTCTTCACCCTCTTGGCAATTGCAGCCACTATCCTCGTTCTCGAGCAGATCCAGTACCGCCAAAAGAAGCGTGGCCTGCCCGGAGCGAAGTGGACCATTCCTATTATTGGAAAGTTCACAGACTCGCTTCACCCTTCGCTGGAGAAGTACCAGGCTGGATGGAACTCCGGACCTCTCAGTGTGGCGAGCGTATTCAACATGTGCGTCGGCGCGTTACACGAAAGGAGATTGATCTTTCCATGCTGACCTGCTTCCGCTGCTGATGCGCTCGCCCAGCTTCATTGTCGTGGCGTCATCGACGGAGCACACGCGCAAGATCCTCAACTCACCCACCTACGCCGAGCCCTGCCTCGTAGCGTCGGCCAAGAAGGTGCTGTCGCCCGACAACTGGTGCGCATGGAGCGATGTGCTGGCCGGAAGTTCGCGAACTGCCTTGCTGACTCTCTCACCACGCCCACTCGCCCATTCGCAGGGTATTCCTCAACGGCAAGGCGCACGTAGACTACCGAAAGGGCCTCAATACCCTCTTCACTCGCAAGGCCCTCGGCATCTACCTCGGCATTCAGGAGAGCATCTACAAGCAGCACTTTTCGTCATGGATGAATGACCCTTGCCCTACCCCGCAGCGCTACATGATGAAGTTCAGGGATCTGAACATGGACACCTCGCTCCGCGTCTTTTGCGGTGACTACATCCCCGAGGAGGGCGCCAAGCAGGTCTCAGACAACTATTGGCTCATCACCGTCGCCCTCGAGCTCGTCAACTTCCCCTTTGCCTTCCCCGGCACCAAGGTCTACAACGCCATCAAGGCGCGCAAGATGGCCATGAAGTGGTTTGAGCTCACCGCTCGCGAGTCAAAGAAGCGCATGGCTGCTGGCGGCGACGTGACTTGCCTGACCGACGCCTGGATCAAGGCCATGATCGACGCTCGTGCTGCGAAAGACAACGCCGACCTCGAGCCAGAGCAGCGTCGCCTCCTGGTCCGCGACTTTTCAGATCGTGAGATCGGCATGGTTCTCCTCTCTTTCCTCTTTGCCTCACAGGACGCCATGTCTTCGGGCGTCACCTACCTCTTCCAGCACATGGCGGACCGTCCCGACATCCTGCGCAAGGTCCGCGAGGAGCAGTACCGCATTCGCGGCGACGACGTCAACGCGCCCTTGACGCTGGAGCAGGTCGAGGAGATGGAATACACGCGTGTAGTGGTCAAGGAGTCGCTACGCCTTAAGCCGCCAGTCATCATGGTTCCCTACGTGGCGCACAAGGAGTTCCCCATCGACAAGAACTACAATGCGCCCAAGGGCAGCATGGTCATCCCCTCCTTCTGGAACTCACTGCACGACCCCGAGGTATACCCGAACCCAGACGACTTCATCCCGGAGCGATGGCTCGCAGGTCCCGACTCGCCAGCGGAGCGCAACCCAAAGAACTGGCTCGTCTTTGGATCTGGCCCGCACAACTGCATCGGGCAGCAATACGCGCTCATTCACTTGACCGCTGTGCTGGGCTCTGCGGCGGTAACGATGGACTGGGAGCATCAGGTGACGCCGTTGAGCGAGGAGGTGGAGGTGATCGCGACCATCTTCCCCAAGGATGGGGCGCTCATGAAGTTCAGGCCGAGAGCTGCGCCTGTGCCAGGGACAAGCCCTGAGGTGGCCGCTGCAGCGTAGCGAGTGGCAGCGAGTTTGGGCTGGTGGAGGGAGGGGCATGGCATGACTGCTCGCCCGTCGGAGTCTTAGCATAGACTTGACCATATATCTTTGTGCACGCTCGCCGACTCGCTCGGGGCGACACTCGTTCTCTCTTTCCGTTGGACACGTCAATTTGCATCACGCTTGCAACCAGTAGCATTGGTTTTGGCATTCAAGTACAGTACGCCGTGCGTTGCTGGTGGATCAGCTTGCACTGCATCAACGATGCTTATGCCAGATGTCGACGAATGCGGGGGCGTGAGGTAGCCTGTCAGGCCACTCACAGTCATCATGACGACCGAAAAACTTGCAAGAAAACGATTTTGGGTCCTGTTTGGCATCTGCCGTGTTATTGCAAGCTCCCCAATAGAAGTCGTGACAGTGCCCAGCGTACCCATACGTCCCGCACGGATTCTCAATCTCGAGCAGGTTCGCGGCCATGAAGCCGTAATGAGCGACCTGCTTGCCGAGTCTAGGCGACCCAAGCGTGCTGTCGCAGTGGTACTCGGCGTGCGTATCGTTGATCTGACTGACTGGAGCGAGGCAAAATCTCTTGTACCCGTAGCTCTCGGGAGAGTCGGTCCCTTGGTCTTGCCAGGTGCAGACGAAGTGCGTGCCTGCGATGAAGGCAGGCCCAACGAGAAGGAGTGCCAGGCATAGGTGCGTCGGTCTGAGGCTGAGCATCATTGTCGAGGCGTGAGCGAGTGAGGCTGTATGGGTAGCGAATGTTCACTCGAAGTGGCTAGCACAACTCGATTAGTGAACGCAGAGGGGGGCATAGGGCACTAACGTGCAGTCGTTTGCCATTGCGACTGCCAGTATGCCCGGTTGCGATGGTCTCTCGACACGCTGCTCGGACTTCGGCGAGTGCAACGCCGATTCGAAGATTGCGTATCGAGGTCATGGTCGCTCTGGGCAGTCATAATCACTCGAGGTGGTGACTCGCGATGTGATTGAATGGCTGCACCTCGGCTAGACGCGTCAGCTCAGGCTGCGCCGCATCTGAGTGAGCGGGGTAGATGAGAGGTGGGGCGGTCGCACAGGCGTAGGTACCGACTTAAGAAAGAGGATGCAGTAATGGTGTTGATGGCAAGAAGTGCACGATACGAAACAACAGGATATGCCAGAAGTGAGCCTGCCTGCCTGCGCCGTCGGATGGCGCGTAACCGGACGACTGTCACACAGCGAATGCCCGCCCCAATCAATACCGCTTGCGCCAGATCTCAACTGACTCCGGTGCTTTGATGGTCTTGACCGGCCATTCACAGTCATCTCGATGATACATGTACTTGCACGCAACGTCTTTCATGTCGGGCCCCGTGGTGCCGTTGCAGACGCCATAGTGGCGTCGATATTTGCATATGTCGTACCCATGGTGACATGGCTTTGCGAACTCGAGCACCTGTGGTGCCGTAAATCCGTAGTCGGCGACCGTCTTCTTCACGGTGATGAAGAAGAAGACTTTGTGGTGCCAGACGTACTTGGCGTGAGTGTCATTGATGCGCGTGACTGGAGCGGTAGCGCGGAGCCTGTACCCGTAGGTCGAAGGCGAAAGGGGGCCTTGGTCCTGCCAGGTGCAGACTCGGTGAGTTGCGAGGGCGAGGCTGGCATGGAGAAGAACCAGCAGCTTGACAAGCATGAAGGGGGGAGCGAGGGCGAGCATTGTGCGTGATGCAGCGATGGATGGGTGTTTGAACTCGGTGACCGGACTCGAGGCTTACGACACAGCGGCTGTGCGAACAGCAATGCTCACTCTCAGGGTCATTTGATTGCCTATCTGAGGCGCGAGGGCAGCACAGTAATGGATAATGAGTTTGCCCGAGTCGGATGGAAGACGAGGGCGTGGGAGCGCGGCTGCGAAAGTGGCCGTCTGGCGGTGTACGCCTGCCTTCGGTATCAAGACAGCTTCGTCTCCCTCGTCAACTCGTACCTCTTCATTCTACAGTGGTGTTCGTGTTCGCACAGCAGAAGAATGCGCAAGTCGCGGCAGATCATGGAGCGTGTACAGGCGTAGCCGGACGACTGGGACGCTCGCAACAGCACAAGTGGTGTTCTCCCGCGTCAAACTTGGTTCCAGATCTGAACCCTGTCTGGTGCATGAGCCGGATTGACTGGCCACGAGCAGTCATCATGATGACCCATATAGCGGCACAACACATTACTCATGTCCGCCTTGGCATCTGCTGTGCCGTTGCACAATCCCCAATAGCGCCATTCGCAATCGGCGTACCCCTTTCGTCCACACGGATTGGCGAATTCAAGCACGTTCGGGCCCAGAAATCCCCAGTCGGCGACCCGAATGCTGGTATGGCCTAGGCCGAAGAAGATGCTGCTCGTGCAGATGTACTTGGCGTGAGTGTCGTTGATGCGGGTGACGGGGGCATCGCAGTACAAAGTGTATCCGTACTTGGAGGGCGAAAGGGTACCTTGATCTTGCCAGGTGCAGGTGAAATGGTCGGCGGCCGTGAGGACGAGGCCCAAAGTGATGAGCAAGAGCCCGAGAAGCAGATTGAGCGACGTGACGCCGAGCATACTGTAGCTGGATAGATGCGATGCGAGAGGAGCGAAGAAAGAAGTCGATGTCAAAGGGAGACGGCGAGCCAACGTGCGTGATCAGAGAGTTCGACTGATGTATAGCCGACGGCTGCGCGCAAAGGGTCAGACTCATAACATGCCGCCCGATGGCGCCGTCACTGAACATCAGACCGATATCTCTGAAAGATCGAAAGCTGTGGGTTTGTGCGTCGCATTGAGTCGCAGGATCTACTGCACACGCGTGCGCACGCTTGGTGCGGCTGCCGTAAGCGGCACTGATTACAATCGCGTCGAGGCTGCTATGACCCCTTCCGCAGCCTAGCGGTCACTTCCTCTTCGTCCAGATATCAACCGTGTCAGGCGCCTCAGTCAACTTGTCCGGCCATTCACAGTCGTTCCGACGACCAAGATAGCGACAATCCCGCCCGCCACTACTTCTTCCTCCAAATGTCCAGAGTAGCGGGCTCCGTGCCCGCAGCAAACTTCGTAGGCCAGGAACAATCATCGTGTCGGCCGAGATACTTGCAGTGAAAGGGGTCCGCGCTCTTTTGGTCTGAAGGAGCGTCACAAACGCCCCAGTAAAGCCACGAGCAATCATTGGCAAAGCCATTCTTGGCACAGGGCGACCTGATCTCCAAGGTCTCTGGAGCGAGAAAGCCGTAATCGGCGACCTTGAGTATGTATCCTGGCCCCGCGGGGCAGTAGTACTCGGCATTCGTGGTGTTCAAGAACTTGGCCGAAGCGCGGCAGTAGAGCTCATAGCCATAGGTGGCCGGCGAAAGGACGCCTTGATCCTGCCAGTTGCAGGTGTAGTGGTCCGCTTGCACCATGAGCGCAGCGACAAGGACGTAGGCGATAGCAAGCCTCATGTGGCGGTTGTGCTGATGAGTTGTGTAGGAAGCGTTGAGCCAAAAGAGACTTGATGACGCGTATACCTCCGATGTTTGCGAGCAAGCGGCATCCGACCTGAGCATCGGTCCGACATGTTGCCCTGGCCCTCGACCCGTCTTGCCCTCGCTCCCTCGCATCGCGGCATTGCTCAGCGCAAAGAGCAGATTGTGCTCGCGGCTCCCGGGGAGATCACGAAGTGAGAGCCTCTTCAAGACTCGCAGAGGAGCATTGTACATTCGTGCAGTCCCGCTGCATCTACTTCACCGTACGCTCCCTCGCTGGCTCTTGAGGGTGCATTTGGGTATAATTTATCGGAGGATAATGTGTGATGTATCCGAGCCTCATCCTGGATAAAAGCCTTCGTCTTACTTCCCTTTGCCTCTGTCTCGCTGTAATCAATCAAAAGGCCAAGCCGTCTGCAGCCAAGCGTTCATGCGCAGCCTGATGTGACCCTCTGCGCTTGCATCGCCCTCGTCGTTGCCTGGTACCGTCTTCCCACTCTCTCCCGTCTCCTCGATTGCAACCGTCCTGAAACACTTGCCAACGCTAGGTAGGCTCAACAATCCCACAAAGTCGTGCAGCTTCTCCGTCTTTTCCTCTTGCGTGGCGCCAGCGGGAATGATGGCGGGCTCGATGTTGCATTGAGCCACGTTGCGCTCACTGTCGTCCTCGACGAAGACGGAGTAGAAGGGTTGGTGACGTCCGCCGGAGGGAAGGGAGTCCTGCGCAAAAGAGAGGAGGAAGACAGCAGGATGGAAGGTCAGCATTGTGCTCTTGAGGAACAATGTGGCAGGCCGACTCACCACGCGCATCTGTCTGATCCACGCCTCTCCCTTGCGACAATAGCTATCCCAACCAACAATGACCGCACGATATCCAAAACGCCTGTGCGTGAACACAGTCCCGACCCCATACTCGACGGCGTCATTGGATGGGTGGCTACGATCACGTCCTTCAGGGGAGTGGATGCCATACTGCGCCGCCTCCTGACCATCACCGCCTAAACAGCCCATCCCATCGCAGAGCTCACGATCACTGTCGAAGATCTGGCCCGCGTAGCCACGCAAAGGATGACGACGACCAAGATCGCCTTCTTCCTCTTCACTGCTCTCGCTGCCCTCCTCCTCCTGGGCAACACCGTCCGACTCGTCTTTCGCAACTTTCAGTTCACTTGCCGCCTCTTCTCCTGCGAGCCCGTCCTGCAACAGCCCGACATCAGCGAGGAATGCCGCACTGTTCGCGTTCCCTGCCATCTGGTTCAGCAGTAGCATGTTCGCCGCCGCAAGAGACCCTCCCAGCTGATGAGGGGCAAAGAGGCGAAGAACCCACATGGCGCAGTATTTTGCGTCGAGGCGAAGGGGAAAGGAGGTGGAGCGCTCGCTGTGCACGTGTGTGGACGGGAGTGAGTCGAGCGACGATGCGAGAGTGACAGAGTCGAGGGGATATGGTGGAGTCGCCGAGCGACCGGAGACGTAGAGGCGCAGAGAGGCGAGCGGATCGGCTGAAGAAGCAAGATTGATGACGTCGTCCTCTTGCGGGTAGGCTGGGCCTGCCTGATTGCCGTGCTGTCGATCCGAGTGAGGGAGTCGGGGATCGCCTTCATTCTGCAGTGCCGCGATGATATTGCTCGCCACGCGCTGCAGGATTGCGAGCGGCGAGGCAGGCTCGAAGAGCGGGCTAGTCGAGCTCAGCTGTGTAGCAGGGATGCCGTGCGCGCGAAGGAAGTTGGTGACCTGACCTGACTCGGCAACAAATTTCTCCTCTGGGTTGTCGGGACTGACAAAGAAGCGCTCCCACTCCTCCTTCGTGCTGATAGAATCGGCAGGCTGCGCAGCCTCCTCCACCGCAACGATGAGGATACGGAAGGGGGTGTTGACGAGCGTGGCCGCCACGCCCAGCCGACGGGCAACGGCGCAGACAATGGCACAGAGCGTGAGCGGTAGCGTCCGCCGCTGTCCTGGGCAGAAGAGGGCGATGCTCAGAAAGCTGTTCTCCACATCGTAAAAGTCGGATGCGCCCGCGATGCCGAAGTTGAGGGCGCGCAAGGATGCGACAATGCGGTGCATGGAGAGGCGGGATGAGCCGCGTGGTAGACCGTGCTCGTCACTGGCATCAATTGCAGAAACGCTGGCAGCTCGTCGATCTTGCGCTTGTAGATCGGCCCAGACGAAGAGGGCGAGGAGATCGAGGTACTCGCTCAACTCCGCACCAAGCCCACCGCGAAAGAGTGAGACGCTCTTCAATGCTTCCTCTATGCCGGTGCAGGAGTCGAGGACTCGCTCCTTCAGCGAGCCTCGACTTCTCAAAGCGCCCACACCCTCGTACCGGTCCTTCAGGGAGAGCATTGAGTGGATCGCGTCGCGACGCGCATGATGACCGGACAGCTGGAAGGCTGCAAGGCCTAGTGTTAGACAGTGATCGCGATGAGGATGCGAGTCGCCTTTGCTCGCGATGGTGTGTACATCAAGAGCTTTAGGCCATGCCTCCTCTTCCTTGACGTCGGAGAAGCGGGCGATGCGTTCGAGATTGGAGCAGCTGATGCGCTGCTCTGCAGCAAGGGATGCGAGGAACTCTCTTGCGCCGTCGCCGTGCTGTGAGGCAAGGCGCAGAAGGTTGTCTAGTGTGCCACAAGTGAGGTCGATGTGGTTGCGGAGCTCGGCGAGAATGCGTTGATCGCTGTTCATCCGATCCCGAAAGAGGGTGTAGAAGTCTGGAGGCTGGGCGTCGTGATCGCCAAGCAGAGCTTGGAGGAAGAGCGGGACAGATGCTGCATCCTCGCGCGACTGAGTGCCAGGATTCGGTTCTGGTGGCTCCATCGCTTGGCTCACATCGTTGCAAGCGCTACTGACCATACTATTGAATTCGCCGTTGGATGTCGCAGGACCAGGCGACTGGTTGCTGAGCTCGCGGACAGCCTGGATCTTCTCCCAAGCCTTGGCAGACCTCTCCTCAAAAAACTCGCGAGAGGGCGGAGAGGCGGCGCAGCGCTCAAGGAACGCTTTCATCGTATCTGTTCTTCTCCGCTGCCTCGCATCGAGGATACAGCGCTGTAGCTCGTCATTGACGTCGCCTCGCGGCCGGTAGAAGCGCCAGTAATGGTCCTCCCACAGCCGCCCGTCGGTGGCGACTGCTTGCCAGGCTTGGCAGACTAGCAACGCATGATGGAGATCAAGTGGACCGGGGAGGTAGCTGAGTATGCTGTACAGGAGCTCAGAGGGAAGCCATTGAATGGGTATCGGGGCAACGTCGTGCGAGGAGGTTGACGCTGTTGCAGTCATCGTGGCGACGAGGTGATGAAAGAAGTGGAGGGCCAGGAGATTGAGGATAAGGACGTGTCCGCATGAGTTATTGTAGCTGTTGACGAGTTCAGACGGTGCCTTGATGAGTCTTGCACTCCCACACCTCAAGTCAAGAAGCAAAGTCGCAGTTAGAGGACGATTGGGTCGAAAAGCCAGAGGGACGCTCCCTCGCTCCGTCACCTGGCTCACTTCATCTTTGCCGGCCTGTCCGTCTTTGCCGCCGCGAGCCTCAGCACGGGCCACCACGGCAAGCCCACCCACGTGGCGCTTGCTGCAAAACTCACGAGCAGCCACGACTTCGATTCGCACCACTTATCATCACCATATATTCGTGTCTCTTTGATTCAAATCGGGATATGTAAAACAACAGGAAGGATCAGAAGAGAGCACAGAACGTCACAGGGCAGGACAATGCGCCACAGTCCGCGCATGCCTCAGCGCCGCCGCCGCCTCCTCCTCAAGCGTGAGTCTCGGCCGCAACCTTCTTCGCCGTACCCAGCGTGTTGCGGTTGGCATCGCCGACAGGGGGGACCCAGTCGCGAGACTTCCAGGGCTTGACACCGCTCTGGAACAGGAGGTCGACCTGCTCGAGGGACAGACCGCGGGTCTCGGGGAGGACGAGGAAGACGAAGATGGCGGCCGTGAGGCACAGAGAACCGAAGATCAGCATGATCAAGGGGCCGTATTGAGCGCTGAGAGGAGGGCTGAAGTAGCCCAGCATGAAGTTCCAGAACCAGTTGGAGGCGCTGCCCAAGGAGACGCACTTGGCGCGAAGCTCCTGAGGGTAGAGCTCCGAGAGAAGAACCCAGGGGGTCGGTCCGACGGCTACGGAGAAGGATGCCAGGTGGAAGACGGCGAATGCGATGAAGGCATTGCCTGCAGCGTGCTGACCGGAAGTGACCTGGTCTGCAGGCAAGCCAGCGGGAGCAAGCGAGTACTTGCCGACAAAGGCTACGATGAAGGCGCAGACGAAGCAGACGAAGTTGCCCCAGATCAAAGAGCGACGACGTCCGGCCTTGTCGATGAGGTAGAGGGCGGGGAAGGTGCAGACCCAAGAGACGATACCCAGGATGAACTGGATCTCATACGAGTTGAGCGACACGTTGGCGGCAGAGAAGAAGGTAGGGCCGTAGTAGTAGTAGAAGTTTTGGCCGTTGAGCTGCTGGAAGACTTGGACCAGGCAGCCAGTCAGGGTGCGACGCCACAGCTGGCGGTCGAGGGAGAAGCAGCGGACGTATGAGGTAACATAGTTGGTGTTCTTGAAGACCTCGCGCTCCTTGCCGATGAAGTACTCCATCTCCTCGAGCTCCTCCTCCATGGCGTCGTCTCCGCGGCGACCCTGAGGGGTGTCGCGAAGGGAGATGCCACGCATGCCGGCCATGGTAATACGAGCGCGGTCATGGTTGCCGCGTTGAAGCTCCCAACGAGGGGACTCGGGAAGGAAGACCATGAGGCCGATGAGAGCGACACCCCAGAGCATCTGGAGCCCGACGGGGATACGCCATGATGCTGCGAGCGATGGGAGAGGTGCGAGATGTCAGCTCCTGCAAAAGCGTCGCTTCTCGCTCGCATGCGCCACTCACCCGAAGAGTTGACGGCGTTGGAGCTACCCCAAGAGATACCGTAGGACACAGCGATACCGGTAATGATCAGGAGCTGGTAGCCCGAGACCATCATACCGCGAATAGCCTTGGGGGCAGTCTCACCGAGGTACAAGGGGCACAAGCCGGAGAGTGCACCGACGGAAAGACCAGCAATGAAGCGACCTACGATCATCTGGGCGAGGGACGTTTCGGTGGCAGTCTGAATGACGGCGCCAACGGTAAAGACGACTGCCCAGGTGACCATGGCTTTTTGACGACCGAGCCAGTCGGAGATGGGGGCTTGCAGAAGGGCACCGAAGAAGGTACCGGCGCCCAAGAGACTGGTAATCTGGGAGCGTGCATGATAGAGTGTCAGGCGAAGGGTTTCCATAGTTTCATGGGCGCTCGCCGTCTACTCACCAGTGACTGGGTCTGGGTCGGGAGCTCCCAAGCGCCCGTCTCAGGATTCAAGCCGCCGCCAAATCGCAAAACAAAGTCCTTCATGATGAGGCATCCGGAGATAACACCAATGTCGTATCCAAACAGGAAGCCACCCGTGCAAATAGTGAACATCAGGAGCAGGCACTTGGTGGTGATCTTGCTAGGCGGAGCAATGTGCCTGCCGCCATCGAGGTTGTGATGGCCATACTCGTTAGAGGCGGTCGTAGTCAGGCCAAGGGGAGACTCCTTGCCCTCTTCCTTGGTAGGTGAGGAGGACATGATGGGGATTGGATGCGGTCGATAGGGAGGAAAGATGGGTGAGACAGGCCTTGCGCTTGCTAAGACCCCGGGCGTTTTGCTTTCGAAGCGGCACGGAACCAATAGGGCGGGCCGTTGGGCGTTCTACGGGGAAGCAAAGGGCTGACAAGGGCGTGAGACGTGGAAGGGGATTGGGGCGAGGGTGAGAGTTGAGGAAGGGCTGGCGCGGACAGCTTAAAGCTATGGTGTGGGGCTCCGTGGGGGGCTAGCGATTGTGGGGAAGCTTCTGCGTTCTTTAAGTAGACTCGCGACACCCCTCTCGCCCTCCTCGTCACGCTACCTCCGAGCTTTAGGCCGCTTTTTCGCTGCTTGCCGCTCCTCGGCTTTGTCTCACAATCTCCCTTGCACCCCCTGTCCTGCTCTTGCCCTGTCTTCCTCGTGCCCGTAGTTTTTTGGATGAATAGATTGCCGGTGGGGGATCATGCGAGGACGAGGGCTGGTAGTCTGAATTTCGGCGCCCGCGCCGTTTCCGAGTGTACAAGGCCTTCAGCCGTAGATGAACAGTGTGCCTCGTGTGCCATCCGTTGAGGGCACCTGTGGTGCGGTGCTGAGAGACGTCAAGGTCTGGGTCCCAACCGCATTATTGCAGTGTCAGCTCCCTGCGAGTCGTTCGCAGCCACCCGCGCAGCGCGGGTTCCTTGCAGTCGCCTGCGCGCGCAATCGGGTGAGCTCTCTCGGCAGCCGGCCCCGCGAGAGCCTCCCCTTTTGGAAGCGGAAACAGCGGCCGAACCTCTGCCCCGACTTCACAGGAAGACCTCGCCAAGAAGCTTTCTTGAATCCCCACCATCGCCTCGCTTCGTGACCATCTCAATCGCAGCGATTGAGAAAAGCTCTGGTCAGCAGATTCCTTGCACGCTAGTCATCAAGGGCCGGCGGCGATGTCGGTCATCGCGGGGGACAGTAGTCGTCGGGCGACGCCAGCGCAAAGCGGCAACACAATCGAACCCCACTCCGCCCCCCTCACGGCCGCATGCTGCTGCCGCATGTCGTGCGACTGCACGCGCAAGCAGATAGGCTGAGCAAGCTCTGCGCTCGGTCATGTACAAGAATGCACAAGAGAGATCTCCGTGTGTGATGGCGAGGGCTCTCGCGTACCTACATCCTCACCAAGACTCTGCGCATCACCACCAGATGCTCGTACAACTTTCGGCTGTCAGCGGGGTGACCCCAATGTCTCTCAGACTACGGTAAGCCGCGTCGTCCGCTGGTGGCTTGGCTCCGATCGTGAGTGACGATTGGTCATCGTGGCCTCGTTCTTCGTCTCCTTACGTTGGCGTGCGCTCGAGTTGCCACTCCCTTCGTGCAAGGTGCACAAAGCCTATCGCCCACAATTCACACGGTGATCAGCATTCTGCCGCATACTCTTGGCGAGTTGGCAGCTCGATGTCCATTCTCGCCACGTCGTAGAGAGAAGGGCGAGGGAACTGCGCGCACGACTCCCGCTCTGTCTTATTGCTATGTCCCTCCATCACATCCTCTTCGGCACCTCCGTCACGCCACCTTCCTGTAGATGTCCACTGAGAGCGGCTGGTCACCAGGGTTGAACTTGCGTGGCCACTCACAGTCGTCTTTACCAGACATGTAGCGGCTGGGAAAAAAGAGCAAGGGCGCGAGAGCATCGCTCGCGTCAGTCTCGCACGTACTACACTCCATGAGGCCTGACTCACCACTTCGAGCAACCAGAATGACGGCAAGTCAGCTCAGCTCAGCTCAGCTCAGCTCAGCCGCAACGCACCGCACTCGACTCACCTCGAAATGGAGCTGCTTCCCCTCTTCCGTTGTATTGTCACCGATGCAAACGCCATAGTACTTGATTTGGCTATCGGAGTCGTATCCTCCATGGCCATGGGGAGTCCAATATTCAAGCACGTCATTGCGGAGGAAGCCATAGTCTGCGACGACGATGCCCTTGTTCTCGAGGCACTTGTACTCGGAGTGGTCAGGACCAACAATATCGTTACGTCTCGCTGTGCAGAAGGGCGAATACCCGTGAGAGATGGGGTCCGTGATACCCTTGTCATGCCAGGAGCACGCCCTGTGCTTTGCCTGCGCGTGCGAGAGGAGGGCGGCAAGCGCGAAGGCAGGGGTGGTGAACATCATCATGGGCGGTGGCGGGACGCTAGCGATATCAAGACAGGTGAGCAAGAGAAGAAAGTCGAGCGTGGTCATTCTTGTATGAGCCTTCGTCGATGGCACTTTGCCGAGACGTTTGCCATCTCATTCTGAAGCAAGCTGAACCCATCGAACATGCCGTCATCAGCCCGTTATCAGCCTCAGCCATCACCTGACTGCACCGCCTTCACTCGCCGGCCCATCATCTCCGACACCACCGCAGCAACTTGGGTCGCGAGGGCTGCGCACGCTCGGCTGAACAAGTCGCACCGCCTTATGGTTCCGTCCCTCACTTTTTATGAAAGACCTCAACGACGTACGGCAGCGTCGCCTCGGTGAAATTGGTCGGCCAAGTGCAGTCATCGTACTCGTTCATCGCGTAGCAAACCTCGATGAACGTTTGACCCGTTGGACCACCGGCCGCCACCTGCGAGATGCACAGCGCCCAAGCTGTATACGAGCAGTCCTTGGCGAATCCTCCATTATTGCAGGGCGTCGAGAACTCAAGTCCTGCCGCGTAGATGTAACCCCAATTAGCGACGAGCGGCCTGCCTTTGTCTGGACAATTATACGTGGCGAATCGATGGTCGTAGACGACAGGCTCTGCGGCGCAGTAGCGCTCGTACCCATGCTCGTCGGGGCGGTTGTCGCCTCCGTCTTTCCAGCTGCAGGTGCGGTGCAAGGCAAGCGAGCCGTGCAAGGCCACGAAGAGGAAGACGAGAGAAGCAATGGCTAGGAGGCTGATCATGGTTGAAATACAGAGTAATGGATTGGTTGGGCGAGATGCTATGAGGATCACCAAATGAATGGCCCCACCGTCCTTCCACCACGATAAAAGCTGCCCAACCCAGAGCAATTCCAGTCTCTTGCTGCGACCTCACTCTCACCGCGCGTGCGGCGCCTGCTGTTCCTCCCACCTCATCACGGCGCAAGCGCACCGGGCGTTCACTTGTAGTAAATCCGCACATTGGGCGGTAGCTCTGGCTCCTTAATCCTTACGGGCCATGCACAATCGTCGTAAGATTTGAGATAGAGGCACCTCGTGATATCGAGCGTCTTCTTGCTCGGCGGCCCCGTCTCGTGCAAAAGGCAGACAGCCCAATTATGGTTCGGGTAGTTTCGCGCGTATCCTCCTTTTCCTCGGGGTGTCAAGAACTCCAACGCCAGAGGCTCGAGATACCCCCAATTGGCGACTTCGGTGTTGACGTTCTCACGCTCGCAGAGGTAGCGAGCATGCAGCTGGTCGATCCGCTCGCGGCGGGCAGTGCAGTACTCGACGAAGCCGTAAGCGCGGGGCTTGTCGGGACCCGGACCCAGCCATTCACAGACGAAGTGCTCAGCAAGGGCGAAGGCCACGAGCGAGAGCATCAGGACGAAAGACGTAGAGACGCGAACAGCGAGCATGCGTGTCTGGCAAGGGCGTGGCTCTTGATGGCTGTATTGTAGAGGTAACAAGGATGAGGAGAGATGACACGGAGTAAACATCTTGTACCCCCGCCGTTCACCGGCTGCCAGAATGCTCCGCCAACGATGCGTGCGTGCCACCGCCGCCACACGCAGTCCTGCCGTCTTGCTCGCCGAGAGAACTTTACCGGGAGTAGATGCGTACATAGGGCGGTACCTCATCCTTGACAAAGCGGCGCGGCCATGCGCAATCGTCTTTTCGGCCCAAATACAGGCACGCAGCAATATTCAGCGTGGTGTTGTTGGGTGGGCCGGACTCCCGCAGGTTGCATAGGGCCCATTCATGGTGCTTACACTCGCTGCCGGCGGCATACCCGCCATCGCTGCAGGGCGTGCCGTATTCTAAAGTAAAAGGCTCGAGGTAGCCCCAGTCAGCGACTTGTTTGCCTTCATTCTGCCCCTCGCAGACGAAGCGAGCGTGGAGAGAGTCAACGAGAATCTGGCGAGCAGTACAGAATTCTTGGAAGCCGTACGTGGTAGGCCCTTCAGCCCCTGGCCCATGCCAGCTGCAGATGAAGTGGTCGGCGTGGACGCCGAGTGCAAGCAGGCAAGTGCTCAGCAAAACAGCCGTAGTACCGTGGAGAGCGAGGATGATCATGCGCGTTGGAATGGGAAAATGCGTTGGTTATGGAGAAGGGGCCGCAGATAGCAAGACAGGGGTGCTGCACTAGCCAGGACTCCACGTACCGTAGCACCGACGTCTGTCCATCTGCTCGTCCCTCGCATCCCGGTCTTATCTCGCCGCCCTACGATGCCCGCCGCCCACTTCTCAAGACCGCCGCCGCCGTTCCCCGCCGGATCCCGCCCATGTCGTGCGTCACTGGCTGTAGATGTCGAGCACTTTTGGCACGTTCTCGGGTGCGAAAAGCTTTGGCCACTCGCAGTCATCCCATTCTGACCAGTAGTAGCAATTCCACCCAACCACGGCCGCTCCATTATTTGGACAGACCGCCCAGTGAGACAGCGAGCAGTCAGGAGCGTAGCCGCCGCCATTACATGGCGTCGCCAGCTCTAGCGTCCTTGGCCGGAGATATCCCCAATCAGCCACCATGACGCGGCCTCCTCCCGGCGAATCGCACCAGTATTGACCATGCTCGGAGTCCTGAAGCTTCAAGTTGGCGGAACAGAACCGCTTGTATCCGAGCGTGTCGGGGCTGCCGGGCCCGGGACCTGTCCAAGAACAGGTGACGTGGTTGGCGCTTCCAGCGCCGAAGAGATACGTCAAAGTTGCACCCAGGAACAAGAGCGTGCTGCGCATGACGGAGGCCGGATTTGTGCCAAAAAGGGACGAGGAAGGGGTGGGAAATGCTCAGGCCAGGAATAAGACATGGCCTGCGTACATGTTCTCGCTCTTCGCTGCCACAATCTCGCTCTTCGCTGCCCTCACGGCCCGACGTCACAAGCATCCGTGTCCGCCATTTGTCCGGCTGCCACCCTCCGCTTCGCTGCCGCTTATGCTTCACCTCATTTCGCAGTGTGCCCCGCTGCTACCCATCGTATGGATCCGCATGCGAATTGCTCCTCTCGTAGTGGAGTTGTACGCGCCTTGGCCGTTCGAGTAGGAGAAAAATGGCTACTCTGCGCTGCGAGTAGGACAGACGCGCATCTCGGCCAGCTGGCGTGGCAGTTCGTGACCATTCTACCTCATAGACTCAACGAAAGGTAGATTGATGGAGCAGCATCAGACATAACAGAAAGGTTCTCGCCACAGTAGACCTTACAATTGGCGGTTCGCAAATTCTTGCCCGCCATTTGTGACCCTGAATGTCAGCCACTGAAGCCTACTTCACACCGGGAGCACGCCCCGCCTTCTTCGCCTCCTCGGGCGTAGGCTCACGCCACACGGACACGCTCTCCGGCTTGTCACCCTCGTCGATGAGATCGCGGAGCTCACAATCGTCGCCAGAGGCCATGTAGTAGCATCCTGCCGGATATTCGCCCGTATCCTTGTCCCTTTCGTCGAGACAGAAGCCCCAATGCGCTGACTCGCAGATGTACGTGAAGCCTCCATCGCCACAGGGGGTCGCAAAGCTCAGACACCCGCTTCTGAGGACACCGTAGGTGGCCACCTGCGCGCTCTTGTCTTCATTGATGTCGCATACGTAATGCGCTTGCTCGTAAGTGGAAACGCCGTCCCAGATGTAGCCATCGCAGTACGAGAGGTAGCCTCCTGATTCTGGGTTCTTGCCTGGACCAGACCAGGAGCATTTTGTGTGCTCCGCGTGGGCGGTGCGAGCCAGCACGGCGAGAGCGAGGAACGCCAGAAAGATATGTAGCATTGCTGCAGCTGTTGGCTGAGTGGGTCCAAGAAAGCAAGCGCAGGGTGTGTGGGACTGGGCGCCAAAGCAACGGGAAGTAGAAAGCTTGTCGGATCAGTGTCTGTCGGCTGGGACTTCCTCGAAAGGCACGGTCAGTGGTCAAGAAGGAAGCGAGAGCGCGCTCGCGGAGTCGTAATGGCTTCTGACCCTCGGCATCGAACAGTCGTTGCGTCATGCCCTGCACCCTCTCTGGTCGCACGATGGGAACCCATGATCGCCGCATCACAGCAACATCAGCTCAGCATCTTGCTGATCTTCATCATCGGCGGCCGGCAGTATGCTCCGTGTGCCAGGCATGCACGATCTTTACATCCATGGCTGTCGGGCATCGCCATGCGGACGATTTTGAGCTCAAGTGAACAGGATGGAAATATTGTCTTGGGATGGAGGAGATTGACATACAGCTAGATGCTGAGATACGCTCACACCGCAGCGAAGTGAAGGGAATGCCCACACGAAATGGGAGCAGCAGATTCATAAAGGTAAGATCGACGGAATTCTCGCCATTTAGAGCGCCCCGTAATCCGCCGTGGTCCCTACGCGCACCGCCCTCCCTCCTTGCGATGCTCCTCTCCTGTAGGAGTGACGAGGACAAGGTAATCAATTCATGGGGAAAAGAAAGAGGACAAGAGAGATTGGAGATGCCAGCGGATGCAACAACGGGGCGGCGGAGCGGACGAGTGTGCCGCGTGACACCTCCTCGCTAGGGAGGTGGAACGTATGGGTACGGAGCTCGCCAGATATCCACCTTGTCTGGCTTCTCCGAGTGGTTTATGTAGGTAGGCCACTCACAATCATCGTACTCGTAAAGATAGAAACAAGCAGGCTGCCTCCAGCCATCGTACGCCCCAGTTGTGGCGTTTCTGGGCCCGAGACACAGGCCGTAGTATCGGTACCCACACGCCTCTGTCCATCCATCTCCGCCGCAGGGAGTGATAAATTCAATGATCCCAGCAGCCTGGTAGCCAAAGTCTGCGACCTTGCTTTCGGAGCCATCGACTGGCCAGGTGCAGATGTACTCGGCCGTGATGCCGTACTCGTCTTTGTCGACCTTTTTGCCCGAACAGATGTATTTCCACTGAAAGGCCCCAGGATTAGTTCCTGGGCCGGTCCAGGAGCAGACCGAGTGGACCGCAAGAGCTGTGGCTGTAGGTCGAGTAAGGGGCAGAAGCAGCAACAGGGCTGGTAGGATGAAGTGCATGGCTAATCGAAGCGGCACGGGATACAGTAGGGCGAGCGCTGTTGGTGACCTAGTAGATGTGGCTTGACAAGTAGGTCGGATCTGTTGTAAGCGGATTGAGTTGTGTTTGCAGCAGAGGCAGCATTGTCGAGCGTCCGCTGATGTGCTGGGGCCTCTGCAGGGCCAGGGCAATTTTCTCAGGAGGGCACTCGAAGTGGCGGTGCCGCATGATTTTGTGCGGCCCTCAAAATCTGCTGCGGCCCGTGTCATTGCGATGCGAAAGTCTAGCGGAGACACGCAGAAAAACTTCGAGTAGTCGGGCTTGGGCCGTCGCATGCTCTTGTCGGCTGCTCGAAACCTGCCGTTGCTCGTACGCGTCGCTCCGTAGGGGGAAAAGAGGTTGTGTCTGCCATCGTGCTGCGGTGTGAGGGTAGCTCGATCCTGCGTCACGGAATGTATCAGGGAGGCTCGAGACTCGGGCGATCCTCCTGAGCAAGCTTGGGCGGAAGATGCGGGGCGACACGCGGTTGATGGAGTGGATGCAATGGTCAGATGCCGAGCTGGTGGTGATGATTGGCAGACAATCATAGCATTGAAGAGATACAAGCACGTGGCCACTCGCTCTGTCTCGCCCGCTCACCAGCGTCGCGCTCCGATCGCGCTCCGAACGCGGCCGCAGCCAGCTACTTCCTTTGAGGGGGATAAGACTCATGCCAGATATCGACGCTCTCCGGGCGCTCCGTATGCCGAATGACACTCGGCCACTCACAATCGTCGATACTCGACACGTACCAACAAGCAGGCTGACGCCATCCATCGTACGCGCCCGTAGTCTTGTTGCGAGGGCCGATGCAAAGGCCCCAGTGCCTGTAGTCGCAAGCCATTGTAAAACCGCCACCCCCGCAAGCAGTCGCAACTTCTATAAGTCCGTACCCGATATTGCCAAAGTCGCCCACTAGGCTTGTTTCACCATTGGGCCAGGTGCAGACGTAGCCGCCCGTAAATTCGTCATTAGCCACCAAGTCTCCCGTACAAAAAATCTCCCAGCCGTGCGCGGCGGGGTTGTTCCCTGGGCCGCCCCAGTTACAAACGGAATGAACCGCTTGCGCAAGCATGGGAAGAAGCGGCAGATGCGCAAGCGCGAGGATCGTCACGAGGAAAGGCGCGATCGTGAGAGGAGCAAGAGCGAGGGGGTAGAGCGAGAGCTGCTGGTGAGGTCCGGTGGCGAGGTTTTCGTGTCAGCTTCACCAAGGAAGAGCAGGCGTAGAGGTGAGTGCAGCTCTTGGGGCCACTTAGGGGGTAGGCGGAATCATTTCTACCGTGCTAATTGAACTTCTCTTAGTCGAGAGGCCTCCTCGAGAGCGCTCGGCTTCAGAATTCCGCAACCCTCTGCCCACTCTCGAGCTGCGCCAATTGCTCATAGTACCGTCCCTCGTCGTATTCACGAGGGCAAAGTCCTTGTGTGCAGCATCGAAATCACAGCGCCTCGTCAAGCTGTTGCTCGACCCAAATGGGCCGGTCACGAGGGGAAGGAGCGCAGCATGTTGGCCCCATTGGCTCCATCACAACGTATTGCGGGTGGTAGGTTGCTTGCCTTAGTCCTTTCGCAAATTGTAGCGCTCGTACGACGTTTGCATTGGCCAACATCGGCGGGTCATGATCGTCGAGACTCGCAGATGCTGTGTCGCTTGACCTTGAATCGAGGTCATGGTCGAAAATCAAGCTAGTCTTAGCGGCGGACTCTCGGATGCAGCCAATCGAAGGCGAATCGAGCGGGCGGACGGCGAGAGCGGCGCGGCGACCCGGAACAAGGAGAGCCACAAAGACAGAAAGCTCCGAGGCAACCAAGCGAGGCGAGCAACTGAGCAACGGATCCATCGCTGCAACCTGCGAGATGCTGCGCCACGTCTTGCAAGGCGACGAGACGACAGAGCAATTCGAGATGATCGATTGCTCGTATACCCAGGATGACACGGTCCGGGGTCAGGATTGTGATCAAGCCTTTACTCGGCGGGCGTGCCCTTGCTTTTGGTCAGTTGCACTAGCGCAGCGGACACCTAGTAAAACGAAAGCCAAAAGCAGGCGACCCCCTCTATGCCTTTCTCTCCTCACTCCTCATCACTACCGTCTGCATCGACTCAGGTACCCCTGCTGGTCAGGCGGCCTCTCTCTCGTCAGCTAGGCACTGGTTGTCGCTGTCACTCCTGCTTCTTAAACGTCCCTGGTGGACTTGCCGCTCCTCTCACGGTCTTTTTTCGACTCACCATCCAAGGAAGAGCTTGTCTCTCCTTATCTTTGCCACCCTCCTCCATCAGCTTCCCCTATCCACAATGCTCGACACTACGCATCGTCGTCTGCCCCCAACCTCGCTCAACCTCGGGCCCGCTCGAGCCAAGTACGTCCCGCGCACCTACAATCGCTTCCCCGCTCCGGTCAGGCCGCAGGGGCTCAACTGCCGAGATCGACGACCCTGTACGCCTGGGAGAGCGGTCGCTATGAATCTATGGAGCCCAACGATTGGGCGTGGAGGTGCTAGGAGGATGGAGACGATCAAGTCTCACCCAGTGCTGTTGCGCGGCTCAGCGCCGGGTGCGAAGATGCTCGAGGACGACTCCACCGCTGAAGACAAGCAAGATGGCGCTGACTGGATGGCAGCTCTGATGGGCGTGGCGCTACCCAGTCTTACAGCTGCCAAGTACAAGCCGCTCAACAACGCCTGTGTCGCTACTTCGTCTACTGAACAACCCCTGCTGAGCCCCTCTGATGAGGACGATCAACACCCTTCACTCCTCTCACCTCTCACACCCCCAACGTCTGCGCCAAGCATCCAACTCTCCGCTCTCCTCCCATCTCCCACCTTCCTACTACTCAACGCTTCGCCCCACGTTCGACCTCCTCGCTCCTCCTCGCCTCCCCTTTCAGGCTCGCCCTCATCCTCCTGCTACTCGCGCCCGAGCGCTCCGCCTAGCGGAGAAGGAGGAGACTTCGGCCTTGCTAGGGACGTGCCGCCAATGTCTGCCAGCTTCGTCGTGGTACAGAGCTTGACGCCCTTCCTCGTGTGGACGCCGGCGCCAGGCTCGGCGAGGTACCAGCAGCAGGCCGGGTCGGCGAAGATGAGCAGCTTTGACGCGGAGGCACGTATCGATGCTCTTCGCAGCCCGATCGTGCATCGTCCTCCAACTCGCAAAGTGCCCATGAGTCCACTACGACTCAACACACCCACCTCCGCTTCTGCCCATTTGGGGGTCCACACCCTACTCAGCCCAACCAACACTCGCAAGCCTGGCCGCAGAGTTCCGATGAGCCCTCTGCGTCTTCAACTCAACGCGTACTCTGCCGCGCCCTACGATCGTCAGATGGCGCCAAGCACGCCTCTGTCGGCCGCTCCAAAGGATCGACAGATGCCGCTCCAAACGCCGAGGACGCCCAAGACGCCCAGGTCTGCAGCGCCCTTCATGAGCAAGAGACGAGGTGCTCTTGCTGCTCTTCGAGAGGAGAATGAGGAGGCCAAGGTGCAGAAGAAGGAAGAGGTCTTGCCCTCCTTCAACGTTTCCGAGGCGCCTACGTTCGAGCCGGTCGCAGTTGAGGGCGCAAGCAACGAGGGCATCTCGCTCACCTTCTTCTCGTGCGAGGATCTCGAGTAGCCGCAAGTGTGCCGTGATTGCATCAATGTCAAGCTCATGTGGCAGGCAATCATCTCAGCTTTTGAGCAGCACGACTGGTGATATATTGGGCAGGTGCTGACGTGTGTGCACATCGACCATTCGTGACGACGTGAGCCACGTACATCTTCAGCTGCCGCTGCGCAAAACCCTCGTTCCACTACCGCCTTGACCAATACTCTCACTTCTCGACATTGTCCCCACCCTCCTTCACTTGACCAGCGTCAAGCCCATCGGTAAACTTCGGCGGGGCAGCGTGCGACCCACTGCCAGCCGCAGCAGTGCTGGCAGCTTCTCCTGCCTGTCCACCAGACGCACCACCCTTGTCTCTGTTGTTTCCCTTCTTCCCTTTCTTACCACTACCTCCACCACCGGCAGACGGAGCAGCAGCCTGCTTCGCCTTGTTCATTGCCTTGGTGTCAGCCGTAGCCTTGTCAAAGAGCGATCCTCCCTCCTTCGCACCCTGCGCCGCGGCACCGCGTGCATTATCCGCAGCCTCGACGGGACGCTTCTGCTGTTGCTTGAGCAAGTCCTCATTATCCTGATGCGCAGGGATACTGAAAGCAGGTCCGTCGCCTACTTGAACCTTGGCTGCGCCCGTCGTTGTGGAGGACTTGCCGATGGCGGGAGGCATAACCGACGAAGTGGTGGATGAGCCGACTTGATCATTTCCGCCGGGTCCACGCGGATTTGTCTCCTCATCAAAGTCGCTACGCTTGGCGTGAGAGTCCTGCGAGGAGAGGGACGCTTGGGCGCGCAAGGGAATGGGCTCGTCGAGCGCTGGTGCACCTCCTCGGGGGGCGGCTGCGGCTGATTGGAAGCTGCGACGTGTGTTTGCCGAGTCGAAGACCGAGATGCGGGGCGCCGCGAAGGGGAGGAAAGGCTGAACGGCTACGCCGATGAAGGTCTGCGTGATCCCTTCGATGGCGACCAGGGGGCCATACGAGATGCGCTTGCCCAGGCGCAGCGCCGACTCTGCGTACCCCGTGGCAGCAGTCGATCCACGCTGAAATCCGTCGCTAGCCGCGTCCCTCGCTCCAGCAGGCAAAGCCTGGTGGGCACGCTTGGCGTAGCCATGCGCTGCGGGCTCGACGCGGCGACGCAAGTGGGAGGCAAGGTGGGTGTGCAGGTGGAAGAAGGCGTTGCATACCGCCACGACTAGCAAGCTGGCCAGAGGAGTAAAGATGGAGGAGATCAAGAATCCGATGAGAGGGAGGGAGGTGAGGAATGTCGAGGCAGGCCATCGATCCTCCCAGTATGTCGCGTAGAGAAGGCTGGACCCCCTGCTGGATCCGTCAGGGTGGAACTGGATGACCGTCTCGACGGGCACGGCAATTGTGAAGAGCGGGAAGAACAAGGGACGCAAGTGGCGGGTAGACTTGATTGTGGCGCGCGTGTCCTTGTGACTCCAGCTCACGTCCTTAGATCGGATGTCTGCCCCACGGCCGAGGTCGAGGTAGTTGAGGGTGAACGCCGCGTGCTTAATTGCGGAAACGCCAGAAATGGAGAGGGCGTGTCCGGTGTAGCGGGCGTGAGATGCAAAGTGGGAGTTGAGGACGGCATCGAAGAGGATGGGGTCGCGGGAGAAGAGGTTGCGAGCCAGGTCTGCGGGCGCGGGGCAAAGGAGGTAGAGTCAGTCAGACGAGCGAGAAGAGGGTATATGTGAGGTGGCCGCGGCTGCTCACTCTCCACGTCCTGCCTATTGGTTGATGAATTGAGCTCCATGACGAGTGAAAGATCCGTGCAGATGATGAGATGGAGAAAAGAAGAAGGCAGCCAGAGAGAAGTCTGACCTTCTTAACCTCCCTCGCACTTTGTGCCCTGCGTTGGTTTGGTTGGCCCAATTCAATGTGGAGCACAGGGCGCTGCGCCAAAAACCAACACCACAAGGCGCATCATCTCAAGAGGCGCGGCGATGCAGTGCAGCAGCAGCAGCAGCATCGAGCGCGTGAGAGGAAAGGGGCCGCCGCCCTGCGCAAGACTGACAGACAAGCTCGAAAGACGCCGACGGACTCAATTGACGTCAGGGCGAGAGTGTGAGTTTGCACGTCAACTACGGATGAGGAGTGGGAGGGAAGGAAGAGATGGTAAGGTTGAGGAAGATGACGGCAAGGAAGACGACGGCGATGTTCATGGGAAACAGAGGAAAGACAGTGAGGAGAGATCGGCAGCCATCGCAAACAGCGAGCCCGCTTTGGCAGCAAAGAGATGTCATGACAGAGAGAAGCAATAGCGATATCGAGGCCCTACATGACGATGCAGCATGAGTTCTGCCTACGGGGGAACAAGGGCAGGTGAGAAGGTAGTCAGCAGGACCGAAGCTAGTCTGAACTCGATAAAGAGGACTGCGCCTCCGCCTTGTCACTCACCTCTTCGCAGTCTGTGCGAGGGGAGCCAGGAGCGAGCAGGAGATTGGGGATCGGCCACGAGAGGGAGAGGAAGAGGTAGTGGTGGCACAGTCAGCTCTCCGCTCGAGACCTTCTTCGAAACCTCTCATTGAGCGCTTCGCTCGCCTCATCGCCCTCGCACTCACCCTGTAAAACATCTTGCTACTCTGCTGCAGCGTATTCGACCTCTCGACGAGGGAGTCGAGTTGCTCCCCTCTCGCGAGGACAGATTCAATCGTCTTGTGCTGCGATGGCGGGCGATAGCAGAGCGAAGGAGGATGTGAGCAACCCAATCAAATGAGCCCAGTCAGCTGAGGGTTCGTCGCCCGCTGCTCAGCCGTACTCGTGCCTCGCTCGCCCGACTCACCAGCACAATCTTGGTCTCATCCAACTCCTGCTGCACCTTCATGATCGCATCCGCCTGCCTCGGGTCCTGATACCTCTGCACATACTCTGCGATCTGCGGGAAACTGCCCTGGGGTACGACACCTTCTCCCTTTGCGGGCTGCACCCCTCCACCAGTAGTCAACGCATTGACCTGTCGCTCGTAGTTGACCTTGGGTACCTTGAGGAGGAACTCGTCGAGGATCTTGTTCAGGAGCGAGTAGGCTACGCGGACGGGGTAATCGGCGTCTGATACGAGAACGCCGGTGATTCCCTCCGAGGCAGGACGGGCATGGACGTGCGCTACGTAGGTGTTTTCTTGGACTGATTGGCGTTGTGTTGGAGAAGTGCGTTCCGCTACGGTTTTGCTCATGAAGCCCTGCGTGAGGGTGAAGGAGGCAGAAGATGATGTCGGTGTAAGAATCGAGAAGTGTAGGGAGCAACGGCTGGCTATATGCTACCCACAATGACATCCTCTGCGATTGCGCAGCATCGCCATCAAATGGGGTGGACTGTGGGTCAGCCATGTGCCTTTGATGAACAGTCATGCCCCCGTTTCAGCCACGCTCGCGCGTACTCACGAACAGTCCCCCTCTGTAACCATCCAAAGTCATCCAACTTCCACGCCGTAGACAGAGGAACAGCATTGCCTCCTGGCGGGACGCTGTACACGAGGAGGGCGTAGATCTTCATCGCGGACGGACGAGAGGAGCTATCAAGGTCGGAAGAAGGCTGTGGCCTAGCGAAATCAGGCACCAAAGTAGTAGGGACGAGACTGAGAAGGGCGAGGTGACTGCTGATGCTGCTATGAGCTGCCGGGGATGATCACGTTATGGTGGGACGGATGCGTTGGAAAGACGCAGCTCCCGCACGACCCCTGGCCGAGTTGCTCGTCGTCTCTGACGCGGAGTCTGTCTCGCGTGGTGGAGGCGGGAGCGCTTCGACCAACTTAGACTAGCGGCTACTGTCCCCCGCCGCCACTGCCCTCACAGCTTCACTTCAAGCGTTGATATCGTACTCATCGTCATTGCTTGTGTAAATTCGCATGAATGAGGCACCGCTGAGAAAGTTGTACACGCTGCAAGAAGTCTTTCAACTGAAATAAAACAGGGTCCATGATCGCAGGCCATCCCCGCCAACGGCCTCGATCGTCTCCACTCCTTCTTCCCTTCTCCTCTGCCCCTCGCCCCAGCGCGTCGCCCCCTCTCTCCTCTCAATCCGCACTGAGGTATCGAATCGCGACCCAATACCCAGCCACAGCAATCGAAACCATGAACGCCACCAGTCCACCAAACCAATGCAGGTTCTCCACTCCCTGCCCCGGCACATTTACGTTCATTCCCCACAGACCCGTAATAACGTTCAACGGGACAATAACCGTACCGAGCGCCGTGAGCTTGGATAGCACATCGTTTGCCCTGTTGTTCGCCTCGGTCATCTCAATCGAGATCTGGGCTAGGTAGTTGGAGTGGGAGCGAGAGAGAATCTTCTCAAAGTGACTCAAGTTCTGAGTCATCGTGATGAGATGGTCCTGGATGTCCGAAAGGTAAAGACCAATGTCACTCTTGGGCGCGACGCTCCAATTCTCGTTGCATCGCTTCGCCAGACCCTTGACGACGTCGGCCTTGTTGCCCATGAGGCGAAGGAGACCCATGACCTTCTTCCTGCACGCACCGATTCGACGCAACATGTCGCTCTGCTCCACGTCCTTGAGAATCAGGACAAGCTCGTCGATGGAGTCTACTTCGTACTCGATGCTCTGGATAAGAGGACCAAAAGCGTCGGTGATGTCATCGATGAGCGCATAGGAGATCCAGTCGCTCGTCACATTGATGTAGTCCTTGAGCTGCTTGATGCGTCGCCTGACGTTCTGCGGGTGCGGCGTGGCCCTGAAGTGGAAGCTCAACGTCCCCTCACGGAATACGATGATGTACATGTTGAGCGGCTCGAGATACGTGGGGCTGTAAGGGTCCTGGTCGAAGGACCTAAAACAGACGAGGTAGTAATTGCGGAAAAGCTCAATCTTCTCGCGCGTCTCCTCCATCAAGATGTCTTCCGTGGTCAACGGGTGGATGCCAAAGACGCGGGAGAGAAGCTTCATCTCGCTGTCCGTGGGAGAGAGGACGTCGAGCCACCAAGTGTTTGCCTCAGGGTCTTGATCCATGCGAATACCGCCGCCAGGGACCGTGCGGCCGTTGCTTGCTGCTGTGGCCGGATTGGCGCCGGCGTTGATGGTCGAGGTGCGGGTCACGGCAAGGTTGGCTGAGCTGCGGTTGGAGGGACCTCCTGCTACGGGGGTTTGGGCGCGAGAGGGAGGCGCTGTCGTCCCTTCCTTGCGGCCAGGCATGGCACCCAAAGCAGCGTTCCCTCGAGCTGCCAGCTGGGCAGTCAGGGCTGATGCACCAGGCTGAGCTGGGTCTGGCTTGGCAGCAGCGCCGCTGCCTCCGTTCTTGCCAGCGTCGTGGTGCCCCTCCGCAGCTGTGGACCCACCAGGCGAGGTACGCTGCTCCCCCTCATCCTCCTCGTTCCCACCACTGCCACCCATCGCGCCCGGCTCCAGACCCGCAAACAACTCAGAAAAGCTCTGCCCTTTCGCCGGCAGCTCAGCGAGATGTCTTGCATGGATCGTGGAGGGCAGCGCATTGCTGTAGAAGGTGAAGCGATATGGCTTGTCGGCAGGTGCGGGGATGCCCATCGCCGGCGCGCCAAGCGAGTAGGCACTGGGCGCCTTGGTCGACTTCTTGGCCCTGCGCCCGGGGAAGGGGTTGTTAGGCTGAGAGTAGGAGCGATTCAGCTTGCCAGGCCCGTCCGGCTCGCCGGCCCCGCCCGTGCCGTTGTAGCTGGGCAGAGCAGTCGAGGTTGCAGCATGCTCGCTGTCGCCACCGCCGAGCAGCGGCGTTTTGGCGTCCGCTCGAGAGCCAAAGATGTTCTGCGGTGGAGGAGCTGAGCCGCCCGTCTCGAAGAGGGCGAGCTTGCGTTGGTATCGACCTTGCTTCTGTGATTCCTCCACTGGAGGACGATCAGGAGCGCTCGGAGCATTGGCGGAAGCATTATGCTTGCGCGGCCTCCTCGAGTAGAATGTCGCATCATCCGAGTCTGGCGAGATGCCGTATGCTGCACCGCTCGCATCCCCTCCACCACCATTGCCCACTCCCAAGCTGACCCCACGCCCAGACTTGGAGCGATTGCGCATCCCATTCGCGGCTGCGCTGCTGGACGCCACATCCTGGAAGCCAAGCTGCTCGCGTTCATCATTGGCATACTCTTCTAGCGCCTGCATGTCGAACGTCCAGGGGAAGCCGCAGGGCAAGTTGCCTGGGTGATGGTGATGAGCAGCATGGTCGTGGTGCGCCTCTTCGTACGCTCGAGAGTCATCAGGATATTCAGAAGGGTAGTGAGGGAGCTGCTGTGGTGATGTACGAGCGTCGAGAGGAAAGCAGACGTCGTCCTCCAGGGCAGAGGGGCGACGGGACATCGTGTGTGGCGTGTGGGCGTGATCGCCGCCGCTACTACGCTCCCCTGTTGTTCCCCTTCTCGGCGCCAGTTCATCGACATTTGCATCCATTGTCTCATCCTGCACTGCCTCTTCTACTCCATGCTCTTCTGACCTGCCCAGCCTGCTGGCATGCCTCGCGATAGGCGCCGGATGCTGGCTCGAAGTGGACATCGAGTGAGGCTGCGCACGGTGGTCGATGAAGTGGCTGGCCGAGTCAACCGATGTGTTGGACCCATGCTGTCGGCGTGATTGCATGTAGAAGCGCTGCGCTGCACTTGCGCTTGCTGAGCCACGAGATGTAACGGGGGAGCGAGAACCAATGTAGGAGCCGGCTTGGGCGCGCATGGCTGATGGAGAGTCGCGGGGAGAGTGGGCGGTAGGAGGTGCTGTTGGGTCATCAGATTGACGCATCGAGGGACGGCGGCCTTGAGATCCGGGTATGAGGCGAGGAGATGTCATGCCTGGCGCAGCGAGGGGGGAAGGATCAGTTGCTGACTGTATGCAGCCACGCTGCCTTGGTGGACTCACTTCCTGGACGATGATCGATACTGCCTGCCCTGGCTCGGCTCATCTGCCTTGCTGCATCGATATCCTGCGCCACCTGCGGGTCGTGATGATCACGCTCGTGCTCGTGGTCCGACATGATGGTGGCGAAGGCGAGGAGCAGAGAAGGGGACTACAATGTGATGACGGGCAGCTGCTGAGCTGAAACGAAGTGATCCCGGCCGGATGCAAAAGCGGCCTTACAGACAAAGAGGGTATGCGATGCCGCTAAGCTATGATGTTGGCGACGAATGATCGTCCGCAGCGATGATGAAGTCGAATGGGGTCGAGCGAGGGGGATGGATGATATCAAATAGCGGCAAAGAAAGAGGAGCAACCAACGCAGCTCGCAGGGGTCCGCGCCTCAATTGACTTGAGCGGGGCGGGCAGGCAGGCAGGCGAAGTTTGCAGGTCAAAATGCAAAGCCGACGCGAGGCTGCGAGGCTGCTTGCCCCGCCAACGCACTGTGACGAAGCAGCGCAGGCAGAGAGAGAGGGCAAGCTCCGAGCGATTGGCAGTCAGCGGTTACCCGAAGCGCGAAGATCTGAGGAGCAGATGAATCAATTGTTTGTAACAAGATGATACGGAGAAAGACGAGCAGAGGGACACATGGCCAGCAGGTAAAGAAGCAAAGGGCCAAGATGCATCAACAGCTGCGAGAGGCAGTATGGAAGCTGAACCGAGCTCCATCCGAATCACTCCCGACCTCGGGGGCATGGACCCCGCGGTGAACTCAAGCTTCGTCCTGGTCGATTGTTGCATCCCAGCCAACGACGACGACGGGCAGGTTCCGCCCTGCCATGGTCACCACAGTTCCCAGAGGGAAAGACTAGATGCTCAGCAGGCTCGAGGACGGCGGGTGTTGATCATTTGAGCTCGGTCCGTGGCGCGGCGTTCTCGACTTGACTTGGATCACAGCGCCTGCCTCCTTGCCTTTTTCTGCGGTGATTGACAACGCAAGAAATGGTGTTGATTGCTGGAGAGGATATAGATGAGATGTCGATCTACGGTCATTCGTAAGCAGATGCCACCGGCCGCTCTCGTGCTGAGAGCTCAACCTCACCTCGTCACGTCCGAGCCGCTCAGTCGTGCGGCCAAGCTTCCTTCATCCACTGAGTCATAGTCATGCGAAGGTAGCCGTTCTGGCCTTTCGCTGGCGCTTGTGCCGCTGCTGCTGTCTGCCACCGCTTCACACCCTTCTTCTTCTTCTTCCCCCGTCCCTCCTGCTGGCCCTTGTCAATGTCTCCCATTATGATCTCTACCGAGCGAAAGGCCTCGCCCAGGAGGCGGACATTGTTGTTGAAGAGAGGAGCGTAAAGGCGCAAGATAGCAGCGGCCTGCTTGGTAGTCGACCCGGCGGGGATGTGGGCAGGCTCGACATTGCACTGCGCCACGTAACGGCGTGACCCGTCCTCGGCTACGATGTGGTAGAATGGCTGGTCCTTGCCGCCTTCCTGTGCGCATAGAAAGGGGACATGCTGCTTAGCATCACTTCTCGCGATTTGCTTCTCAATACTACTCACCTGGTCGATCTGAATTATCCAACCACCCTCTGCAGCGCAGTCTCGATCCCAGCCCACAATGACTCCTCGATAGCCCATGACTCGATGCGTGAAGACCGTGCCTACTCGATGCTCAACGCGCTCATTTCCTGGGTAAGCTCGACTGAGCAGCTCACTCGACATGCCACCAGGCCCAGAACGCAGTGCCTCTGAGCCAGCACCCTGTCCGCCGATGCCGGGGCTGGGTTGCTTCTCGTAGCCAAAGATTCTCTCCTCGAGTAAGCGTATAACGTCCGCATCCTCCAGGTCCTGGAGAGATGGGTCGCTCCAGACGAGCGCGGCCGCCAAACCCTTGCCCGAGCGCCCAGCCAGAGTCTCGAGAAAGAAAGCAGAGTCGATTGCGTAGTAACCGCCGGCATGACCCGGTATGAAGCGTCCCATCGCCATAGACATTCCTTCTCTGCCACCTTCGAAGTCGTCGGGACGCAGAGTGCTCTTCAGCCACCAGGCAGAATACTCAGCATCCTCTCTTGCCGTGTGAGAATGAGCTCGAGGGATTTCAGCTTTCATTGAGGGGACACGCGCAGCTGTGGAGTTGAGCAAGGGAGGGTAGAGGGGCCAGGGCAGCGATGAGCGACGGCCGTCGAGGTATTCACCCAAGGCGGCGAGGGAATTCCCATTCTCTGCCGTAGGCGTGAAGCTGGATGGTGATAGACTTGGACTGACGCTAGGGCTACCGATCTCGCCGACGTCCCCTCCGTTGTTGCTGTCATTGTCCGAATCTGTGGACGAGTCACCTTGCTCGAGCCTTTGTGCCGCATCCATGATGGTTGAAGCTGTGCGTGGAAGAATGTCTAGCGGTGTGGCTGGCTCCATCATCTTCTCTATGGCGCTCTCCCCTCCTGAAACAAGCCCCTCTCTGAGTAGGCTGGCCTTGATGTCTTTGGCTTCGATGATGCAATCCTTCTCTCTAGGATCAATGAAGAAACGACCCCACTCCTTTTTCTCTGGGTCCCCACTGCCAGGCCATTGACGTGGCTCGGCGCCTTCCTCGATGACGAGGATGATAGGCATATCACATATAATGGTGGGAGCGGCTGTAATGCCGAGGCGTCGAGCGACGGAGCAGAAGATCGACACGTAGTTGATGGGCATGGTCTGCCGATAGGCGGGGCACCACAGGGCAATGTGAGGGAAATGATCCTCAGTGTCGCTGTGATACGACTTGACGTGGGCAAACCCTAGATCTTGCATAGTGTCAAGCATGCGCCACACAAGCTGCCTCGTAGAACCTTCTGGGTAGTCGGTCTCTTCCTCATCTGAGCTTTGGCTGTGGGATGTAGAGCCTGCGGCGCGATGTGCAGCGCTCAGTCGGTCCAAGGACTTCATGTTTGCCCAGAGGAAGAGAGCCAGCGTGTCGAGATACTCTCTCATCTCGCTGCGTTCCCCTCCCCTGAATAGAGCTAGATCCTCCATGGCCTCCTCTAGCCCTGTGCAGCATCGCGCTGCCCTCTCTTTGAGCGTCGGAGGCGGCAGCTCAGCTTCTCCTTCGGCGCAGTCGTCCTTGACACACACGAAGATACGTGGTGAGACCTGGACCATCTTGCTGCTCCTCTGCCGTGCGTTGACGCTCCAGCGATTTTTGAGGCTCCGCAGCGAAGAGATGGCTTCGCATCTTTGCAGGTAGCCAAGCAAACGCTGGGCTACGTAGCCAAGGGAGAAACAGTTGCTAAGCAGAAGCTGCGATGAGCCCGAGCCAGCACGGTGATGAACGTCGATGGCTCGTGGCCACTTCGACGGGGCAGAAGGACTCAGCATTTGGTCAATGTTGCTGGCGGTCAGTTGTTGGTCGCTAGCGAGGGCGGCGAGCAGCTCTTTGGCGTCCTCTCCGTAGCGCTCGGCGAGGCGCAGGAGCTTGCGGATCAAGTCTTTGGAAGGGTCTCGCACCGCAGACAGATCCATGATCAGCTGATTATCTTGGTTCATTCGAGTGGCGAAGAGCAGGCGAAAGTCGGGAAGCTGCCTCGCGGTGGCTTGAATGCCGTTGTCTCTGCAGTCTCCGTCTCGCAACAGCGGGAGGAATGCTACGCTGTCCCTGGTGAAGGTGTTGTTGGAAAGAAAGTGGCAGAATAGCCTTGACAGATACTGGATGAGTTCGTTGACCTCAATCTTACCACAATCGAGGATGCGGGTGAAGTAGTTGTGCATGCGGTCCCTCATGGTACCACGTTGACTGAGTCGGACGCCGACGACCCTGGAAGTGAAACAGTTGAGCCGATCTGCTGTAGCGACCATAAGGTCGGTCAATTTGTCCAACGTGGAAGAGTCGATGACCTCCAGAGGTTCGAGGCAAAGTGAGGAGGGATAAGACGAGGCAGCAAACAGCCACTCAAACATAGTGGCCTGACGCTGAGCGGTGCGGCGCCGGGCGAGAGCCTGTTGTATCGGGTCCTTGCTCTTGTATTGCGCTCGATAGAAGCGCCAATAATGGGCTTCCCATAGGCGCTGATTGCTGGCCAGAGCTTGGAAAGCCCGACTCGTCAGAGAGATGTGATAGAGATCGAGCGGATTCTCCAGGTCAGCCAGGATGCCCATTAGGACCTCAGGCGGCAGGTGGAGGATTGGGGGCACCGCAACAGCGGAGAGAGATGATGAAGGAGGCATCCCGTCGATGGCAGATTCGACTCGCCGAACGGACGTAACGAGAGAAAAGAAAGGCCAGGATAGAAGTCGAGAGGTGCTCGTAGCGCAACCGCGGATGCGGACGTCCAGAAGGTGTCCTTCGCTGCCTACTGCGCAGGGGCAGCTAGTGCGTGCGGGCAATGTTTCGAAGAGAAGTCAAGAATCGCGGTCGAGTGAGAAAGGCTGGTACAAGAAGGGATCGAGTGAGAAAGGGTCAAGATGCAATCTGGCAGCGATGGGCCAATCAAGCGGCACAGCTGAGCCCTCCGCTCCCGCTCTCGCTGCCCTCGCTCATTTCATCCGCGTCGACTCGAGTCGCCAGTCCGCCCTCGACGCACGAGCCACGCATTTGGCAGGAGCGCGCGTGGCGCGTGTTTTCACCGGTCTGCGAGCGGCGCTCAACCCATCCTTCTTGCTCAGGTCGGCATGATTTGATATCTTCCCCTCTTGCTCCTAGTCTCCCCTGGGCTACGTGGACGAGCGTGCGCTCCTTTTCGACTGACTACACCATACCCACGATCGCACCCTTAAACCTCATTGTCGCTGCTCCTCACGGCGAGCATGCTCTGCCCCCTTGTTCTCTTCCTCGTCGCCTTCGCGCCCGTCTCGCATGCCAAACACCGCATCTGCTCATGGCAAGACCAAGGCTTGCTTTCCCCCGCCCACTACGGATATACTCGCTTTTGCCTGGCGAACCTCACCAGATACAATGAAACGCAGGGCGGCTACTTTTGCTGGAACAGCTCGGAGCATGTGGCAGACTACGGTTTCCTTGGGCCGCAGAAGCTAGAGTTCGCTTCTCCCTGTGGCACAGGTGGCTATGCGAAAGACTACTGGTGTGACTCCATGCAGTACTGGGGTGTGTGCGTTGGGCAGGCGGGTGAGGAGGTGAATCCGGATAAGATTCGTGAGTAGCGCGATGCGTGATGGACGTGGACGCCTTGAGGTGATCGTCGACGCCCTACCCCCCATTCCCTCGTTCATGCCGCAGGCTGCTTTTACATAGGGCAGGACGATGATTGTGAATGGCCAAAGACGTTTGACGAAAATAGCGTGCCCACGCAAGTCGACATCTGGCAGAAGCAGGGCTAAGAGGGTGGACCAGTGTGAGCTACCCTGCCTGCGTTCCTTCTTCCAGCCGAAGTAGTTAAATCTCTGATTAGATCGAGCCTCTAGCAAGGAGTCCTGCTTTGCGTGATCGTGCCTTTGTCTTGTGCGCTGGACACAAGCCTTACACCGGCTGACTTCCAGGGAAGATGTCGCTGCAGGGCTGTTTGACTCGGGCCTCAATCTTCCCGGAGTGTGGCTCCTCTCGCTCGCCCTTGACCCAGCCTTCTTGCCCTACTCTCTCTTGAGCTACGTGGAAGAGCTTGCGCTCCTTTGATGCTGACCGCTCGCTCCGTATCAGAGCACTTCCCCTCAAGCTCATTGTCGCCGCCACAGCCGCTCCTTCTCTCACCCAGCATGCTCCGCCTCACATTGTCCCTGCTCCTCGCCGTCCACACCCCCGCGGCGTACGCTAAACACCGCGTCTGCTCATGGGAGGACCAAGGGTGGTACTCCCCCTCGAATTACGGCTACGATCACTACTGCCTTTCCAATGTCACCCGCTTGGATGCGACCCGGGCCGTGTACGCTTGCTGGAATGACACAAAAGTGGCAGACTACGGCTTCCTCGCGCCGGGGAAATTGGAGTTCGCTTGTCCCTGCGGTAGCCATGGCTATGCAGACCTTTGTGGCACAACACAGTATTGGGGCGTGTGTGTTGGGCCGGCGAATGAGCAGGTTGATCCGGATCACGTTAGTGAGTACGGCGAGAGGCGAGGAGATGGATGAGGCTGGCTTGAGGAGACGTCTGACTTCTTCCGCCGTTCGTGATTTTTTTGAGATTGTTACTACATGGGTCAAGACGACGACTGCGAGTGGCCAGATACCTTTGACATAGACGACGTGCCGGCGCAGGTCGACATCTGGTCAAAGCAGGGGTAGGCGGGTCGCGCCGGTGTCCGGCGAGTCCGCGAAGATTTCTGGCTTGGCAGCAACGTGTTTCGGTTGAGCTTCGGACAAACGATCGTGCGTTGAATGACTGCGCCTATGTCTTGCGCCGTCAGTCCAGAGACTGACCTCGGCTTGCCTTCATCGAATATTGTGCTGGTACGAACGTCCTTGATAGTGGCTTGCTCGGTCCGTGCCGGCCTTGGCCTCGGTTGCGGACCGTTTCGCCCTTTCAGCGCTCTCCCTCGCACTACAACAATCCTCGAAGTTGTCTTCTGAATACACTGTCCTCCCAAGCGCGGCAGCCCGTAATCTCGCCACCTTCCTCGCGCTCACTTCTGCTCGCAACAGAGAGGGATATCGTCGTTGCGGAGGAGATAGAATGGAGTCGTGAGGACGGCTCAAGCGCTCACCGCTCACTTAGCGAGGAGTCGTTGCCTCCACGCTGTGCTTGCGCGGAAGCAGCCACGTGGCTGTACCTCAAGCCATTCTGGCTCGCTGCTCTCGTCCTTCCATATCATCCCGCTCGTCCATTTCGTCGCGACGGCCATGCCTTTTACTATCCGCATCTTCAGAGGAGCAGCCTTGAGTCAAAGTAGTACGCAGTCTTTAGTCAACGTGCCTCCATGCGCTCAGACACATCTTGATGTCCGCCATCGGAGCGTGGCGACGCCTAGTCTTTCTCTCATTTCCCCTCCACGCCTGCCCACACCATCTATGCAACCTCTGTGACGATCACGATGCTGCATCTCAATCCGCTGATCACTGCTTCCCTCCTCCTTCTCGCGCCACGAGCGACCGCAAATCACTTCACATGCAATTGGGGCGGCCCCAGTCCTGATCCAGGGAAAGCCGGCTTCACCAAGCTATGCGAGGCTACTCAGCACCAGGTCAATGATCACCAGGCCACCTTCCATTGCGACAACAATCCGACGTCCCTGGTGGCCGATTGGGGCTTTCTAGCTCCGGGACTGCTTGAATTCGGCACTCCTTGTAATGGAGGAGGCTACGGTAGCAGCCTTCAATGCGAGACCGGTGGCGCAGCATGGGGGATCTGCATCGAGGGAAAGAGTGGCCGCGAATGCAAATATCTGAATCGTTATGATGATTGTGCATGGCCAGGGACCTTCACACTTGAGACGCTGCCGTCCAAGGTCATCATTTACAACAGCTGAGGGAGGAAGGAAAGGGGGGCGGGGAGAGCGAGTGTGGAGTAGGTGTCGAGGAAGATGGCGGGCGCGAAGAGCGAGGCCGACTGACGGGACTTGCTTGTGCGCAAAGCGCAGACGCCTACATTACAATGCGTTGAGTAATGACAGCGATAATTAGCGTAGTGATTGCTCTGCAGTTGAGGTCGTTGAGAGAGAAGTCATGACATGGCGTGCGCCTCTGCCCGATGAGGCGCGATGACGGGAGCGAGGCAATGAACTACGTGCGTCCTTCCGCCATTGACTCCACTCCCGCTCAGCGGACCATTTGTCGTTGCTTTCAATCTCGAGCCACTTCATGTTCTCCCACTTCAACACGTTCTCCTCATTGATTGCCATGCCCTCTGCCCAGCGGCTGTTCGAGATGACTGACAGTAGTCGGCTTCTGAGGAGATTGAGGAGCAAGGCGTGAGGTCTGAGTCACGCCTTCATGGCCACGTCTCCTCGCGCCTCTTCTCCATCGCAACCAATCTCACCCACACCCCGCAACCATGCGATACCTCGTCCCCCTCATCGCGCTGCTCGTCAGCCTACTGCCCAATGTGGCAGCCAATCACTTTACCTGCAACTGGGGAGGACCAGACCCGGACCCTGAGAAGGCCTCCTTTGCAAAATTCTGTGAGGCAGGTCAGAACTACGTGAACAAGAAGCGCGTGACGTTTCGCTGTGATGGACCCAGAGAGGTGCGCGTCGCCGATTGGGGATATCTCGGTGATGGTCTGTTAGAATTTGGGACCCCGTGCAATGGAGGTGGCTACGCTCTCACATCGCAATGCCAGAACAACACCTCGTTTTGGGCTGTCTGCATCGTCCCCGTTGGGAAAACGACCAAAGAATGCAAGTATCTATGGCGGTACGATGACTGCCAGTGGCCCGAGACCTTTACGCGCGACACGCTGCCGAAGAAGGTGATCATCTACTACAAATGAGGGGCGCCGAGCAGGGCAGAAGAGAGAGGGGAGGCGGGCAGCCATGCTGCTGCGAAGAGCGGATCAAGGTAGGGCGAGGGACGGAGAATTCACAGAGCGCCGGCGCCTGTGTACCAGTATTCTGCTCGCTCAAGTCGAACTCTGTCCCATTCAGCAGCGACCATCATTGTTCAGGCGATGCGACAGAGATCACTGAGACTCGTGAAACGTGAGGCCTCTCACCGCCCCGCCTGGGCAGAAGTCGCTCTCTCGGGCAGCGAGGCGCGGAAGCGAGCACGTGGCTGAGCCTGCTTCCCCGCACTAAAGATACGCTCAAAAGCTGCGCTCCTCCATCTTTCCGCTCCTTGCTTTCCCTCCATCTAGATCCCACCTCTCGGTATGATCTCGTCATCACCCGTTACACCCCGTGCCCAGCGGCAATCTCATGAAAGGCCTTTGCCTCGCTATCCTCCGTGAGCTGGGCAAAGGGGCGACGGCGAGGATCGCCCCGGCCACAGCGACTCTTCGTCTTCACTCCTTCCATCCATCCTCCCCTCCAACTGCCGCCTCGCGACCATGCTTCATCTCACCCTACTGGCTTCACTCGCCCTGGCAACTCTGCCTCTCACGACTGCCAACCACGTCACCTGCAGCTGGGATGGCCCCGGACAAGACCCAGAGAAGGCAGGCTTCGCAAAGTACTGCGAGGCCGACCAGCGAAAAGACGATCTCACTCACGTCACCTTTCCCTGCGGCATCTATCAAAATACGGTCGCTGACTGGGGTTACCTTGCAAAGGACACTCTTGAGTTCGCGACGCCTTGTAATGGCGATGGCTACGGCTCGGACGATGACTGCCAGCATCAGCTGTGGGGCGTCTGCGTAGCCTCTAGGACCGGCAAGACGAGGGAATGTCTCTACATGTCAAAGGATGACGATTGTCAGTGGCCGGTGACTTTCACGCTCAAGACGCTGCCGGAGAAAGTCATGATATACTCCAAGTGAGGATCGCGCGCGGGGAAGGCTCGGGGAGCGCAGGCGGCGGCCAGGAGCCACGCCTGAGTGGATTATTCCCACCTTACCGGCGAGAGTCAGGCGAAGATCATGCAGAGTAACACAGTCACAGAGCTAGCAGTGGGCGAGCAGCGGTAAAGTCGAAGAGGCCGCTCTGGTCGTCAAGAGGGCGATGCATCCTTCATCTGCTTCCTTTCACTCAGCATCGTCACAACTCATCGACTGCTACTACTGTAGCTTGCTCTTCTTCACCAACAATCACGATGATCATCAACTTCGCGCCTCTCGTAGCCATCATAAAGACTCTCTTTCTTCTCATGCCCGTCGCCAAACTCCTTTGCCTCGCAGTCGCAGACCACGTCATCTGCAGCTGGACCGGGCCCAAGGGCACCTCATCCTCGGCCGACAACTTCACGGAATTCTGCACCGCCCCCGCCGCATGACTGGCATCCACGATAATCACGCCCGCTACAGCTTTGACTACCTCTAGGTGGCAGACTGGGGCTACCTGCGCGCTGGCATTTTGGGGCTGGCCGCTCCCTGCGCAGCTGGAGGTTACGGGCTGGACAAGTGCGATCACTCCACGTACTGGGCGGGCTGTCTCGATAGCGGGACTTGCCGATTCTGAAGAAAGCAGGTCGACTGCAAGTGGTTCGTCCCCTTTGCGGCCCAGATGCTGCCTACCTCTGTCGAAATCTGGTATCAGTGAGAGAGTGGGGCAGGCAATGGTCGCGCCATCGGCGGAGAATCTGCACAGCTGCGCGGAGGATCAATACCCGCAGGGCCGCGCTCTGGTCGCGCCGTGCATCACCGGGCCAGACGCTCCGTAAGGGCTGCCAATCGGCGGCACTTATCAGCGGCTCTCGGAGGCAAACAGCGCACGCTATTGCCTTACCCCATCTACTCTCTACCCAGCGGCCCGAAACGTCCTGACAACGTGCTCCACACGACCGAATGGGTTGCTTTGTGTTCGCTCTCGTCACTCCTAGGCTACTCACTCCCCATCAGTCTCAGCCACGAGCAGCACCTCGCTCGCAACCATGCTCACGCTCAACGGTACAATCAAACTTGCTCTCGGCCTCTTCTCTCTTGCCACCCTCGCAATTCACCTGGTCGTTGCTGACCACTTCCGTTGTACCTGGACGGGACCGGGCAACCAGGCGCCTGACACGTACGGTTATGTCCAATTTTGCGTCGCTCCTGCGCGAAGGAACGGGACCAGCAACGCCGTCTACCTCTGTAACAACGCAGACAGGACCAAGGTCGCTGATTGGAACTATCTTGCACCCTTCCAACTTGAATTCGCCACACCCTGTGCTGGAGGAGGATACGCCGGCAACCTCTGCGACAAGAGCACGTACTGGGCCGTGTGTGTTTTAGACCATCAGGGTAAGACCTACTGCAGATACCTCGCCAAATCGGATGATTGCCAATGGGAGGCGCTTTTTACCAGCGGAACCATCCCTCCTGCTGTCGCTATCTACTATCATTGAGGCAGGGCTCGGCGAGCGCCAAGCTTGAGGGAACGAGGCCGCAATGGCGGCGGCGGTTGCAGTCAGATTTGAGGGAGCGATGTTGGCGGGTCACGCCGACGGAGATTGAGAAACGAGCGGGCACGAGGGCAGGAAGGTAGTCTGCCGGCCAGAGGTTATCGGCGTTACGACACGTTCGCCGTTGCTGCTCCTCCTTGAACGATTGATCTCGATCTTCTACCAGATCCTCATCACCACGCGTCGAATCCAAATCCACCTCTCCATCATGCATTACGCCTCTTCCTCGCTCTGCACACTGCCCTTCTCCTCCGCTCGCACCCACGCCATCTACCACTGGAGCCGGCTCCGACTCTCTCGACAAGTGCGAATACGATGCGGCACAGACGCTGCCTGGCTCTATGAGGGTGGGACAGACCGATGGCGGACAATCGAGGCAGAGCCTCGCGGCGATTTTTAGCAGCAGAAAGCTCCACGTGCACCGTCTCGCACTCCTGTGCTCTCTAGCCCTGGATATCATGGCTCCGTGCTCATCATTGCGCTTGGTCAAACGGGCCACTCTCTCCGCTCCCGTCAGCTCTCCTCGCGCTCGTCAGCTCTCCTAGCTCCCCGCTGCTTCTCACCTGTAAGCACGACGCCACAACTCAACCGCACTCGATAGCATCCCCTAACCATGCACATACTCGACGTTGGCATTGAGCTTGCCCTCGGCTTCATCACCGCCCTTGCCCTTACTACCAATTCAGTCGTCGCCGAGCACGTCAACTGCACTTGGACGGGACCTGGCGACAGCGCGCCTGAGACCCATGGCTACAGCCTATTCTGCATCGCTCTTGCCCGCAGGAATGGCACCAGCAACGCCGTCTACTTGTGCAACGATGCAAACAGAACCAGAGTTGCTGACTGGAACTACTTCGCACCGTATGTCCTTGCCTTTTCGAGTCCCTGCGCTGGTAATGGGTATGCGGGCGACCTCTGCGACAACAGCACGTACTGGGGCGTCTGCGTTCTCAATCTCTTTGGCGAGCCAATTTGCAGGTATATGGCCAAAGGCGACGATTGTGCGTGGCAAGGGATTTTCACCAGTATGAGCATCCCCCTTGGCGTCGCTGTCTACTACAAGTGAAGCGCCGACGCAACTTTGAAGGAGCAAGGCTGCGCCGGCTACAGCAGCGCCTTTCGCTGTCAGCTTGGGCAGCGAGAGTCTGGCGAGTCTCGTGAGCGGACATCGAGCGACGAGCGACGTGGCAAGAGATACGTAGCATCAGCGAGCCAGTGGGAGAGGCGATTGCTTGCGGGCGACCGAAGTCGACCTTGCTCTCCTCGTCGATTAGTCAGCTCTCCTCGCTCGCTCTTCCTTCTCAGCCTCAAACGCAACTTTGGCAACTCTTCACCAGTTTAAATGCATTCATCAGTAGTCATGCACCCGCTCGACATTGCCATACAATTCCTCCTCGGCCTCGTCACCGCCGTCGTCCTCATTGCCCGCCGTGTTGCCGCCGATCACTACGACTGCACCTGGACAGGACCCGGTGAAGAGACGCCGGATAAGTACAACTATACGCTGTATTGCATTGCCACTGTACATAAGAACGAGACTGGCAAGGTGATCAACAACGCCGTCTACCTCTGCGACAACGGCGTCAAAGTCGGAGACTGGAACTACCTTGAGCCTATGGTTCTCGAGTGCGGAACGCCGTGTGCTGGTAAAGGATACGGAGGCAGTCTCTGCGACAAGAGTACATACTGGGCGGTCTGCGTTCGAGACGATGAGGGGGACAGCATTTGTCGATACCTCAACAAGAAGGATGACTGTTCATGGATATGGGCCTTTGCCATTCCTCCGAGCAGCGTGGCCGTCTATTATATCTGACAGGATGCTCGGCCGGAAGCAGAGCGGCAGCAGCGAAGGCGGCGGCAAGATTGAGGGTGCACAGGTCGAGACTCGGCGAGGGTCACGTCGACCGAGGGCGCAAGGGCGGGAGTGACCGAAGACGGCGCTGCTCTTCGCCGAGCATCTTGTCAATCTACCACACCACTGTGCATCGAATCCTGATTCATCTCCGCGCTATGCATCCCTTCAGCGTTGCTTCGAGCGTCGTACTCGCTCTCCTCACCGTCGCTATACGCCCTGCTACCGCCAGGCACGCGATCTGCTACTGGACAGGACCCGGCTCGGACCGTCCTGATACCTATGGATACACGAAATCTTGCTCAGCCAGACAGCACAAAGTCGACGACAAGCACGTCGCCTTTGAGTGTGTTGGGGGCATCAGGGTCGCCAACTTTAATTACATTGGCCCCGGCCTATTAGAGATGGCGACCCCCTGTGCTGATGGCGGCTACGGTGGCGAGGCTTGCAAGCACAGCACGTACTGGGCCGTGTGCCTGGAGGGAGAGAAAGGCGAGCATGATTGCAAATTCATGTACAAGGCAGACGATTGCTCGTGGTCATACGGCTTCGAGATGTCGACGCTGCCCTACTCCGTCGGGATCTACTACAAGGCTGACGCATGATTCGCCGAGCCGGTGGTGGTGTCAGCGGGCCTTGGCGGCGAGCATGTTCAAGAGCAATGGCAGGGCTGCGTCAGCAGGATGACATGAGGTTGGAAGAGATTCATGCGGATTCCTGCGCGCGCCCACGCTCTCTTTGAGTGCAGCCTCACCTACTTAACGCTCTTGTCGCTCTCATCACCATCACAACGTCAGACGCATTCTTTGCGCCGCCATGTTCCGTCTCCAGCTCGCCTCGAGCCTTGCACTTCTGGTCATTGGCTCGAGTCTCGTTCTCCTCTTCTTACCACACCTTGCCGCAGCCAATCACGTCACCTGCACTTGGACAGGACCAGGTACAGATCGCCCAGACAACTACGGGTTCACGAAATTCTGTATTGCGCCGCAGACGCACAATGGCTCCACAAGCGCCGTCTTTCTCTGCAATGGCGGCGTAAAGGTCGCCGACTGGAACTTCCTTCGAGCCAACGTGCTCGAATTTAGGTCCCCCTGCGCCAAAAATGGCTATGCGAGCGATACGATCTGCGAACACAGCGACTACTGGGCCACCTGCATCCAAGACGACCAAGGCTACAGCTACTGCAGGTTTATCAAAGAGCTAGATGATTGTCAATGGGAGACTCTCTTCACCTTTCAAGACCTACCGGCGACCGTGTCCGTCTACTACAAGTGAGGGGCCCAATGCTCGAGATGTGCAGGGGATAGGAACGCAGGCGGGTCAACCCTGCTCTCTCTTTAGACCTCTTGAGACCATGCAGCGTTTATTGCTCTTTTCCGCTGCGAGCATATCCGTGCGTCATGGCAAGGTGGACCCCCACGGCAAGCTCAACGCAATGGAGAGCGGGCGGAGGTGCGAGGTGGGCCGAGGGCAAAGAGGCGGCTCGGTGCAGCGCGTCCAGCTTTCTTTTCCTTCCCACGATACTGTAGCAATCATCACCTTCACTGCCCGCTTGCTTTCACGCAGCTCATCCCTACAGTATCGCAACATCTGATCATGATCATTACCGTCAGCTTCATACTGCTTTGCGTCCCAGTGCATTTCGCCATGGCCAAGCACTTCACGTGCACCTGGAACGGACCTGGGCCCCAGAGTCCCGACAACTATGGCTATGTAAAATTTTGCCTGGCTCAGAAAGCCAAGATTGATGGCGAGCATGCAGCCTACAACTGCAACGACTCTCGAGTTGCGGATTGGAACTACATTGGAGACCACCAGCTCGAGATCGCGACTCCCTGCGCCAGTGGCGGATACGGCGATATCTACTGCGCAGGAACTAGCCACTGGGCTGCTTGTCTCGTTGCCGATTCTGGTGCTCTCAATTGCAAGTATCTCGCAAGTCATGATGACTGTGCCTGGCCAGGAAAATTCACATATCAGTTGCTGCCCACCTACCTGGCCATCTTCTACAAGTGAGCCGGGGATGCGAGGCAAGCTGGAAGAGGGGCGCGGGAACGTCGGCGGCCCGGTGGCCAGAGGTGGAAGACTGTTGGCCATGAAAGGGAGTAGTTGCGTGCGTTCCTGGCCAGAGGCAACTATCTGTTGTTCCTCGGGACCGCTCTTGTTTTCCTGTACCAACACGACATATCTTCTCGTTGATACCATCTCGCCCGAACGCTTGCATATTACCCTCTATGCTCGCCCTCACATCTACCGCCAGCCTTGCCATCATGACTCTTTCGCACCTTGTTGAATCCACGCACGTCACCTGCAGCTGGAAGCCCGGCCCAGAAGCGCCAGTCACTTACGGCTATCAGCTCTTTTGTCAGGCGAGTGGTAACGAGATTGATCACGACCACATACGCTTTCTCTGCAATGATGTCAAGGCAGTCAAGGTCGCAGACTGGGGCTACCTGGGCAAATATCGAATAGAATTCCCGACTCCTTGTAATGGAGGAGGGTACGCAGACAACTGCGACAAGGCCAGCACTTGGGCCCTTTGTCTACCTGATGATCAAGAGAGTGGCAGACCAAATTGCTACTTCATGGCATCTCACGACGATTGCGAATGGCCCGGCAGATTTGAAAGGCGCCAAGTTGCTAGCCACGTCACGATCTGGTGGAAGTGAGGCGGCTGAGGTTTGCAGTGCGCGGAGGGCCGTGGCAGCCCCGTGCCCAGCGGCGCGCGTCAAGGGCGGAAGTGAAGGGCGCGCAAATATAAGCGAGCGGCGCGCTTTGAGGCCATCGCCTCTCCCTATACCGCATCGTTCGATCCGATTCCTCACACCACACAATCCGCGATGCTTTTCTTCGTCACTGCTTTGAGTGTGCTACTCCTCCACGTCTCGCTCGTTATGGCCGACCACGTTACCTGCGCAGCAAGCAAGGTTGGCAACGAGCCAGAACACGCGAGCTTCTCCCCTTTACCTCAACCTCTGGAACGACCGTGAATGGCCAAAGCTATTTTCGATGAGCACGCTGCCTAACTCCGTGACTGTCCAGTACAAGTGAAGGTAAATCAAAGGAATTGGAGGCGGCGGTGCGTGCGGCCGAAAATTGGCGTGTGGGCGCTTCGGGAGGAGAGGCCGTCCTCGCGAGGCTTTCTGCGGCAAGATTTTGTGGGCTAAGGGCATGCAACGTGTGCTCGTATTACTCGCTACTGCCTCGTCATTGCAACTCCCTTTGCTTTCTGCCGCTACACACGTCCATCTTCTCAAGTACGACTCCGCTACAGCAGTATGCTCGCATCTAGTTTCGTCAGCCTCGCTTTGAGCTTCGCGACTGCGGCAGCCAATCATGTCACCTGCACCTGGCGACCTGGCCTAGAGACGCCAGACAAGTACGGATACGTCTCATTCTGCACAGCGAGGAAGGAATACATAGACGACAAGCACCAACGCTTCATGTGCACCAGTGACCTATCCATCAAAGTCGCAGACTGGGGTTTTCTTGGAGAGGAAATCCTCGAGATGGCAACTCCGTGCAACGGCGGAGGCTACGCAAAGAAGTCACACTGCGACAAAGGAAGCTGGGGAGTCTGCTTTCCCCCTTCAAAGCAGTACAATGGTACGACTTGTCGCTTTTGGGACCGCTTTGACGACTGCGAGTGGCCCGTTTTTCTCTCCTTTTTCGAGCTGCCCGACAACGTGACGATTTGGTACAAGTGAGCAGACGTCGAGGAGAAGGGCCGAACAATGAGTTGCGGGATAATTTGCGGCGAATTTGTCGGACATTGGCGGCTCGAGGCAGGGACACGTTAAGGTCAGAGGGTGTTGCAAACGTGTAGCGTGCTCAGCTGTAAAAGACACTCGAGTCCTTATCTCCTCAAGACATCACTCCAATTGAACTTCGTCGACCGCCCACTCCCGCCTCGATGCTCGCGCTCTTCTTGATCACCTTCGCCTTGAGCCTGGCGACTGCCACGGCTAATCACGTTACCTGCAGCTGGACTCCTGGCCCGGAGGACCCCAACAAGTACAACTACACGATCTTGTGCCAAGCATTCAAGTATGAAGACAATCATAAGCAAGCCCGCTACCTCTGCAAGGGGCCGAATCAGGTCAAGGTAGCAGACTGGGGCTATCTCCGACCCAAAACGCTAGAATTTGGCACAGCATGCAACGGGGGAGGCTATGGAGGCCAGCTGTGTGACAGGCGCAGCTGGGGTGTTTGCCTACCAAAGACTTTCGAGAACCCAAACCTCAACTGTCGCTATATGGATCGATACGATGACTGCCAGTGGCCTCAATTATTGGCTTACGACGAGCTCCCAGAAGACGTTACCATCTGGTACAAGTAGTTCTTGCGATTGCGAGGGCGCCGGTGGAGCGCCGACGGCTGGCTGCGGCACGTTCCGGGGAGGGCGCAACGGTTTGTCTCAGCTGAGCAGGGTTTGGGCGGACAGATGGTGGCTGGCGAACGTGCACAGGGTTCAGGGCTGGGTGAAAGTTGATCTTTCTCGATCATATCTGCTTCCTCGCTGGCTCCATTTTGAGAATACTCTCACATCTCCTATCCACACCATACTCTGATCGATGCTCGCCTTCGCTTTTCCCGTCTTCGTCGCCACCGCCCTCAGCTTGAGCCCCGCTCTGGCTAACCACTTCTTTTGCAACTGGGACGGTCCAGGCGCAGACGTTCCCGAGAAGTACAATTATGAGCGATACTGCTCTGCGATCCAAACTTGGGCTGACGACACCCATGCAACGTACACCTGCGAGCTGAGCGGAGTCAAAGTAGCTGATTGGGGCTATCTTCAGGAGGGTGTGTTAGAAATAGCGACTCCGTGCAATGGGGGAGGCTACGGAGACAAGCATGAATGCTCCTCGCACAATTGGGCTGCCTGCGTCAATCTGTCCAACGTCAATAGCACGCACAAGGTCAACCTTTTTCCTTGGAAGTGCTACTATTTCAGTCGCCATGACGACTGCCAGTGGCCTACGGCTTTCACCAAGTCGGAGCTCCCCGAGACTGTTGTCATCTATCGTGACGAGTAAGGTGGCGAGCGAGCGAGCGAGCGAGCGACGCGCGATGCTGTTGGCGGGCGTCAGGCGCGGGAGGAACCATTTGCTGGCGGGCCGGAGGATCAGGGCAGAGGGCTGAGCTTGCGGTGGCAAAGTGCTAGGCGATGCTACGAATGCTAGCCGTGGCCGTGGCAGGTGCGAGATACGAGTTGCGAGATACGAGCTTTCTTCCTTTCTTTACCTCACCTCTCGCGACATCTCTGTCAGTCTCCTCTTCGCTTGTCTCAACGATGCTCAGTTTCAACTCCGCCCCCGCGCGCCTTATGCCTTTCCTCTGGCTCGCTGCGCTTCCCCTCACCGCGTCCAATCACGTTACGTGTAGCTGGGATGGACCAGGCGCACACGTCGACCCCACCAAGCACAACTTCACTCTATACTGCAAGGCCGAGGGCTACCGCTTCGACGTGCCAGGCTTTGCCGCTTACATCTGTGAGAAGGAGGAGGCCATTTGGGACAACCGCGTCGCCGACTATGGCTTCCTCAGGGAGGAGACGCTAGAGATGCGGACCGCATGTAATGGTGACGGCTTTGCAGGTGACAAGTGCCGCTTCAGCAACTGGGGAATATGCATTCCTGACGAACATGGGGCCGGGGAGTGTAAATATGTTAATAAGTTCGATGATTGCGAGTGGCCGCAGACGTTCAAGTGGGCCAAGGCGCCACGCTATGTCTCGATCTACTACCAGTGACGGAGGACGGTGGAGCGGCGTGGTGGGGCGGCCAGCGGGTGGTAGCGATGGCTGAACATAGCTGGCGGCGATTGCGGTGGCGGCGGTGAAACGATCTGATCTGCTTCTAGCTCACGATTGTGGCGAGGAGGGGCCGGTGCACTCCGTGATGTTCTCTCCTTCTTCGTCCCGTTCAACTATCCTTTTCTACCACGTCGTCCCGCAGCTCCCGCACCACGTCATGCTGGCTCTTTTGCATCTCGCAGTCTACCTCCTCACCTACCTGTCCGCTCCCGCAAACGCAACGCACGTCAATTGCACATGGGCGGGACCCGGCCCCAACGGCCCTCGATCGTACGGCTATACGACCTTCTGCCAAGCAGACGTCCACTTCACCGACGATCTCCACGCCGAATTCCGCTGCAAGATCGCCCTGGGCACAGCCAAAGTTGCCGACTGGGGCTATCTGCGCAAAAACGTCTTGGAGGTGGCGACTCCATGCAATGGCGGAGGATACGGCAACAAGAACGACTGCTCGTACGCCAGCTGGGGGCTATGCCTGCGAGATGAGGCCGGGTCAGCCATGAGCTCGACGGACTGCTTGTTCTTCGGACGTTTTGACGATTGTGAATGGCCAGGCGAGTTTCTCAAGGCATCGCTGCCTCGGAAAGTGACCATCTGGTACGCGTGAGGATGACTCGCCGGCGGCAAGATGGCAGGGTGCCTGGGCCATGTCACGGGCTTGGGGTCCTCGTCGTACACATCTGCATCGCGGCGATGTCGTCAATAGTACAGTCGATTTGCGTGGGCTCCCTCGGAGCCTCATCTCTGTGCCCCATCAGTGCCAGCTTGTCACTCTTGGAGCATGGCAACGAGTGGGAAAGAGAGTGCGCATTAAGCATGAGCTCGTCCTTGGTCTATCCGTGAACTTCAGCCCCGCGCTGCTGCTTGTCCGAATTTCCACGTGGCGAGAGTGACACACAGCGGCTCGAGTGGGACAAAGGCGTCCGTGCGTGCGGGGCGGCGCGCTCAAGCTCAGCTCAACTTCATCTCGTCCTCCTCCTCCTCCTTACCATCAATCTCACCGCTCCCGTCACCCTGCCACCGTCACGTCCACCCTCAGGTCATCAGTTTTCGACACTCTGGTCCTCAGCACACCGCTGGATCTCCCTCGCCATGCCACCGTCACAACTACCTCGGCACCTCCCGACACCTTCTACATTGTCCGGTCGGGCAATGGGGCGAAGCTACCAGGATGCTCAGCACCGTCTCAGGACTTCACAAGGCAAGCGTTGACCCTGAACATAGCATGGTGAGCATGCTTAGTACTCCTATCAACCTCAGTGACCGTATATGCTGATGCCCTGCTTCCCGTTCGATTTGGCGCAGGCATCCACCACCTCATCACCACACCAAGGTCTCCTAGGCTTCCTCGTCACTCTCATCACCCTCGCCAGCCAGCTCGACGCCAAGCCATAGCCATCTCACAATTACCGCGCTCGTGCAAGATAGTCGACAGAGAAGCGCTGAAGGGCTCTACCAGGCACCAATGGGTGGAGCTCAGTAGGCTCGTCAGAAGTACTGGCGACTGATCCTCAGTTCAAGTGAGTACCCGGCCTCGCCTCGACTCAGCTTTCAGCTCTTGCCTCATCGCTGACGTCCGCACCTCCATCACGCGCCTCAAGCGCCCCAGCACCATCACTGCAGGTCATCCTTCCCCTGTTGTCATCTCATCGAGTCCCTGAGCAAGGTTGGGTCAAGTCCAGCCCGATCTCCCGTCATGGTGCCTGGGGCAGAAGGCAGGGCAGCAGGACAAGCCAGAGGCGGGGCAGCATCACGGGCAGGAGGCGGGAAGGGAGGCGGGGCATGAGGTGGGAGAAGAAGAGGAGGGTGACACAAGCAAGACCAAGGTAAGCAGCGATGGCCTGCCGATAGAGCCGCTGACGCTGCGGATGCTGACCCATTCAGCCCATGCCGCACACCACACAGCCCTCCGTCAAGACATCCAGATTCACCGGTAGGACCGACATCCTCGGTCGCTACAGGTACGGGGAAGAGCAAGTCGCCCTGTTGAGCAAGCTCGTCGTCGCTCCAACGAGTCATTACACCTGACGACCAGCTTCAATCATCACTATGAAGCATAACAAGAACGGCGTCGGAGCCGCAGCGAGTTGGAGGAGGCCTGGATACAGGTACAACAAAGGGCAGCCAGCGACGTCTTCATGGAGCAGACTCGCGCCATCGAGAGGATCCGAGTCGAGCTTCAAAGGCGCCAGCCTGCCTCCGGCCGTGGCCGGCACCATCACGGCAATCAATCTACTCGCCGAAGCGATCATCACCACGGCAGCTCCTCTCTTCACCGCGGCTCCCCTTCCCGCCGCGGAGTCAACCATCATCATCCTCTTCCTACGAGGAACACTCCCACTCTAAACTCACCGACCAGCCTCGTCGATCGTTTCGGTGGTTTGTCGTTGGAACCCCCTCCTCCGCAGATTGGCCGTCCAATCAGCGCCAAGGAACGTGTGGGGCAACTTCGTGGCAACTGAGCGCCGTTACCGCAAGAACTGGCTGGCGGTCACGGCAGACTACACTCAATGGAGGCAGCACTACGGGCTTCACATCTTTGCATCCGTAGTTGGGGGCAACTCGACCCCGTGCTTCGACGCACCCTTCCCGTACAAGCCAGACGCAGGGGGGCGGGGCGTCAAAGACCCTCTAATCCTAGGTCAACACCGTCGCATTCGTCGCGCAAAAGAGGGATTGCAGGTGGCAATCGGCACCAACAACGTGGGCAAGTACCTGCTGAACCTCAGCCTCCTCCGAGCAGCAGAGCACGGCTATATGTGTGCCTGGGCTATGCGCATCCACGGCGATGGGGTTCTCTGCTCCCTCGGCGAGGAAAAGGATGGGTCGGCCCACCTCTTTTTACCATACGATGCGCAACTCGACAGCGCCGCTGTTCAGGGGATTCACGCCCACTGCCAGCACACACGTCAACTCCGCATGATCCTTGTCAAGGGCGAGGGGAATACAGTCAAATCTCCCTTGATCTTCCAGATTTCCCTCTTGGACAAGCTGGAGCTCAAGTCATCTGCGAAGACGGAACTGTAGTGTCCTGCACCTGGCGCAAAGGCCCTCTGGCCAACAAGAATCTCGACGCCATGTACTTCTTCTTCGCCTGCCTGCCGTCGCAAGACCGAGCGGAGAGACTGGAGGACCAGCGTCAACTTCTTGCCAACATTCACAGCAGGCGACCCGCCCCACCCATTTGGTCCACATTTGATGAGGTGGAGAGGTGGGCCTTCGATGGCGTGATCTTGATGTCAGGATCAGGTTCTCTCTACTGGGGCGACACCATTGCGCTGGTCATCTCTTCCTACGCTGCAGCCAAAGCCACTCGAGAAAAGTGGCGCAGTGCCATAGGAATGGAGGCTCGTGCACCGTCGTACCACCGCGACCACTTCTTTTCGGTCGCCGTCGCCTTCTACTTCACGTACGCTGGCGACAAACCTGCCATTTCCCTTGGTGGTAAATTCGTCAAGGCAAGGTCAAATTGGGGAATGCGATGGTGTGACGCACGCAGTGGGACATGGAACAACGTGGACTTTTCACTCGTCGGATCTTGGGTGCGCACCCCGCTGCATGGGATGGTGGTAGTGGGCAATACCCTCGAGACTGTGCACTGCAAGCTTGGGCTGGGGGACGGAGTTGCATCAACACCCCCCGACTTCCGCGTCCGCAAAACACCTTTAAGGGCTGCGAAAGGCCTGAAGGAGGAGACCGACGGGTCAGCCTACTGCAGCGGCCGAGCCCAGATCACGTACTACTGGAAACGTAAGCAGCGCTACATTGAAATGGGATTCCTTCATGAGGAAGTCACAAAGCTGTTCGGCGCACCATGGCCGTCCCCTTACAACAATCGCCAGATTGAGCTGCGCATTCTAGGCCGTGGGGTGACGACCCCGGCTGATCTTGGCATGCAAGTGAGGGTGGTGGACGGGGCTTGGCATGACAAGGAGGGCTTTGTGCCCGGTTCGGCCCTACACTGGGCCATTTGGGAGATGAGGCCAAGCTCGGCGGTGCGAATGCAGTCACGGTTAGGACGACACCCTCGCTACTTCGCGCACAAGTCAGGCATATCCGACCAGTCGGCGGGGCTACCAAGCTGAAGCAAAGCGATCTCGTCAGCCACAACGTGTCCGGCCAACTCTCTCTCAACGACGGGATCAACATTCCCTTCCTTTCAGAGGACCTGCGGCAGCTCTTTGGCGGGCCATGGCCCTATCCATACGACAAGCGACAGCTGGAGGTGCGGATTACGCTGATGAGTGGCCTTGCTGCTGCCTCAGAGCCAATGATGACTCGGAAAGGGACTGCTGCATAGACCCTCAGCTCCTTATCTGCGATCTTCGGGATGCCCATCAGCTCTCTCCAGTCCCCCTCCGCTTGGTTGCCTTGCCTCGTCGTCTCAATATTCTACAGTAGTCACCCCACTTGAGGGTGGTGCTTCCAGTCATTAAGATGACTCCGTCCAGCAGCCATTGCTCGGACTCCTTCAGTGTGTTCAATGCGGCCGCCGGAGGGCGACGGGCGTTGATCGATTCCAGCGGCTCCCTTTGTTGTTCCCTGCAATCAAGTTGGTGCTGGAAAGGCAAGCAGGCAAAAAGAACTCTCGCCGACTTGCTGACGCTCTTGATGAGAGGATCCCTGAGCCACAGGCAGTCAGCTTCATCATACCCATCCTCACAGACGATCTTGAGCTGCAGACCGTAAAGGAGTGTGATCAAAAGATGACCGGCGAGGCGAGTGAACTGAAGTCTCCTTGGATCAAGAAGACTTTGAAGCGGCCGGTTTCCTTCGAATGTCGCTGGACTTGCCTCCTGACCGGCTGGTCCAGCTGAACTTCGAAGGGGAGAAGCTTGTCCGCCTCGCAAATGACCCCATCAGTGCCAAGATGCTTTGTCCAAGCGCTCATGATGCCATGCTCAGATCCGCGCAGCAGACAGAGGTCGGCAAGATAGCGGATTGGGTCGTTGCTGGCCACAGCTAGAACCAGCCGGTCGTTGTGGCGCTGCGAACGGGCCTTTTGACTGCTGACGCTTCTTAACGACGTCCAGGTCTCCCCCTTTGCAGCATGCCATTGTACGACGTGTGGAGAGCCTCAGCGTGGTGATGGCTCCGGCGTCGAAGAGAACCCACAGCTTGCGCGCCGAGGGTGTAGCATTGTCGACGGCCCAGGCTTCCTGTTTGAATCGAGGCCAAAATGAGTGCTGAGTGGTTTGGATGAGGTGGCAAAGTTGAGCCTCCCTGGGTCGTACGTGTAGCCACGGCGGAGCACCATGGCGGACGAGGTGTTGAGGTCTTGAGCTTGTCTCTACTGTGTGTGCGTCGAGGAGAGGATCAGTGGCGAGGGAATGCTGAGCTACGACTCAGCGTGAGTAGAGGAGGCAAGAGCGAGGTCAAAGAGGCGGCAATGAGGCTAAGCTAGATGCAGCCAAAGAGGGCGAGCCTTAGACTCGACAAATTGAGTGGCTATGCTAAGTGGTGATCACTGTAAGAAAAAAGAGCAGAGGCGGATGCCTGGGCGAGATTGGCCACCATCGTGATGCTGAGCAGGCGGCCGAACAGCACCGGATCATGGCCTCCGCAGAGCAATGAGTGCGGGTGATTGCCTTTGTTGCTCGGCGGCAGCGGTGGAGGGAGGTGCTTGTGCTGCAGTGCGATGTCGTGATGTGCTTGAGGAGCGGATGAAAGGAAGAGTAGGCGGGCGGGCAGGCAGACCGAGGCTGGCTTGGGCTCATCTACGTCGAGAAGCGCAAGGCGCGCGCCACGAGGCCAACACGCGTCGACTACGAGGAGGGACAGCCTGCTGCTCGTTCGCTCAGAAGAGGTTGAGCTACATTGCCGCCGTGGTATGAAGGCGAGTCCATTGCTATTATTTCCACCGCCACATTATCGCAAACCTCGCTCGAAGACCTGTTTAGAAGCATAGCCTCCCCCTTTCGTCGCACTCACAATCTGCCCTCTTCCCTCTTTCCCTCCTCCTTAACCCTCGTCACCTCAACCACCACACTATCATCCCCGCGTACATGCCGCATCACTCTTTCGCCCAACAAAGTCTCACGTCTCTCCTTACCTTCGCGCCTGAAAGAGCTCAAGTGCTCTAACATCTCCCACAGCCTGCCCGCGCTCCCTCCGTCTTCACCGAGAAGTGCCCCCTCTGCATCGTAGCGCGGTTTGTACTCCTGGCTCAACGCGATGAGCGGTACGGGCTTGACTGCATCGCTCTTCCTCCGCATGATGAGGCCAATCTCCTCGAACCTGCCCAGCGCTTGACTGAGTGTCGCGCTATTGATCGCCTCCAAATAAGCCAGCTCCCCTTGCTGATAGAGCGTCTTGCCGAAGAGCTGTGCACGTTTCTCAAAGTCCTTGCTGTTGAACCAGAGGATGCGCGTTGGATCTTGATCGGCATGCGGGGGTGCAAGGAGGAGGAGCGAACAGCATGCCAGCCAATAGGACTCGACAAAGGGCCAGATGAGGAAGAGGAACGAGTCGAAGGATTCGCGACCTCGTTCACGTTCGATGCTGGCGAGACCGAGTTTGCGCTCCTCGCCATCGCCCTCTTCCCACTGTAGCACCTCGTCCCCGATTAAAGCGCGCACCGTCTGGTCCACGTTTGTTTCCACCCCCTCTGTCCCGTAGACGAATTCGTTGCGCAGAATCCCTGAAAGGAAAGCGCTCTCCACCAGCACCTGCGAGCGAGTCATCGTCTGCATCGGTGCCGTTCCCCCCTGCTTGACCTTTGTGTAGAGCGCAGCGCAAAGAAGCGCCTCGTTGACGAATACGTGGATGACTTGATTACGATAGAAGCTCAACTCGAAGCGCTTCGAGGGGAGAATCGTCTCTTCCATCACCTCTTGGCCATCTTGAATCTCGACGAGCGGGCGCATCAGGCCGAGGGCGCGCTCCACTACCTCGCTCGTGGTCATGCTGCCGAAGTCAGCGACCGAGTAGCCTTTGCGCTGGATTGCGCCTCGCAGCCAATCGACCTTGCGTTCCAAAGCCGCACGACCTACGCCGCGACCACGCAGCGTGAGGAGGACGGTCCCCACCAAGGCAGCGGGCATGACGACGCTGACGCGATTGATGTCTGCGAGGACGCGATATCCGAGCGCCTTGAGGAGCATGAGCTTGTGTGCACTGTTATTTGCAAAGTCGATGCGCGTCTCCTCGGTCACGGAGCGCAGCCTGCCCTCGCGACGCTGCCTTTGCTCCTCGACGAATCCTTGCAGGGACCATGGCTCATGGAAGCGTACATCGATGCGTCCGAGCTTGAGCGAGAGGACCGAGGAAGATCCGGAGAGCAGGCCAAACAGGCTCTCATTCTCCTTGGGCTTGCCCAGCAACTCGCTCACGTACGTCTCGCTCTCAATGACGCTATCGTACTGCAAGCTGATCGGGCAGATCCACACATCCCCGTTCGTCCTTCCCGTCTGCATCGCCTCGACGACGTACTTGAGGATACCAAGCTTGGGCGGGAGAAGCTTGCCCGTTCGCGATCGCGTCCCTTCGATGAAACATTCCATGTTACGGCCGGACGACAGGAGTCGCTCGATGTACTCGCGGATGACGACGGGGTACAGCTGGTCGCCTGAGAAGGTGCGACGAATGAAGAAGGCTCCGCCGCCGCGTAGAATGTTGCCGACGATGGGTAGGTCGAGGTTCTGCGTGAGCGTGTGAGGGGGGCGAAGCATCGGCCGTTGTCAGCTGGGCGCGCAGATGATGCTTTGTCTCGGGTGTGCGCGCTCACCTCCCCCGCTACGATGGCCGGCAGACTCAGCCCGACTCTAAAGAGCAGCCAGCTCACGGTCAAGTAGTCGATGTGACTCTTGTGACATGGCAAGAAGATGATGCTCTGCCCCTTTTCCGCCGCCTTTGCCGCTATGCGTCTCAACTCGAGCACCTGCGGGATGTTGAGGTGGATGCCCTGATGGTACATCCGCGTGAGAATATTGTTGACGGCTGCAGCAAATACCTTGATAAAGGACAGCGAGTCGAGTCGACCAATGGAGATCTGTACCTGCTGATCAGCGACGTGGTGCAGTTGCGCCTCGAGGTCACGCCGCGTCTTTTCCTTTGCAGCACGATATCGTTGCCGCACGCCCTCATCTGCTTGTGCCTCTATGGTCCTCTCAGAGAACAATGCCTCTGCTCTCGACGCAGCAAGCGCTTTGATGCGGGACTGGACACTGTCGCTGCTCATAACCTCGTTGGCCATCTGCTGCGATTGGCCCGCGATCAAGATGCGAGCGCCGATATAGTCGGTGTAGCCACGCCAGCCCTGACCATTCCAGGCGGCAAGAAGCTGTTCCATGAAGCGACGTGGATTCTGGCGAAGATGCGCTTCGTATGTCTCGACGACGTTCATGTCGCGAGGGGAGGAGGTGGTGGTGGGCAGGTTGAAGTCATTACCGGACGACGCGGAGGAGGAGGAAGAAGAAGAAGCAGGGAGCGAGGGGGAATTGAGGTCGCTGATAGAGGCAATGAGCGGGCGGCGAGGGCGTTTTGACATGGTGAGGCGTGGAAGGGCGAGGGTATCAATGAGGCCGAATGAAGGTGAGGAAGGGGAGCGAGGGGAAGAGGTGCGTCCGTGCTGCGTGCGTGAGTGCCAGGGTGCGGGCGGGCGTCGAGCGTCGAGCGTCCGTCGTCTCGTCTCGGGCAAAATTGAAATGCGGGGAAGACGCACGGCACGTCGAGGCCCGGGCCGGAACACGAGGCTAAACAAAGCGTGAGGCGAGATGGTCATTATCATTAGAGGAGCGCGAGAATGGCGTATCATGAATAGGTTATCGCCCTCTCTCGCCCTCGTCGTCGCTCTCTTCATCATCCAGCCTCTCCCATTCGTCACTCGTCGCCGATCTCGCACCCGCATCACTCCACGCCGTGCTCGAGAAGCCTCCGTCGCTCACCACGCCTGGGCTGACTGGGCGAGAGGCAGATTGGTGGGAGCCAGCATCGAAGAGGACCATGTCGTTGCTATGTGGCGGTGAGAGCGTGGTACTTATTTGGTCCTCATCATCGAAGCCGAGGTGGTGGTGTGGCGAGGAAGGAGAGGAAGTGAGGTCGTCGAAGGGGTTGCGCAGCGGAGGTTGGGATGGGCTGAGTGCGTGTTGCCCACGAGGTTGCCGCTTGCGTAGTGAGTCGTGTCTGTCTCCATTGCCAACTGCCGTCGAATTGCCCTCGCCGCTCCTCTGCTCATCCTCTTGCCTCTTTCGCTCCCTCTCAAACTCCTCAATCTCCCTCAGCGCCACCTGCTCTTCCCCATCAGGATCACTACCTTCCCCACTCCTGCCATTCATCGCCCTCTTCAAGTGGTGCGCGCGATGGCCCCAAGCACCGCAAAAGTTGCTCCACCTCTCCTGCGCATTGCCGCCGTGGCCCTTTGAGTACTCCTCCCACCCTTGCTCGTGGATGGGTTGGATGATCGTCGTATGCACGGCATAGGCTGTTGCGAGGCCGGCGATGACGCAGCCTGCGATGACGGCAGCGTGTGGCATGGCGAGCGAGGGGTGATGGAAGGGGTCGAGACTGGTGGCGAGGAGGGTGAAAGGGCAAGGCGGCGGCGATGGCTCAATCTCACTCAGCCTGGAGGCTGGGCTGTGCCGCACAGACCACCGCAACACCACGTGGCAGTCGATGGGAGTGAGGCTGCGACTTAGGTGACGACAACCCATGCACGGCGAAGTGGTGAGACCCTTGACACCATCTCTCGCGTCTCAGGGTAGATGCTGGTCGGCTGACTGTCATTCGACCCGGTGCACCCCAGCGAGCAATCTGACGTGGTGACGTCTCCCCGTCTTCTTCTTGCGGCGGTTTGACCTGCTCGTCTTACCACTTCTTGCAGGTCTGCGCCACGGAGGACAGAGGATGGAGGGCAAAGAGCGGTTCTCTGTGGCAGCTACTTGGGTCGCTCACACCAGGGTCGATGACGCCGCGACGAGATCCAGAGAAAGGTCGAGTAGCGTCAAGCTCACAAAGCTCGCACCGTATGGCTCGGAGAATAGTTGGCATTGAGTGACGCATGGGAGCGCGAGCCTCTTGACCCCTTCTGAGCGCCTCGCATCTCGCGTCTCACTCCTACGCTACTACGCTGAGACCTGGACACCACGTCATGTCTGCGCTTCACCCTGCCGTGCCACTTCCTTGTTGCTACGCGCCGTTCCCAGACCCTGATTTCAAGTTCATTTCTCACCTCGTTCACTCACATTGGCATGGCGACGGCGTTCGCCTGAGAAAGAAAAGGGCAAGGCCTGGCCCTGTGCGTTCGTTCTCTTGAATTGACTTTCGCTCGGTCGCTCGGTCGCTCGCTCCCTCGCTCGCTCACGCACAAAGAGTCCGCACACGCAGCTCGCAGCACGCTCCAGACTTTCCAGACAGCTGCAACTCGAGACGCGGGCCGAGCGCGAAGGGGCCCTGGCGCGCTGGGCCAAACGCCGCCCTGGCTGACTGCCGCCCCGCCGCCCCACTTCGAGGCTGCGCATTGGCATCATCGCATCGACGAGACGACGCAGACTTGATCGAGAAGAGTGGGCGAGGAGAGTGGCCGCTGACAGACAAGGGGGCAAGCAGCGACAAGGGTGCAACACCGGCGACCACTGCTCCTCCTCAACTTCCTTACCCTCGCCAACATCAAACCCCACTACCGTCTCGACGCCCGCTCATCAATCATCCCGTCGTAGTTGGCTTGGCCACAAACGCAGCGCCGTCGGGCGTGTGTCTTCCTCGCCGAGTCGAAACCTCCCATTTTCCATCCTCGTCATCTTCGCAGCATTACCCCCTCGCGCCACGCAGTCATGCCGCGCAACTTTCTCTCCACCATCCTCAATAGGCCCAGCCAGTCGTACGCTGCCGAGGAGGCCCCACCACCGCGATCATCAAAGAAGTCATCGTCAGGCGGCTGGAATGCAGCGCCCACCGACCTACCCAATGCTCCGGCAGGACCCTCGTCTCTCCGGCAAGGTGGGCCGCCGTCGATGTCGGGCTACACTCAAGCGTCCACGACAACGCCAACCAAGTCCAAGTCTACCTCACGCTTCGGCAAAAAGGCGCATAAGAGTCGCCCATCGATGGACGGCAGTGTCAATGGATTCAATGATGGCGCCTCCTCCATCGCCGACACCAATGCCTCCTTCTCCTCGAAGCGCAAGAGATGGTGGGACACAAGTAGTCTGCGAGGCTTTGGCAAGGGCTCGAGGAGTAGGGCAGGCAGTGTCGCCGGAGGCGAGTCCGTCTTCTCCGAATCTGCGGCGCCTCCTCCAGGTCTGGCTGGCATCGGGTCAGCCTCTGTGGACCCTTCGCAGCATCATCGCACCCTGCGCGGTACTCGCAGCGAGATTGGCAGCCCACGCTCGCCCAAGATGCGCATGGCACCACCGCTACCAGCTCATGATGCTGCAGCTCTACGTGCCATGAACGCCACTGCCCGCCAAGAAGCCTCCGTAGCGCCCTTGGGACAGCAACCACCCGCTCTGAATCAACATGCAGCGAGTATGAATCGCCGTCACTCCAAGCAGGACATGCGAGGAGCCAATCTCACACCATCATCAGCGCCGCGACGAGCTCTAAGCGTGTCAGGCTACTCAGCGACAGGTGGTGGCGGCGGCGGCGGCGGCGCTGCACCGCTCTCCTCGGCAGGCTCTGCCACCTCGTCAGACTGGAATGACTTTATGAAGAGCATGTCTAATCGCGGCGTCTCGAAAGCGTGGACTCGCAATCCTGGAACGGATACTTCAGTGCAGCGCCGCAGAAGCGCCCTCGACCGGGTACAGAAGGAGTTGCAGGAGGATGCACAGTTTGAGCAGGTCGTGCGCGATCCAGGCGTCGTTCGCGGGGATCTGTTAAGCAGGGCCGCGAGCGCTGTGGTTGGGGAGGGTGAGCAGACGAGCCACCAGTACGCGCAGCAGGCAATGGGAGCAAGCAATACAGTACCTGCTGGGCTGAGGCCGGGCTCCTACATCGGCGCGCCCCAGCCGCAGACACAGCCGCAGTCTCAGCCCGACGAGCAGAGCCAGTACCAGCAATCTACCCCAGTCAACTTTGTTGCCTCTCCGCGACGGTCGCAAGAGCAGGCCCGATTCAACGCACAGACTCAGCCGCCCGCCCCACCTGCAGTCCCTGCCGAGCAGCTACAGCCTCAGCCCGTCACTCCCGCCGCAGACTCTTCTTACGAAGAGGAGCACAGCGAGGACGTCGAGTCGGAGGCGTCCAGCTCTTCCGAAGACGAAGGACATCGCCAGCTGGACGCCGTAGCAGAGGAAGAAGAGGACAACTCCTCGCTAGGGCACCAAGCTCACAACGAGATGCGCTACGGCCCGCGTGCTTCGTATCTCCCCAAGACACCCCCCGTCAAGCACTCCCCTCTCCCGCCGAGTCCGCCGAACGCTCCTGTACCGCTTTTGACGCAGCAACCGGTCTTCTCGGCCACTGTCCCGCCCAGCGCGGTTGTAGAGCCAGCAGCAGAGGATCAGGAGGAGGAGTGGGAGGAGGAGCCGCAATCGCCCAAGGTCCCGCCTAAGGACACCGAACCGTCGCGGCCCTCGCTTGACACTGCGCTTGCCAAGCCTCCGTTTATCAAAGAGGATAGCACGCTGAGCGCCAGCACTGCCTCTTCTGCAGGTGAGGCTGCAGGCGGCTCAGCCTATGCCAGCGCAGAGGACGAGGCAGACGTGAGCAGCGGCAGTGACAGTGATGAGGAGGAGGTCAGGGACGGTAGCTCAGACGAGGACGAGAGCGGCAAAGACGGCGAATTACAGGAGCGCCCTGCCTCGCGTGCTGTCACTTTCGATGGGCTCAACGAGGCTTCTGGGCAGCTCAAGCGCCGCGCCTCTTCTGGCTCGCAGTCGACGAAGGGCAAGGGTAAGGCTAGGCAGAGCGACGACGATGGCGATGCTGCTACAGAGACTGGCTCCACGCGACGTCGCAGTGCAGCTCCCTCGCTCCAGCGCCGCCTCTCTGACCTGTCACTGGGCAATTCCTTTGCTTTCTCCCACTTCATGGGCTCCAAAATCAGCGGTCGCTCATCGTCGCGTCGCATCAAGCTGGGCGACTCGGATTCAGATTCGGAGCGCGGCTCTGCAGGCTCAGGCGACGACGAAGAGCTGAAGAAGCTCGCTCTCGCCGAGCAGGATCGACTACGCCGCATGAGTGTGGGCGACGACTTCTTTGGCGGCTCACTCAGCGACGTGCTGGCGCAATTTGACAAGATGGAGTTCGGCGAAGGGGCGACGAGTAGTGAGAAGACGGCCGCTTTGGCGGAGAAGGCCCAGCAGGGTGGTGTGAGCCGAGAGGACACGCAACAGGCGCAGGCTGAGGCGCAGCAGATTGTCAACGAGGTGCGCAGACGCAGAGCTGGAGGTGCAGGCAAGGACGATGATGGCAAGACTGTGCGAAGTGAAGCGGCGGGTACGCTCGCTGCGAGCTTTGCTGCGTTACTTCTCATGGCGGACAACGATGGCGATGCGGTGGTGGAGCAGAGCGTTGCGTCTCCTCCGACCACGTCAGCTGCAGCCACTCCTAAGCCTTCCGCCCCAGCCGAGCTCCCCTCCTCCCCCTCGACGGTCAACGCCAACCTCTTCTCCACCGCTGCTCCCGCTGCCGCGAGTAGCCCACCAGAGAAGCGCTTCAGCGTCATGGACCGACCGAGGCAGCGCGCCGCCCGGCCGGTGGAAATGGGCGGCATCGCTATCAGTCGCGGCAAGTTGGCTGCCGATGTGCCCAAGGCAGCTCCTGTGGATGAGCGCAGTACGCTGCCCTCGCTCGCAACATTCCGCAAGAATCCTACGCCTGCCCCCGCACCTAGCAGCGCATCCGTCGCGAGCACCGCCAGCCCATCAACTTCACCCAAGGCTGCAAAGCGTAGCATCGACCTTGGCGACCAGCAGCGATCGCGCGACAAGCCTCCGCCGGCAAAGAGTGCCCTCAAGCCCAAGACGTTGCGTTCCAGCAAGTCTCTTGCAGACACTTTGTTCAGCTTTGGAGGGTCTAGCCCGCAGAAGAAGGCCGAGAAGGCCGAGAAGGCCAACAAGAAGAAGGAGGGTAAGAGGGCGCGCGCAATCAGCGTTGGTAGTGAAAAGAGCGCAAAGGTGAAGGAGGACGCCAAGGATCGTGCTGAGCCGGCTGCGCCGCCAGCCGCGACGCCGGTCGCGCCGCCACCACAGGATCCTCCCTCCACCTCGTCGTCGAACGCCTCGCCCGTCAAGGAAGCCGGGGAGCCGGTGTACCCGCTGGCAGCTGCGCTTCACGAACAGGTGGTCCCGACTTACCCACGACAGTCACTGGACAAGGGCAAGGGACGCGAGGTGCTCGACTATGGCGAGAAGCCGCCTCGACCTCCCGTGCGTCAGTCTTCGCACGCTCGCACAACATCGGCAGCTACGGACGGCACAGCTTCGACGCAGACGACCGACACGACCGAATCTACCGCATCGCAGGACCACCAGACTGTCCCAGCGTCCCTCGCTCCCCTGCCCGCCGTCAGCGAGGCAGCGACTTCACCAGCTGCCTCGACCGACGTTGGGTCAGAGGCGAGCGCTGTCAGCACCACCCTCACCTCGCCATCGCAGCCATTCCCGGCCGTAGCGCCCAAAGACGATGAGATTGCAGCAGCGCCGGCACCAGCAATTTCTCTTCCCCCGCCTCCCGCCTTCGACGAGACCTCTCGCGTCAACGCCGAGGAGAGCACGCCGCAGGCGGTCCAACACCCGGAGCCCACCTTCTCCGCAACCGTTCCCACGGAGCCCGCCTTTGGGATGAACATCATTCCTCCCACTCCTCCCGCTGCAACGCTGGACAACCCGCACTCGGCTCAACAGCTACGCCGCAGCCACTCGTCCGCTACAACGGCTAGCTCGTCCATGCGCACCCCAACGGCCGAAGTCCCCCACCCGATACTGGGTGAAGGTCTCGACCTCACCCGTCCGGAGCTTGCACGTTCGGCCAGCGGTGTGTCAAAGCGTTCCAGCGACACGGCTCAGCGCAAGGCCAGTCGGAGGAGAAGCGTGCAGTCACAGAGTGAGGATGGGTCGACTACGGCCTCTGCTCTTGGCCTACCCGCAGGTATGACGGTCACCACGCTCGCCTCTTCTGGGAGCGGTGGGTCGATGAAGCGCAAGAAGAGCGGGAAGAAGGCCGGTAGCGGGGTAAGCGCTGCCATCAAGAGGACGAGCGATGTTCCTCTCCCTCTTGCCGGTGTGCCAATGATGCATCCCCCGCAGCAGCAGCAGCAGCAGCAGCAGCAGGCACCGGCGCAAGCACGTGTAGGCCCTGCCTCGCCTACCCGCCCTCCTCCACCGCCACCGGCAAAGGACACCATTCCGAGCCCCATCTCTGCGGTGCCGTCGCGCGTCTACGCCAATCGATCGCCCGTGCACACGTTCGGCGGTGGTGCGAACAGCGAGGTCAACTCTTCCTCGCTCGCTAGCCTCTCACCCCCTCCGTCTACTGCTGGATCATCCGCCGGTACGCCAGACGAGCGTGATCCATCTCCAGCACGCAGTCTGACTTCGCGCGGGTCGTCGACCAACTTCTCATCGGTACACGGCGGCTCAGGCGGGTATGCTGGTGTTGGGGCATCAGGCGCAAGCAACTACGCCGCATCTGAGGACGGCTCTTCCTCTTACGGCGGGACGCCCAGCCACTATCAGACTCAGCCCAACGCGCACCGCGCCCGTGTGCGTACCCAATCCACGGGGCCCTCGCGTCGCGGATCACAGATGGCCGGCATGGCTGCTATCGACGAGTGGGCCTCTTCGTCCCCAATCTCACGTGCCACGAGCCCGTACTATGATGGTGATCACGCGCTCACCGGAGGGACCACTGCAGGAACGCCGTACGATATTGCGGCGGCTACAAGCACCAACCCTCCCTCCGCCACATCTGGCAATGAGCTGGGCGGCTCGTCGCCAGCCTTCATGCGGAACGCACCCATGGGAGCGCCCACGGAGATGCTGTTGCATCCACCTGTTCCCCGTTCGCGCCTTTCGCTCGTGACAGACGAAGACAGGCTGCGGGCTACCGCGTCTCTTGACGGCCACGGCGACTCTGGCGGCCTCTCCCGGGCGAACAGCCTGCGCTCCGTCTCGTACTCTCAGAGCGAAGCCGGACACGGTAGCGGCGGTCTGTCCCCCTCCGTCCGACGCTCACCCATGTCGCTCACCTCCGGCATGTCGTCCTTCTCCGCCACCCCATCCATGAGCAGCCTTCCCTCCGTCCCCAAGAGTGGGTACAGGGCGCAAGACCCAATCAAGGCGGCGGGCAGCAGTTCCATAGACGACAGGCTGTACCAGCGCTCCACGATGGCCACCATCTCTGTCCTCTCTGGCGCCTTCAAGAAGGAGGGCGGCGTCTCTCGTTCCATGTCCAAGCGTCGGTCCATGGACATCACGCATGGCTCTACGACCGACTTGGCCTCCTCGCGCACTTCCCTCGATCGTGATGGTGTTCCGGGTCATCTCCTCGACGAGCTCAACCAGACCACGATGGGGTTGACGGCTCACACCGCTCCACCACGCAAGATTGGCTCTTCGCACGTCTTGGTTCAAGTAATCGCCGTTGCCATCGATGAGATGGATCGCCTTCTCCTCCGCGAGAAGGTGCGCTCCTCCGATGGAGCGTATGGCTTCGTACCTGGGCGCTCCTTCACTGGCCGCGTAATGGAGGTGGGCTGGGAGGTCAAGCGCTTGCGCAAAGGCGATGTAGTCTTTGGTCTGCAGTCTGCACGCAAGTGTGGAGCACTTGCCGAGTTCATGACCGTCCAGCAGGATCTTGTGGTCAAAGCGCCAGAGGACTGTCTTACGGTGGAGCAGATCTCGGCTTTGCCTTCCGCGGGCGTGCTGGCTCACCAGGTTATGCGCAACCATTGCGCCAATCTACCCAAGGGCGCTCGTATCCTCATCCTCAACGCGCACGATGGCGTGGGCTTGCTCGCGATGCAGGAATGTGCCGATCTGGGCCCCGTCATCGTAGCACAGTGCCCCGCCTCCGTGAGCGACGGTGTACCGCTCTGCGAGGCCAATGGAGCGCACGAAGTCGTGGTAGGCGAGCCACTCTGGGCGATGAACACGCTACATGAGAGCAGCTTCGATCTCGTGCTGGATACGGTCGGCGGGCGCAGGTTGTACGATGCGGCGAGGAGGATCCTAGCGACCAACGGGCAGTTTGTGACGTGTTTTGGCGACGAGAGTCTGGGTGGCGGGCTGAGTGGTAACCCAAACTTCAAGGCGAGCATGCGAAGTTTGAGGCGGACCTTCTTCAAGAAGGACAAGAAGAACATCGTGAGTGCGCACGCAGAGCCGCATCCAGCTGGCCTGTTGCTGACCCTACATTCCCTCTCTCCCTCTTCTCGCTCGCGCAGGGATATGAATGGATCGGCGTCGACTCGTCCGACGACTGTCGCGAGGCTCTTGAAGCGGTACGGGCCGTAGCAGAGGCAGGAGACATATGCCCGCGATTGAGGAGTATCCTGGCATTCGCTGATGCTTCTCGAGCCTTTGATCCTGTACTCAAGGGTGGGGAGGACGATCAGCCTGGCGCGGTGGTTGTGAGGGTGTCGTAGACACGCCATGCGGGGCGTAGGGCGCGGGCCTAGGCGCGGGGCGTAGGATGGATGTGTGGATTCGTACCGATAATGCTTTACTCTGCTTGTGCACGCTCTCTTCACCGGCGAATCGTAATGTGATCTTGGAAATGGCCAGGCAGAGCGCGAATCGTGAAGCCATGGCGACGTGATGATGCTCCCGAGGGGCCCTCGTCTTGGCCGTGGCGCTGCACCTGAGTGGAGTCGGCCCTCGCTGTCCGTGTCTTGCCCTCTCTCTCTTTCGCCTCGTGGCAGTCAGCGCGGGCGGGAGACCCGGGCGGGCGGGCAGCCACGGAGAGAGGCGAGAGAGGCGAGCCAGACGAGGAGATTCTCAACACGCAGCGACAGACAGAGCCTCCATTTCCAACCCATCATCATCATCACCACCACTCCACACCTGCCTTGTTCGTTCCTGGCCATGCTCTCGACCCCACTGAACACCCTTCGCCTCCGTGCCGCTACGGCCGGCGCTATGCTGCGCGGCGGGTCCGCTGCTCAAAAGACGCAGAAGCGCTTCTTGAGCATTCATGAGCACTTGTCCATGGGTCTTGTGGGTACCCATGACGAGGTAGCATATAACCCGAACCGTCGAATCTGACTCCTTTTACCCGGCTCCTCCGAACAGCTCGAAAAGTACGGCGTCCCCATCCCCCGCTTTGTCCCCGCAAAGTCGGCCGACGAGGCCTTCAAGGCTGCTCAGTCCTTCAATGGCAAGGAGATGGTCATCAAGGCTCAGGTCCTTGCTGGTGGGCGTGGAAAGGGACACTTTGACTCGGGGCTGCAAGGTGGTGTCCACTTGATCAAGACGTAAGCTCGAGCAGCAAGCACCGAGGACTCAGCCTTGACTGCGTGCTTCTCTACTGACCCGCCTTCTCCCATCGCCTCTCGCTCGCCCGCAGCGCCGAAGAGGCCCGCGACTACGCCTCCAAGATGCTCGGCTCCAAGCTCATCACCAAGCAGACAGGCAAGGCTGGCCGAATCTGCAATGCCGTTATGCTGGCCGAGGCTCGCCCCCCTGCACACGAGTACTACGTCGCTCTCCTCAACGACCGTACTACGCAGCTGCCCGTGCTCGTCGCCTCCAACCAGGGAGGGATGAACATCGAAGAGGTCGCAAAGGAGACTCCCGATGCCATTATCACTACGCCGATTGATTTCGAAAAGGGACTGGACAAGAAGACTGCGCTCGACGTAGCAAAGAAGCTGGGCTTCAGCAGTGAGAAGCAGGAGGACCAGGCGGCCGACACCTTCATTAAGCTCTACCAGTGCGTGGCGACCCCGCTCCCAGCTATGTGTTGATAATCGCTGACCCAGAGTCGTATTCTCATCGGTCCCCCTCGCCAGGCTCTTCCGTGAAAAGGACGCGACCCAAGTCGAGATCAACCCCCTCGCCGAGTCAAAGGACGGCGCCGTCCTCTGCATGGACGCCAAGCTTGGCTTCGACGACAATGCCGACTTCCGTCAGCAGGACGTCTTCAAGCTTCGTGACCCTTCTCAAGAGGACCCGGATGAGATCGAGGCTGGACGCGTGGGAATGAACTTCATCAAGCTCGACGGTAACATCGGATGCCTCGTCAACGGTGCCGGGCTCGCGATGGCGACGATGGATGTGCTTGCTACGCACGGCGGTTCCCCTGCCAACTTCTTGGATGTGGGAGGATCAGCCAACGCCGCTGCGATCAAGAAGGCCTTCGAGCTCCTCCTGGGCAGCAAGGACGTGCGAGCCATCTTTGTCAACATCTTTGGCGGTATCCTCAAGTGTGACCTCATCGCAGAGGGAATCGTCGTTGCGGCCTCTGAGCTCAACTTGAAGGTTCCTCTCGTAGTCAGGTTGCAGGGCACTAACGTCGAGCGCGCTAGGGAGATTCTGGCAAAGTCGAATGTGGATGTCAAGCCGTACGAGGGGCTTGATGAGGCGGCAAAAGAGGCTGTGCTGAGGGCGAAGCAGGGGGCGTGAGGTACTGTACACGGGACTAGATGCTGCGCTGCTGAGCAATGGGATGAGTTGTTGTTACAGATCGCGAGGCGCGTGCGTCTTCTCTGATTGCTCGAAGGTATACATGTTGTTGGACGTTCTCACTGGCCCGCTTGCTCACACATCTCCAACAGCACCTCTCTCGCCCTCTTGGCATCCGCCTGCCCCTTGCTCATCTTCATGACCTCGCCCACCATTCGCTGAACAACCTTGACTTTGCCCGCGCGTACTTTGGCGGCTTCGTCTGGTAGAGAGGCGATGACGCGCGTGCAGAGCTCGTGAAGGGCGTCGTCCGGGGATGAGGAGGTTGTGGTGGAAGCAGGAGAGGTGGACAATGCTGCGGAAGCAGGCGAAATGAAGCCAGCCGCTGCTGCCATCTCTCGCACGCTCTCCTGGCTCTTTCGCTTCCCTGCGTCGTTTTCCATCTCGACCAGCTTGCCCAGAATCGCCCTTGCGTTGTGCGTCGTCACCTCCTTACCCTCCACCAGCTCGAGAAGCTCGCGCAGTCTCGCAGGCGCAGGCGCTGATCGTGACTGCCCTTCTTGCTCTGGCAGGCTGTTGAGCGCTTTGAGTACCTCGTGGACGATCCACTTTGCGACCAGTGATGGTGGCAGCTTGACGCTTGAGGAGCTCGACGCCAAGACAGCCTCGAGATACTCGACCGCCACTCCAGGTCGATCGAATGCCCACGCCTCCTTCTTCTCTTGCACCAGCGTAGCCCCCTCCAAGCCCACCCTCATCAGCACACCGACATCACGCTCTGGTATTCTCCATCCCTTCCCAACCAACCGACTTTTCTGTGCATCAGGATGCTCCGGCAACCCCTTTCTGACTTCCTCCACCTTGCCCCTTCCCAGCACAAGCGGCGGCAAGTTCGCGTCGGGCATGTACCGATAATCAGGTGCGTCCTCCTTCGATCGCAAGAAGAAGGTCTGACCTGTTCGCTCATCGAAACCTCGCGTCTCCTGACGCACCTCACCGTCCGACGAGGCATGGAGTAGCTCGAATTGTCGCTTGATCTCGCTACGCACCGCCTTCTGGATGAAGCGTACCCCATTGACGTTCTTTACCTCGCAACGTGTGCCCCACTCCCTGCTCCCTCGGGGACGGATAGAGACGTTGACGTCGCATCGCATGCTTCCCGTCTCCATGTTCCCATCACTGGCAACACAACGACGGAGCAGTTCTTGGAGCTTGCGCACATACGCGCCTGCTTGTGTAGCGCTGCGGAGTTGTGGGCCAGACACGATTTCTATCAGTCCGAGGTTGGATCGATTGAGGTCTATGTGCGCTTGAGAGACATCGGAGACTTCAATGGAGGTTGAATGGGTGGACTTGGCCGTATCTTGCTCCAATTGGACTTGCTCGATCTCTACTCTGACATCGTCCTGACCCTCTTCGGCAGGCAAGTCGATCCACCCTCCCTTGGCGAAGGGAGCCCATTTTTGGGTGATCTGATAGCCGGCAGGTAGGTCCGTGTAGAAGTAGTGCTTTCGGTCGAAGCGTGATTCAGCTTGGACTTGGCAGTTGAGGAAGAGGGCTGCTCGGATTGCTGCGGCTAGGGTTGGTGGTTGTACGAGAGAGGGCAGGGTACCGGGGTGGGAGAGGTCGAAGGGGTTGATGAGGGTGTTCGGGGGCGTGAAGGGAGAGGACGACGTGCGAGTCGGGCTGAAGAGCTTTGTTGGGGAGAGAAGCTGAGCATGCGTCTCAATGCCGATACAAGATTCCCAGTCGGGAGGGAGCGACCAGGATGACGAGGAAGAGGGGCGGTGTGGCTGCGGTCGCAGTTGTGGCTGAGGATGATGGCAAGTTGTAATGCGGACCGCGGAGCTGACTCTGAGCAGGGTCGCGCAGGGTCGCTGCTGGCTTGGTCCAGCGATCGCCATCGCTATGGCCACGACCATGTCTGTATGCTGGCTGAGCGCTCCAAGGAAGCCAAAGCTCACGGCTCACGGCTCTGGCCCACTGGCTCGCTCGCGTGCCTCAGTCCGCCGCCCTCTCGACGCCAGTCCGCGCTTCCGTCCCATCGCGGCGAGGGCCACGTGTGAGGCCACCTCTGATGTGGGGGTCGGCGCGAACTTGAGGTGCTCCGTCCGGTCGTGTCGAGACAGCGCTTTGCCTCTCACATCCACCCTCGTAACGATGAGCGTCAATATGGCAGACTCACTGCACCATCACCACCACCACCACCACCACTCACATCACGCATCACCTTCCAACCACGCATCGTCGTCCTCTCGCCCGCATATGTTCGGCCTCCGTGACGCAACGCCAGGTTCCGCCTATCGATCAGGTCATCTCGCTCCGCCAGACTTCCTCGTCCCCGCACCTCCTGCATCGCACACCTACGATCGTAGGCGCGAGGACGATGAGACAGAAGAGCGCGGTGTCAGCGATGCAGGGCGAGTGATCATGCCTCAGCTTCAGCAGAGTCAGCAGGAGAGGCAGATGATCCTTGCTGCAGGTCAAGGAGATGAGCCGCCGAGCTACTTTTGGACGTTTGACAAGGATGGGAGGCCCGTCATCTCAAGGTGAGCAGAGCTGCAGCTCTGTCTGGATGCTACGCACTTCGCTAACATATCAAGCTACCGCACCCGCAGATACAACCTCTCGAAGCCATCTCCCAATGCTCTACCGCCCGCAGGAAATCGCGGACTCAAACTACGCCCACTCACGTCCCTCGACCCGCACCACGACCAATGCGACCCCTCCTCTTCCCGCGCTCCGCCCGTCGAACCACATCGCTCTCTCTTTCGTAACTGCATCCCACCTTCGGACCCACTCATCGCCAGCCATGCACCCAACTGGAATGCGTATGGCCGCCTCGCTCCTTGGACTTCGGGCGCTACGGGACCCTTGACGGGGACCGGCGAGGAAGAGGTAGGGCCGACGGGCGTTGCAGCTGGTGAAGAGGGAGAGGTGGGGGAGCGTCGTCCCCGCAGAGGGGATAGGGAGACAAACGATCGGCTCAGATTGAGGATTGCAGCGTTGCAACGGGCTGGTGTGCGCAGCTTGTTGAGCGACCCTCCTCCGCGAGAGCGAGGAGCAGTCAAACGTGAGGCCCGCGAGGACTCGCCGCTCCTCCTTGCTTCATCGGCCAAGCCACCCGCGCTTCGCTCCTCTTCAGCCTCAAAGCAGGCCGACCACCCGCAAGACGTCGACTCGTCCGACGCCCTTTATCTCTCCTCGTCCTCTCTCGCCCCCACCCTTCTCCAACCCGTCCTCTCACCGCTGCAGCTCCTCCAATCGCGAACCCTCCGGCACACATTCCGCAATCCGCACATTGGTGCCCTCGCAAAGACGACGCTCGATCTGGCAGAAGCCGAGGGCGATGTGGTCAAGGCCGTAGGCGGTTTCTGGGCAGCACTAGAGGAGGACAATGGGGGCAAGTGGGGCGTCAAGAGGGGGACAGGCACAGCGAAGGAGGCTTGGGAGGCCAAGAAGCGGGCGAGGGAAGAGGATCAGGCCGCTGGACGAAAGAAGAAACGTGCACGTCCGCAACGATCTCGCGCTGAGTACAGTCCCTCTACCGTGGGGACGGCTGGCGCTGGAGGTGGGAATGCGGCTGCAGCGGCTGCGGCTAACGGCGGGGAAGCCGTGCCGATGATTGGAGCTGGTGGTCACATCTCGCTGGATGAGTTGAACCCTACCTTTTACAAGTTGGAGGATCTCTTCATTACCAGGGAGGGACTGCCCATTCCCGTGCAGCCGCCTGGACAGGAGGGTGGCGAGGGCGAGCAAGAGGGTGGACAGCAGCAGCAGCAGCAGCAGCAACAAGGCCAGCAGCAGCAAGAGGTGATCGTCGTCGATGGCGAAGGAGAGGAGGCGGCAGTGCAGCAAAGCCAGCCTCGTCAAGAAGATGCCCAACCGTCGGCAGAGCAAGGCATGGATGGAGATACATCGATGGCTGCTCCTGAAGCGGAAGCGGCGCCTGCAGCTACGAAAGAAGAAGAGTCGCAAGGTCAGGCCCAAGATGGTCAGACACCAGGACGAGGAGGTGAAGCCGGGGCACCGTCGACGGTAGAGCCTCCTACTACCGCCGCCCCAAGCACGACGGCAGCAACAGATGAGCAGGACGTCAAGCCCGCGGGTCTGGCCGCTCAGCCAGCAAGTGAAGCCAACGCGATCGACGGTGCTGTCGATACTGCAGCTCAACCTCCTCACGGCCCCACTGTCCCAACCGACGAAGGACGTGCCTCTGCCGACCCCTCAGTCGCCGAGCAAGGCGCATCACAAGGCGGCAGTGACGTTCCGCTCACCCTCCCTCCCACTTCACAACGGGAGATCCTCCTGGCCTCCCTCTCCTGCCTTCACGATCTTGCATCGGACAGCGACGAGTACCTGCGTCGACTGGAGGAGGTGAGGGGGAGATTGAGCGAGGTGAAGCGTAAGAGGGATCGCATTTGGAGGGCGTTGCGAGAGTGGGCTGTTAAGGGTTTGGAGGAAGGGGAAAAGGAGGAAGAGAGGGCAGATGAGACGGCGGCGGAGGGGGCAAGTGTAGCTTGAGGGCATGAGAGGTGAGGGTTGTCTATCGTTTCGTTGAGTCGTAATGCGTACATTGAATCGTGTCATGGGGCGTAGCATGCTGGAGTGGCGTCGATGATGTCTTCGTCGACGTTGTGCTCGTCCTCTCCTTCGTGGATAAGCGGCACGGGCGATCCATTGTGCTCTCGCCGGACCGTAGCTGCCTCCTCTCTTGCTTTCCACTTTCCCCTCGCTTGATCGAGCATTTCTCTCACTTTGCCATCCCTTTGCGCCCATCTGTCGCTACTCGGGCATCCTTGATCAACCCGCTTGACACCGACTACGGCCCAATTGCGCGTGCTCGGGATGCGCAACGCTTCCTTCTCTACGTGCCAACCAGCGAGGAGGTGCAAGTGCGAGACGTAAGCTAGGTAAGACCATACGCGCGCTGATGGTGTAGATGGAGATGCAGAGGGCGAAGGTGAGGCGGCGGCTGCGAGCTTTCCCGTAGGCTGATCGACTGGTGGACCCAGCGCGATAGCTTGCATCTCGTCCCTCACCTCTCTTTTGGCCCTATTATCCTCGTCGCCAGTCAGGCCGAGCGCCTCCTCAACCTCTTCTCGCCTCACCTTGAACTTGCCGCCCGTAAACCTCGTTCCATCCAGCTTCCACTTGCAGCAGGGGATGTTCAGCATGCCAGCACAGGAGGGTCCGACGGCGTAGGATGCGAGGAAGGGGAGGAGAGGCGTGAGCTCATCGGCGTGGTTGCCTATGAGGAAGCAGTGCTGGGGGAAGAGATCCGGCAGCGGTGAAGAGGAAGAGTCGCGGGTGTACCCCCTCCAGATTGACTCGAGAGCATTGAGAGTGTGGACGCGCAGATCTGCTGGTCCTGATGCTGGTCGTGGCGAGGAAGCGTAATTCTGCTCAACGGCTACAGTTTGCCCGAACAGCTCCCACGACTTGCGCTCTCGCAGATCAAAGCCGAACCCCTCATAGCCCTCATTGTTGAGCAGCCAGACCAGCAAGCCGTTCCCACATCCAACGTCTACGAAGCCGCCGCGGGGACGAGGCCAAGCGGCAGAGTCGATCAGCCAAGGGCGGTCGTTGAGGCCAATCTCCCCTCCTTCGGCACCGGCCGCCACGGCGCCCACGCCTCGCACCTTCCAAAAGCACATCAACCAAGCTGCGACACCCAGATCTTCATGCACATGCTTCTCGGCAGGTGTGTTCTCCCTCCACTCCCTCACGAGGTACTCCCCCCATCGATGTTTGAGGTTGAGGTAAACGTCTTGGAAGAGGGCTTTTGGGACGAGCTGGTCGTGCGTTGCGCGGGGCTTGTACGAGTGTGATTGGCCCCAGATGTGCCGATGGAGGGTGGTGAGGAGGGTTGTGGAAATTCGAAGGAGACGTTCGGATAGGGGCGAGGGTTGCGTGGAAGGAAAGGGGACAACGGAGATGCTGAGGTGTGGCAGCGAAGCGCCTGTCCCGCCGCTGTCCCGCTTGTCGCTGCCCACGTAGGCGAAGGCGAGGGCGAGCAGCGGAGGGTGGTAGAATGGCATCTCGTCCTGGCCAGAGGGGCTACGAGACGCTGCTAGCCAGGCGTGTAGGCTTTCGCTCGTAGGCGGGGTCGATCCATCGAGACATTCTGGACCGATCACCGGAGTATAGACGACTAGACTGCCCTTCACCTTGCCGTCGTGCCCACGATCCTCGTAGAAGGTGCAGAGCTGCTCAAGCTCGGGATTCCCAGTCGGCCTACGTGGTAAAAGACGGCGGAGAATGCGACGTGTGGGTGTCCAACGAGGGATGCGACGTGTGGGTATCCCGCGAGGGATGTTGCCAATCGACCCACTCGCTTGGGACAACGAAGCTGAGTCTATCCTCTCATCGAGGAGAATGTCCGCCCGGAGGATATTCGAGCTATTGACTTCCGGCTGCCGAATGAATGTTTCCATTACTCTTCCCCACGCGGCTACATCGTTGATTGGTGCGAGGCATGTAGCTGTCCGCTGCCATTGCACGAGGTCTATGCCGCTTTTCCCAGGCAGCGATGCGAGGCCGAGGTCGAGATGAGGGTCTCCTGCTTCCGTGAAGCCCGTGGTGATTTTGGCATGAGGCTTTGCTGGAATTGAGCTCAATCTCGGAGGCTCGACGAAGTCTGGTACAACGATAGGGGCGGCGTCGTGCTCGTTTATTCTGCCATGAGTCGGCTGCCGTGCTGCTGGCTCATCGTGGAGCATCAAATCGCTCGTTGTCGTGGGAAGATGAGGAGAAAGCCTGCCTCGACTTTCCAATCTCGCTCTGGCAGTCCGCCCCTCCACCGCGCGAACGACGACGTCCAGATGCCGTTGCTAGTCTAGCGTGGTCAAGTCAATCAATCAATACCATTCCTCATTGAGGTACCCGCAGTGTGTGTGGACTGATGACGAGCGATGGCGATTCATAACGCTCCCGACGCTCCCGATCTCCACCCACTCCTCGTCGCCTGCCCAGACATCATCGCGATCCACGCTGATCACTCACACCATCCTCCCTTCCCTCGCCTTACCACCCACGCATGCCCCCTAATCCCCTCTCACGGGCAGCATCTGCCACCCCTATTCGCTCAGTGATCACCGCCTGTACCCATCACTTTCTCGTCGTTCCAACATCCGCTTCTCTGCTTCAGACAATGATGCGAGCAAAGCGCGGTGCTTTTCATCTTGTTCGGAGCTGAGCCGGTTCCCGGGTTTCGTTGACGGGATCGCCCCTGCTGCTATCCGCGAGCTCCGTGCCAAGGCGGAGCGCTCTGCTGTCCATCTTGCCCCCTCCTCTTCACGCGAGAGCGCTAGTTTCAGATCGCTACCGAAGATCAGGTTCACTGATCTGCAAACAGAGTTGCTCAGTCATCCGGCGTCGTCGCACGTCATGGCGGCGCAGCGAGAGCACTTCTGTTCCGCCTTTCCGTGAAGCCGCCGCGCAGAGGACTGTAGACCTCGGGTTCTGCACCTCGATACGCGATGATGCAGGCCAGGTGATAGTGCCAGGTGAGACTTATTTTACACCTCCTCCCGGAGTGAGACACAAAGAGGAGCAGAGCCGCCTCGTTAACACCCGCCTCCTCCCCCCTGCACCGGTGGGTGCCATGCAAATGAATCTGCAGGTCGTGCGGCCGGTGTCACTTCGATTGATACGGACTCGGGCGAGAGGCGAGGCAGTAGGGGCTCAGACGATCGAGATGGAGATGAGTGCTACGACGACGGGCATCAAGGCGGGCCGCACCATGACGATGAGGGGCGCGACAGGACAAGGGGGACGTGAGAGTAGAGATGAGGGCGTCATTGAAGACATCTTTCCCTCTTGACGACCCATACTCCTCATCTGTTCGTTTGACGACCCACTATCCTCATTTGTTCGTGAGCCTCCCACACCGCCCACGACCAGCGCACGCCACGAATCTTTTCACTGGACGTCGCACGATGTCCGCCGCTACCATGCCCCAATCCCCCACCTCTTCTCGCGGAACGCCGCAGAAGGTGACCAACTCTTCCTCATTCGACGGCGGCCGTGCTAGCTCAGATACGGAAGAACGCCCGTCCTCTACGTCGTCCGGCTCCTCCCAACAGCCTCATATCCGCGTGAGCTACGAAGGCCATGACTATGACTTTGCGACCCCGCCTGGTAGCAGTCCCGACCCGGAATATGGGACATTTCTGCCCCAGTCTCGTCGCAGCGCTGAGCAAGCAGGCAAGGAGGTCAAGGAGACGCAGCCTCAGCCGCCGCAGTCGCAGAGTCAAACGCAATCGCCTCGCCTTCGCAAGGAAACTTCTCAGCCTCGCCTTCGAGTCATCCCTGAAGCTCGTCGTTCCGGCTCCAATGACGGTGGTAGCGGTGGAAGCAATGGCGCTACGCCTACTGGCAGCCCTGCGCCGCCTGTCCCTGCTCGTATCTCAGGTGTTTCCTCACGCAAGCCACCGCCGCCGCCGGCGAAGGAGCATCGCGATGATGAGATTGATGAAATGAGGTGAGTCGGGGAGTGGAGAAGAAATAGTGGCGACGTGAGACGAGAGCGCGATGAGTGCGGGATGAGCGTGAGACGATTTTAATCTCGATCGGATTCGTGTTTCGCCGTCACGACGGCCTCGCTTTTGGCGGCCACTTCTTGTTAGCTCGCTTGCGCGACGCTTCTCGTAAGGGGCCCGATGGAGATTCCGTGCGCCTGCGGGACAATGTGTGTGAGAGCGGTGATCGAAGGATGATGTTGGTCTCTGTGCCGGTGTGTGGGCCATTCCCGATATCATGAGTAGCACGCTCACGTCTCTCCCTTCTCTGTCTTCCAGATCTCCCACCAAGCCTCCCCCCATTCGCGAGCGACGACGTCAGAACCCTCCCGCCATGCCCAAGTCTGGCGGCTATCTGCCCAGCGTCACCACCGCTGGCAAGTACGCCAACGGCGGCGGCGGCGGCGGCGGCGGAGACAATGGCCCTTTCAACTCGATGCCCGAGGTGAAGGGTCAGGACGACATGCCCCTCGATGAGGCCCAGAATGCAGCGCTGCAGAATGCCCACCATCAGCACCAAATCCGCTCTGATGGCTACAGGGATGAGCGCTCCAACGGCTCGCTGGGTTCTGAGTCCGAGGAAGAGGGCGACGACTACTACGAGGACTCGGACAACGATACGGAGCAGCCCCACTACTCACCGCCTCAAGCTACCGTCCCTCGCAACACTGATGGACCCAACATCCGTGTCGGACGTACAGGCACGCGCGCCAACCCCAGCGTGGAGCCAATGCCGCCTAGCCGGCACTCGAGCATGATCAGGCCTATGCCGCCACATCAGGAGGATGAGGAGTCGTCGCTACCCCCTTTGCCTGAGCAGGAGAATGAGCAGGCGGTGAGGAGAGTGGCTGGAGGGCTGAGCCGCGGATCCAAGGGCACGAGGCCCACTGCTGCCGGTATGAACCGCATCCCCTCGGCGGGCTCAGGCAAGTCGCGCTCATCCTCGTCGCACCCCTACTCCAACACGCCAGTCCAATCGCCAAAGCAATCCGGCTCAGACTTCTATCGCTCTGCTGCTCCCTTCGGCCGTCGCTCCGACCTAACCAACTGGGCTCCCCGCGCTGCGCCTGCCAGCAGCCATCCGCGAGAGGATGTCGATGCAGCGTACGCTGAGGACGATATGGGAGAGATTGAGAATCTGCCCTCTTTCAGCTCCATCCGCCCAGGCGAGCGAACATCCAAGCCCATCACGCGCGTAGAGAAGGACATGGATTGGTCCTTCCGTCGATTGCTGAGCGAGAATGTCTTCAAGCAGCTCCTCGAGGATCCTCTAGGACGACACCGCTTCAGGCAGTTCTTGGACGAGGATTCGGCAGGTGCTGCGCAGTGGGAGGGGGCAAAGGATGCGAGCGAGCTGCCAGGCTCTGAGCTGCTGGACTTCTACTTTGACTTGGGCCAATTTGAGCGTCAGGCCAAGAACATGAAGGAGGCGACGGAGGCCATCCACGACCTCTATGTGGCCGAGGGTGAGCGCACGTGATGATTCGGAGATAGGACTTGGCCGCTGACCATCGCTGCTCTCGACCGCGCAGACTCGGACTCGCACATCCCCTTGCCCCAGCCTCAAGGCGAAACCCTCTACTCGACGTTGCGCCGAGCCTTTGACGTGGAGATCTCCCTCTCACCGCTACAGGAGCATGTTCGTCGTCATCTGTACCGCACGTCCTTCCAGCGCTTCGTGCGCAGTCTCATCGTTGAGGAGAACCGGGTCAAGCTGGGTGCTTTCCAAGACGAGGATGAGGAATACGCAGGACTGGGCGATTGTTTCTGCTTGACGAATCCAAGGGCTGGAAGCGAGAATCGTGAGTGCAAAGGCAGCGAGGCGATGATGATTTGCTTTGGATCACTGTGATGGTAGGAATGGGTGACGGCATTATCCGCCTGGCCAGAGCCATCGAGTGCTCTTGGCCGACTGGTGGCAGAGAGCACTTGGCGGCGAAGGCAGAGTTGAGTCGAGTCGTCGAGGCGTCGAGTCGTGGCTCGAGTCCGGTCGAGGCAGAGGTCACGGAAAGAGCAACGTGGCGCGCCAATCGCGGAATTGACGGAAAGAGGCTGACCACCTTTCCGCGCTCCTTCTTCTCGTCTTGCCCGCTCCTCTACATCCTACCTTGGCCGGTCCTACATCGCCATCTCAACCTCAATCGATCTCCCATCAACTCTGGCGTCCTCGACCGCTCCATCACAATGTCGCACGACGTTCTGCGGCTTCCTGCGTCGCTCTGCGTCTCCTCTTGCCCTGCAAACGCATTTGGCGCCTCACAACCTTGCCCGACGCAGCGATCGTGCTCGTTAGCCCCGGGTTTGTATCAACGACGGGCTACAATACGAAGGCAATCATTGGACGCAACTGTAGGTTCCTTCAGGGACCATCTACAGCCCCTGAATCGGTGCAAAGGATAAGAGATGCATTGAACGCGGGACGATCTTGCACCGAGGTGCTTCTCAACTACCGCCGTGACGGCACTCCATTCTTCTGTCTTCTCTCTATCATCCCATTGAGAGACGCAGCAGGACAGGTCTGCTACTTCATCGGAGGACAGACTAACGTCACATCCTCTCTAGCATCGAGCAAGGGCCTTGGGTTCCTTGTAGGAGGTGGTATGAGCTCTCAACCCAAGCCTGAAGAGCACGTCCGCAATGGGTACGAGATCTCGCCGACTATGGCTAGGCATTTGGTGGAAGCGAAAGCTGGAGATGGAAGCGCCAATGGTGATCTCGGACGCCTTGGTCGTTTTGCTTCATCAACGAGCCTTAACAGCGGCGGAGGGCAACGTAGACGCGATCAAGGCGGCGCCGCAGGCTCTGCTGCGCGTCGCGGTCGTCCCTCAGCGGCTGGCGCCTATGATCCCTCGTCATCTCGCGGCCCAATGGAAGAGCGCTACGCCCGCCAGTCAACGCAAAAGCAAGGCTTCGTCTCCCGTCTCTTCGGCGGTGGCTCCTCCAGCAGCAGCAAGAGCGGCAGTAGCTCAGCGCTCGTCAGCTCCTCCGGCACGCGCGCCGGACCAAGCACAGCGCTCGCCTCGCCCACTACGTCCAATGGTCCCTCGAGCAACTCAGGGCAACAACGCCTTCTCGGTGCAGAAGGGCTCATCCGCTCTCAGCCGCCAGCGCGTATCGGAGCGCAGATGGACTGGTTCACGGACCTCTACTCTCGCCTCCTCGTCTTCAAACGACACCGTCGCGAGATCATCTTTGCGACGGTGCCTGTGCTGGACCTCTTGGGTTTGCCCACAGGGAATGCCAAACAGGTCTACAAGAGTCCACTCCTGCACGCCGATGTATTGGATTTGATGCGTGGGGAGAATCGTGGAGAGACACGTCAGCTACGAGAGGCTGTGAAGGAGGCGGTCAAGTCAGGGGATCAGATTTCCGTCAAGACGGGGCTCAGGGTTCAGAAGAAGGGTTTGATGGGTCGAATGCTCGGTGGTGCTACGGGCGGTGGAGATGGTGGGGCGGCGACTATGCTGGAAGGCAGCGAAGAGATGCGCGTCGTCACCATGCACATCACACCGCTCGTGGACAGGGAAAACAGCTCCTTCGCCTTCGTCGCTGTACTGGGGTAGGCGAGCGACGCTCTCGTGCCCTCACGTACTTTGAACAGCATTCGTATACCCCCTTTTGGCTCTTTCTTGTTCTTCTTCTCTCTGTCGGGCTGACTCAGTCAGCGCCCTTTTCTGCTTTGCTCTCGGTCTGCTTTGCTCTCGGTCTGCTTTGCTCTCGGTATACATCCTCGCGACTCTATGTCATGCTCCACTACTAATTTCAATCTCGACTACAACTCGCCAGTCTAGACCTTAAAACCCGTCCTTGACCCTCAGCACCTCCCCCCTCGTCCCGCCAGTCAAGCAACGCTTGAATGCTCCCATCATCTCGCCCTTCAACTCAGGCTTGGCCTGCAGTCGCTTCTTGAAAGCGGCGATCACCTCCGCAATGGACTTGACTTGGCCAGAGCGGACCATATTGATCAGCTCGCGCTCGAGCGAGGTGGTAGACGTCGAGCCAGGAGCGGGAGTTGAGCGGCGAGACGAGGAGGAAGAGCCTGTGCTATCCCGACGAGCGCGCTTGGAGGTGGGTGAGGCTGGGCGTGAGTTGGAAGAGGAGGGGGGAAGCCCTGTCGTACCGCCGGGTTGAGGGCTTGCTGGTCGCTTCACGCCTGCGGCCGCTCCTTCCATGGACGAGCCAGAGGGGTGGGCGAGAGGCGAAGACTGCCTTGGGATGTGGGAGAGATGACCTTGCTGCTGGCCCTGCGGCCCGGGCGAGGGAGATCGAGAGACGGCTGCGCTTGGTGATACGGCGCGGGAGTGAGAGGAGGCAGCCGTTGCGGTTCGGCGATGCCCTTGCTGTTGTTGAGGGCGGCCCGGGGGTCCACGGACGCTGCCCGACGAGGAGGTGTCGCGCTGACGCTTTGTAGGCGTAGTGCTGCCTTGCCCGCGGCCCGTCTGCGATGGCGTGCGTGCGGCGGTAGGCTGCTGGCCTGGAGTAGGAGTGCTTCCCCTACTAGTCCTCTCACTGCCTTGCCCGCTGGTAGCCGCATCTTTGGCTTCGCGAGCCTCGCGTTCACGCTTCTCCTCCATCGCACGACGAATCGCCTCTTCCGGATTCGCGAGGGCAGGTTCTTCTTCATCGTCGTCACCGTCCTCGTCATCCTCGGCGTAAGGATTGGCACCACGTCCGCGACGAGTCCCATCGATGTCCAGTAGATCGCCACCGTCATCATCGTCGTCTGAATCGTAGAGCCCGTCGACGTCTTGCCCCTCTCGTCGCGCAAGGGCACGCATGATCTTCTTCATCTGCCTTCCAGAGCCTGTGAGTTGATCATCTCGTCGTCTGCCGCGTGGCTGTTGAGCAGAGCCAGACTGTGAAGCAGAGCCGAAGAGGTCGTCGTCCTCTTCTTCCTCTTTGACCATCTGGCCCATCCCTTCGCCAACGCCAGCGCGAGCCATCTCCCTGCGCAAGCGGTCTTCGCGCTCACGCTCATCTGCATCTTCGACGAGCTCGGCCTCGCCGCCCATTCTCTCCTCATCGTCTGCAAAGTCTTCGTGGTACTCGACTTCGTCGTACGTGGCATCCTCGCCGCCTCCATAGCCGCCGCTACCGTGGACGTCGTCGTCGTCATATCCGCCTCGTCGTCGGCCGTTGCTACCGCCGCTCACGCTGACCAAGCCGCGGGGCCGTGAGGAGACGTATGAGCCGAGCGACAGGCCACGTAGAGCGGGCCAGTCTTCGTCTAGTGACTCCTCCTTCTTGACTCCGCGCGCCGAACCATTGTTGCCTCGCATACCACCAGAGCCAGGCATGACAAGCCCGGAGCCTACACCTCCACCTGCGCCGCCACCTCGAACAGACGAGGGAGTCGCAATCCCACTCCCTCTCTCGCCTGATCGGCCAGCAAATCGATCTGTGGCCCCGACACTCCTACTCTTCTGCAATCGTTCAAATTCCTTCTCGCGCTCTTCATCGCCGCGCTCATCCGCAAAGCGACTCTTTTGCATGAAGCGATACGTCTTGCGCAGGGGGACAACTTTGAAGCCTCCCTGATTGCGTTCGTCGAAGACGAAGAGGACTTGGGCTGATGCGTCGCTCGTAGAAGTAGATGGGGCGCGGCCGTTGGAGGTGGACGAAGAAGACGAGGAGACGGCACCATCGCCTCCTTCGAGCTTTCCGATCCAGGGGGCATGTTGCACCAGTCGATTGTCTTCGCGCTTGATACGACCCTTCTTTTCCTCCTCTTCGCCACCCTCTTCTTCCTTGGGCCCCGCCAGACCCTCTCCACCATCAAGGAAGTGCTTTGCGAGAGCATGCACGCTGTCTTTCCGAGCAGTGCGGCTGCTCTCCCAATGATTGCCCGTCTCAAAGTCCTCCAGCACCCAGGGTAGGGACTCGTCGTTGTGAATACGTCGAGCAGTCGCCGATGCCTTGTGAATTTGACGAACGCGCTTTTGGAAGAGCGGTCGATTGGAATTGCGAGCGGCAGAGGCGGCCCCAGGAGCGACCAAGGAGGCGTCGTACCCATTCGCATGGCCTCTTGCTGCCCCCTCGGGTCCCTTGGGGGTGGGAGCGAGCCGCTCGAGGATCTTGCGATGTTCGCTCGTGTCCTCGCCCTTTTGAGGCCAGGTGAGCTCTTTGCCATTGGCCAAGCGCACTGATCGCCCGTATCGATCGACGAGTGTGTCTCCCGCCTTTGGCCAGGTCTGTCTTGGTTTTGGTGGCTGCTTACGATTGAGCTTGAGCGGCGGAACGAATTGGGCGGCATCGGTCGGGTCGATGCGCTGGTGGTGGACAAAGCGTGCAAGGTGATGCACCCATGGTGTTGCGGCGGACGTAGAGAGGAGAGGGATATCCCTGTACGTTGTGGGAGGAGGGGGAGACGGGGAGCGACGAGGTGTACCGGCTGTTGCTGGCGAGTTTGCCTCATCGCCTCGTTTGATGAGGCGAGACGACGAGGAGCGGACGACTGTCGTCCCTGTACTCATGCGCGATGCATTGGGTCGAGGAGATGATGAGCCAGAGGGTGAAGATGATCCTGCGGCATCTTGACTGCTCTCTGCCTTGACTGCTCGCAGCTGTGACATTGCGCAGCGAGCGGTGGCCAAGATGAGGATGGTAACTCAAGCGAAGTGAAAGCCAATGTCTCTCGTCTCGAGCTCAAGTGATCCGTCCGCCGCCCGACCAAGTCGCTCCGCTCTGCCTGGCCGCCACTCGCCGCGACTCGCGAGTAGATGCGCGGCTCTCGAAGTGGACGGAACAGGGCGTCGACGTCGAGACGAGAGGAGCATTTTGTCGGTTGCCATCTTCTAATCACAGCCAACACCACAACGACGACGACGACGACATGGCCTCCCTTATCCGCGCCCACGCCACGAGCGCTGCTCGACGAGCAGTCGCAGCCCCGACCTTGGCTCGCAACCTCGCCCAGCGCAGCGTGCTCACCGCCGCCAAGTCTCGCGCGATTGCTCCCCGTCCCTTCTCCACCACGCCCACCCGTCTAGGCTCAGGCACAACAGACGCCGAGCTTTCCTCTCGCCTCGCTCAAGAGCTTTCCTACGAGCAAGAGAACTCAGCCTCACAAGGTGCCGAAGAGCCCGACTGGTTGCGTGACTTCAAGTCCACCAACACATGGACCATCCAAGATGTGCGCGGTTCAGATGAGATCTGCCTCGAGCGGGAATTTGGCAACGAGAAGATTCGTGTCTTGTTCAGTATTGGGGATATTGATGCGCAGGTAGAAGAGGATGGTATGGATGACGCAGAAGAGGGTGGCTCTTCTGGTAGAGAGGACAATGGGGAATCAGATGGCGAAGGGGAGGGAAATGAGCCCGCCCTCCCTGTTCGATGCGCGATCACTATCACCAAGCCCAGCCCGCTCGGAGCGCTGACAATTGACGCTCAAGCCGAGTCTGGCACCTTCACCATCGAGAACATCTCCTTCTATCAGGACTCCAAGTTGGCTACGGAGCTGACCGCCGAGGCGGACTGGAAGCGCAGGGGGCTCTACATTGGCCCGCAATTCCCTACTCTCGATGACGCACTGCAGGAGCATTTCCAGGGCTACCTCGAGGAGAGGGGCATCGATGATGATCTGGCCTTGTTCGTCCCGCTCTTCGCCGAGTGGAAGGAGCAGAAGGGTGAGCGGAGCGCGATGGTGAGAGGACGACACGCAGAGCTGACATTGCCTTGCCCTTTGCTGCCACAGAGTACTGCACTTGGTTGGACAGCGTCAAGAAGTGGGTCGATGCGTGAAACGAGCGACTGTGATCGAACGAGGGGCCGAGCAGCTGGACGCTATAGTCCCTCTCAATCTCTGCCCGAACTGTCACGACTCGTCTCTACTGTTCAAAATGATACACACACCACTTCTCAGGCTCTGCGCTCGAGGATGATTGTACTTGGTATATGCTTGCTAGGTGACAAAGAAAGGACAGTGATGATGGGGACGACGACGAAGGCATCGCTGCTGTTGCTCTTGCTGCTTTGCCGCTCGCTTGTCTCTGTCTGTGATTAAGGCGGGACCCGAGGCTACGTAGTGCTACATGGTGATGATGGGACGTTGTGGCGGAGGCGGTTGTTGTGGTGCTCTTCTTCTTGCCGTGCTGAGCTTCGTGGCGATGCGTTGATGGTATTGCTGAGGATTGCTCCTCTGCTTGTTGATGCTCTTGTTGAGCCGACCTCTTCTTCGGCTTGCCGTTCTGCGCTATTCTCCTGCACGCCCGGCCTCTGCTCTTTCGACCTCTCTCCTCACTCATTCTCAACTAGGAATCCGTGATCCAAGCACTCCTCCGCAGTCCACCTGCGCGTCACGTCGACATGCAAGCAAACGCGGCAGAGATCCATCGCCATCTTGATGTCGTTGTCGTAGCCCTGTGGGTCTGGATGACCCTCTGGCGCGGCCAGGATCGAAGGGTTGAGCTTTTCGACGAACTCGGTGACACGGTAGCCCTGTGGCAGCGCAGGGGTCAGAGGAGTCAGCTTGATGGCGAAGTGGCAAGTGGAAAGCCGCGGCGTGTCACGTACCTCGGGCCTCTCTACAGGCACAGTACAATGCCACGTCCTATTGTGTAGCAGAGCACAGCGACTCAGCTTGCTCTTGCCAAAGACGACCATCAACTCCAGTAGAGCCTCGGTGTCGTTGTTGGCGTTGAAAAGAGGGAAGCGCTTTGTGAGGAAAGCGAGCAAGACGATTCCGGCAGACCAGACGTCGAGAGCGGCAGTTTGGTCTTGACACTTGAGAAGGACTTCGGGAGCACGGAAGCCGCGAGTGCCCGCTCGATTGGCACGTACACCTTGACGAGGATCATTCTCGCGTACGCCGACGCGCTCAACCTTTTGCGGAGGTCCCATGCTTGATGGCGTCGAGGAGCCCTTGCGCGCGCTCGATCCTTGAGGCGTGCCAACCTGCCTGGCTAGTTCACCTCCCGGCTGCGTATGCACGCTGTACGTCTCCTTGTTGATCGCTACCGTTCCCCTAGGCCTCTCCGCGGTGGGGCAGGTGTGGTGGCATTTACCCTTCCAGTCTCGAGGGTCGAAGCGCTCTGCCAGTCCAAAGTCGCAGAGGACCCCGTGACCCGTGCGTGGATCGAAGAGGAAGTTGGCAGGCTTGACGTCTCGATGGACGACGTTGATGGCGTGGGTTGAGGCGAGCGCGTTGAAGAGGCAGCGGAAGTAAGACTTGATGCCTGAGAGGGGGAGGGAGCGATAGAAGTCCTGACGAACGGCGTGTGGTCAGCATGGCGAGCGGTACCCGCGAAGCTCACGCGCGCGCTCTCACCTTGAAGTCATCATGCTTGCTGTAGGGCATCACCGCAACGACCTGATCCTCGGTCCTAAAGGCGGTGACCAAGTACGAGATGTGCGGGCACTCTCTGAGCTCTTCGATGATCTCGAGCTCGTTCAAGATGCGCTCTGGAGAGGAAGTAACGTAGATGCGCTTGAGAGCGACGTAGACCTTGGTGTTGACGAGGTCGCCATTGGGGGCGATGCGGGGTGGACGAGGGGTGTGATGAGTCCATTGCGAGTTGTCGTACCAGTCGTGGTGCACGTCGAGGGCTTTGTAGACGGTCGAGAAGGTGCCTGTGCGAGAAGAGAAGGAGCAAAGATTGGTGAGTGGGGGTTGCTTGATGGTGCTTAGGTCTCGCGCCCGCTCACCCTCTCCAATGCGAGACTTGATCTGATAGGCGCACAAGCCCTCGATGGTGTCTTCCATCCAGCGTACCTCTTCTTCAAAGGCGAGACGTTCCTGTGGATGGGTAGACAATCAGCTACAAGGAGATCTTTTGCGGAGATCGCGGCACCCACTCACCTCATTCTCGCGCTCCATGGCCTCAGCGTCGGCGGCATCAGTCAACTGCCTCTGCTCAGAACTGGTGTCGCCAAGCTGTTCATCCTCTTCTTCTCCCGATGCGCCGGTGAGGGGAGCCGGTGATCCTTGTCCTGCATCATCGAAGACCTGTTGCTGCCACTGCTGGACGTACTCATTGCCACCATCAGTGGGGCCGGCTTCACGCGGGACCATCTCGCGATCACCGCCCTCGGCGTTGTCGAGGTCGGGTGGCATGCTGTTGTTGCCCTCTTTCTGGCTGAGAGCTGGGTCGATGGTCATTGCACGCCACCAAGCCGTGTCAAGTGTGGCGCGTGCGTCGCGTATGTGCTGGGACGGCTGGTTGAGATGAAAAGTGATGACAAGGAAGCAAAGGCGAGTGACGTCGACTCGAAGCGTGTGTGTTGGTCTCGCTCGACGTCTGCCTTTCCCTGCCTCGCTCGCCCCGCCCAATTCCATTTCATCCAGGCGCGAATTGACGCGTTCCAAAGAATTCAAGGTCCGACTGTGACGACGGCGACGGCGACGACGCTGAGGCGGACTGAGAGCAAGGATGATCGAGCAGCGGCTCCACTTCACTCATTCACTTTCGTAACGCAAGGAGCTGATCAGGATGGCACCTGCGACAAGGAGCGACGATGGAGAGAGAATCAGCGTGCTATTCTGCTGTCTGGGTGAGTGTAGCGTCGAAATGCTTGCCAGCTGTGCTGCGAGAGGGAGCGCTCAGACGTGGCTCATCGTCGCAGCTCCTTGCTGACCTCTTGCCCACCGCTCCTCTGCTAGGCAACATCTGCCGCTCACCTATGGCAGAAGCCGTTTTCGCCCATACCGTGGACAAGGCTGGGCTCAAGTCTCGCTTTGCCACCATCGACTCATGTGGGACTGGGGCCTACCATGAGGGGGAGGAGCCGGATGAGAGGTGAGAGGGCGCGCAAGACGAGGACATGATGGCCAAGGGTGAACTCTGCTGATGGAAGCTAGCTGCCTCCCGGCCGCAGAACGGTAGCCGTCTTGAACAAGAAGGGCATTCCCGTCAACTGTCTAGCTCGAGCGGTGACTAAGGAGGACTTCAGCCGATTCGATTACATCTTTGGGATGTGAGTGCGCCATACAGTCGAGGCCCACTTCCTCTCGGTTGCTGATCAGCTCGTCTGCTCTGACAGGGACTCTAACAATGTCTCCAACCTGCAACGGATGCAGCCAAAGAGCTCAAAAGCAAGGTGAGAGCCGTGCTCCGACCTTATGCCCCCTGTATGCTCATCGCCCTCCTCTGTCTCCTCGCTCAGGGTCTTTCTCTTCGGTCATTTGTAAGCTCGCTTCTTCTCCTCCTTCTCGTCCATCCTCTTTTCCTAACACTGGTCTTCCCTCCGCTCTCACGCCCGCAGCGACGACGGCAAGCCCATCTACGACCCCTACTACGGCATCGGCGGCTCGGGTTTCCAGAGCACCTACGAGCAGTGCGTTCGCTACTCGCGCGCATTCCTCGAGAAGGAGCTGGGCCTGAAGGTCCCGCAGCACGTCGCTTCGCAGCTCTGAGCATGGGAGAGTGTCACGCTAATACCAAATGCGATGCTACAGATGAATCATGATGTGGATTTTGAGAGACAGAGCGTGGTATGAGGATAGCGTCGTCCTCGCGCTTAGAAGGCAAGCGCACCGGCGAACGCAGCAGGGTATCGCTCCCCGCTGACGTTGAAGCTAGCTACAACCTTGGTAATCTCGGCCACCTCTTCCTTGCTCAACTCCACCTTGGCAGCACCCAAGTTCTCCTGCAGCCTGCCGACGTTCGTGGTGCCGGGGATAGGGAAGATGTTGTCGCCTTGCGCCATGAGCCAAGCCAAGCAGACCTGCGCCGCCGTAGCTCCATTCTTCTTCTGCCCAAGGGCCTTGAGATCGTCGACGAGCTTCATGTTCTTCTTGAAGTGTTCGCCCTGGAAGCGCTCGCTGTGGCGGCGGAAGTCGTCTTCTGGGATGTCCTCAGGCTTGTTAAAGCGACCACCGAGGAAGCCACGTCCAAGGGGCGAGTAAGGGACGAGGGCAGTGCCGTTCTCCTCGCACCATGCGGCGAGGCCGTTGGTGAAGACCTCGGGAGTCCAGGGGGAGGCCTCAATCTGATAGGCATCGACGTGGACGATGCTGTTGGCAGTTTTGAGCTCCTGAAAAAGCGATAGACGGAGGTCAGAATGCGCCGACGAAGCACTCGGAACAATCGCCATTGCTCACCTCGAGGCTGTACTCTGAGCAGCCAACAAATTTGGTTTTGCCCGCGTCTTTGAGCGCTTTGAGACCCTTGAAGGTGTCTTCCACGCCTACGCTGCGGTCAGGGCGATGAGCGTAATACAGGTCCACGTAGTCGACGCCGAGTCGCTCCAGACTAGCCTTGTTGGCTTTCTTGGCGTCCTCCGCTGAAGTGGCGAGAGAGCGGTCAGGTGCGAAGGCGAATTTTGTAGCGAGGAATACTTTATTCCTGTTCTGAGGGTCCTTGGCTAGCCAGCGGCCGATGGCTCGCTCATTGTCGCCATTTCCTGGCGTGGTGGTGTAGACGTCCGACGTGTCGACCATGACTGGGAGCTGGGGCGAATTTTTGACCAGCGAGTCAAGGACCTCGAAGGTTTCCTCGTCAGAGCGGGGCTGACCGTAGAAGGCGTGAAGACCCATTGCGCCGTATCCAAGGGCAGCGATAGGGATCGAGCCCTGAACCTTGGACGAGGGGAATGGGCGGAGGTTGGAGGCGGCAGATGTCATGTCGGTGTGTGTGGCGATGGTGAGATGGTGGGATGGAAAGGAAGAATGGGTGGCTTCGAATGCGCCTTCTTGTAGCCACAACGCTCACGGCCGTTGGGCACGGACCGCCTGCCTCCACCTGATCGAGAGAGCAGAGGCCGCAGAACCGGCAAAGACGGTCCTGGTTTGGCCGCCCAGTCGCAGCTTCTCGGCTGGCGGGGCCGTGTTGCAGTCGTGGCCTGTAAGATTACTCGCGAGCATCACCACGACATCGTCGTAACATTACTTCCCACCTCTTGCCCTCCGGTATCGATGGCCCGAGTGGGCCTGACTGAGGATCCATGTGTCATCGCAATCGCTGAGTCGAATGCTGAGCGTCGGCAGGGGCAACGCTAGCACAGATCGGATAATTCGACTCTTATGCTTTGGGGAGACCTGTGAAGCACTCATCTGTGGTTACGATGTCGAAGTCTTGAGCCGTCCCCCATCACTGCGACTTCCCAAGCTACCTTCTGAATGACATGGCAAGACTAGCAGAGCTCACTCGGCGCCAGACTTGGTCGTCAAGTTCGTCCCACGCTCAGGCTCTAGAAACAGCATCAGGGTCCAAAGCTTATCCTCAAAATCGTGTCTCTGATCAAGCTCAAAGACACTTTTGAGCCAGTCCGACACCGCAGATGAGGCAAGCGGGATAGATAGAGCTGCCCGTCAAGGCCAACAATGAGACGTCTGGTCCGATCTCAGTCTGTAGCGAACCATAACGGAGGCAGAGCGCTCGGTAGCTTCGCCCGCACAAATCCTCATCGCCATGGTCGTTCTTTGAGAGTGAGGCTTTGCCTTCGTTCATCTTGACCTTGTGTCGCAGGGACCTGCCTTACTTCTTCCAAACGGGCAGGCTGAAAGAGCTCGCAGAGGCCAAGTGGCATTTCTGGGACAGGCCAAGCACCCATGCATTCAATTTAGCGAGGCGAGCTGGCGCTCACTGTCCTTATAAGATTGGGGCATTGCGCATGCTCCTCGACACCCTCAATCAAGTTCGCCGCCAACACTATCACCATGCAGCTCCTCTCCACGCTCGCCCTCCTGGCCATCAGCCTCAGCGGCGTCGCACCTTTGCTCACTACTACCTTCCCTCGCATCCCGTTACCGAGCTCCATCCATCCGGTACCCCTGCCCGTCCCCGCTTGCAACCCCTCGCCAGGCTGGCAATGGGCCTCTTACTCCGGCCCATTCACAGGTCTTGAAGATGCCTCTACGCTTCAAACGCGCCGACCCAAAGAGAACGGCACATCGCCCTCCATTGGCTGGATCGCCGTGCCTGGGTGGACCGACGATACTCTCAACGCGAGCAACAGCTTCGCCATGCAGCATCGCGCCTACCTACTTGTCCCTCAGAGCGGTCGCTACTCCTTTGCCTTCAGCGGAGTCATCGACAGAGTCCGCGTGTGGCTAGGCAGCGAGGCGGCGTACGCTGGGTACACCAACGGCAATCAAGACGACAGCTTCTTCTACCAGCGCATCGACGCAGGTGACTTTGAACAGGGCGCAGGCGTTGTGGAGAAGTACTTTGCCGCGGGCCAGTACGTGCCCGTGCGTGTGCTGTACTACAACGCAGGACACTCAGGCGACTTCATCATGAAGATGACGGGGCCTGATCGTCAGGAGCTGTCGGACGATTACGCAATGCTGAGTGGCTGTGATGAGAATGGGAAGCCGGTGACCTTTAGGAGATGGGGCAATGAGGCATAGCTGTGCGTGTCCGCTCTCTTCTGGACCAAAGTTGTAGCCGCGCCCAGCAGCATCAAAGCTCTCAAAAGCCAGCGTATTCCTGTCCTTTGCAGCCGTGAAAGATGAATCCAACATTGTCTCTCTTGGAAAGCCAGTTTTGGGCCAAGCTGAAAGGGCCGCAGCGGTAGGCTACTGCTGAGACCACGAATGGAAGGAGAGGCGAACGCTGCTGAGACCAGGATTGGAAGGAGAGGCGAACGAGGATAGACAGAGGATATGAGCATCGTTGACTTGACGAGACTGATGTCGTCGGAAATACTGCTGTGAGGGCGCAGAAGTGGCCGCTACGCTCACTACGAGCACGGAAGGTGTTGGCTGATGGCAGAGCTCTGAATCTTCAGTGACCATCTACTGCAGAAGAGGCTTCGGCGAGGCCTAGAGACCTCGAAAGGTCTCGGGGCAAAGAATGGGCTGAGGAGAGGTGGAGATCAGGCGGCGGCTTCGACAACGCCTTGCTTCAGCGCTCGAAGCCACTTCCGGCCCGCGACGATCAGTACGCGAGCCAGAATCAAAGCACGGCTGACGCTGCCTCGCTTCTTTGCGTCCCCTCTTTGACCTTTCCTTCAATCACTCTCTACTCCGACTCAGATTCGCAGCTTCATTGACTGCCTTCAGTGGCAGGTCCACCGACTGCCTTTGGTGGCACGCCTCTTCAATCCCAGGATCCCTCATTCCCTTGCTCCCTCGCGTCCAACCGTCAAAAATGGCACCCAAGCGCAGCGCGAGCGTGCTGAGCGACACTGCGTCGGCCTCGGCGCCTGATAGCGTTTCCCTCAACATTGTCCATAAAAACCAGATCGACTGGATCGAGTACGTAGACAAGCTTCCCTCGCTACCCCTCATTGCCTCATCTGTCGCCTTCGCGGCTTCCTCGAGCGAGGCTCTCGACCTTCCCAATCGCAGACTTGTCCGTCTCATCGGCATCAGTGCCGAGGACCGAGACGCCATCTGGCGGAAGATCCAGCGCAAGTCGGGCATCAATGGCAAGGTTCTGGGCGGCAAGCTCTACATTGAGCTCATTCGTTACACCGGCGTCTACGAGCTTAGCCTCGGTCATGCTCAAGGCCTGCCCGATGGACCCGCCTCGCTCCTCTTTTTCTCGAATGACACCACGAGCTATGCAAGCCAGCCCGCTGCAGCAACAGCCGAAGTGTCTTATCTACTCAACAACTATCGCCTCGTTCTCCAAAGCCAGACCACAGACGTCTCTCTTCCCTGCTGTGGATCCGCTGAAATCATCACTCAAGACTGGAGTCGCTTCCTCTCTCCCCTCGGCAAAATTGCCTCGCTGAAGCGGAATGAGCTGATCGTGTACGCCGATCTTCATCCCTATGCGCATAGCAAGCTTGCCAAGATCGGGGTGCGTCTGCGAGACGGAGGCTGCCGCCTACGCGCTACTTCCTCCTTAGGAGGATCAGTCATAGTTACCGTCCCCGGCGATGTTCACAACCATGCCAGACTTGGAGCCATCACCGCTATTGAGGGGCAACTCTCGGTCCAGCTTGGAATCAATCTTGGAACGCCTTGGCGAGAGGAGGGCTGGGACATCAACTTGTGGGTCTGTGAATGCGGTGACGGCACTTTTAGTGACGTGTACTATCGCATGTATCGATCCGAAGACCGTTCAAGGCGGGACAAGGAAATGTTCGAGTCATTGAAGTTGGCGGGCCCCAGCTGGTTCGTCTGTTACCTCATCAATGCGGCCTACATGTCGCGTGGCTGCTCTCCGGACCTCTTCATGGCTCCTAGCGATCTCTCAGTCGAGGAGGAGGAGGATCAAGAAAGTATCGCGGCTTGAAGTCGTACAAAGCCGTTTGGGGAAACGAGCAAAGCCAGCAGACAAGCACAACCACTCATCTCGCCGTCAAAATTCTCCTTGCTCTTTTTCTCCGATCGTCTGGCCTCGCCTATATCCTTCACGTAGCTATCTCGCCTTGTTGCGTCTCTTCTCTCTTTCCTCTCTAAATACTGTACTTAGCGTCATATACTCTGTTCTCGGCCACAATCGCTTCAGAGCGCAGTTGAGCGTCTGAATCTGCGTGAGCTTCAGGAGCAACGATGAAAGGCAAGGTTGAGTTCGATGGGTGACGCCATCTACGACAAGCTTGGCGCTATCCTGTCTCTGTCTCTCCGCTTCAAGCTCGTAGCGCGAGCGCCGACCACCAGGTTCAACACTGCTTTGCCTCTCCGGAGACCAGCTGCACTCGGTACCACTCTCGCGCCCAGGACTGAGCCATCAGAAAGTAATCGAATTGGATGTAGACCAAGCGTGAGCTCGGAGAGGGTAAGCAGCACAACACATCAAGAGAGCAGTAACGGGTCATTGTTCTTCTTCTCTGCCCTGTTGCAGGGCGTGTCGTCGTCTTACAGCGCACCAATAGCTTCTTCTTCGTCTCCTCGAGCATGCATGTATCCTGCTGCAGCCCTCGCACTCGCTGATGAGCTGGTGAATCAAGTTCAACGCATTGCGAAATAGCAAAATCAGCAGCTGAGGTACTTGCTCGCCGTCAGTGCCATGGTGAGCAGGGCAGTCGTGGCCGCGAAGCTCCTTGCAGACCTTCCTGGCTTACTTGGCACTGAAACAAGCGCATGTAGAGTCCTCATCACGCGCACGCAGCCGCTCATTGAGAAGCCAGTCCTGACCTTCATCTGGTACGGGAATTAGCAGCAGAGGGGGAGGTACGGTGCGAGGGGGAAACCAATAGCATGTGTGCTAAACCGGTGGGGATGTTTCTCGGCGGCTGGCATTCTGAAGGCAGGCTCAGCAGCGTTGGTGAAAGGGGTAGCGCTGATGGTGTGCTGTTACGTAGATGGAGCTGACTATCGAAGACCTGTGTGCTGCTGCTACGGCAGCGGAACAATGGGGAAGCTGCAGGTAATGATGACTGACGTAGATGGATTCAATGGAGCAGCTGATGACGGGCGAGATAATGTCAAGCCAGTTTGAATGGACGTGAAGCAAGATGCAACGGCTTGAAGACGCGTAGAGGAGGAACAACAATCTTCGCCACGTGGTGCGGAAGTTGAGTGGAAGCGAGTCAGCGAGAGGCAGGCTTTGTCGTCGCGAGATCCAATCACCCGCACCCAATCACTCACCCAATCAGCTGGCCCGCACCCGCTCTCCATCTCTCCATCCACTCCTCATCATCATCTCCCACCACACGCTCTGGCAGCGCATCTCCATCATATCATCGCAACACCCTTATTCTTCTACCCGCTCGCCACTCACCCTCCTGTTCAGTCTTCCACTGCTACCGCTCTGGCTGAGCGCTCCGCCACGCGGGTCGTGCTCAGCATTGCGCGGCCAATCATTTCATCTTTGCCAGCTGGCACCCTTTCTCTCCACCCACTCAAATTGTGTGAGTGTCTCTTCGCGGGTGGTGGCGCACCGCAGTCCCAGCCAGGTGTACTTGGCCTCAACTCACTCGGTCATGTCTTCCCTCCCCGACGTGTGCGCACAACGCACTGCTCAGCACTCTTCACCTTCCCACCTTGCGATACCAATCAGGTAGCTCATTGAGTAGCATCTTTTCAACGCACCTTCCTCAACACCAGGTCACCCATTCACGCAACCTCAGCGAGGTTGCTGGTCAACCTCCACCATCCTGGAAGACAGCCAAGCCATTGCTACCACGGTGCCACAGCTCATCTGGCACCTATGTACCTTCGCCTGCTGAGGTCAAGTCCTTGTTCTATTTGCTCACCATCCGAGCCAATTCGAGGGTGGCACCCCTTCGTGTCTCCTCTCAAGTCACTTCGCGACGGAGCATGTCATTGCCAGCCCTGAGGTCAAGGCGCATACAAGCAGCCAGCTGAGCGAGAGGCTTCAGGCTCATTGGCACCTATCAAGGCTTTCCCACTCGCGCAAACATCACCAGACCACTTGCTCAAGCATCATCGCAAGGTGTCACCTTGGCGAGCCGCCCTGTTCATCTGAAGTGAACGCCGTCGCGTTGAAGGTGCGGGAAGGCTTGTTCGTCTCTACCTCAGCACAAGCTCGTCACTCCTGCCAGCAGAAGATGGCGAGTTTCACCGAAGCCCACATGAGGGCTATGGACCCATTCAACACCCTCACATGCGGCGTGTGCAAGAAGAGGCACACAGAGTAAGCGCTGAAAGTAGTGTTATCATGGAAGGCGGATAGCCGGCTGACCCGTAAACGCTCGTACCGCCCGCTTAGCCGCTCCAACCTGCGCCGCCACTTTGAGGAGCAGCACGGCGCCGAATGGAGATCCATGTGAGCAGCCCTTGCCGTACGTCGGCGGCAGACCGCAGCTAACCTTTGCTGTCTCCTCTACCCCAGCACCGGCAAGGATCCTCGCCGATGGCTCTGCTCCTAGTGGTAAGCGATTTGGGGCACGATCATAAGTCGGCAAGTCTAACCCTGATCTCGGTAACTTGTCCTTTGTAGCGATGACCCTTTCCCTCGTCGCGACTCAAGCGACCGCCACCAGCGCAGCTGCCGCCGAAGCCAGACTACTCTGGCCAGGCTCACGGATGTTGGTGACCGTGTCCCAGTGCCTTCGTTGGCTCTCCTCGCGTCGCAGGACGAGGATGAGGAGGAAGAAGAGGACGGCGACCCGGAGTATCGGGAGCAAGAAGAAGAGTACGACCACGCGACCAATGTTGCTGTCGGCCAGCAACAACGGCAGCAGCAGCAACAGCAACAGCAACAGCAGCAACAGCCTCGCCCGCCCTCCGCCGCGGTCCCCGCTGCCGACCAGCCGCAGCCTCGCTCCGCCTCCGCCTCGACCCCTGCTGCCCTACAGCAGCAGGCACAGCCTTGCCCGGCCCCTGCCTCCTCAACCTCGGCTGCGTCCGCCATTCCCGCGCGGCTACAGCAGCTAGCAGCAGCCGGACTGTCCGAAGACGGTGGAAGGACACCGACTGTCGCCTTCGATGCCTTCCTGCGATGGCAGGAGTAGCAGCAGCAGACGACCCAGAGGGAGAGGGCAATCGAGCTCGAGAGAGCACGGCTGCAAATGTCGGCGGAGGAGAGATCACAGATGAGGATGCAGCAGCGGCAGCAGCAGCAGCAAGAACAACAAGAGTAGCAACAGCAACAGCAACAACAGCAGCAGCAGCAGCAAGAGCAACCCCGCCCGGCCTCCCCTCAACCATCGCTGCTCAGCAGCAACAGCAGCAGCAGCAGCAGCAGCCTCGCCCGACCCCCGTCTCGACTGCCGCTGCTCAGCAGCACCAGCATCAACAACAGCAGCAGTACTGTAACAAAGGCGGGTGAGGAACGGGGAGCACGAGCTGGGTCAGGTGGTAGCTGCGAGCATTAGCAGAGAGGGAGAGAGCCCGTCAGGAGCGGCCAGAGCGGCAGATGGGAAACGAGCAGGGCCGCTTCCAGATGCGCTCGCTCGTGGGCTTCCACAGCGCGGAGGCGAGATACGGAGACTCCTGGCCACTCTCGGCAGGGTCATCTCGTCACCCCTCCGACGCCGGCGAGAGCTTCGGCGCCACAAATCAGCGTTGGCCCCGTACGTGGCGCCTTTGGGCAGATGGCAGTGCGAGCTATGGTAAGCGATTCGTGGTAGTATTGTACCACTGAGAGTCTGACCATGGTCCCGGGCCCTTCTCCCCTCTAGTGACCACCCGTTCTCATCAAGGGTGCGCGCGATCGCCACCCGCGCAATTGTCGGCGTAGCCAGGCCACGTAATGCGAAGCACGTCGATTCAAGTGATAAACCAAAAGGAGGAAGCTACAGGAGACACAGACTCGAGGACAAGAACCACCGACGAGCAAGAGAGAGGTCTGAGCGCAGGCTAGTCTAACCGAGCCGAAGCTCGATGGGCCAGTCTGGCCGAGCTCACCGTCGGCAATCACGCTCCAATGATGGTCGACAACCGCGTGCCTGTGCCTTCTTCTTCAGCCCTCTACAACGACGGCGATGACGATGGCGCTGATGACGTAGACGAGAATAACAACGACGCCTGGGAGGGCACAGAACCATCCCAGCCCATTCGACAGGCTGGTCGCCGCTCCGCAACGTCTAACCGGCCCTCGCAGCAGCAGTACGGGAGGCACAACCGTACTCAGCTGTGCCGTCACCACCATCACCGCCAGCAGCAGCAACAGCGCCAGTCGCCGGTCGAGTCGCCGGTCGTCGTCATCAGCTCGTCGGCAGAGGTCCGCCCGTTAGACGGCCTCGCGGAGAACCAGGGGGGCGAGCAGGCCAGACTCGGCGAGCCGAGAGATGTCAGCGGTGCGGGGTCGAGCCATCGTGGACATGGCGAAGGGGCGGGTGAGAGGGTTAGCCGGGTGCAGCGGGGCTCAAAGGGGTCGAGCGAGGGGATTGTCGCGGACGCAAGGGAGGAAGATGGGTCAGCCGATCGACAGGGCGCGGACGAGGGCGTGCGCGAGATGGATCGTCTGCATTCTACAGAGGCTGAGGCGGCCAGGGCTGCAACGCGGGGAGCCCATGGTCACGAGCTTTTGACGGGCGAGGACGGGGTACACGACGTCCGCCGCCGCACGCTTGCTCCTGCTCAACGCACGGCTCTGGCTGCCTGTCGCCCTCAACCTTCGTTGTTGCAGCTGCGCCAGTCGTACCCTCCGCCGGACATGGTCCCATCATACGCAAGCGCCCCGGTGCGGCCCCTGCGTACCCTCCCCTCCATCTCGCTCCTCAACACGAAGCTATGAGCACCGGTACAACAGACTCCTGAACGAGCGATTGCGTCCTGGTGCTTTTGTCATCGGCTCTCGATACGTCGCAGAAGTGGACCAAGATGATCAAGAGAAAGACGCAAACGACACCAACGAGGAGTTGCGCAGCATCCATGCGCTGGATGTTGATGACGAGGATCACGATGCCATACGCAACCGAAGTGCTCCATCTCGTGGCTCTCAGACGGGCGACAACGTCTCGTTCCAGTCCATCCGGCACGCTAGCCGCCGATCTGGAGTATCGCTCGATAAATGCAGCAACAGTACGGTAGACGTAATCGTGCTCACTGCACCAGCAATGACTCGACCTCACTCTCACAGCCGAAGGAAGTGCGGAGTGCTTCATGGAACGACAGCGCTGCTCCTTCGGGACAGGCCAGCGATCAGAGTCAAGTCGCTTAGCTTTATCTGACAGCACGGATGCGCAAGCGTGTCATTCCTCTTGCCGCGCCCGAGGCAGCTCTTTTCGCCACAAAGAAGCCACTCTTGCCTGCTTCAGGTTCATACCGAGTCGCTTTCTTCTTGCCGGCACCTGCCAAGGTCATCATCACCCACGGCGACAACGGTAAGACTGACCGTAGGGAGAAGCAGGAATCCAGCTGCTTCCCGCGCTACCAAGCGCAAGACCGCTGCATCTGTCCCCGTCTCCCCCTCACCTCCACCGAGAAGATCAATGGACTACCCGCCCTGCGGATCAGAACGAGTTCGAGGACCCCGATGAAGAAGAATAAGAAGAAGGAGAGGGACTCATTTACGATCGCATTGAAGAGGAGGAGCAAGAGGCTAGCGGCGCCAGCCGTCGAGAGAAGCACATCAACGAGCGCGAAGAGAATGCAGTCGCGGAAATTCAAGGGAGGGTAATCAAGAGGAGGAGCAAGAGGAGGGCATCTGGGTCCCGGACGAGGAGAGAGATGAGGACGCTAGCTTGGCGGACTCACTGGAGTGGGATGAGCATGATGAGGCAGGGAGCGAAGCCGAATTCTGTGGAGCGGGCGGGCACGACGGCGAGGTTGAGGCAGACGATGAGGACGGTGATGCGGAGGAGGAGGATGAAGAAGCGGAGGAGGAGGAAGATGGTCAAGTGGCAGGACAGAAGGTGAATGACAGCCTACCTGCTTCCACGTCAAGCGCGCTAACTTGTTCTCATCCTCGCTGCTTCTCCGCCACAGAGGACCACTTCCAACCTCAATGAGGTCCTACAATTGAAGGCCTTTGAGAGCGCATGGCAGGCGAAGGACAAGTGCGTCGATTCGGACAGCTATCATGAGCTGCTACATGAGGCACTGACCACCATGACATCTCACCCGTCTTCCTCGCAGCCCGCCTCGTCAATCAAGACAAGTACCTCCTCTCAACGCAGCTGATCCGACCATCCTCGCGAACTTCAACGAGATTGTCGCAACTTCAAATCTCAAGCTGCGAAACAAGGCTTTGCTCGAGGCGGCCAACACGATCTCGTCCGCACAGAGGAGAAGCGCCGTCAAAACGCTTGACGACTGTGGTCTGGGCGAGCATCGTCGGAAGCAACGCCAGGAGCAGACGCGAGGGGCCAACAAAGGCGCAGCCTCAGCCTAGCATCGCTCGCGCAAGAAGCTTCCTGCCGACACGAACGGCAATCCAATCTGGCCAAGCTGCGAGCGGGGCGAGCCGATGCTTGAGCACGTGTCTCCCACTACGGCGCACCTGCAACGAGCAACGCGCTTCCAGCCCACTGCCTGGTATCGCCGGCTCCAACAAGAGGGAGATGTGCGAGAGCGAGTCGAGCGTGCAGCGCAGCAGGCAATGGACAAAGCGACACCTGTGGGCCGTGCAATCTGGGACGTTCTCGACCATGGCGACCCAGAAGACCTCAAGTCGCTCGACTGGTGGCAGCAATTCTGGCACCTGTCCTGCAACGCCAACTTTGCCAAGGGCAAGGATGCGCGCAAGATGGGGGCGGCTGTGTACATTTTCGTCGGCTTCAAGCAGCGCAGGCTCTCAGCCGTTTACGGAGGCCGCACCGGATGGCAGGATTTCCGCTGTGTCGAGCACATGACCGACCTGATCCTCAACAAGAATGGATGCAAGGTGCACAGGGTAATTCGCGAATGTGACTCCTTTGCAATCTTCAACGTCTTTGAGGACACTTCCGCGCATGCCGACACCGCGGAGGGATGGGCCGATCGTGCCTCGATCGAGCCAATATGGGCGCACATCATTGGCGGCTTCAATGAGGACGAAGCCTTCGTGTCGGCAAGGAGGAAGTACGGATTACCAGCCTGGAGCGGTGTTGTGGGCTGTAATCGCACTCGCTGCTTCGAAGCGCCAGAGGGTCAGAGGGGCGGCTCAGACTACATGGGCATCATTCGAGACCGCGACATTAAGCAGATGATCGTGCGCAAGAAGCGCTACTGCCGTCGCATGGTCAACGCCACGGCCAAGCAAAGGGGCACAGCTCGAGCAAAGTGGGTGGTGCTCTTCAATGCTACTCGAGACATCGAGCAAGCAACCTTGCACCAGCGCTTGTGGGACACAGGGCTCCACATCGTTCCCCGCTCCAGCCAGTCCCGCCTCCTCTGCGGCCTCTACCTCAACGTCAGAATGGCTCGCCTGCTCCAAGAGAAGGATGGAACATTCCTGGAATGGTCGCTATTCTTGGGCATCGGCCAGGGCAGCTCTCTCCCCTTCCTCTCGCCATACGACGCAGCACTATTCGAGGATGTCGCCCTTATCGCCGTACGGGATGGCAGGGTCGTGGTGCTGACGTGGAAGCACGCTCCACTGCCGCCGTCTGTTCGTCGTGGCTTCAATGAAGTCTTCACCCTCCTCCCCTACGATCTCGCCCAGCCCCGAATTGCCGCGCACCTCAGCGTTGCTCAAGCGCTGGACCAGACTCTTCCTCCGCCGGGCCAGTGGGACAAGCTCAGCGACTTGGACAAGATGGCCTTCCTCGGCTTGTTCTTTGTTGCTGGCTCGGGGCATTTGCGCATGGGGAGATACGTGCTGCCGACAATGACTCGAGGGTGCAAGAGAGAAGGGGAAAAACTGGAGGCTCTCAGACGCTTCACTGGTCATTACAATGCGTCCATGGGAGAGTATTCTGCTGCCTCCATCCTCTTTGCGGCTGACCGGGGGGACGACAACAGTCATCCTGCGGTAGACATGGACAGGAAGTCCAGTAGGCCGAGGAGAAATTGGCGCCTCCTGATCCGCGACAAGGCGAGTCCGACGGGCTGGGCTCCCTTCCCGTATGCCCTGGATCCAGGACCGGACCGTCCGGAGGGACGCCTGATCTGTGTGTGGCTGGAAGTCTTCCGCCATATCGACAGGCACGTTGGTGGCGCGCAGCCAGATATCCCCCTGCTCTTTCTGCCGAAGTCCTGCCCATTGGAGATGTCCGGACGGAGGTCGGACCGTGCCACCAAGGGGCTTCACCAGTACAAGCCCGGGTTCATTCGCCTCACCCGTTCATGCGCCAATGCCCCCCGCCAAGATTCAGCACCTTATACCCTGCAGCGCAGAAGAAGCGGCGCAGTTGATGGGCGGCAAGTGGAGGAAGACGTCCGTCAAAGTCCAAGTGTTGAATGTTGGTTCCGAAGTGCGCAGGGAGAAGGACCTGAGGATGCTGGTGAGGCCAATGGGCGAAGACACGCCCTGGCAGGACAAGCAGGACTGGGAGGTGGGCTCAGTCGGTCGAGAAAAGGTCATGCTGCATATCAGACAGCAGCGAGCAGCAGACCAGATCGGCGGCTACATCTGGGAGGACGGCGTGAGGGCGGACGAAATGCTCCTCGAGTCGGAGGTGGGCGCCGAGCAAGCGGGCGATCAGGGCGGCAATGAAGTCGAGGACGCCGACGAGGACGCTGAGGGGTGCAGCATAACAGCCTCACGTAGCGCTGACACCTCAGCGACAACGGCCGACACCTCAGCGACAACGGCCGACACCTCAGCGACAACGGCCGACACCTCTTTTGACGCCCCACTAGCTGCGTCAACGTCTCGCTCTCTTCCCGCACCCTCCGCCTCCCGCAGCATCACCTCATCCACCCAACGCTCCGGAGACGGCCATCCTCCCTCCCTCCACCAATGCCTCGTGCCAGGGGAGCGTTTGGGAAACGGTCGGCGGAGGGCACTGCAGATGGCACGCCGCCAGTCGAGCGATGGGGTACGGCGACGAGCACCTGCTGTTCAGGGATGACGTTTATGAATCCCTCGACCCCAACGAGCCACAGCAGGCTGCACTCCGTCGTCAAATCTATCCAGGCGGGGTAAGACCAAAGGCACCTGCATGGGAGATCTTCACTCAGGCGTGCGACGAAGAGCTGTGGATGAACAGCGAGATGCTGGAGTACCTCAATATTTACTGTGAGGCAAGCATCGCTGTCATCAACGCCAGCGACCCAGCACAATCGTACACCCTTGAGTGGCCTGGGGCTACGGAGACTGTCGGGATGGTCTTCTATCCAGAGGAGAAGCACTGGCGGGGCTGCGAGGTCCACGACGACCCAGCTCTGCTGCCTCCTAGGCCTGCCCACCTCCTGTGAGTCCCGGCGGCGCCTTCAACATCAGCGCGATCTCCGACTCCCTCGCCCCCCCCCCCCCCCCCCCCCCCCCCCCCCCCCCCCCCCCCCCCCCCCCCCCCCCCCCCCCCCCCCCCCAAACATTTCGCCTGGCTCCCGATTCATCACTGGCCCCTCCGACTCCGCCCTCGACCTCGCCCCTGGACCACACGCCTCCCCTCGCATCGGATCCCAATGTTTTCGCGCCGGCTCCTCGCATCGCATCGCATCGGCGGCTGTCCGGACGACCTTCTTGCTCCTGCGTAGTGAAGAAACGTCGTTCAAGGGTACTCGATAGCTTTGATGGATGAGGAATCAGAGTTCATGTCCTCCTCCTTATAATGTGCAGCACTTCGATCCAAATTGATCGACCTAGAGGGACGAAGCTGAAGGAGACACAGGCTCGAGTTCGAGAAACCGCATGCAGTAGGGACAAAGAGAAGGTCTGAGCGCAGGCTCGTCTAGCCGAGCGAAACCTCAACACAACCTTCTTCCAGCCTCGCCTGATAGCCATGGCAATGTACAGGCGCCCTTCCAAAGACTCGACCCACAACCAAGAGCACAAGCACAGGAACATCCTCCTCTACCGCAGGATGAAGACTGCGCCAATTGGTCGGGAGGTGGCGTACAATGTCCCGTGCTCAGCAGACGAAGCGGCAGAGCTGATCATGCTACGCGCCCGCCTCTGGGTTTGCTCAGGCTTTGCTTGCTCTCCGCTCGCTTTGTTGCTCGACATCAACAATCAGTGATCCTCCTCCTTCTCGCCAGGGCAGTTGGTATCGAGATCGCCAACGTCGTCGTAGGCTGTTCCGCAAAAGAGGCAGTAAAGGTGGAAATCGCGCAGGTGCGAGAGGACGAGGGAGAGTTGGGCGTCGAGCTGTGAAGCGAGTGGGAAGGAAAGGGATCAGCTCGGAAGTCGCGAGTAGCATGGAAGGTAGAACTCACCGGTAGGGAGAGGAAGATGCGGGTTTCACGGCGGCGTGAGAGGGGAGGCGGTCGCGCTATTGAAGAGGAGTTGCTGTCTTGTCTGGCCTCTTCTTGATCGTCACCATCTCCTCCCCTTCCAGCCTGAGCTTGCGAGTCGCCGTCTGCTGTCTTTTCCTCTCTCGCTGCATCATTCTCAGGCCACTCATCCTCCTCCATCGCCTTCCCAACCAGCTCTCGCTCGTTGGGACCCAAATCCTCTTCTCTGCGCTGAAACCACTCGACTTGCAGCCAGAGAGGTAGGTACTCGATCCCGACTCTGAGATCCAGATCGCGACAGATGCGCTTCGCCTCATTGAGCGTTTTGTTGATCTTGGCCGTAGAGACTTGCGCAGAGAAGCGGGAGCGGTAAGCGTCCACACTGTCTGAAGAGGACGAAGCGGCGGCAGAAGACTCGGCGAGGTCCAGGATTTTGGAAGAGATCAGGGCTCCAATGCCTGCTCGCCGTGAGGCTGGGTCAGTACGGCGTACGTCTGGGCGGATGGGCTCGACGAGGGAACGAGATGTCGCGGTGGATGCCGAGGCCTGGTCTGGGCGGGATTGCGCACCAATTGCTTGCCCTGGCTCATATCCCATCGACTTCATCATCCGCAAGGCCTTGCTCTCTTCGCCCCCGCCGCTGCTTGCGGATGCAGTTGACGGCGAAGATGGCAGAGCGAGGTTGCGAGCCAAACCTTGCGAGCGAGACTCCTTTTCGCTAAGCCGGTATTTGGGCTGATTGGATGTGCGCTGCCGCCCGCTCTTTTTTACACGATCGGCATCAGCAGTCGCTGCTTCGACGCTCTGCAGCAGGGCATCTGACATGAAGTCCTCTTCCTCGTCATCATCCGTCGCGCTCGAACTTTCGCCGTCGTGCTTCTGCGCCCGGCTTGATCCTGGTCCGGCATCGTCTCGCCCGCTGACGTCATCCTTGATCAGGTCGATGAGCTTACGCTTCGCCGGAGGAGGAGGCATAGCATCCTGCTCTTGGCGATTCGTATGCTGCTCTTGAGGATACGTTGCGCTGGTGGTTGTTGAAGAGGGGCGGAAGCGTCACGCGACATAGCGAGTCGCGGGGGCGCCGCTGCTGCCCACGTGGCAGTGCGCTCCGTCACTCGCAGCAACACCAACTCTCGCGGCGGACACGAAACGGCCTGAGGATGGGCCTCTCGATGGCTCTCCTTTTCGGTTTGAACTCAGTAGCTGGTCCCGATCAGAAGCACAAACGTCCGTCCTGTCTGCCGAACAAACATGGTATTGATACGCAAAAGAAACAACAGACACACTCCCCACGACGATTCTCAGTACCTCTGCTCAACGATCCCGCTCCCACTCGCGCTGTTCCTAATCTTTCCCGCCGGAGTGCGCAGCAAACTCTGCCGACTAGGCTTCTGTAGTTGCCCACGCCTATGCAGCTGCAGGTCGTCTGGCATAGCCACGATGATGTTGTTGCTGCTGCCAAAGGCAAAGTTGTCCTCCACAACGACGTCGCCCAGCTTGCGCAGCGTGTACCCGTCGGTACGGCCGCGCTTGACTCGTTCGAGGGGCCACGAGACGACGTACGAGCCCGTAGCGGTGACGATTGATGTCTCGCTGCCCTCGACGTTGGTGTCGAAGCGGGCGGGTGTGAAGGAGATTTCAGAGTCCATGTAGGCAACGTGGTGGGGCTTGAGCTGCAGGCGTCGTGGGATAGGCTTGGATTCCTTGGGGAAGGGGCGATCAAAGCCGCTACGAGCGAGAGAGCGAGGCGAGTAAGACGGGTGTCAGCGCACGAGATCCAGACTGTTCTCCCTGCCCACGCGTACTCACCACTCTCCCTTGTATCTGCCGTCGCCGATCAAGGTGTCGATCAAGAGCAGATACGTCTTGCACGTCGCAACCACGTAGCGCCCGTCTGCCGTGACGTCCACGCCGAGGATCGGATCGCCGAGCGCGGGCAAAGCCGTCTTTGCGTTCTTGCCAATCTGATCAAACAAGCGCAGCTCGCCCTTGGTTGAGGCGACGGCGAGACGGCCCTTTTCGTCGGTGGCTGCGCTCGAGAAGCCCTGGCGAGAGTGGGATGGGATAGAGGTCAGCGGGGTGGGGCGAGGAGGTCAGCCTTGATCTCCAGAGTCCCGTTGCCGCGCGCACTCACGGCCTTGGTCGCGTACTGCTTGAACTGACTGTCCACCATCTTGTTCCCTCCCAGCCTCGGGTCGATACGGAATACGCCATTGTGCGAATGTCCAATCAACATCTGCTCTCCAGTCGTCTGCGCAAACTTGCTGTTGGGCACAACGTTGTTCACGCGCACATCGTCGTGTACGCGCCACTCGTCGACGATCTTGCCGTATTCGAGGTCCATCTTGAAGAGGCTGTGCTCGTTGGTAGGGTCCATGAGGACCATGGCCGAGTCTTGGTCGTGGAGCATGACTTTGCGCGGGTTAAAAGACTTGCCTTTCGGGGTGCGGACGTTGTTAATCGTCGTGGCGAACTCCAATTGGTCCTGCGCGTGAGACGATGGGCGACAGATGGCGCCAGGGATATCAGCTTTTGCGATGTGAGTCTCCCTGCGCCACACACACTCACATCCTCGGTATGCTTGAAGACGCCAATGCGGTTGCCGCGCACGACAAAGGAGCGATCGAACTTGTAGCCCACCGCCAGCTGCGAGTTGCGGTCGTGCTCGCCAGCCTCGGCGGGCATGGCGGCAGGAGCATCGCCGACATTCTTGGCATCGTCCTCCGGGTCTTCCTCCTCCTCCTGCATCGATGCAGAGGCCTCACGCGCATCTCGGTCGTCATCGCGGATGTAGCGATCCACCGCTCGCTCGTCCTCGCCTTCGCTCTCGGCGCTCTCCTGCCCGGCATCAGTCATCTCCACGTCGTCCTCGTACGCGTCAATGGCATACTGCTGCTCGTCCGGCTTGCTCTTCTCCCATCGCTCCTCGTTGAGCGTTTCCCACATCAGTTTGGCAAAGCCGCGTTGGTATTCGTCGTACTCTTCCTTGGTGCGGAAGCGCAGCAGCCACGAGTAGCAGCGCCGTTGGCCGTCAAAGTAGTTCCAGACCGAGGAGAGAGAGTCGCTGGCGAAGTTGATGTTCATCGAGCCCTCGAGTCGCTGTGAGAGCCAGCGGCGTGAGGGAGAGGAGATGGACAGCCAGTAGAGGAAGCGGCCGGCCTCAGCTACTTGCGCCTTGACGCCTTTTTCCTGGCTCATGAAGAGACCGCTGGATTGGTCGTAGAGGTAGAGGTCGGCGGTCGTCTCGAGGAGAATGTCTGGCTCGCCGGCGATGGGGAACGACTCTTCGGGGGCGGCAGGTACGAGAGGCTTGGCCGGCGTGGTCTTGGCTGGCGTCGCCTTGGCTGGCGTCGCCTTGACATCCGCTGCCTCCTCGGCCTTGGCCTTGCCTTTTGCGGCGGGCGTTGCGGCGGGCGTTGCAGGGTAGATGCTGTGGGCGTGGGGAGCCGGATGTCAGTACGGGTTACACCGCGCTGTTCGCACTCGCTGCGCCGCACCTGCTCACCCTCCTCGCGCCGCCGCCGGCTTGAGCTCCTCGAGATCGGCATCGCTTGCAGCATCATGACTGCGCTGGTACTTGCGCTCGTAGACGCACTGCAGGTACGTGACCTCAAAGATACTCCTTGTCACCGAGTTGACCTGCGCATCGTCCATGACAAATTCCAAAACGTCCTCGCTATCCCCAACGCCGGACAAGTCGCGCCAGACGTACGTCGGATCTCCCTCGGGTGACGTACTTGCACGAAACTCCAGCCCTTGATCAATCAAGAAGCTGCGCTCGTCATCGCTCTCATCATCCTCATCGAGCAACTGCTGCTCCCCCTCATCATATGCTCGCGTTACGACGAGCTGATAGTTGAATTCGGTGGGCGTACGTCGAATCGTAGCGACCGCATCCTTGTAAATGCATTCACGCGACCCCTTGACGCTACTGGGACGGACGAGGAAGAGTGCGCCAGCAGGGATCTGGATGAGCTCGACGTTATCGTTGTCGCCCCAAATTTTGCCAAAGATGCTCTTGAGCATGAACATGGCGGGCGCCGAGTGATGGTGGTGGTAGTGGTAATGAGGTGGAGAGGAGCGGATGGAAAGCGGATGGCAAAATCGAGGCGCGCCGTTGAGTGTTGGTCGCACCGCATCAGGCTGAAAATTGGAGCGCAGTCAAGGCAGGCAGGCATCGTGCCTGGCGTGCCGCGAGACAAAGAGGTCTCGAGCAGACAGCATACAATGAGGGACAAAGCGCAGCGTGCTCGCAACATTGGGCTGAAACAGGATGTCCAGAGATCCATTAATGCTAAGATCATGGAAAAACCACTGATTGATGCCTGGCTGGACGAGTGACCTCCGTCCCTTTCCCCCGCCGTTCGCGCGCCTCTGGCTGCATGCACGCATCTCCGACCAACACTCATTCAAGCTCGCGACTCCACTTTCTTTCCTCCTTTCCTGCCGCTCATCGTATCAGCCATGACGCTGGACCCTTCCGCGTCCTCTCGCGCTGCATCGTCATCCAAATACACGACCTCTAATGCTACCGCCTCTTCTTCCGCGCACGTCGTTCCATTCCCCTCATCCTCGGACGCGCCCAACGACAATCTCTCGCCGCCAACACGACTGAGGCGATTGCTCAGCCTGCGCACACGCGCAGCTGGCAAGCAGCGACAAGACGATGTCGAGACGGATACACGGCGCCGTCGTCTGTCCAATGCCGCAATATACGAGGCAGGACCCTCACCGCGAGGCAGTCGCTCCAAGCTCCCAGCCTCATCGCCGCCACCAGCGTCGCCGCGCTCCGGCAGCCCGACTGCCTCTCGCCGCTCACTAGGCGCCAAGATGCCGTCATATACCCGCTTCGAGGAGAGCGAGCTGCCGGCTGCCACTCTCGCCGAGGCAGTACCGCCTGTACCGCCAAAGACGTTCGGTACTCTCGCTCCTGCCTTCCGCAAGTTTAGCATTAAGCGTCTGGTACGCAGGAAACCAACGAGCGTCAGAGATACTCAGGGGAGTGAAGCGCCACTCAACACTAGCACGAATCAGCCGCAGCCTACCGACCCTTCCCTGCATCAGCGTCATCGATCCCAGAGCCAAGCGCCCCTCAATGCCAGCCCGAATCCGCCGCTTCCCGACCCGCCGCGACGGCCCAGTCTCCCAACATTGACAGCCGCTCCGGCCGTTGCACGCAAACCGGTACCACTGTACGACGAGGCTCTCCTTAGGCTCCCCCCACGCATGTCCATCGAGGATGCGCAAGGCTTGGGGCTCGTCCTCGGCCAGCCTTCCTCCCTCGTCAGCTCGCAGGGGCGCCGCAATCCGCAAGGAGACACGACTACGTCCACCAAAGCTCGCTCCTCAGATCCAAATACCTCGATCAGCTCTAGCGCAGCCCAGAGCGACATAATGCGTATCACAACGGCAGACTCGGACGGAGCCAGCACGTCGGACATGTGGCTTCAGAGACCTGGCGCAGGGGCGCGTACGCAGAGGGTCTCCGTGCAGCGATCGCCCGTCTTTGATCCTCCACCACTCCCTTCCTTGCGTAGAGAGAGTGCAGCAACAGAGGAGGTGCCAGTCCTTCCACCTCTTTCAGAGTCTCGCGCCACCAATCGCACGACGGCAACAGCCCGGGACAGCCACCTCTTCTCTAGCGACGGGGGCGGCTCAGCCCTTGAAGCTGAGATTGGTACGGCGCGCAAGGTCGTGGGGCAAAGCCGCGCTCAATCGCAAAGCATCATGCGCGTGATAGAGGAGAAGGAGCCGCCTGCTACATTAGCTGAACCTCCTCAGCTCACCTTGCGATCAGCCACGCCTCTCTTCGCCAAGATCGATACCGCCTTGCAGGAGTTGCGAGCCGTGGATCAGCCGCGTGCTGGGCAGGTGCTGGGCACTTCCCGCTCCTTTGTCGTGCCAGCCAAGGCGGGAGACGAAGGCATGAGCACGCCAGACTCGGAAGATGATGTCCACAACCGACCCCGTACCCGCAGCTCTCCGGCAAAGAAGGCTGCCACAGAATTGCCATTCGCTACCTTACCGCGTCGCAACAACACGCGACCATCGTCAGCTTCGAGCGCAGAAGAAGGCAAGCACCCACGCGAATCGTTCGACGCTCCCCGTCCTCACCCGCCATCGCAGAAGAGCTCCTTCCTTTCTACCGTTCGCGGCGGCAGCCACAAGCGGTCGAAGAGCAGTCTTGCGGCCTTGTCAAAGACAGAGTCGTCCAAGAGTGACAAGAAAGAGGCTAAGCGGGAGAGGGAGAAGGAGAAGGATCGAATTCGACGTTACGCTGATATGAAGACGAACGATCCGCTCTTGGCTGAGCGACTCGCTCTGATGGGGCTGCAGCACGGCAGCGAGCGGCCGATCCGAGCGCAGGCGCAGGAGCAGGAGCAGGGGCAGCCGCAAGCGCAGGCTAACGAGCACCCTCCTGCCGTTTCAAAAAGCGCAGCTACCCCCGCAGTCGGCGCCGTCGCACCCTCATCGTCGACCTCGAGCGCTTTTGTCACCGCATCGCCGAGTCTCCCTGTCTCCTCTACCTCTAACGCGGGCGCGGGCGTAGGCGCATCTCCCTCCCTGGCCTCCGTCTACACTCTTGCTCGCTCCCGCTTCGGGTCACGTCCTACCACGGCGGACTCCTCCTCGCTCGCCCCAGTGAACGTCAACACGAACGCAGAAGCGGCCTTTGTTACACCCTCGTCCACACACGCGGAGAGCGCTCAAGCCATGCTGCAGCGATCAGCCAGTGCTACGAGCAATAGTCGCCGCGGCTCCGGGAGGCCGGGCTCTTCGGGCTCGTCTGTTAGGACGAGGCGGATTAGCTCCTTCTCTCCTGCCACGGTCAGCGCAGAGACAGCGCAAGTGACGAGTGGTCCGGCTTTGGATGAGGCTGCGAGGGAAGTGTTGCAGAGGAAGACTAGCACACGCGCTCGTGCGCCGCCGCTCCTGGTGAGGAAGGTGAGCAGCGGAGGAAGCACGCCTAGGCAGGCGCCCAAGCATTTGAGTCTGGTTGCTAGGGTGGAGGATGAGGAGGAGAGGGCCCAGAGGGGCGAGATAGAGGGGAAGCAGTCTTAATGTGGTGCGGATCGGAGGATTCATGAGATGCACAAGCGCAACGCCCAGGAGCGACTTCATCTATCTCGAAGGAGGACAGAACGCACAGCGGCCGTCTGATCAATCCTATACCATTGCAAGCAGGGGCCGCGCGAGACGTGCGTGCAAAGCGAGAACAAACAAGGCTCATCATCTTGGATCTGGCGCCCGCGCCCGCGCCCACGCCCACGCCCGCGCCCACGCCCAGACCTCTGCGCTTAGGCCCCTCCTCCCTGCTGATCAGGCGGGGTCCTATCGTCACGGCTGACCATCGCGATCAGACCCCTCGCAGCGGTAAGCGGCCCGGAAGCGGCAACGCTCAGTCATTGACACGGCCTTTGCTCTCCGACGACGACTCTGCACGGCGCTCACGCCGCTGCAACCATCGCCATCGCAACGGTTGCGCACCGTTCGCGCAACGCCGGCAACGCCTACGTCCTTCATTACGTGCCGCATACGCCCCCTTGGAGCCGCCCCTCGTGGGCCCCTATCCCGCCGAGAAAATGGCCATACTCAAAAGCATCCGCCGCCACTGCACCGCCACCACGTCAAGTCGAGCTGCTCTTTCTCTACCTTACCACCATCACCTTCCATCCACCCGACTCGTCGCTCACGATGCACTTTGTCGATGAATCCGCCTACGCCAAACCCTCTCTCCTCGAAGTCGGCAATCCCTTCATCGCCTTCGCCGTCGCCGTCGCCGTCTCTGTTCGTTTGATCGACCATTCATCCCTTGCGACACCGCTCCTCGCTCTTGCCTACGTCACCCTCGTCCCGATAATCCTTACGAGTATCTTCCTCGCAGCGGCAACCATTAGCACTGCCTATCGCTGGTTCACGTCTCGCGTACTGCGCAATGACCCCTGGCATTACATTCCTGAGCCCAAGGGACCCCAGGGGACGCTTGCGGCAAAGCTCTTTGCTGTGCTCGGGCATATACCCCAGCTGCGGGCGGCTGATCCTACGCAGACAAATCTGAAGTGGGCCAAGGTGAGTGCGCGTGTGACCTGAGCTAGGCTAGCGAGCTAGGCTAGCTACGCAGCGCTGATTGATACTCATGCCGCGATGCCAGGAGCTCAACTCGTACGTCTATCTATACCGAGGCTTCTTCCTCCAGCCCCGCGTGGTAATGAGCGACCCCAAAGGCGCCATGTATATCATGGGCCAACAGCGCGCCTACGACTATCCCAAGCCACGCGAGCTGCGCCGCTACCTCGTCGCCTTGATTGGCGATGGTCTCGTCACCAGCGAAGGAGACGGTCACCGCAAGCAGCGAAAGATCACCGCGCCCGCCTTCACCGTTGCCGCTGTACGCTCCTTCATTCCTGCCTTTTATCATCACACCAATCGACTTGTCACGGCTCTTAATCGGGAAATTGACGCCACAGAGGGCCCAAGCGACAGACCCTTCCTCAGTGGTCAGAGCCAGTACGCCGCAAAGGCCTCACGACACCTTGCACCCGTTGTTGACATGGCCTACTGGCTCGGCAAGGTTACCTTAGACATGATTGGCGAAGTGGGATTCGGCTACGACTTCAACAATGTCAATCTCGAGGAGCCAGGCAAGCAGGGCCAGCTGGCAGAGGCGGCTTACACTCTCATGCGCAGCTTGGAGACCATGACCCTAATCGACTTCCTTCGCGCTTATCTCGCCAGTAGACCAGGCCTCTTCTGGCTAGACAAGATCCTCCCCGCCCCTCAGCGCCACCGTAATGCTGCGGCCGTCTCGGAGGTGGTCGAACGATACTCCAACGAGATCATCGCCAAGAAGAAGCAGGCCATCGAAGAGGAGATCGCAGCTATGGGCTTGCAGGCCAAGAAAGGCGCATTGGGCAAGGCAGAGCTTGACGAGGTCATCGGATCGACTACTCCTCAAATGGCCGCCACCGCTCAGCTACATGGCGGAGCAAACGACACGGACGCCGACGCGAATCGACCTCGCGCCAAGGATCTCCTGCACCTCGTCATGCGAGCGAACATGGCTGCGGACCTCAAGCCCTCCGACAAGCTCAGCGACGATGAGCTCCGCGGCAGCCTCACCTCCATTCTTATGGCCGGCCACGAGACTACGGCCACGCAGACCATCTGGGCCCTTTGGGAGCTCGCGGCCCGCCCAGCTGTGGTACGCAAGTTGCGCGAAGAGATCGAAGACTACTTTGGCATGGAGACGACGGTAGACTACGACACGCTGCATCGCATGCCTTATCTCGATGCCGTCTGCAAGGAGACGATGCGTTTCTGGACGCCCATAGCCATGACGGTGCGTGTGGCGCAAAAGGACGACGTCGTGCCCTTGGGCAAGAGTTATCCGTGCAAAGCTGGGTCCGGCTCTTCTACTTTCAACCACGTCGTCGTCAAAAAGGGGCAGGAAGTCGTCATACCCATCGATGTCATCAGCCGCAGCGAAGACGTTTGGGGCCCTACAGCCGGTGAATTCATCCCAGAGCGCTGGTTCGAATGCAACCTGCCCGCCACAGCAAAGGAGAGTGGTATGCCCCTTCACCTCATGACCTTCCTTGTAGGCCCGCGCTCCTGCGTGGGGCAACGAGCTGCCATCGCCGAGTTCAAGATCCTTCTTTCGGTGCTACTTCGCGAATTTGACTTCGAACGCGTAAACGAGTGGGCAGACAACATGCAGCCCAAGCACAACATCATCGTGCGACCCATTTTCCGTGGGCAGGAAGAGGTGGGAGTGCAGATGCCGCTGCGCATCAAGAGAGCGCAAGGCGCCAGGCAGCGTAGCGGGAGCTTGTTGTTCTCGGGAGGCGTGGGAGGGCCAGACTCGCCTACGAAGCCGACGGTTAATAGGGACCCCAATTGGACGTCGGGAAGGAGCAGCCCTGTCAAGACGACGACGCTTGGATAGTGGGTCGTAATCACGGGGGTCGTCATCACGGCGCTAGTCGGTTTGCCACGGACGCGTCTCAGGTCTCATTCAGCTTGCCTCTCTCTTCTTCACTCGACGCCTCGCTACTATGCGACCACGCTCTCTCGCTCCTGTGGCTCAGTAGACTTGCTATTCACTCCTCTCCTCATGACCCCATCATCAATGTGATCCTTTCATTCCTTCACGCCCCCGCGCTACGCCAGCTCGTCCAACCACTTCTCAAGCTCGGCCCATCCCTGCTCCCCTTCCCACGCACTTTTTTGCCTCGCCATGAATCCCTTCAGTGCACTCTTAGCCTTGCGCTTCGCTCGACTTTCCTCCTCATCATCGTCCAACTGTCCTGCCACCGCACTGACATTCTCGCACATCTCAACGGCAGCCGCGCATGCCTTCTGCCAGTGCTCCCGCTCAGCACACGCTGGTGCGGTCGGCGGAACAACGCAGCGGAATGCTTCGAGGTAGGCCGTGATTGCCTGCGAGGGGGCGCGGGTGGCCAGATGGAGGCGCGCGAGGATGAAGGGGAGAGAGGCGGGAGGTGGTGTTGGGAGGAGGGGCGGAAGAGTGGTCGTAAGGAGCGAGAGGAGCGAGGTGGAAAGGAAGGACGGTGAGCCATTCGCCGGGCCAGAGCTGTTCTCCTGCGCCGCGGTGGGCGCTGTGAGCGGCGCAGATACCAGGTCCAGGTACGAGGAGGTCCCATTTGCGCCGGCGGTAGTAGGTGGAGCCACGCCTGCTGCTGTCGTCGATGCCTCTTTGCTCTTCTTGTCCCTCTCCTCCCCGGCCGCCACATCGACCAGCTTCCTTAGCACTGCCCAATCAATTTCCTCCTCTGCATCCCTCACTCTCCCGCCATCCTGCTTCGCCTTCAGCTTGACCACCTGCGCAAACGCCCTGCACGCCTCGCTGACGTCGCCAACATCGACGGATACGACCATGTAATTCGACCAGACCCGCCATGAGTCGCTGCTGTGGCGGAGGGAGTGACGCAGGCAGCGTTGCGAGAGAATCTTGAGTATGTACGGTGTGAGGATGGTGCGCGGTGCTGCAGGCGGTGATGAAGGACGATTTCCGGCCTCATCATCGTCGTCGCCAGCTTCGCTGCCTCTCGCGGTGAGAGCCACACCGGAATCAGCCGTCGTAGCCGTCTGCATAGACGACGTTGTCGATGCTGCATCGTCTGCGTCTTCATCTTCCTCGCCCTCGCCACCACTCGCCTCGCCCTCTTCGACCTCGTCCCCCTCCAATTCCTCTCGCGTAACCTGCCCTCCCCTCTCACCTCCAGCCTCGACCTCCCCCGCCATCCTGAGATAACAGCTCGCCAAGTTGTTCCACGCCTCCCCATCCTCCTCATCCACCGCCGTGCACCTCCTGAAACACCTAGCAGCGCGCCCCCAGGCCTCGGAGCGGAGGTAGCAGCAGCCCAGCATGAACCATGTCCGACCCATCAATGAAGAGAGGCGAAGGGCGCGACGGAGCCAGAGGGTTGCGCGAGAGTACTGGGTGAGAGAGAAGTAGAGCCCACCGAGAGAGCGAGCGGCACGGGATGAGGAAGAGCCTGATGTGCGCCAGGCGGTGAGGTAGTGGGACTTGCTCTTTTCTGGCTCTAGGTCACCGAGCAGACACCAAAGCTTGGCACGACGGGCCCTCGTGAGTCGATCTGAAGAGCTCGAGGCCTTCTTGCTCGCCAAGACTTCACCGACCTCTCTTCTACCCCCTTCAAGCAAGCTTCGTACCACCTCAATCCCTTCCTCCTGCCTGCCCAACGCGCCCAGGCAGGCAACAACGTCCTCCCACATCTCGATGCGTTCGTATATCTCCAGCGCTGAGCGGAGCACGCCGAGCGTCGCGTACCGTCTCGCAAGCTCTGCCTGCATTTCCCACTTGGAGGGCAAGTCGAGCTGGAAGAAGAAGCGCAACCTCTCACGCGGGGCAGAGTCTGTGCTGGGCATCTGGTCAAGCAGGGCTTGTAGCTGGAGAACGGCACGTTCTGCGGTACGTGTGCGGGTGGCTTCCAAGCGGGAGCGGAGCAAGAGAGCCATGGTATAGACGGACCAGTTGCGTGGGTGCAGAGCGACGCGACTGACGAAGGCGGAGATTTGCGAAGTGGTGAGGCCGTGCGTTGGGGAGGTGTTGGTGTGAAAGAGGGAGAGGGCGAGGAGGATGGATTGGTCCAGAGGTGTAAGGGCCGGTTGAGAATTAGGATCGCGAGCACTGACGGCGCTGCTAGGCGAGGCATTGCTCGTGAAGCGCGTCTGCTCGAGGAGGGTGTCGTCGTTGAGCTCGTAATTTGTTGGCAAGTCCGTAGATGAGGAGGTGGAAGGGGCAGACTTCCAGCCTGTGGGCGCTGCCTCAGCGGATGAAGAAGAAGCAGCTGGCGTGGCCCCGTTGCTTGCCTTGCCATCCTTTGATCCCTGCTCCTCCTCCTCCGCCTTCTTCGCCTCCTCGCTGCTTTCCGCCAGCACGACGAGAATTGTCTTCTCTTCCTGCTGGTATTTTGTCTTCTTGCCCAACGCACCGCTCAACTCGTAGCGCAGTCCTGTTGCGCTAGCTGCTTGTACAAAGTAGTCATTGGCCTCCTTATCGCTTCCCGTCTTGGACAGGGCTAGACCACGTTCGACCAGTAGACGAGCATGCAGCTGAGCAGCCTGCGGTCCCCGGGCAGCCAGCTGGGCGAGGAGCCGGTCCACCTGGTCAAGAATGGAGCGAGGCAAGGCCACTGGCTCGTCGAGAATGCGGTTGTGCACCATTGCGACGCGCAGCTTCCACCATGGCAGGCTGAGCAGCTGTTGAGAAGCAACCTGGTCCCCCGAGAGGCCGTCGATGATCGCTGTGGCTAGAGTTAGGAAAAAGGCGTGCCGGCAGAGATGGTAGGCTGGCTCGCCTTGCCATGTCAGTGCCTCGAGAGCTGAGCTCTTCAACGCTGTATCCAACGCATCGCTTCCATCGCCTCCGTCGAGGGAACGAGGCGCAAAGGCAGAAGGCTCAGCCCATCGTAGCAGCGACCCGGGCTGGAGTGAGTCGGAGGAGAGCTCAGGGCCGGTCCAGTTGAGCTGGACGAAGGCATTGAGAGCAGCGACGGCTACTTCTAGGCATTCCAATGGCGAAACGCTGCTGCTCGAGGATGGCTTTAGGATAGCAGGCAATAGATCCGCGTTGGATGTCTTGGAGTGCGAAGCGTAGTGCTGGGCCACTTGAGAAAAGTACTCCTTTGCTGCGTGGGAGCGGAGAGGCGCTGAGAGAAGGTCCCCGTCGTGCGACACGGACTGATAGGTGATGAGGTGCCATTCCGACGTTGATGCCGATGACGAGGATGAGGATGGGGCTGCCATGACTTGGTAGCGTATCGAAGGGCAGCCTGTATGCTGCAATTCAAAGGAAGGAAGCTTTGTCCGTCCATCCGTCGACCTCGCGTGGAGTCGTCGCCGTTGACCAAAATTTGTCTCGCACTCACTCGCCAGGCGGACTGGCGGACCTGGCCATCGAGACGGGCGATTGATTGGCAAGCGTCGAGTCGTCTTGCCATCCTCCTCACACGACCCCGCACTTGCCCATCTACACACCTTCTGCATCGTATTCTCTGATGCTGGTACGCATACCCTGATGCCCGACTCGTCCATAGTACCAGTCTCGTCCCCCCACCAGCATAGACAGGGCGCAGCCTCATCGAGCTCAGCCGCAATGTCCTCGTCCTCTCGCGGTACCAAGCGACCCAGGAAGAGTACGCAGAAGGAGGCAAGGGCAGCAGCTACAGCCGCAGGACAAGGGTCGTCGTCGTCTTCCTCAACCGCACCCGTTGATATCCTCAAACCTCGCCCGCCCCTCATCAAGTCTGAAGCAGACGACAGCATAGCATACAGCGCCACTCCACCGGTGGCGGCCGCTCCTACCAAGAAGCTCAGCAGAGGCAACAGCGCCGCCTCTCTGCGCAGCAACAAGGACGAGGAGGAGGAGGACAAAGAATTCAAGGTCTCCATTGCCGCTGCTTCTCGACGCGATGTCAAACCTGTGAAATCAGCGCTGGCAGGTAGCGCTAGGCTCGCGAGCGGGCCACCGGGGGCGATGCTCAACGATCGGTACAAGAGGTCCATGTACATTGCCTTTGTCGATGGGGCCTTCGCTGAGAGGGACAAGGTGCGTGACTGGAGACCCACATTACTGCCAGCCCCCGCCAGACTAACGCGTTCTTCGCTACCCCGCCGACAGGGCTCCACCAAGTCCTATTGGGACCTCGTCTCCCAATTTCGCTCTGCTCACACGACCCTCACCACAGCCTCCTCGTCCGCCGCCTCGTCCAACTCCAACACGCAATCTCTCTCACTCTGGCTGCATGCCCTCTCGCACCACGTTGCCAGACTCGACTCGGCCAATCACTCCCAGCTCGTAGAGAATATCCTCGACTTGCCCTGGGCGGGCGTGTCCACGGGCGACGACTTCTCTCGGAGCTGGTGTAGCTTCGTGTGCGCGCTGGTCAGCGCAAGGACTGAGTGGGCCTCTAGCGTGGTAACTAGGATAGTCAAGGCGATGCGATGGCGCAGTGATTGGCTGCCCTTGCGGCCATTGCATGGTCAACCGCCTAGCCCAACAGGCTCAACATCCAGTGGCGTCCAACCAGCGCAGCCTTCTCGCCCCACTCGTCGACTCCTCTACACCCGTCTCCACTCCCTACTGCGCACTATCCTCATCCTGATTCCCACTCTTCCCTCCACCTTGGCTCCTCTGGTTATCCGCCACTTCCCGCACAAACGCGAGTCGCGCAAAGAGCAAGCCACCTACGCGCATAATATCCTCTTCATGACGCGCTACTGCCCCCAAGTGGCGGAAAGTGTCTGGCGCGTTGTGGGTGACCGTGCAATCTCTCTCGACGTGGAGATCCAGATTGAGATGGACGACCTGGAGGATGGAGCAGGGGAAGGGTTGGAGGAGGAGCTGGCCAACCTCGACCCCTTCGATCGGCCGCTGGATGAGGATGACGACGATTCAAGCAGTGATGGGAGCAGCGATGACGGCGGAGGGGACGACGATGATGACTCGGAGAGTGGGCCTGACATTGACGAGCTTAGCAGTGAGGACGAAGCTGAGCCTGGGGATGAGGATGCTGATGGGTTGGACGGTGGACTACTCCACGAGCAGGAGGCGGAAAGACGGCAGCGTAAAGTGAGGGATCTGGTTGAGAAGCTCGACGCCCTGCTCAAGGTCGCTTTTGAGCATTTGGAGCGGATCAGTGGTAAGAGACGCGCAGCGGGTACGGGCAGCGATGGATTGGAGGCGGTGCTCATTCCTAGGGACAACGCGACGTGGATGTCCGACTTCCTTGGCACAGGCAGCAAATCCACATCGGCCAGCAGCACACCTTCAGGCACGCCTACGACGGAGCGTCCGCCCTCGTCCCCGGGCACTGCACGTAACAGTCCCACCTCCTTCCCTCTCGACGACGAGGAACAGATCTCTCTCCGTGCCGCTGAACGTCACTCGGCCTTTCAACACCTCCTCCATCTATTCAGCCGGTCCATCCTGCCCACCTTCAAGTGCAGGCACGTCCAGTTCCTCCTGTTCTGGTACTGCTCCCTAGAGCCGGACTTTACAGACTGGTTTCTAGGCCTCCTGATCCACAAGGCCATCTACTCTTCGCCCTCCAACGCAGACGAAGCGCAAGGACAGCAGCAGGGCTCAGCGGCGACGACAAATCCAATCGTGCTCCGCCAAGCAGCGGCAAGCTATGTTGCCTCGTTCGTCTCGCGCGCCAGCTACGTGGACGCAGCTTCGACACGCATCGTGGTGCACAACCTTTGCGCCTTTCTCGAAGCCCATCTAGAGGAACACGCAGCCGCTCTGCGGGCTGTACAAGAATCCGGAGGGCTTGCGTATGTGGATGAAGCCACCGCACGTCTGGCCTCTGCACCCGCGGGCAGTGAGGAGCATGCCATCTTCTACGCCGTTGCTCAAGCGGTCTTCTACGTGTTCTGCTTCAGGTGGCAAGACCTTCGCAATGGGGATGGAGAGCATGCGAAAGGAGGAGCGAAGAATGGAGCGGACAAGAGCGGAAGCCTGGCACCCAGCGACGACTTCTCTGACGCAGATCCAGGCTTCATGATTGGGAGCTTGAGCTCGACGGGAAGCTCGAGCTTTGCGCTGCCTTCGAGTCTTCACCAGCCGCCCAAGCCACCAGCGCAAGGCAAAACTGGTCCTTCGCCCTGCCTGGCGCCGCAAGATGCTTCTGCTTCGTCTTCTTCGTTCCCCCTCTCACCGTCCCTCTCCGCCACCCAGGTGCCTCCCTCCCACAATACCCAGGACGGCTCCTCTTCCTCTAGCGGCTGGTCGCCCGGCCTCTCCAACCTGCAAAGATGTATCCTCTCCCCTCTCAACCCCCTGCACTTTTGCTCACCAACGGTGGTCCACCAATTCGCAAGCGTCGCGCAACATGTCGGCCTCCTCTACTGCTGGAGCGTGATCGAAGCGAATCGTCGCGGGGGAGCGGGCGGTGCGAGGGGACAATTGGGCAGTACCGATGTACAGATTGCGGGAAGGCAGCAGAGCGGCGATCGTGGCGCAAGGCCAGCGGCGCCAGCTCGTCGTGCACCTGCCACGGGTGGGGCGAGCGCTTCGGATTTGGAGGGGTTCTTCCCCTTTGACCCGTACAGGCTGCGCGGCACAGCTGAGCGCTTCGTTGAGCCCCTGTATCGCGATTGGAAGGATGTAGCGCCGCAAGGTCTGGGCGGAGCAGACGATGACGATAGCAGCGACGGCGAGGACGGAGAAAGCGAGGACGACGAAGACGACGAGGTTGAGCAAGAGAGCTCTCTCGCTCCCTCGTCTGAGGCGTCGAGTATGGCCTCTTCTGCTTTGCAGCGCGCCACGAGTGGTGGGCTGCAGATTCCGGGCGCGTCTCCTGCGAGAAGGCGCGGCGAGACGAGCGCGGATGCCAAGTTCGCGAAGAGTATGGAGCTGATGAGTGTCAGTGGTAGCTAGGCGGGCGGCGAGATGGCTGAGTGTATTTGTAGATACGTGTGAGGCATTTCAATCGATGACTACGCAGAGAGAGAGATTTGAACACGTTTGTCACCCTACCGCTCTCTTGGTGAGCAGCCCACACCTACTGCCTCTTGAGCCACTTCAGTGCCCTCTTGTCATACTTCAGCCCCTCCTTCAACTCGCGCCTGCACTGATCGTTATGCTCCTGGAGCCACTTCTTCTCCTGCTGCGTCAACAACCCAAAATCGACCATCTTGCGCTCAATCGGCACCCTAGTCAACCGCTCGAAGCGCAACCACTCGCTGCTCTCCTTTCCACCCACCTTTGCAGGGACTACAGCGAGGATGCTCTCGATCCTCACCCCAAAACCCTTGCCATTGTCGACAAGATAGTAGCCAGGCTCGTTGCTCAGGCACATGCCGGGGCGGAGAATGGGTGCGGAGGGGGCAGAGGCGCCGGATGCGGCGGAGGAGGAGAAGGTGACGAAGAGCTCGTGCACGTTGAGGAAAGCGCCGATGCCGTGACCACTGTGCGAGAAGGGAGAAGAAGGGTCAGATTTCCTGCCTGCCTGGTGAGCTGGCGGCGGGCGTACTCACGTGCCATGCAGATAGTCCTTGCCATCAGACCAGAGCGGCCTCCTCGCAAGGACATCCAGTGTGCTCCCCGTCGTCTTGCCCGTGGGGAACATAACGCTATCCAGCGCAATGTGACCCTGCAGCACTCGCGTGTATGCTCTCTTCTGCTCGCGTGTAGGCTTGCCGAAATGCACGGTCCTCGTCGTATCGATGGTTCCATCCAGGTATTGCCCACCCGAGTCCATCAAGAAGGGCGTCTTGCGATCAATCCTAGCACTTCCCACCTCGGGAGTCTCATAGTGGGGAGAAGCAGCCTTCTCCCCCGTCCCAGCAATGGCATCGTACGCTTCAAAGCCGGCGTAGAGGTCTAGCTTGCGACGTTCGGCCTCAAGGGCAAGGACGGCGCCGTGTTCGTCGATGTGGGCTTTGCGGTTGACCATTTGGTCCTCGAGCCAGGAGGCCCAGCGAGCCCAGGCTAGACCGTCACGACGATAGGCGTTGCGCATGCCTGTTAGCTCGGTGGCATTCTTGCAGGACTTCCACAAGGCGAGTGGGGAGGCAGAGGGGCCGAGAATGCTGGAGCGGTCCATCGTGACCGCCGCGATGAGGGCGTACGAGGCCTTCTCGGAGAGGATCACGCGGCCGGTGCCGGGGAGTGTGCGGAGGTGTTGCCACACCTCGTTGTAGCCGCGTACGGTGAGGCCGAGCGTCTTGATGAGGTAGTGATGAACGTCGGAACCCTCAGGTACGAGGTCAAGCGAGGTGAAGAGGGTGACCGTGGGCGCCGTCTTGGCCTCGTCACGATCGCCCTCTGCGTCGGATACGACTACGTACGCAGGGAAGACGGGGTTATTAGGGATCCCAGGCGGGCTGGCACGCAAGTTGAGGAGCCAAGCCACCTCGTCCAGTTGGTCGACAACGTAGTGCTCGGCACGGCGCTTGGTCTTCTCAGCCGCTTTTTCATGCTCCGTGGTATCGACCAGCTTGTCCGCCTCCTCTCCCCTCGAGAAGCGCACCAACTTCTCAATCTTTTTGTCCGCCTCGAGGCCAGCAAATCGCACTTCGTGCTCGTGCACCTTCGTCTTTGGCTTTGGAGGATAAAGCGTGGGGAAGTCCTCCATCCACACGTCTGTGACGAGGCTGTGCTCCTCGAATGCAGCCACTAGCTCGTGCCCCTCGCCCGAACCTTCGAGCAACCCCTGCACGGTCGTGTACGGCAGCAGGCGAGCATCCCCTCCCAGCTTGATACTATCCATCCCCACCTTCTCGTGCGCTTTGCTCTTGATCCACTCTTCCCACCCCAGCACACCCTCCGTTCCCAGCTTGAAGACAGTCCAGTACTCGCGCTCCGTCTGTTGGTCGGCCTGCACGTGGTATCGTCCGTCGACCCACAGCCCGGCGAACGACTGAGAGACGAGGACTGTACCCGCCGAGCCGGTGAAGCCGGAGATGAAAGCGCGCAGCTGGTCGCGTGGAGCAGTGTATTCAGAGCCGTGAGCGTCTTGCGAGGTGATGATGTAGAGGTCCACCCCCTGGTCGGCCATGCGGCGACGGAGGGAGGCTAGGCGATCGCCCGTGGGCACAGGCTTCACGGCGGTTGAGGTGTTGGCGGTAGGCGGCTCTATGCCGTGCTTGCTGGCCTTTTCATTGCTTGCATCTGTGCAAAGCGTAATGGACGAGGCGTCCGACGCCGTCTCCTGGGCGCGGTTGCAACGTAGAAAGGGGAAACAGTCGAGCATGCTGGGCAATCTCATGCGCTCGAGTGGGCTGTGGTGTTGGTCAAGAAGGCAACCTGGATCTGCTCAGCTCAGCCTTGTAAGACTGCGAAGGTCAGCCTCTCGCAAAGGCGGCTCTTGATGAGGTGGTTGCTGGGTCAAGGCGGCCAGAGATGGCCGGACCAAGACGATCGAGTCGTCTCAGCCGCCGCACAGACCCAGCGATTTCCAGGCAGAGGCGCGGGTCGAGCAGCGGACGGAGACGCGGGAGGCGGGAGGCGGACGGAGATGAGCGAGCGTCAAGGGCGACGAGGCGGATACGTGGTAGCCCTCTTTCCTTCCCAACCACCATCAAGACTGCCTGGCAGGAGGACCGGCCCGCAATGGTGTGCATCTCCCCCATCTCGGATTCTTTCTGATCTGCGACTCGTACTGACCATAATGCCCGCCCGCCCGCACGCACGCACGCACGCACAGTCCAGCAAAGCTACCCGCGAGTCTGCGGTAAAGCAATTTCGCTCCATCACAAATGCCACGCAGGCGGACGCCACTCGTCTGATGAAGCAGGCAAACTACCATGTGCAGCAGGCAGTCGACCTCTTCTTCAAGGACGGTGCAGCGCAGAAAGGGGCGGGAGGAGCGAGTGGGAGTGGAGCATCGAGTGCGGCCGTCCGCAAGGAGAGTGAGAAGTGAGTGCGGAGAACGGGGGGAGGGCGCTTATATGCTACGTGAAGGCGAGGGAGGCTGACCGCTACGACTCGCTTGCCCTCTCCGCAGGAAACTCGGCGAGATATTCGACCGCCACAGCGACGAAGACGATGCTGCTCACGACATTACCATAGAAGGTACAATGTCCTACTGCGAGGAGCTCTCCATCTCCCTGGAGGACGTCGTCCTTCTTCCTCTTTCCTTCTACCTCCAATCGCCCACCATGGGCCGCTTCACACGAGACAAATTCATTGCAGGATGGAGAACCCTGGCGGATGGGACCAAGGCGTGCGATACGATTAGTGGACAGCAGAAGGCGTTGAAGGGGTTGAAGGAGGAGCTGCTGAGAGATGGAGAGGTCAAGGGCGAATTGGGGGCGAATGGCAGTGCGGGATTATTCAAGAGGACGTATGACTACACGTACGCTTTTGCTAAGCCCGAGGGGCAAAAGAGCTTGCGTGAGTGCCGCGCCACAGCGTTGCCTCAATCCAGCTCAGCCTGCTGACGTACTTTACGCCCCTGCACGCAGCCCTCGAAACGGCCCTGGCCTGCTGGGATCTTCTCATCCCCTCATGCCCCTCCTTTACAACGCAGGGCGGCAACTTCACACAGCGTCATCTCGACCTCTGGAAGTCATACCTCAACGCCACGACGAACGGGCGGGCGGTCAGTAAGGATACGTGGAGCTTGTTCCTCGAGTTCGTCAAGGAGGTCAGTGATGCGGGAGCTGGGGATGGGGATGGAGTTGCGGAGGGCGAGAAGTTGTTCGAAGGACACGACTTCGATGGAGCTTGGCCGAGTATCATCGATGGGTTTGTTACGTGGGCGAGGGAGGGGAAGGGAGAGGAGGGGATGGATGAGTCGTAGCTGCGGGTGAGGGAGAGAGATGGCGGAGAGATAGAGCGATGCCAGTCAATTGATACACGCCATCAGCCGGTCACACGCACGCGATGGACGCACACGACACGAGATCACGCGAGAAGATGTGGATGGGAAGCGACTCGTGATTGCTATGCCACACTTGTCTGGCTGTGCCCATCGTTTTGGTAGTGTTGGATGGTAGGAAGGAGGAGTCGTGTCGAGTCGAGAGGGAAGTGATGAAGCTGAATGAAGGGGAGGAAGCGTGCAGGATACTGGGTCAGCACGTCTGCTCACACGTCGTGTTCGCGTTGTGCCTTCCACCTCCTCCCGCCCATCCTCGCCGCGCCCTCTCGCATCTCTGAGGGTCAGACGATAATAATGATTCCGGATTGGAGGTTGTCCGTCTTTCTCTGCTAGAGGATAGCAGAATCTCGAAGAGGGAGTCCTTTGTCTCATCGCTCCCACGAGAAGAGTGCGGCGCGCCCAGATTGCCCCCGCCCCCCCGTCTCCCCCATCATCGGGCACTTCTCGATCCTTACTCTGATGCTCACCTAGTAGGACAAGATAGAACGAGCTCCTATTGGATCCCCATCATCGCTTTGACCCCTCTACATCCCCGGGAAGGGCTTAACGCGACTTGAAGTACTCGAGGAGCACATTGAGACCCTCGGACTCCTCTCCATAGTCGCGAACGACGACGCAGGAGCATCCAACGACCTTCCTCGGGTTGCCCTCCCTGTCAATCTTGCAGAGACCGGCCCAAGTGCCCAAAGTCTTGGGGTCAGAGACCTTGAGGAGGTCAATCTTGTGCTCGTTGCAGAGTGCCTCGATGAGCTTGATGTACTCCTGCTCGGAGCACGTCTCGACGAGGACACAGAGGTGAGCCTGACGACGGTCCAGGGCCTTGGAGCACTCGCGGAGACCACGGGCGAGACCGTCGTGGATGAGCGACTTCTTGAGGACCTCCTGGAGGGCCTCCTCGATGGACATCTTGCCCTTGGGAGCGGCGGCTGCACGGGGGAAAGACAAGTCAGATTGGTGATCCATTGGCTCTATGCTGCGCCGCTCGCTGCTCACCCTCAGTGGCCTCGGCGGCGACCTCCTCCTGGGGGATCTCCTGGGGAACTTCCTCGGTGTCAGACATGATGATGATAAGAGCTTCTTAGACGGTCGGGTGGTTCGTCTCAGCTAGCAATTGGGTGATGGTGAGAAGTGAGCGCTTCGACGGTCGGCGGGCGCCAACTCGTCGGCTTGCTGCACTCGATGCACTCGATCTTCCGTCCTATTGTGCACGTGACTTGGCCAATTCTTTTGTCTGGCTTGCGGTTCCGACGTCGACGCTCGACTCGAGGTGCGAGCCTCTCTGCCCGCCCCGTCGAGCCATGCGAGGGAGAGCGAGCGAGGCACAGGCGCTCCGCCCGCCCGCCCGCCCTGCCAATCTTCGCGCGGACGTTCCTCTGACGACTAGCAACCTCGAATTCGCACCTCTCACCTCCGTCCCCTCCCCATATCCTCCATCATCATGAGCGGCCAAGTCGAGCTTACCGTCCAGTCTGAGTGCGTACCGCGCTGCGCGGCGTTGCCATCATTATCATCTTCTCGCTCTCAGTCCCACTAACCACGCTGTCCTCCCTTGCCGCTCACTCTTGCAGGAAGGCGTACCAGAAGCAGCCCATCTTCCTCAACGCCAAGGCCCTCCGCAAGGCCACCCGCGAGAGGCGTTGGTACAAGGATGTCGGTCTCGGCATCAAGACCCCCTCTGCTGCCATCAACGGCAACTACGTCGACAAGAAGTGCCCCTGGACCGGAAACGTGAGTTGTAGGCTGCGTGACTTCAAGGCGGCTACTCCCCTCCTTCTCGGAGCTGACTGGTAACATACAACCCCCTTTTTTTTAAACAGGTTGCCATCCGTGGTCGTATCTTGACGGGAAGGGTTATCTCGACGAAGATGACTCGTACCATTGTGATCCGCCGAGAGTACCTGCACTTTGTGCCGAAGTACAACCGTTACGAGCGCCGCCACAAGAACCTCGTCGCCCACTGCTCGCCGGCTTTCCGTGTTTCCGTTGGAGATGAGGTCACTGTTGGTGAGTATCAAGACGTGCGCTCAGGGTAATCAGGACGTAGCATGATTGAGTGGGATGGGCAGGGAGGCGGGGAGAGAGGAGCAAAGGACGAGAGGTTGGCAGGTCGGCGGCGACATGGAGGATGAACGAGGTGGGCGCATGGGATTGGGAAAGTCTAGCAGGGCTGCATCACTGCTGTCAATGCGAGGAGGGCAGGGTCATCATTGCAGGGAGAGGAGCAAGGGAGGAGGGAGCCATTGAGGCAGATTCGCTCCGCCCGCCCCACGCATACAGCCTACTGACCTCTCCCTCTCGTCCCACCTCTCACCCACCCGCAGGCCAATGCCGTCCCCTCTCCAAGACGATCCGCTTCAACGTCATTGACCACCAGGTCAACAAGCGTGCCGAGAAGGCCGCTAAGCAGTTCGGTCGCTTCTAGATTGGCGGACCACCGTAGCGGATGACGGCGTCATTCCAATGGCGGGGCGTGGTAGCCACTGAGCGCATGAGGGGCACGCCAACCCCTCTTCATCGCCTCAGCGTTGAGGTCTCGCCTCGGCCACGTCAGCTTTGTATTTTCTTCATCTCTCACTCAATCTCAGCGACCATCGACTACCACTTCGTTCATGGCCCCTTTCGCGCCCATCAATGGGTTGTGAGCACATAGGCTCAGCCCAACCAGTACGCCCAGTCCCTTGCCTTGGTGCGAGAAACATCGATGATTCTCCTACTGACGTGCAGCACAACGACTACACAGGCGGGAAGATGAGCAGAACACGCGGAGGCTAAGCGGGCGGCGTAGCAGCAGTAGTCAGTCATCGCCTTGACCTCGAGGCACGCACGACTGGATATGCATTTGAGAATAGGGAGATGGCTAGCAGAGATGGTAGTAGCAAGGACGCTTCTTGATCGTCGTTGGGCTCTGCCCCTTTCGCACCTTGCCTCTGGAGCCTCTGGACCATGAGCATCGCCCCGTCGCTGCGGACTCCTGTCATCTCACGCCGCTCACTCGCTTTCCTCTCGATCATCGTCACGGCGTCGCTCGCAGTGATCGAGCCCCTAGCACGACGTGAGCTCGCTACCATCACTCTCCCTCGACTAGTCCGCAAAGTCGTGTGCGGGGACATGAGTCAGTATCACCTCCCAGGCTTAGGTCTCCTCTGCGAGCTCTTCCTCATGATCAAGGCCGCCGGAAAAGGTGCGCACGCCCTCCTTCTCCATCTGTGTCATCCCGCTGTGCTTAATTAGGCTCTGTCGAATCTCGCTCAAAGGCTGAGGACGTGGGAGAATCTTGCCGATTGCGGCGTCGCTGATGGGAAGCAGCTCCTTTTGCTGCAGCAAACGGATGAGGTCTCCCACCATCTCGTCCTGCCGTCCAATCTGTGCCTCCATGATCGACCTCGGCTTGCTGCCGACGTATAGCAGAGACTCGTCGGCGGGCCTGTGAGCAAGAGAGGTAGGGAGGGCAGAAGGCGGTGAGTAGGTGGCGTGACAGCGCACGACGACGCCGAGCAACACGCACTCGCCGCTTGTTTTTCTCGCGAGCCGGGATTGAAGGCGTCGTCGCTACGCGGACGCTCGCCCTCTGATGACTCTTGATACGATATTGCAGCTGAACGCCTGCGTGCATCAAAGCAGTGTGGGCGAATGCCGCGGTCAGCATGGCCATGCTCTGCTTGCCTCGACTCTCTCCTCGGTGCTCACCTGGCTGACGTCGTGGCGCTACTTCTATGGCTGTCTCTGCTGAGCTCCTTCGCTACCTAAAGCAACGCCAAGTCTTCTGTGCCATGGCCAGGAGGTTGATGCCACGCGAGAAGGCGAAGAGTGAGGAATCAAGTACAACGGTGCCAGACGAGGCGGAGCAGTAGGCCTCGCAGACAGGCCGGCATGCGACCAGGAGGTGACCGAGATCGCGGAGGAGAGGCTCTTTCCCGGCCACCGGAAGAGTAGCTTGTAACGCCACGGCTGCCTCCCACGCGAGGATGTCTAGCATGGGCCTGCTCTGCTTGGCAATCTGGTGGGCTCGATCGAGAAGCGTGTAGCTGCTGGCAGAGTGACGAAGGACAGTCCCGTCTCCCCCCACGTCGTCGGCGAACTGGCGAGTCAGGTCGATGGACGCACAGTTGCCGTTGAGGATGGCGTTGATGTCGACGTGGAGCGGAGGCACGATGCTGGTCGGCGTTGCCTCTGGACGGGTGTGGCATGCTTGAAGCCCAGAAATCAGCTTGGCCAGCTGGTCGACGGCCTCCTCGCGAGGCAGCTGCGAGGTGAGGATCTTCTTGATGTCCTCGAAAGGCCAGTCGCCCCACAGGTTGCAGCGCAGTAGCCGGCGTGGTAGGCTCTTTGCCCCCTCCACGAGTGCGCCGGGCGAGGCGTTGACCACCTCGGTCTGCCCGTCGCTCTTGACAATCGCCCTAGCTCGCCTCTCGTCAGCGTGCTCGCTGTCCAATTGCTAACGGGCCCTCGTGATGAAGCCGGCACGAGCTGCGTGCTCGTTGCACTACTGCTCCCGAATGCCGGCCTCTGCGAAGACGAAGGTTGCTGCGTGCAGCTGGGGCGATGCGTGGCACACGTAGTCGTCGCCCTGCTGCATCCAGAACGCGCTTGCTCTACGGAGAAGCTGCTGGCGCGAGAAGATTCCGGGGGCGATCTCAAAGGCCTCGACGTCGTGATCCTTGAGGAAGAGTCGAAGTGACTCGAGCTTGAGGCCCTTCACGTGTGCGACGGCGTAGGCACTTGTTCTAGATAGGAGGGCATCATCTCCGAGCTCCCTTTGCGCCGTCCGTGCCCAGAGAATTGAAAGCCGCGCCAACTGCATCGCGTTGCCCTCACTCGTCGCTCCGACGCGCAGCGTAGCCGCCTTGCTGTGACGGAACTCTAGGCCCCAGTGAATCTCCCCGGGCTTCATGTGCGCGTTGCTGGTCACTGTAGGGAGCAGCGAGGGAAGACCGTAGTCCTCAATGACGGTCGCGCAGCCACTCTCGTACGGCATGCTCGCCCTTTCCCTCCAGGAGCTGCATGAAGACGAGCTCTCGCAAGGCGGCCATGGCGAAGCTACCGTGGACGAGCGTGCGAAGCTCGTCGTGCTCCTCCGCAGATCTTCCGAGTGGTCGCATTGAGAGACCGAAGACCGAGCCGTAGGTGCGCCCACCACTCTGCAACTCCGAGCCTCTCGACAGACGAAGGGTGTAGTGGGAGGCGGTGCCGTCTGCCAGCTCTGACCAGTCTTGATCCATCTCGGCGTCGGCACCCATGGCAGTCCACGACGAGAGGCGGCTCAGAGCGCCCGGGCGAGGTCGAGCAGCCAAGCTGACGCTGATGTCGGCCAGCTGGCATGTTCAGCGGAACCCGTTGACGATGGATACTCGCACCTCCCGCGGGTCTGCGCCCAGCCTCTTTGCCAGAGCTGCGTCTGGTAGCGGGCCGCCGGTCGGCAGAGCCGGCACGACGCTCTTGACCTCTTCGCTGCTGAGGACCCACGAGGAGCAGTTCATGGTAGTGACTCGAGCGAGGATGACGTCGGGGAGGCCGACGAGGGGAATACGGAGCGAGATGGCCTTGTCGTCGAGGTGCTTCTGCAAGGGTTTGATGCGCTCATTTTCTTCGACGTCCAGGTAGTTGGCGCGGCGCTGCAGAAGTTGCTCGTTGACGTATGAGGCCATCGAGGCAGCAAGAGCGCGGGGTCCTCCGTATCGCTCTCTGCAGAGGTCTCGAGCGTTCTTCACCGTTGATGGTGGGCTAGGCCGAGCGCGCAGAGTATCAAGGGAGCCGGTCGCAGAGCCGATCTCTATCCTCAGACAGGCATGCTCGAACCTCAAGCTGATCTGAATCGGAACATGTAGTGTTGATCTGCTTGAAGATGAGGGACGGGCTGTAAGGGAGCTACTCTCGGAGGCAGAAGCGAGAGACGAGACAGCCGGCTGAGCGCGAGGCGCCGAGGCTAGAGCCCCAGCTGCTCGATCGGGATCGTTTGCGGGCCTCTTGCTGTATCGGTATTGACGTTCTGCGCGGGACGGGCCGTCGCGGGGTGCGCTGTCGTCGGCAAGCGCTCTGGTCAAGGTGCGGTGGGAGCAAAGTGTGACATGTGTGAATGGCAGAGCGGGAGATGATCGAAACTCAGTAATGGTGCACTCACTTCCTCCGTGGCTCAGACTTCGATGCCTCGTCGTGCTGAGTCGAGCTCTTCTCCCTCCGCCGGCGTGTCTTTGAAGGGTACCTCGATTCTATGGCGGATCGTGAGGGGAGTGGTACGACCGGGGCCTTCATCGGGACGAGGAAGATCCTCGTAGCTGACAATGACCGGGCGATCCGATCCCCATCCAGTTCCCCGAGGCCGTGAAGTCGGTGCTGCGCCATGTGTCTCCACCGGCCACGATAGCTAGAGCTCTGAGGATTTTCCCGCAAGTGGATGGTGTTGACTGCTGACTGATGACTAGACGGGACCTTTGAGCTGTAGAGCTTTGGCTGGGCGGGACTAGCCGGCGCTCAGACCCTTCTTTGCGCCTACAGTATCTGGTTTCTTGAGCTCGAGTCTGTGTCTCTTTCAGCTGCCTCGCTTTGATCTATCACTTTGAATCGACGGGATTCACAAGCTAAATGAGCCGCTTCTTGACCACGTAGCCATAGCCATTGAATGATTCGATCAGTCTTTCGGGCCTATGTCCAGTCTTGACGATCGGTCTGCGCATTAGAAGAGCTACGAGTCTCCGACACAGTGCTGGCCGCGAGAGGAACGGGTGTGCGCATGAGCTGAGGAGCATCTGACATTCCATCATGAGGCTGAGCACTCACCGAGAGGGCGTGTCAGTCTGCGCAGGCACGACAAATGGGTGGCGTGGGCCAAGCGCCTTGTGCGAAGGTGATGAGGCGAAGAGCGACGACGGAGTAGGACGCTGGTGGAGGGCGCGAGGGGAGAGAAGTGGTGGGTACGGGCTGTGCCGCTGAAGGGTATGGCGATAAGGAGGGAGAGAAAATGGGAGACGGAGTAGGAGGAGTGGTGAGGGTGACGGAGGCGATGAGGGGAGTGATGGATAGATTGGAAAGATGCTGAGCACGGCGACGCGAGAGCAATAGGGCGCGACGAGGGGGCTGCCAGCCCACGCTGCCTCGCACAGGGAAGATGAGGTCCGCACTCTCGTGCCTGACATTGACGAGAAAGGTAGAAGCTGACCCCCTATCGTCGAGCAGCGAGCAGGCACCGAGGTGCGGCTCGCTATGGCCACCATGACCAATGATCCGCCCTGGACCGATGATGCGAGCGAGTGCAGCGGCAGGCGGACGGATGAGAGCAGGGCGCTCCCTCGCTTGTCGCGACCATCGACGGGCGGTCTTCGCAGCAACAAAGACGATGGGAGCTACTACGACTCGACCTTGTCGGTGGAGCTCAAGCGATCTTTCAATGATGGCCAGTGACAACCTCTGTGACCCCATCCGGTTACACAGAGCTGCGCGAACGCACTACGTCGTCACGAAATGGATGGCGAGGGCACAGGGTAGAGTGAACAGAAGACGAGGGAGCGAAGAGACTGGCACGAGGCTGCTGAATCATTGATGCTTGTCGATCATTGTTGAGATGGCGCTTCCCACTTACGCGTCTCGACAAGGCCAGTTCCCCCCGTATCGGTCCTCACTTCTCTGAGCGCGGCCACCGGTTGGAGAGGATGACTAAGCGTGCCCGGCTAGACGAGAGCCCGACTCCACCCATCCCACCCTCCAGTTCCCGCTTTCCGTTCCATCTGTCCTTGCCACCACACGCCATCATAATCACCCCCACAAGCATGACCGCTCTTCGTCACTCTGTCGTCTCATCGATGCGCGCAGCCGCACCTCGACGTGTCCCTCATCCCTTCGCTGCTAGCCTTCTGTGAGCTTGCTCCATCCCATCAGCCATTGAGGAGAATGTATGCTAATATCAATATCGTCATCCCCTCCTCGTCATCAGGTCGCGCGCCTACTCCTCCGGCTCCTCCTCGTCAAGCAGCGGCAGCAACAACAGCGCTCCCAGCAAATCGTCCAAGTCCCCTTCTCTAAACGCAAGCAACATCCAACCCCCACCCACATCCAAGTTCAACCGTCCCTCCCCCCCCACCCTCCCTGCAGCCGAGCAAGCAGAATTCAACCGCCTAGTCGCTGCTCGCTCTGGTCAGCTCCAATTCAATCGCCCTGCACCCACCGAATCCGACAAAGAGGGAGAGCTCCACCCCAATGCTAGGCGATTGCCCACGCCGGACTTTGAAGGGGACACTAACCCGGAGACGGGCGAGGTTGGAGGCCCAAAGAAGGATCCACTGATTTGGAGGGGAGAGTATACGTATAATGGGAGGGCGACGGATTTCTAGCTGCGCTCACTTGTAGACGAAGGAGCAGCCAGGCAGGCAGGCAGGCAGGCAGGATGGGGTGCGACGAATACCAATACAATTGCATTTGCTTCAAGCTTGAAAATCAGGAGGAAGGAAGACTGCAACGGGGCACAGGGCATCACGAGGCCATCTCCACATCCCCTACCGCCGTGCCATTGGCATTCCTCCCCGCATCCTCACTCCCACCACCTTCGCCTCTACGTCCCCGCTCAAGCTCCCTCTCCCTCTCCGCCTGCTCGCTCAGGTCACCGCCGCCCACAATGGCCGCTGCAACGACCGCTTCGGGTGGGACGTTTTCGCTCTGTGGTGGCTGCTGCTGCTGCTGCTCTGCTGAGGTGGAAACGAGGGGCTTCTCCGGCGAGGACGAGGATGTCGAGGCGTCGCCGTTCGGTTGAGAAGGCAACGCTCTGGAGGCGCCGTTGCTCTTGATGGTCGGAGTCGCTGAGCTCCACCTCTCAAAGGGGCTCGCCTGATCGAAGAAGGAGCGTCTTGGCCTGCCCACCTTCGTCAACCTTGGCGGAGGTGCGCGCAACCGGCCTCCATCCAATCGCCTTCTCCTCCTGCGTCGACCTCCAACGTAGCTGCCGTCATCCTCCACGTCGCTAGAGTCCGACTCGTCGTCCATGTCTTCGTCCGCTGACGTGCTCCCCTCATCATCAGCGCTGTCCGCCTCCGAGTGGTCCTCGTCGTCGTCCATGTCCATCGGCCCGCGCCTGCGTCCATTCGCACGTCCATTCGCCCTCGCTCGATAGCTCGACGACCTTGCTGCCGAACTGAGGATGCGTCGCAGCGCCTCGGGAGGGGGAGGGTTGTACCCGCTCCCCGCGAGCACGGAGGGTGCCGTCGGGCGGGGTCGAGCCACATTGCTGTACCAAGGAGTCGTGGTCCCACTACTGGAACCCGCCGTAGCAGCAGCTGTAGCGCTCGCAGCGATGTCCTCTGAAAGCAGAGAGCGATGCAAAGCCCCACTCCTCGAGTCCAAGCGAGAATTGCCCGATGAGAGGAGTCTGTGGAGGCGATCACGTTGTGACGACGTGCCTACAGTTGGTGGACCGTGATGCCTATGGTGGTGGTGGTGATGGCCGTCTTCGGCTTCAGAATCGTCACTCTCACTGACGGGCGTCTCGATGCGACGCTTGATCTCTGCCCGCTCCAGACTCTTGGCGATGCGTTTCTCGAGCTCGCCGAGCTTGCCTCCCTCGCCCTCCTCTTCATCGTCCTCATCCGCTCGCATCCAGGTCGGTTCCACTCTGCCGCTCGCCCCTGCGCGCCTCTCCTCTTCGTCCTCATCCGCGCTCATCCCGCCCTCGGCGTGAGCATTGATAGCCTGCCCAGGTGTCGGCTGCATCTGCACGCTCGGAGCAAAGGGCAGAGTCCGCAGATTGTCGATTAGGCGCGAGCGAAGTCCCTCTAGGTATGCTTCGGTGTTGAGGTTCTCCATGCTGGTCGGACGCACGTCCAGCTTGTACTCCGGGCCGAACCATTGCATGTATTCGTTAAAGGGCAGGTCCTCCTGCGGCGGGCGAGCGAGCGAGCGAGGGAGCAAGTGAGCAAGTGAGCAAGAGGACCGAGGGCGACGCTACGCCGTACTTACATCAGGCTCTCGTCCTAGGAGAAGGGCAGTCTCGTACGTCCATGTGCGAGCAACATTGCGAACCGTGTACCCTCCGCCGCCCACGCACATGAGGGGGACGTTGAATGACTGAAGGAAGGAGACGCACGCTGCGTGGCCGCGCATCGACAGATTAAAGCCTGGAGGCGTGGGCGAGCGCAGACTCTGTCAGTCCTGTGCACACGCTACTCTGCTTGTTCCCCACACGAACTTACATCCCAGCTTGTCCCCCGCGAGCGAATCAGCACCACACTGCAGCACGACTGCGCCCGGTCTATACCACTCCATGATTCTCCTGATCACCGGCTCGAACAGTAAGCGATGATACGCATCGTCCCCCACTCCATCTCTAAGGGGTACATTGACTGCGTACCCCTTGCCCTCGCCTATCCCAACATCTCGGACGTCCCCGGTGCCGGGGAAGAAGTCGCCGAACTTGTGGAATGAGACGGAGAGGACGCGATTCGTGGAGTAGAAGGCTCTGCGCGGCGTGCGGGATGGGATAGTCGGGTATTGTTAGAGGAGCTTGAGCGTGGGAGCGTGGAGCTGGGCTAGACTCACTCTTCCACCCCGTCACCATGATGGATGTCCACGTCTATGTAGAGGACGCGTGGGTGGACGCGAAGCAGCTCGAGGATGCCGAGGACGATATCGTTGGTATAGCAGAATCCCCTGCGAGTGCGGCGCGGTCCCATTGATCAGCATCCCGCCCCTCGCTCAGCAGCGTCATCATCGCAGCGTCCTGGCGCATACTCACGAAGCCTCCCTCTTCTTGGCGTGATGCAATCCCCCGGCCCAGTTGACTGCCACGTCTGCCGCGCCCGAGTTGAGCGATGAAGCAGCACTGATTGATCCGCCGGAAGAGAGGGAGCAGAACTGGAAGACCGAGGGAAAGGGGGGACAATCCTCGCCGACCAGGACTGCGTGCGCGAGCGTACGTGGGGGGGAGCATTCCGGCGTCAGCATGCTGTCGCACTGCCCTGCCCGCGAGCTACGGCTGCTTCATCGCCGCACTCACACCTCGAACCCTGCCCAGTCAATGCCTGACCATTCTCCGGGTTGACCCTCTCGAGGAAATCGACGTACTCATCCGAGTGAAACCTGGTCATATCGACCTTGTCCGCCTCCTTTGGCTCTCTCATGACCATGCACTTGTCCAGACCATACGCCGTGACGAGGGAGTGTGTCATTCGCATCCTATACGGCTTCATCGGGTGGCCGTAGCCGTAAGAGAAGGAGCCAATAAGTGGGGAGTGGTAGTAGTGGACGCGCTTGGAGCTGTAGTGCGAGGAAGTGATGGGGGCCAAGACATCTGGGTCTGCTTCTGCTTGTTGGTTGAGACTGAGATGCCGTCGGGAGGAGGGTCCAGGCTCGTCGTCGGACGACATGTCCGAGGGGTGTGGGGTGGACATGATGGGCGAGCTTGTGAGTGATGGAGGTGGTAGCGAAGGGAGGCTGCATTCATTCGCTCATTCGCTCGCTGCCCCTCCATCCAAGGCTCCCTCGTCGCGGTCTGTTTCCGGCGTCGGGGGGGCCAACCACGTGGTAGGCGGACTGGCTTGTGCGTGAGCCAGAGAGCCAGACGGGGGCGCGTGGCACTCAGCCTCGCCTCTGGTTCCTTCCACTCCAACACCATCACAACTTCCACAACGACGCCGCAATGTCCCTCCCATTGACGGCTACCCTCTTCTACAAATCCGCCTACCCAGGCGTAATATCCGCCTTCTCCTCGCTGCCCCGTCCGCAACCCCTCGATGTAGCCTACTGCGCTCGTGCTCACTTGGCCCTCACGCCTCCTTCCATCTCTTCGGCCCTCTCCCTCGTCCAGCAGCACAGCGACTCGCTCGGTCCCACATCCTCCAAGGCATTGCAAGCATTCGCGCGTGTGGTTGAGGCAACCTCAGCTGCTGCTGGTGGAGATGGAGAAGAGGTAGACTTGAGCACTCAAGTGTCGGCACTCGCGGATCTGCATGCCGAGGGGGAGGAGAGGGAGCATTACGATGGCGAGATGGAGCTGCTCGAGTGTCTGTTGGCGACGACACAGTGGCTTGATCAGGATCCATTAGGGGCATTGGAGACGTTGAAGATGGGGACATGCACGCAGAGGAACTTGGTGAGCAGACACAGGCGTTAAAAGGTTTGGCTCAGTCGCTGTCCCGCTGACTTTGTCGTGTCTTCATTGCGGCCTTCGCACGCGCGCAGGGCTCCCTCTCCCTCGGAATTCACCTCCTCCTCCTGAACCATCGCCTCGATCTTGCCACAAAAGAGTATGAAGCTGCTCGCTCATGGGCAGACGACTCCCTCGTCATTCAGCTAATCGAGGCATCCCTCGGCCTCTACTCTGGCGGCCGTGCGGCCCAACAAGCCTACTACGTGTACGACGAGTTCGCTAGCCCCTCGGCCACGTCGGAAGATGGCAAGCAGGGTAGGGCGGCAGCTATGAAGCTGGGAAGGGGGGTGGCTTTGATGAAGCGCGGGGAGTGGGGCAAGGCTGAGGAGGGATTGAGGGAGGCGGGGACTGGCTTGCAGCAGGCTGGGGATGGACAGGGAACAGGGCCCATCGAGAGGGATATCCAGGCGAATCTGGCCGTGGCGGCGTTGCATCTCAACCCGGCGTCCAAGTTGGAGAATGCCGGGCAGGAGCACCTCGAGTGGGTACGAGAAGCGACGATGACGATGATGCATTCACGATGCTGACCTGCATTTCCCTTCGCCCGCGTACAGCCGTCTCGCGACCCCCGCACCCCCACACCAGCTGCACACCTCCCTCGCAGAGATGAGCCGACGATTCGACGGTCTCGTTGCAAGCCGAGCAGTCGTAGCAGCGAGTGGCGACGCCTAGACGGACGGTTGAAAGCGCTCAATGGATACTATTAATACATTGCGAAGAGGTGCGCACTCATGACTGCTACTTTGCCTTCTCGCCACCGCCTACGCTATACTCTTCGCGCAGCATCCTCTTCCTCTCCCGCAGGATGAAGGCTTCTGTTGCGGCTCGATCTGGTACGACCGGGGTGGAGAGTTGCGCGGGGTCTAGGGCGGGAAGGAGTTGAGCGAGGATGGAGTTGCTGCCGTCTTCTTGAGCATCGCGATCTCCCTTTGCCTTCTTTGCTGCTCGTGTCGAAGTGGATGTGGACTTGCGCTTCTTGTCGTCGCTATGATCCGCTGCTGCCTCGTCTTGATTTTCTTCCATCTCCACGTCCCCCTGCGCTGTTGCAGTTTGGCGCGCCATGACTTCTCGTACGTTCGTCGCCCTCCTCCTGGGCAGGTCCGCCTCGACGCCGATCAGCTGGGCCACCTCGCCCGTCGATGAGCCCTCGCCGACCTCCAACTCTTCGCCTACATTGCGTAGCGCCTGCTCCCACCTCTGTCTCTCCCTCCTCTCCTCTTCTTCAAGCAGCGACTCGTGCCCATCCACCACATCCTCATCCTCGTCACCCCAGTAAGCCGGCGGCTGGCCAGCAAATCGTCTGTACTTCTCCCTAACTCCCCTCTCTTCTTCGCTTTGCTCCTCTTCCCTCCTCACACTGCGCTCCAACAACTCCTTGACACCAGGCAGGTCCTTTGCCCTTCCAAAGTACTTGTAGCCGCGCGTGCCCGGGATCTCACGACCGGCATCGTCGAGCTGAGAGGTGACGGAGCGTCTGTAGTTGGCGCCACCGAGTGCGACGAGCTGGTTTTCCCAGTGACGCTTCTCGCGCAAGAGCTTGTTGATCTCGTCGTTTAGATCACGGACTTCGTAGTCTGTCAGGCCGACTGGTGGGTGTGCGAGGGCGAGGCGCGAGGGCGAGGCAGAGGATCCAGGAGATCAGCATCCGTCTTCTGTTCTACAGTCCCTGGTCCTCTCGTGCGATAGCAGCGCGGACAACTCACAGTCCTGAATCTTGCCCACCTTCCTCCCAATCTCCCTCAAAACATCCCCACGCCATCTCTCGCACTCTCTCAAGTCCTTGACACTCGATGCCAACCTCGGGCGCTTTTGTCCTGCTTTGGGGCCTGTACGAATCCCCAGCTCGGCAGCTTGAGCTTCGCGAAAGCGGTACAGGAGGGATTGAGCCTTTTCTTGATTGCGGGCCATGTCTGCGAGATGAGGAAGGAAAGGGGAAGAGGAGAGGAGAGGCGAGGTCGAGTTGTGGATGGAGGGAGAGAGAGCATCGAGGGCGGACTGGCGGACGAGCGGGCCACGCGAGCCAGTCAGACCAGCTCGAGACGGAGAGCGGGAGTGGCATTCAGAGCCTCGCCAAAAAGTTCGACTTCAAGACCATCAAAGCGCGCATCAAGAAGATCAGTCAGGATGGCTTCGACCAGCTCAACAAGTCTCCCAGGCGTCGCCTTCGTCCATTTCCCAGACGCTCAGTACACTCAGCGTGCCGCCCTCCGTGCCGCTCAAGCTGCACTGGAGCCGCAAGGATGGCGAGTCGTGTCGCCTCAAGACGAGGAAGACGGTGACGCTTTGCGTACGGCGCCCAAGACGGAGGAAGAGGCCTCTGCGTGGATTGACCGAGTGATGGCAGGGCAACTCAAGACACACGATCACGTGAAGCGTATTGCCCTCTTCATGGATTACGATCTGATCCCCTGGGACTTGGTGCAAGGGCGCGGCTACATTGCTGCCTCCTCTACCTCTACCGCTTCCGAACCCTCTTTGACCTGCGTACCCGTCTCATCAAGCTCCTACTGCATCCGCAAATCCCTCATCCGCAAAAACTGGCTGCACAACTCCGTCCATGCCCACTCTGTCAAATCTTCCGCTTCTCCCTCCCCTCTCACCCTCCTGCCGCGCACATGGAGTATTGACCTCCAATTTGCCGACGATCTAGACGAGCTGCTCATCGATGAGCTCTACGATCTTGCGGAGCTCTTAGAGCAGGGCCAAGAAGAGAGAAGGAGGTGGTTCATCTTGAAAGCAGCAATGGCGGATCGAGGCATGGGGATCAGGATCTTTAGTAGCTTGGATGGGTTGAGGAGGATTCTAGAGGAGTTTGAGGAACAAGATGAAAGTGAGGACGAAGAGGAGGACGAGGCAGCAAAGTCGTCGTCGTCCTCATCAGCCGTTGCGCTTGGCCAGCTCAGGCATTTCGTCATTCAGGTGAGGCAGCAATGACTGCGCGGCCAGAAGAGTGCCGAGCTGACCCTTACCACTTTGATGCACCCCCGCAGGAATACATTTCCTCGCCTCTCCTCATCGCACCACCACCATCTACGTCGTCTGCAACCCCACCTCTTCGCAAATTCCACCTTCGCGCCTACGTCATCTGCGTAGGCGGACTGTCCGTCTACCTCTGCGACGAGATGTTGGCGCTCTTCGCGCCGAGGAAGTACAGCCTGCCACCGCACGATGACGACGACGACGATGCAGAACGGGACACGACTGGATGTGATATCGACACGCGGGTGCATCTGACGAACACTTGCCTTCACGCCCAAGAAGGAGACGAGGAGACAGGTCAAGGCAACGTGCACCTCCTTTCACGACTTTGTGACGAGGATGCAAGTTGCGTCTTGCCTCCCACTGCCTCGTGCTCCTCCTCATCATCGAGCACCCCACCTCCCCGCCCACTCACCTCTCCCGACCTCGCGCACATCCGACAGCTCGCTGCCACAACGATCGGCGCCGTCTTCTCATCGGCAGCTCGCGGCGCAGGTGCAACAGGGTGGCAGTGCTGGGATCAAGCGTGGGAGGTGTTCGGCGTCGATCTGCTCGTTGGGCGAGACGTAGAGGCCGCCGAGGGTAGTGACGCATGGAGGATGTGGCTGCTGGAGGTCAATGCTCAGCCAGACTTTGCTCAGAGTGGGGAGGAATTGCAGAGCGTCGTGGAGAAGGCGTTGAAGCGGGCTGTTGAGGTGGGAGTGTTGCGACGCGAGGACGAGGGCTGGAAAGTTGGGCAGTCGCGCGACGGGATCACTCTATGTCACTCGGAGAAGATGAGAGGTGCATGGTAAGCTGGGCCAGTAATTGCATTAGAACTTTACGTGGCTCCCACCCTTTGAGGCCTTGATCGTCGCTGGCCTCGTCGGCTTGCCATTCGCGGCGCCATCGTCGTGCTCCTCACCATCATCATCGTCGCTCTCTTCTCCCTCCCACCTGACTCGGCGTGTAGACTTGGGTCCCTTACCACCGGCCACACCGGTGTCTCCAGCCCCCTCGCCTGCGCCGCCCGTAAAGTCACCAAAGCCCATCCTAGTCGCCCTCGCACCAGCGCTGGCATCCTTGCCGACCAAGCCGCCGAAGCCTTGTTGCGCAGTAGAGGGCGGCGGCAGGCTGAAGGGTCTGTCCAGCAATGACCCGCAGAGGGCGAGCGTGTGGCCCCCACCACCGCCTACGTTGGCCAGGATGGTCAAGCCAATGACGACGAACTCAACATGACTGCCCAGCCTCTCGCCCGTCTCCTTGCGCTCCCAATACCCGGCCACACCCCCTGATCCGTCCACTTCTTCCTCATCATGCTCGCTGCGGTGCACCCAGTGCCACTCCTTGCCCATATGACTCGAGGGGATGCTAGCATTGAACGTCTCGTGCACCAGCACAGAGACATGACTGGGCGCCTCAAGGCTGATTGCACCTCTGAGCTTCATACCGACGCGCGGTCTCCAGACACAGCATTCCACTGCCACCTTTGATGTAGCGAATGCTCCATCTCCATCGATGAGCGCGCTTCCTCTGGCCCTGCTACCGGTTCTCTCCTCGTCCACGAGGAAGTACGACTGACCGTGTGACACGAGGACGCCATTGAGCGGGGGAACGAAGCGCATGACGAGGGAGTCGAGCTGTTCGCCTACTGCGATCGTGGGGTTGTGGGCGTGTATGGGGGGAATGGAGAGTGTGAGGATGGGGTATTGGATCTCGAAGGCTGAGCTGAGAGGCGCTGAGACCAGTGACGAAGAGGCCAGGTGCTTTGTGTGCTTCTTTGACTTTTTGCTGCGTGAAGATGATGAGCTGGGGGAGAGGGTTGAGCCAGCAGAGGAGGAGGACTCGCCGCCGCTAGACTCGGCATCGGAGAGGGCGGCCTCCTTCTCACGACGCTTCCTGCTGTGCTTCTTGACTTTGGATGACGAGGTAGACGCTGCGGACGAGGTTGAAGCTACGGATTCGTCTGCAGAGGATGCGCCGCCATCGGTTGCCTGCCTACGTTTGCGCTTCGAGACCGAAGACGAGTCGTGTGTTTTGGCCATGCCGTGTATGCTGCGCCGCCGATGCTGGTAATGCTAGGTGGTGGTGGTGCTGATGAGCCTCTCTGCCCACTCGTCCCACGTCTTGATCTCTTGTCCGCCTCACCTCTGCATCGAAATTGTCTCGCTCGCAAAAAGTTGAGCCGACGACTGGTCCACCCTGCCCTCTGTGGCCTGCCCGCTCGCGTGCCGCGTGGCCGCGCGAGGGATGAAATCGACGACGACAGACAACGAGCAACGGCGGCGATGGCGAGGCGAGAAACAGAGAGAGCAAGAGGGCGGCTCAAGGACGACGACGAGATCAACAGCTCGCAGTCCTTCCTTGTCCACCACCACCACATCTCAACCAACTACACAGCACATCATGGCCACTGAGATCCCTACTTTCAAGCTCGTCCTTGGTGTGTAGAGCGCGGATGCAAGGATCTCGACTGGGTCAGGTGGGAGCAAAAGCAGCTGACGTGACTTCCTTCCCCTCTGGATCCGCGCAGTCGGCGATGGTGGTACCGGTAAGACGACCTTCGTCAAGGTGAGTTGGCGACGGTAGCAATCCAGTAGCGTGAGAACATGTCATGCTCATCGACTACTCCCTCTCCTCCCCTCGCAACGCTCACAGCGTCACATGACCGGCGAGTTCGAGAAGAAGTACATCGGTGAGTAGCTGCAGTGGCGGCGAAGTAGCTGCGCATTGCCCACTGACATTCATTCTCACCTTTTTCCTCCCTGCCCTCCCGCAGCCACCCTCGGTGTCGAAGTCCACCCGCTCGAGTTCCACACCAACTTCGGCAAGATCATCTTCAGCGTCTGGGACACTGCCGGCCAAGAGAAGTTCGGTGGTCTTCGTGACGGCTACTACATCGGCGGTCAATGCGGTATCATCATGTTCGACGTCACCTCGCGCATCACCTATAAGAACGTGCCCAACTGGCACCGCGACCTCGAGCGTGTCTGTGAGAACATCCCTATCGTCCTCTGCGGTAACAAGGTCGATGTAAAGGAGCGCAAGGTCAAGACGGGAGCCGTCACTTTCCACAGGAAGAAGAACCTCCAGTACTTTGAGCTCAGCGCAAAGAGCAACTACAACTTCGAGAAGCCCTTCCTCTGGCTCGCACGCAAGCTCGTCGGTAACCCGTCCCTCGACTTTGTCGCTGCGCCTGCCCTTGCGCCGCCGGAGGTCCAGGTCGATGCTCAGCTTATGGAGCAGTACAACAAGGAGCTCGAGGCTGTACGTACCCTGGCGAGAAGGACGCCAGACTGTCGTTGCGCGCTCATGCTGACCCTGTTTCACCTATCCCGCTTCGCACCAGGCCGCCGCTGCCCCCCTCCCGGACGAGGACGACGCCGACCTCTAAGCAGCAGCAGCAGCAGCAGCACCCGCAGCAGCGCATGTTGCAAGTTCCTCGTAGTCTCCATACCAACACCGCCATTTCCATCATCAACTCAACCCTGTACCTCTCGCCTCGACACGCTTGTCTTTTTCCCCCACACCCACCCTTTCTCTGCTTGCAATAAACGGTCCACCTTCAGCGGTCCTCTTTCTCTCATACAATGATCATGCAGTGTATCCACGGTGAAAGGCAAAGCTGGCCAAATGGTCGAGCTTCCGGATGTGATTGCTCGATGGTTCTTCGCTCATCTCACCGCGCTCGCACCACTGACCAGGCCACGCGCTTGACCGAGCGAAGCGGAGAGCTGAGAGGCAAGGCTAATTGTCCATTTGATATACGATAAGCTCGTACGTACGGTAGCGATGTGGGAGGCGAAAGATGGAGGGCGGGCGAAACAGGGAAACGCAAGAGCTGACCTGCCACCGCAGAGGCCAGGTGAGGTGCAAAGAGAGTGGTGTTATCTACAATGAGAGAATTCGAAGGGAGAGCGGGTAGTGACGATGTATTTGGAACGAATGAAGGAGTGTGTGAGGTGAGACGTGGGGAGTCGGGGTAGGCTTTGTTTACGGGTGGGAGCATCAGAGCGTTCAAAGCCATGCTTCCCGCCGCTTTAGGAGACCATCGTCGCCGCACTCTGCGGCGGTGGCTGCTGCTCCTGCTGCTGCTGTATCGCCTCTGTGCTAGGCGCATTGATGCCCAAAGGCTCATCATTCGACTCCAACCCTTCCTTTGCCCCTACCTTCTCCACCGGTGGGACCCCTCCTCCACTCGGCGCCCACTCCTCATGCTGCGACGTCTTCGTCGTGGAAGACGACATGCTCTCGTGCGTACGATGATGTTCGTTCGTCGATTGCGAGCCACCGGACCTCGAGCCCGAGCCAGAGCCGGAGCCAGAGGCAGAAGCCGCCGCAGAGGGTGAGCCGGCCGATCCCGAGCCAGAACGAGAGGCAACCTCATCGCGGGATGCGGTTGCGTGATGCTGGGTAGAGGGCTGCTGCTGCTGCTGCTGCTGCTCTTTGGAGGGTGGCTGAGGTGGGTAGGCGGCGGCTGAAGAGGAACCGAAGGCGCCTAAGATTGGGGAGCTGTTGGCTGTAGTGCTGTTATAGTTGGAGTGCGGAGTCCCCTGACGCAACGGTGGGGCGAAGCCGCTGCTGCTGTTAATGCTTGCCCCGCCTGCGTGGCTGGTAGTACGCGGCCTATTCATGATCGATCCCGCCGCAGACCCTGCGCCTACATCGCTCGCCGAAGGGCTTCCTCTGCGCTCCACACCGGCAGCCCGACCTAACGGTCCTTCTTGAAGATAGCGATGTAGCTGATGCGCGCCGATGCTCCCGCTTACACTTCCAGGAGATAGGCTACGTTGAGGCTGTTGGCCACCTTCCTGCTGAGCAGCTGCGGCAGCCGCCTCGTTCCAGCTGTAGTTGCCCTCGCCAAAAGCCTCCTCCCCGAGCCCAATGCCCGACTGCTTGGAGAAGGCGAGCGTTCTCTGATCCTTCGCTGTAGCCATTCCGCCTAGGCCAATGCCCAGGGGCTGCGGTGGCACAATCTGGATCGCATCTCGATTGGAAGGCAGGTGCGGCAAGTAGCTATCGCGCTTTGAAGGTCCGGCACCACCTCCTCCGCCTCCGTAAGTGGAGGATCCACTACTCCCAAACAGCTGTGAATTCCGCCTCGCACTACTGTTGAGATAGTCCGTACTGCCTGCATAGCTCCGTCTGAGGGTCATAGTTGAGGACGAAGAGCTCATCGTCCGTGGACGCGCGGATGGCCCACCAGCGTCTGAGACGGCGTCGGGCGAAGCGACGCGCTGCGGCATCGCCACTACGCCCAGCTCGGCGAGAGAGCCCTGTTCTCCTGGGTAGCCATACGGTGATGTGGTGTGCGGAGAAGCATCCTGGCTGCTGCCACCGCCGCCGCCGCCGCCGCCAGGAGAAAGTGGCGAGCTGAGCCCTGCGAGACTCTGCGCTCGTGAGTGGCGACCATAAGATGAGGATCCTTCCTTGCCGTCAAAATGGGACGAAAGGGCCCCGCCGTAGATGCTGCCGGGCCTCTCCATAGCAAAGGAGCTCTTACTCGCACTACCCGCCCTCCACGTCGAGCCATACTCTGGTGTGCCAGGCGAAGCGGCCAATGAGCCTGCCCCTGCGCCCGCAAATCCATAGCTACCTGCATTCGTCCCGTATGTGCTCCCCAGCGGCTGTCGGATGGGTGGCAGTTCTTCGTCGCTAGGCGAGTTGCGGTGGCGATGCCATTTTGCGTAGCCTCGATAACCAAAGTAGGCGACAGCCATGCCTACGAAGATGCAGGCCACGATGATGCCCGCCGTCGCCGGTTGGCCCATGGCGGCTGCGAGTGGCGGACCGCCGGGACGACGACGACGACTACGACGATGGCTGCGAGGATGGGGCGATGTGGGCTGCCCGCTTTCTTTTTGAGAATCGAAGCCAAGTCTCTACCCTTCCAACGAAACTGGATGCGCTGGATGGTGGCGATACGCTATGCTGCAGGAAGGATAGGAGGATGGGGGGAGGAGGACGGAAGATGGAGAAGCGATTTTGCTCGCTGCGCCGCGTTTGGTGAGATCGGAGGAAATGACCGTCTCTGTCTTGCGCAAGCTCTGCACCTGCTCCGCCCTTCGATCTGCCAGGGCAAACGCAGCAACGGCGACGACGACAGACTAGACAGACAGACGACGAAACGAGGCTGGCTCCCCCGCCGCTACGCCAGGCTTGGATGATCCTTCTGCGTTCTGCGCCGTGCGCCGACCGATTTCGATGAGAGAGCAGCGAGCAGGATTTCGTCACCTTTGCCTTCACTGCTCCTGCTGCTGCTGCCGCTGCTGCTTCGGCCAAGACCAAGAAGACTAGGCTAAGGCGGGCTGAGTGAGACTCGTCGAGCGTCGAGCGTCGAGCGCCGAGCGTCTTTGGCTGCTTGCTTGCCTGGTGCTGCACGACCGGAGCCACGAGCGAGAGACAGTCGAGCGGGGATCAACGACGAGCATCGGCATCGTCTTTCCTTGACTTTTTGCCTCAGCCCGCCCGTCCGTCCAGCCAGCTCGCATGCCTACGCCCGCGCCGCCCTCTCTTCTCGTTGAATGGCTGGGTCAGCGGCAGCGGCAGCGGGTGCGGGTGCCCGGGCGAGGCAGAGGCGATGGGAAGAGATGGAGCAGCTTCAGGTACGAAATCATGGGCGGCGGCGGCGAGCTTATGAGCGACCGAGCGAGAACGAGGGGGAGGGGAGCGAGCGTGAAGAAGGACCGGGGAGCGAGAAGAAGTCGTTCAAAAGGCTCGTGCTACGCATCGTGCTATGGATCACATTGAGGAGGACGTTGAACCAACAATAGACGGCTGTTCATGCTACGAAGGCGAGCGAGCAGGGCAGGCTGACTTGGTCGCTCTCTCGCTCCTGCGCTCACTCACTCTCTTGGCTTGGCGTGACGAAGACGATCAGTGAGCGGTGTGGGACAACGCCGTGGCGCAGCGGTGTGCTATGTCTTGGTCCCAACGACATCAGACCTGATTGTCGTCTTGACCAGTCGATCCAATCTTAGATTTGGGATGCCCCTCTCGCATGGCCATGGCTCTTGCTCTTACTCCCTCTCTCCCACCTCACGGCTAATCGCTGCTGCTTGTCTCCGCCTCTCTCCGTCTCTTCCAGGTGGGCGAGCATGGGCGAAGCGTGGGCGTCCGTCTGCCTGCCAGCCCGCGTGTCGCCTCGTCTCGGCCGCCTAGGCCGGGCAGCGAGGAGGGCAGGCTAGAACTTCTCAGCGCGGGCGGGCGAGCGGGCGGACGGAGAGGCGGCGAGGACGAGAGAGAGAGCGAGAGGAACACCTTTACGACTGCCGCTTGCGCCCTTCTCATCACCATCTCTACCTCTCGCAGCTTACCCTCTTCACCCTCACGCTTCATTGTCATGTCCGCACTCCGATCATTGGTCAGGGGGGCTCCTCTGGCTCAGTCCTCCCTCGCTACTAGGGCTGCTTCGACGCTCAGCGTTGGGTCGCAGAGGATCCCGTCGGCCAGGGTGAGCAACACGCAGCGCAGCGCAGCGACCGCCGGGTGGACAAGGAAACGGGCCTGTTCAACTGACACGTCTCTACCCCTTCCATCGCCCACAGACACCCACCAAGTACGGTGGCGTCTACACGGTCACTCTGATCCCCGGTGATGGTGTGCGTACAACCTCGCGATCGAGGAATGCTGCGTAGATCCTTTGCATGATCGCTGATCGGCCACAACTTCGCACTCCCTCTCGCCCGCGCAGATCGGCAAGGAGATCACGGGCTCGGTCAAGGAGGTCTTCTCCAGCTTGAACGTCCCCATTGAGTGGGAGGAGTACAACGTTTCGGGCGAGACGCACGGCTCAGAGAAGCTTTTCAAGGTGCGCCGTGCCCGCAGAAGAGACGGCTCGATCCCCTGTTACGATGCTCACAGTCTGCCGTCCTCTCACGCTCTCAGGAGGCAATGGAGAGCTTGCGCCGCAACAAGGTCGGGCTCAAGGGCTCCATGTACACTCCTATTGACGCTTCTGCCCACAACAGTGAGTTGCGGCGCGATGTTGACTTTTTCGGCACTTCCAGCGCTCGAGCTGATCATTTCTCCCGCCCTTCTAGGCTGGAACGTCGCCCTCCGCCAACGCCTCGACATCTACGCCTCGCTGACCCTCTGCAAGTCTCTGCCCGGCTTCCCGACCCGCCACAAGGACGTCGACATCGTCATCGTCCGTGAGAACACCGAGGGCGAGTACTCTGGTCTCGAGCACTCGTCTGTCCCCGGCGTAGTCGAATCCCTCAAGGTCTCGACCCGAGCAGGCGCAGAGCGAATTGCTCGCTTTGCCTTTGACTTTGCGCTCAAGAACGGCCGCAAGCGCGTCGTCTGCGTGCACAAGGCTAACATCATGAAGCTGGGCGACGGCTTGTTCCTCAACACTTTCAGGGATGTGGCGAAGCAGTACGAGAACTCCGGCATCACTACGGGCGACATGATTGTGGACAACACTTCTATGCAGCTCGTCGGCAAGCCCGGCCAGTTCGACGTCATGGTCATGCCTAACCTGTACGGCAACATCGTCACCAACATCGGAGCCGCCCTCGTCGGTGGACCCGGCGTGGTGCCCGGCGCCAACATCGGCCGCGACTTTGCGCTGTACGAGCCTGGATGCCGACACGTTGCCAAGGACATCGCGACGCAGAACAAGGCCAACCCCACGGCTATGTTGTTGAGCGCGACGATGATGCTCAGGCATCTGGGCTTGGACACCCAGGCTGACGCGATTGCTGGGGCGGTGTACAAGGTCATCGAGGAGGGCAAGGTCAGGACGGCCGATGTAGGCGGTAGCAGCACGACCAGTGACTTCACCAAGGCGGTGCTTGACCAGCTTTGAGCCGGGCGTGGCGTGCAGCGATGGGGTCTGTTTGATGTGTAGAAGTAGTGACGGCGTGCGCATAGGGCCGTAAATGCTATCACTCGTTGATAATGACGTCGAGGCTGGAGAGAGCCTGAGTGTGTCTGTCTGGGTGTGACAACCCCTGCCCATTCTTCATTTCCTGGCAGGTCGTACGAGCGTACGTGCGTGCAACCGTATCTCATTAACAGTCTCCCCCCGCTCACATGACCACAAAGTTCCTCGGCTGGTATCGCTGAGAATGGTACACGCTCTTACCGGCCTCCCAACCAGGCACGTCCTTCATAATCTCCTTTTCCCTGGCCAGATTGGCCTGCTCACGGCGGTACGAGTCTCGGTCTGCCTCTGCTTGGAGGAGGGGGACGAGATGAATGCGCGACCAGGCATGTTCGCGAGCGAGTTCCCTGCGCGAGTAGGAACGATTGCAGTGGTTATTGAGAGGAAGGAGAAGAGAGAGGGAGAGGAGGAGAAGGAGAAAATCGTAATGGTCGTCAGCAAAAGATGAGGTGAGAGAACAGAGGCCGGGCTACGAGACTAGCTCACCTCTTCTCGATGTTGCCCGTCGCAACCTTGTAGAAGCCGTATGTGCAGATAGCGAGGACACCACCGAAGATGGCGAGTCCTCCGGGACCGCGGGCAGGGAGATTTCGCTTGTATCTGATGGGCTGATAGCCTCCCTGCGGGGGCAGATCTCTGCGCGGGGGAGTGGGAGGGGGTGAGAGGTAATGGGTGAGCAAAGCTGTTCGTCCTTGTCCGAGGAAAGGAGGCGAGAGAGGGCTCACTGATTGTATGGGACTGGTAGAGGTGAGGAGAGGATACATCTGTGAGCTTGCTGCTATGCTGCTGGTAATCTGCTCGCGCTCGCCCGCCTACTCACCACCGCTCATGCTGATGCTGATGATGAATGCGAAGCCTCGAGGATCGTCGCCGTCGCCTCTGGCCCGCAACGTCGTCTCGGCTTGGCCGGGGCATCCGCTTCCGATCCGACTCGAGACGTTGACACCTCTCAACTAGGCGGCGGACCGTCAAATTTTGGTGCCTGTGCCGAGCGAGCTTTGGCGCTCAACCTTCTCATCCTACATCACATTATCGCCACGCCTGCTTCTCCTACCGCTCAGCAGCATGGCAGGCTCATCGGGCTCCCAGCTAGCCCAACTCAAGCGGCAGGTCAAGGACAGCGGCATCAATGACCGCCGTCAAGAGTCCGCAGCAGCCAAGAAGCGCAAGCGTGGCGCTCAAGCTTCGGAGCAGGATACCGCCGCCGCAAGACGAGCTGCTCTCGCCCGCATCAAAGACGATCGACGTTTCAACCCTTTCGACGAAAAGGTCACCAAGCAAAAGCATGAAGTCCTGGGAAGAAAAGTCAAGGGAGCAGTCGGTCGTCCCGGCCTAGCCAAGCAGGGTGGACTTGCCCAGAGAGCCGCGACCTTGTTGCCAGAGTACCAGAACCGTAATCGCTCGAGTACTTTCATCGATCGCAGATTTGGAGAGAGCGATGCGACAATGACGCCCGAGGAGAGGATGTTGGAGCGTTTCACAAGGGAAAAGCAGAAGGGTGCAGGTTCAGGTGGGGGCAAGGGAAAAAAGGCTGCGCTATTCAGCTTGAACGATGAGGAGGGGCAGGAAGAGTGAGTGTTGCCTTGCGATGGATGAGGTAGTTGCACTGCTCCCCAATGCTCGTGGTTGCTGACCATTTGCTCATCGCCGTGTGCAGGGAACTCACCCATTTTGGTCGCTCCCTCTCTGGAATGGGCAATCTCCCCATGCTGGGCGACATTGATGAAGATGGAGGTGAGTACCCGCACAGAATCTACGTGGGATCCGCAGCCGGCAAAGATGAATTGCGCACCATCGTGGCGCCCATTCTGTTTATATCATCCTCTCGATAGACGTCGCAAGACGATGGGAGCAAAAAGTTCTACTGGAGATTTCTGAGCCATCACGCGAGGCGGATACTTCATTTCACGCGAGCAGCTGGGACTCACTTCCTCTCCTCTCCTCTTTGCGGCATCTGCAGCAGGCCAAATCGACTCCTACACCACAGGCGCAGACCACTTTGGCGGCTTCGAGGAAGGAGCAGGAGAGAGCTCATCTGGGCCAAAGACGAAAGCAGAGGTGATGCGCGAGGTCATGGCCAAGAGCAAGATGCATAAGATGGAGCGTCAGCAGATGCGTGACGCCGATGACGAGCTGCGTGCTCAGCTGGACGACGAGTTGGGCGATATTCGGGGCCTGCTCATGCAGGCGCCTGTGCCACCGAAGCCCCAACCGGGGGCGGCGGATGGCGAGGCGTCCACCTTTGCTGCTGGCGCTGTGGCTGGCCCCTCTGCAGAGAAGAAAAAGGCCGCAGAGTACGACAGCTTTGTCCGCGAGCTGGCATTTGAGCGTCGAGCGAAACCGCAGGAAAGGCTCAAGACAGAGGAGGAGTTGGCAGAGGAAGAGGCGGAGGAGCTGAGGAAGGCGGAGAAGTCTAGGCTGAAGAGGATGAGGGGTGAGGTCGATGACTCCGATGACGAAGAGAGTGGTAGAGGTAGACCGAGAGGGGAGAAGAGGGCAGCTCAGGGCGACGATCTCGACGATGACTTCGTGGATGGAGAGGGACAGACTGCTGCTGATATCTATGGTTTGGGTAGCGGATTGGGCGAGGGCGAGGACGATCAGGGGGAAGAGGACGACGACGACGACGACGAGGAGGAGAGTGAAGAGGAGCAAGACGAAGCTCTTGAGGTGGACGGCTACGGCGAGGCTATGGAAGGCGGCGGAGACGACAGCGAAGAAGAGGGCGAGACGAGAACCGCTTCCGCCATCAAGTCTGCTAAGCCAGCTGCGAAGCCCAAGGCCGCCGGTACCGCTGCAAAGGCTCCCGCCCTTCCCTTCACCTTTCCCTGCCCTTCAGCGCACAAAGACTTCCTCAACATCCTCAGTACCCACTCTGTCGACCCCTCGCAAGTCCCCCTCGTCATCAAACGCATCCGCGCTCTGCACCACCCCTCGCTCGCAGAGGACAACAAGTTCAAGCTGCAAGCCTTCATCGGCGTACTACTCGACCATGCTCTCTACGAGGCCAGAGCAGCCAGCGTGGAGGAGGATCAAGAGAGCAGTCACGCGCACTCGTCCTGTGTCGACTCGCTACTCGCACCGCTCTTCGAGCTGAGCACCGCTTACCCTCGGGCAGCAGCACACCACTTCGTCACCAAGATCAGTCTCATGGAGCGCAACCTCACCCGCGGCCTCTCGCGCGGGGCCATCAACCCTGAGAACAGGACATCGCCCGGAGCCGCCGAGCTTGCACTCCTCCGTCTCGCGGGGTTGATCTGGCCTACATCCGACCTCAACCACCCGGTCACTACCCCACTCATGCTACTAGAGGCACACTATCTCGCGCACTGTCGCATTCGATCACATTCGGATCTTGCGGCGAGCCTTTTCCTCACGAGCTTGGTGGTGCAGCAGCAGGCCGGTGAAGCGAAGAGGATGGTGCCCGAGGTGATCAATGCCGTCACAAACGCCGTTCTACTGCTCTTGCCCATCAACAAGCGCAAGACACGAGCACAGGCGATGGAGATCTGTAGACGATACGCCGTGCCTACGCCGGACTTCGGTGAGAGGCACGCCGAGGGGCTCAATGTGAGCAGTTTGCCAGAGGATGGCCGTCGTGCCGACCTCTTTGGGCTGCTGAGCGGGCGCGTTACGGGCTCAGACGCCGCGCAAGACTTGCTCTGCGTAGCTCTCAGCCTCGTTGTGTCTCTCTCGACCCTCTACGAAGGGACGGCGGCGTACATCGAGCTCTTTGAGCCTGTACGGGCCATCCTTGCCCTCGTTGCGGACAGCGACAAGGGCGCGGCATCACCCATCGGGATGACCCTCACACACCTCGAGACAAAGCTGCGTGTCGCACAGTCCTCGCGCCGCCCCATCACCCTTCACGCGCACCGTGCCGTCCCCCTTGCCTCCTTCATCCCCAAATTCGACGACGGAGGTCGTGGTTCCCGCCGTTACGACAACGGTCGCGGCTCCTCCGACCCCGATGCCGAACGCGCCCAGGCCGCCAAGTTGCGCGCTCTCGTCCGAAAAGAGAAGAAGGGCGCCGTTCGCGAACTCAGACGTGATGCGCAGTTCTTGGCACAGCATCGTGCTGAGGAGAGACGAGAGGAGGCAAAGGAGTACAATAGGAAGATTGGCAAGATCACGGCTGCATTGGGGGAGGAGCGAAGTGAGGAGAAGAGGAGGGAGAGAGAGAAGGAGAGGATGACGAGACGGAGGAAGGAGGGAGGAGGAAAGTGAGCCAACGAGGAGGGACCAGCCCTGCTGGCAGACGTGGCCGGAGCCGGCAATGTATCATCACCTCAATTACCAGCACAACAGCATTGCAAGGTTGCCGCTAACGTCATGCTCGCCCTTCTCACGGATTTACCGAGCGCGACCATGCCCGTCCGCAACAACCTTCACGCTACTCTGCTCGCTACCGCCCCTCTACCCCTGGCAGGTGATAGTATCGATTATGTCGCACCACGAATCGTATTATGTCGCACGACCTGTTCGCCTCTGTTTCAATCACCTAGGCGAAGTCTTCTGATCTGCAAGGGGGGCCGGCAGCAGCAGATCTGCGGCGCCCGCGGCGGTGGGTGAACCCTACGAGCAGATTCGTTCGTTCGGGCGTCGACGACGACGACGACGACGACGTGGCTTGAAGTGTGGCGTGAGAGGTTGCTGGGTGATTCATTAATTCAACGGAGGAACGAGGTACGGAGCAAAGAGACGTGGAGAATTAGGAATCCCCGGCCGTCAAACGCCAAGGTGACGTGGGAGGCCAAGACGCCGAGACTGAGACATGGGGCTAGCACCACTGCAAAGAGGCTGATGCTGCTGGTGGGAGGGGGCTTGGAAGGGTCACACGGGCTTCGCTCGACCCAGCCACTCAATCGGGCAAGGGACCCGGCTACGTCAGTCGCGACTGTGGCTGTCCATTTTCGTCGCCGCACTGACCCGCTTGTTTTCCAGCCACATGCAAGGCGAGGCGTGAGTACGCCTGCGTCCCTGTCCAGGCTCAAGGTGATCGATGTCGGTGATTCTCGAAGTGATTGCAGCACGTCTTGTCGCACGAGCAAGGCTTGAACTCAACACTGCGCTGCGCCTGTACTCGTCTGTCTGGCTGACCCAGTGGCCCGTCCGGGCTCGTTCGTCTGCTCACATCACGTCGCAGTGCGTTGCAGCTGCGTCGACCCGCGTCGGCACCGTAGCGTTGAACCGTAGCCCGTGCGCCGTGCATCGTGCGAACGAAGCCCGTACGCGTACCTGTCTCCGAACGGGAATCGCCTGTCTTGTCGCTTGTCGCCCATTGTTCGAGGACCCCTTGCCTGAGAAAAGAAGACGGAGGGAAGAATGCAAAGTGATCGCGACGCCTGACGACGCTCAAGCTTCAGTGTTCAGCCTCAGATTCGAGCTGCGGACGACCTGGATGCAGCTGATGCGGGGGCGGCGTCTAATGCGGGGAAGAAGCAGGTGTGGTGCAAGGTGAGGTGAGAGGGAGCAAGGAGGTGCGATTGAGAAGTCAAATGTTGGACAGCATTACAAAGACGAAGGCGAAGACGAGACGGGATTGGGCCGTGGCTGCGACAAGATCACGGTCGCGGAAAAGCCAAGAGCGGCATTGTCGTTGACAGACGCCACCGCCGAGAGATGGACAGCTAAGCTGGCCACGCCGGCCGAGGTAGCAAGACGATGCTCGCTCGGTCAATCTTTGCACACAGCCATTTCTAAACCAATCCCCGTGACCGCGGCGGAGAGTGGTGCTGGTGCTGGAGCGGGACAAGGTGTCGGTGGCTTTTGCTTTCTTCCTCTGGACCCTGATCAGTCCACTTGACACTCTTTCGCACACTTTTATTTTCTCCTTTTGGAAGGTGTCGACGTTGCAGATCTGAGGGTGGGTGTTGAGTGAGCGACGAGCGACGAGCGGCGACGTTGCCGTCATCGGTGTATCCCCTGCTGCGATGCTTGGCTTGGCTTTTGGTTCAAATGGCGCCGCGATGTGACAGGAATCGTGACACCACTGTCCGCCAATTCAGAGAGATCCGGCCGGTCTCTTGCGGCACAAACAAATAACACATCACACGCGCCCAAGACCAACTCAGACCAGCGAGGGCAGCGCGTGCGACAGATGCTGCAGCAGCAGCCAAGATGCGGCGGGTGCCACAACGCGGGACGTTCGGCGACACGGCGACGGGCGAAACCAACACTTCGGTAGAGGCAGAGGCGAAGGCAGGAAAAAGACCCTTGAGCCAACGCAGCTGTGCCTGTGCGCCGCCCGCCGCCTTTGCCTTCACCGAGAGAAGCGAGAGCACAAAGAGGAGGTGATGGTGTCAGTGAGGGTGCACTGAAGGAGCGACGACGACGACGCGATCACTGAGTGCATCATCTATGCACGTCTGGTGTTCCTTTTGAGGACGATGAGCGCGATGAGCAGCCAAGGACGCCGAGCAGAAGAGCGCGGCTGTACCCCGTACAGTCGACAGTCGGGAGTCGAGCATCGACCGACGTCGAGTTGCGCGGGCCGGCCTGTAATTTATCTGTGTATTTTTTTTTTGGTGGTGTTGAGAGTGTCGTCTACATGGTTTGGACGAGTGAAGCGACGAGCGCGGCGGGGCCGACGACGACGACGACGAGCTGGGTCGCCCGTCTCGACTTGTCCGACGGATGATGCACCATGCAACCACACGTCTTCAATCACATTCAGGCTAGGCCGTCTTTGCCTTTTGACCCGCCGCCGCTGCTGCCCGCCTCTCCGCCGCCGCCGCCGCCGCCGCTGTTGCTGCTGCTGCTGCTCGTGCTGCTGCTCTCGTCCCCTTGCACAGCCGGGTCGCTTTCCTGCTCTGTGTATGGTTCATGATGATCATCAATCGAGGTCAAGAGTGAGAGCGAGGGCAGCGAGGGTAGCGAGAGCGAGTAGAAGCTCGGAGCTAGACGAGATTGGACAGAGTGAGAGTGGGAGACGTTGGTGCGGAAGGGGCGGGGGCCCTGGTGGGCGGCGGCAGCGAGGCGCGGGCGACAGAAATTGGCCTTGGCCCGTGTGAGCCTTTCGAGCAGCGAGGTGCGTCTGTGTTGCATTCGTCGCCGCTCATCGTCGATGTCATGCTACGCCGTCGCTGCTGCCGATGCGGGCTGGACCCACAGCCAAGTCGTCTCGTCTGGTCAAACAACAACAGAAAACGATTGCCAATCGACCTCGACCCTTGTCCTCCCTACCTTTGCATCGCTGTCATCTTCCTACCGCCTCCATCTTACCTTGTCCCTCTTGCGCCCGCAGATCTCAGCGCCCGCGGATCTCAGCGCCCGCGAATCCCATCGCCCTCTCTTTGTTCGTCATCCATCGCCTCACCCTGATCACCGCGCTGTGCTGCGCACTACCTCCTCCACCGACGAGCGCTTTGAGACTACCTTGTCTCCTCCCTTCGGGCACGCCGATTGTTGGCGTCAGCGCGGGCTGTCGCCGCCGCCGCCGCCCCTTTGTTCCTCATTGACCTCGAAGAGCATCCACCGCTCGTGGTTAGGCGCGTCTACGCGTGAGGGCAGCTAGCTAGGTAGAGAAGAGACCAACACTTAATCAGGGCAGCGAACAACTTCCATCCCTTCCCCTCTGTATCACGCACCCGCCCATCCACCTCTTATCATCCTCATCTTCACTTTCTCGATCGCTCGCTCGCCCGCTCGCCTGCCTCATGGCTCACCAGCGTCAGCGCTCTAGCAGCACCTCCAATTCTCCACCACCGACATCGACAAAGAGCGCAGCAGCCAGACTTCCCACCATCTCGTCAGGATCGGGCGGCGGTAATACCGAGCTTCGGGCGCAGATTCGTCGTGAGCGAGAAGCGAGCAAGACTAATGCCCTGGGCGTTGTGAAGAGGGAGCCCTCCGGCTCGAGCATTGCATCGATGGCTGCACCCTCGATGACAAGGCAGCACACTCATCAAACGAGCGATAGTGACACAACAGCAATCGCAGGGCCCTCTCAGTTGGATCGGCGCACCTCATCCACTCACCTCGACAGCTACGCAGCACCACCTGCAGCCATCCCGCCTTCGAGTTCAGCCGGCTCAATGACGGCAGCTGCGGAGCCTCGCATCCCAGCCTCAACATCCAAAGCCGCCAAGCGATTGAGCACAGGGTCTGCCGTTGCAGCTGCCGTAAGAAAGCTTGAAGAAGACGCCAAAGCCAGAGATGCCGGGCACGGCGGATTCTCCATCACTCGATCCGGCTCGACTGGTTCAACAAAGGGTCCACCTCGAGAAAGAAGGAGCACAGATGAGTTCGCGCTCGAGACCGCCATTCCTGAAAGCTATGATCACTCGGTAAGTCGGCGCGAGGCTGCATGTTTGCTGTTCTAGTTGTCGCTGATCAATGCTGCCCCGCATCTAACCCCGCAGTTCGGCATCGAGACACTCTCCGCAGCCTTCTCCGCCAAATACTACGAGCTCGCCAACAAATGCAAGAGTTGGGAAAGATATGCAGCTCAGCTACGTGCTCGAGCAGAGGCTCTCGACATCGACTACCGCATCCTACGCGAATCCAGCGAGAGGCAGGAGCGTCATGTCGTGGCGCTCGAGGCAGAGAATGCTGTGCTGCGAAGCCAGAATGAGCAGAGGGAGGCGAGAGCAAGAGAAGTCGAGGCAAGGGTGCGTACAGCGAGGCGAAAGCGGTGCACGGTACGGAGCAACATATTGAGTCTTCTTCTTGGTCGCCCGAACAGCTCACTCTCTTGGAAGCCCACGTCGCCGAGGCTGACCAACGTCGCGGACCTAGCAATGAGTCATCAGCAACGGGCTCCTCTCAGTGCGGCTCTTCCCCCTCGCCACCAGGACACAGCGCTTACCACTCTTCGAATCTGGCCAAATCTCAATCTTCGGGTGAAAGGGAGCGCCATCGAGCGCCAACGCCTCTGTCCGGCAGCCGTGATCGCAGCGAGTACGATGCTGGCCAAATCAACCTGTCTGCGCAAGGACAGCGACCCAAGCGTCCCCTCTCGATGGGACCCAACGATCACTACACCCATCTACAAAATGTCTCGCACCTCACCAGCGCCCCAATGATGCATGGCCCAGCAGCTTCAAGCTCGAGTGTCACCCTCCACTCGCAGTACGCCCTAGGCAGCGGCTCTCAAGCCCACGCAGCTCTACCCAAGCGCCGCAGCGTCAACAGCCTGGACCCAGACGTCGTCAAGTCCTCAGCGAGCCTGCCCGTTCTCTACCTCGGCTCAGCAGGGGTAGCCCGCAGCCGTGGCATGAGCGTCAGTAGCACGATGAGCGAGGCGACAATGGTTGCGCCACCCTACGTAGCGGCCTCTCAGCGCTCGAGCTCAGTTCTCGGCGGCGGTATGCCACACACGCGCGCAGAGACCGTTGGGGCTGACGGGAGTCACACTGGCAGTCTGAATGGACGACGACGCCTTCGCCGCACCTCGCTCAACCAGCAGCAGCAGCTTGCGGCACTGCAGGCGCAGAGAGACACTTCGGCCTCTTCGTCCAGTCGTCCTCCCTCACGTACGGCCTCCCGAATGAGCGCAAGGACGGGACGCTCCCGAGCAGGTAGTGCTACGGTGCACGACTCGATCCCGGCGGTGAAGGACGACATGTTCTCTAGCTCGTCGGCCTCGCTCAGCAGCGGCCGCGAGGCGATCACACACAGCCAGTCGCAGCCGCTGCTTAACAACCGTACTGCCTCTAGCGGCTCGCTCGGCCCGCCTGCAGCTACTGTAGCGCCACACGCTCACACCATCCACCTCGCAGCTGCGGCGGGCCAGCGTGGCCATACGCCTCTTATGCCGCTGCACCAGTGGACCAACGTCGAGGGGCGCGCTAACGTGACCAGCACGAGCGGATACGCTCACCCGCACTACACCGCGTCGGCATCGGACGGCATCCTCATGTCTAGCCAGGGCTACCCGCACCACGCCCTGTCACACCACCACTCGCAGCAGCATCTCGCCTCCACGACCTCCCATCCGCTCTTCGCTCGTCAGCCGAGCAGTGCCAGCTTGGGAAGCAGCAGCATCCTGACGCGCACCTCCAGCTCGGGTGAGATTGCCCTGCCCAAGATTGAGGATGGCGACGAAGGAGCGGCCGAACTGAGCGAGGTTGCCTCGGGCGGGGGCCAAGATACGGATGCGGAGAACCAGCCCCTCTCAGCGCGAGGCGCACTTCATGCCCAGACCCGTAGCAGCGAAGACGAGCCCGCCCTGTCAAGCAGCGACTGTGGTGCTGCCTCATCCTCAGAGGAAGACAAGCGCGGCGCTCATCGTCGTCTCTACATTGCGCTGCGTTCTGAACTTGGCGCGACCGACTTGGCCAAGTTCGAGCGATATGTTCATCGCTATGATGCGCTTGAGATCCCCATTGATGGGCCGCGCGGTTTGGTCAATAGGGTCAAGAAGCTCCTCCTCCTCGCAGACCCAACGTTGAGGGAGCGTCCGGCTGATCTGAAGCGTAGGAAAGAGCTAGCGAGGGAGTTTGAGAGGATCGTGCGCGTCGACCTGGGAACGCCCAACGCTGCGGTAGCTGCGTGAAGCCTGTCATGTCAGGCGGCGTGGCAACGAGACTCAGATGAGTAGAACGAGAAGGGAAGAGAAGCGACATCACGCACGGCGACGACATGCTACGCCACGCTCACGCTACGGCGGCGCCGCAGTACGCGGCGCCATACCAGCCATACCAACGCCATACCATCATCAAGTCGGCACGACCACCATCAACACCATTATCATCATCATCACGCATCCATCCATACCTCGGCCCATCCGCCACTTCTCATCATCATCATCATCATCGTCGTCATCACCCACATCTGGCTGCGGCACAACATGGCGGTCTCCCTCTCTTTGTCCGGCCGCAATATCTCACGACGCCCCGTCCATCGTCCTGCTTCCAGGTCAGGCGACGTCAGCGCTGGGCTTTGACGAACGAACATTTTCTGCTTTGTGCGGCCAAGATCCCAGCTGGACGCTCCGCTTCGCTTCGCTTCATCCGTCCACTATGTAATCTCGTCCGCTTCTCTTGACTTATCGGTCCCTCCATCCATCGCGCCACGCGCCACGCGCCACGCGCCACGTACCTCTCGCTGCTCAATGAGTTGTCAGTCACATTCCATTCCAAGTCAATGATGCTACGAGGCTGAGTCATTGTTTGAGGAGCAAGGGAAGGAGAGCTCAAATGTACAGAGGGGAGAAAGGATCCTGGGAAGAAAGGGAGAGGAGAGTAGATGATGCTATGTAGAATTTGCTCGAGTGGCGCTCCTTCCCTCGACGTAGAGTCCATGATACGATGGGCACGAGGAGACAGGGCCTGCCTGCCCGCTCTCTGCCATTGAATTCACTTGACGGCCAAGTCCGCCCCCACTCATCCCATCCATGCCCTCCTCGTCGACGAAGTGCTGTTAGAGACCTGCAAACCCCCATTCTGGCACTGTTTGAAGCTCGGCAAACAGGACAGATAGCGGCACCACGTACAGGCCTTGGTCGGGTCATCGCTCCTGTAGAAATTGAGCGCCAGAGCCGCAAAGAAGGCAGCGAGGGCCACGACTCCCAGCACCCTCAGGCCCCAAACGACGTTACGGTGTGTGCGCGTCTGATGGATCGAAGGGGCAAAGACCATCCCGCCGAGTAGACCGACGGCGAGTCCTCCAATGTGGGCGAAGTTGTCCAGTCCGGGGAGTAGACCGAGGGCTAGACCGATGAGGGTGAATAGGATGCTCATCGTGAGGCGAGTCTTGGCGCGATATTCGAAGCGCCAGTTGTACGCCAGGTCCACCAGCTCCACGGCGATGCAGCCGTAGATTGCGCCCGAGGCACCCACGCTAGGAGTGGCTACGAGGCCGAAGTTTCCCCCCAGTAAGTTGCCCCCTAGCCCGCCGGCGAGGTAGACGAGGAGGTAGTACGGTGAGCCTAGTATGCGCTCGATTTGCGCACAGAGGGTTAGCTGGACGACGAGGTTGAAGAGGATGTGCACTACGCCCGCGTGGAGGAAGATGGGCGTCACGAAGCGATACGATTGGCCGTAGGTGTGGTCGTTGGGGAGTCCGCAGATCTCCCACAGAGGGGTTGTGCAGGTTGAGCTGCTGGAGGAAGAGTTGAGGCATTGGAAAAGAGTGGTGAGGGGTACGGCGGGAGTGGACCGCATGCAGGGGACGTAGCGGGCGCCCATGGTGATGAGAAATTGGGCCGAGGGGCCGATCATTGGGTTGAGGTAGGGCTGTGCGGGCGGGGGGGGGGAAAGGGGTTGGTGAGCCTCAGATGACTTGAGAAAGAAGGCTGCGTCCTGTGTGCTGGTGTTGCGCTCTCACCTTGGTCTGCACCGCCTGACCCGTAACATTCTTCGCCTTGACAATCTCAGCCACAAAGACGGCCACGAATGCCACAGCGAATATCCACGTCACGACAGGCCACCTCTGTCTTCCCAACCCTCGCCTCCTCCTCTCAATCTGCTCACTCAAGCCTCCATCCCCGACGCCGAACATCCTTCTCGCCTTGCCACCCACAGAATCGTCTTCATCGCCATGGTCGAGGAAGTTCTTCCCCCCATCAGGGTGGGAGGCCATACCGTCTGCGGGTGCAAAGGAGAAGTGACTCTTAGGGTTCGAAGAAGGCGCATCCCCGCCTGCTCGAGCTAGGTCGTTTGCGAAGAGGCCGGGCGGCGGTGGGTAGGCGTGTTGCTGCTCGTGGCTGTGACCGCGTGCCTTGTCATGGTAGTAATCATCATCGTCGTCCGCATACCCGTCGCGATCGCCGTACACCATGTCGAAGCCGGTGTCCGTCTGCTTGCTCATTGTGTGGCCGTGTCCATGGTGTGGTTGAGTGGCTGGAGCAGCAGAGCGATAGTCGTAGTACTCTGCCTCCGGGTAAGGAGCCGCTGCGGTTCCATTGCCGCCGCCGCCGCCGCCGCCGCCGTAGATGGTCTTGTACTCTCCCTCGCGCGGGTCATCATACGCATAGTAATCACGCCCATCATAACCGTGCCCGTCAGAGGAAGGATCACCTGCGCCTCTGCTATCGTCGTACTGGTGGTGGTGTGGGTACTGGTACGACTGAGGCATAGCAGGCATAGGCTCGTGGGCCCGTTTGCTGGGCGCAGGAACGTTGTATTCTGAAACAGAGTCGCCAGGGAGGAGGGTACCGTTACGCTGGAGGAATTGGGAGCCTCGATTCCCGTTGCCGTTGCCGTTGGCTTGGCTACGCTGCGTGCCCTGTCTACCTAGCCCACCGCCACTGATGGTCGATTGATACTCGTAGTTGTCCGAGTAGCACGAAGGGCTGTCCTCTGGTCCTACGACGCGCAGACCTCCCTGATGATCACGTACTTGGGAGTCGTCAAAGTCTTGTGACTCGTCGTAGAGTTGCTCTACGTACCCTGGTCCACCGTAGCCGCCGTCGTCGTCGTCGTTGTCGCTACGGTAGGCGGGAGGCTGCGAGGCGGAAGCTGAAGCTGGAGCAAGGGGGTAGCGATGGTACGGTGATGAGTCGTGCCTGTCGGTTGTTGGTGTGGGGGCGTAGGGATTCTTCATGATGGACTGACGGCCTGCTGACGCTAGTATTGACGTCTAGCGCGGGCGGCTGTAGAGTGGACAGGAGGTGGGGCTGGCTCGACTGAACGCGGGGCGGTGTCGCGGTATGGGGTTCAAGCGCCCTTTATTTTCAGATTGTCTCGACGGTCTTGCAGTGATCGCGAGACAGGACGAAGCGATTGGCGATGCTGCTGCTGTGAGGATAATGGATGAAGAGACGATGATGATGGTAAAGACCGAATAGGTTTGGTAGAAAGGTCGATGACTTGCTCACTCTCTCCCTCTCTGCGCTAACCAATGACGGAGCATCGACGACGACGACGATGCGAGTAGACGTAGAAGCAACCAGCCCTCTGTCCGTTCTCCTGCCGAGGCTTGCACCACCCGCCCGCCTTGCCTTCAACTTGCTCGTCGGCGGGCGGGCGTCTGGTCTGCCTGCCTTCAAAGTCCGGCGCGAGTCCAACACTGCCTTCGAGCCCAGCCACCACAGCCCTCGTTGCCGCCCCCGGGCCTCCACGCGGTAAAAAATAGGGACCCACATCCGCCTTGAGCAATATCGCAGATCGCACAGCCACCAGAAAAAGCCACTGCCGGCTCACGCTCTCCATGATCGTTGAGGTGAGGATGCAAAGAGGGATGGTATTTTCACTCGTCATCGCCACCGTCATCCCCGCCTCCGCCTCCGCTGTTGCCACCAGCAAGAGCCCGTCGAACCATCTCCCTGATCGCCTTCTCGTCGCCGCCGAACTCGGACATGCGGATCGAGATGTTGTACGAGACTGACGAGTGGGCGTGGCGAGCAAGTCATTAGCTGTCTTGCTGGTGTATGGGAGAGCGGGCGCGTGCAACTCACGATCTTCAATCTTTCTCAGACTGGCAGTAGTGACCGCCTGCTTCTTCCTCATGTCGTGGATCAAAAAGACAAATGGCTCGAGCCCCTCCCTGATGTCCCTGAGCAGCGCGAGGACAGAGCGTACCACCGTCCCTGGGTCGCTTGGTGGGCCCGCTGAAGATCCCTTGCCTCCTCCGCCACCGCCTCCGAGCGCATTGGTGGCGAAACGCATCAGCTCACCCGTGAGATCTGAGATACCGAGGAGGTAGCGATGCGTTGGAACAGGGAAGATCTGCGAGCAAGACGTGGTGGCTGTCAGTTTCATCTCCTGCTGCTGGGCAAGCGCAATGCAGACGTTATCCTGGTCTTTTACGTACAAAGTCTGCAGGAATCTCCACCTCCTCGCCCGTCATCCCATCGGTGTATCGCTCTGCCACGCCAGGCTGGAAGAGGGCTTGCACCTCCTCGTGCGTAATGAGGGTGCCGTGCAGGAGGTAGTGGTGGAAGGAGAGGGCTTCGATCTGTGCGCGCAATCCAAGGTAGTAGGTCAGCATAGTCCTTCCCGTGGCGACGAATTCTCAGCTCGACAAGAGCTTTCTCTGAGTAATGTTGGCGGGGATTCACGTCGAGCCGCACACTCACAAACTCCTCCAACCCGCCACCCAAGTTCCGCTCGTAGCGCAAACTCGCAGCGTGGCCCTGCGCGAGATCTTCCTGGTACGCTGTTCGCCGTATAAGGCTGACGATGTCACTCTGCTTGGCTGCTGCCTCGTTGAGCATGCGTTGTGAATGCGGAGGAGGAGCAGCAGAGGTCGCGACGCGCGCCTTGGGGTTGGAGAGGTGAGCTGGTGGTGGCAGGCGATGAAGGTGGAAGATGAGCCTAGACGAACGCGGTGAGGACGAGATGGAGTTGTGTTGGTCAGATGATCAGCAGCGAGAGTAGGTATGACGTGGTGGGGGAGCTAGGTCCACTCTCACTTCTTGGACAGATTGGTAATATCCCTCGAAGCTTTGATCAATCGCTCTCGTCGATCATTGTGCGCGTCGATCTCTGAGCGATACGTGTCGAAGGCGGAGAGGATGACATCTCCTCGTGAGGTTGAGGGGCCTGCTTCGGCTGGGTGAGGAGGACGGGGAGGGGCTACGGCTGCCATTGCTGATGATTGGGTGGTATGGGAATTGGGAAGCGACTAAGGCATCGACGGACTGGCGGCAAAGTGAGGACGAGGCGGGAGGCGGAAGGCGGAAGGCGGAAGAGGGTCGAGCTCCACCTCGCACGCACACGCATACGGGATGTCAAGACAACTCTCGCCATCTCGCTCGCGCATCAAGAGATTCGACCGTCGTATCATCGGTATTGCATCCTCGTCTCACCCCTCACTTCCTCACAACAGCCGACCCCGCACTCCCCATGGCAGGTCGTCCAAATGGACTAGCAGGCCTAGGCGAACTAGACCCACTCGCGCTGCCGCCCCCCATCCTCCTAGTCGCACCGACCTGCACACTCTTCCTCTCCTTTGCACTACCCATCGAGCTTGCCGCCCCGCGCACCAGGTCCTTGATCAGCCCATTGTACATCTCACTGTCCGCCTGCAGTGACTCGCGTAGCGTGAGGTGGTGAGTGAGGACGACAGAGGTGGTAGAGGTGAGGGAGCCCAGTTCCCGTGAGAGGTCGCGTAGAGAGGGGAGGGGCAGGAGGGACAGTTGGTCTGCGCGCGTGCGGAAGAAGACGTAGATAGTAGAGTCAGCGTATGAGTAGCAAGCGATGCGCTCCTGAGGCATTGTGGCGAGACTCTTACCCTCTCGTAAGGCGCATACCTCCTCGATTCGCTTCATATCCACCTCCGGGGTAGGCCCCAGCCCGAGATCCTCCTTGCGCTTCTCCATGATCCTCTGCCGTCTATTCGCATCGACCGAGCCGCTACGCTTCTCCACCCCTGCTCCACTCCCAGCACCGCTTCCATTCGTCGTAGCAGGCGAGCTCCCGCCTCTCTCTCCACCTGAGACAGGCGCACTATTCGGACCCTGTTCCCCCTTGGCCCTCTTTAACGAGTCAACTTGCAGAGTAAGGGGAGGTAATCTCGAGCCAGAGGCGGTCGCCCCCGCTTCGGCGGGCATGATCTCGTCGAGATTGATGGGCACGCCGAGGGAGATGTGCAGGTCTCGACGGGTGCGAGAGCGCAGCCAGTCTACGGGCTGGAGGGTCGTCGGCTGCGCTGATAGGTCGGTGTACACCGCTCTGCTTGACTCGCTCTGTAGGACTTGGGAGAGGCCGGGGGTTTGGCGGATGGGATCGTTTGGTAGAGAAGTGGTGGCGGTGGTGAGTGTGGGCGGGAGGAGGGAGGAAATCTGGGTGGTGAGGTCCTCTAGCCTTGAGAGGGAGGATGAGGCTGATGCTGGCGATGAGGAGGAGGGGATGGAGAGCGGTTGCCAATCCGCAGCTGTAGGTGGTGCAGCAGGGGTAGGAGGCGTCGCTTGCTCTGGCTCCTCGGGCAATTCCATCCCTGCTGGCACCGCATCGTCTGCAAAATCTCCAAAGTCGCCAAAATCGTCGTCATCCCCGCCGCCGCCAGGAGCAGCCGGGCCTCCGGCATCGTCGTCGAAATCTGCGAATTCATCGTCGTCCTCGGCCTCCTCCTCGCCATCCTCGTCTCCCGCCTTAGTATTCACCTCTGTCGGCTCGACTACAGGCTGCTCCTCTTTCCCTGCTTCTTCCGCCGGCTTGCTGATGGTCCTGTCCTGCTCCGGACTCGAGGAAGCGGCCCAGCCTGCTCCCAAGTCATCGTCGTAGAATGCCTTGGATGCCGGGCGCGATGTCGATGCGGATGATATCGCGGCGGTCGTCGATGCCGAGGCCACGGGCTCCGCATCCGCAGGCGTGGCCCATACGTCGTCTGCTTCCATGTTGAGTCGCTGCTTGAGGAGGAAGCAGCGGGAAAGGGATAAGATGAGGATGAATGCCGCTTCACTCGGTGTTGGTTCCACTCAAGTCTCAACTCAACCTCCGGCCTCGGTCTCCACCGAGTTGATCAAGGCGTCTTCCGTTCCGCTCAGTCAAGCCAGGAACATCCCATCTCTCCGCCCGCCTCAGCCCGCCATTGCCGCCCACTGAGCTGCGCCATCTTCGCGGGCCGTGCGGGTCAGAAGGACCGAGTCGAAATGCAATCACTTGTTGTCTCTCTACCCATCGATAGCCAGCACAGCACAGCACAGCAACGCCCCATCTTTGCTCTTGCTGGCCTGACCTCCTTCCTCACATCAACATCCATCACACAACGAATCTACGCATCTCCCTCGCCCGCCAAACAATGACCAAGACGTACAACATCGTCGTCCTGCCCGGAGATGGCATCGGACCTGAAGTCACGGCCGAGGCAGCTCGTGTTCTCGAGTTGATCTCGAGCAAGAGCAAGGATTTCAAGATTGAGCTGCAGAGCGTGAGCCATGCGGGCCTTCTCGTCGCCTCGTCGCTGTACGAGCATGGCTGACGGCCTTCTCTCTTTCTCCCTCCTCCCGCAGAAAGACTTCGGTGGAGCAGCCATCGACTCGTCTGGCGAGCCCCTGCCCGCTGACACGATCAAGGCCTGTGAGGCGGCAGACGCCATGCTCTTGGGCGCCGTGGGTGGGCCCAAGTGGGGGGTAGGCAAGGTGCGACCTGAGCAGGGTAAGTGTCCGCGTCCCTTCTCCTACCATAACCCGAAGCCATGCCTACTGACATCACCATCATCATCGCAACGCCGACCAGGCCTTCTCCAGATTCGTAAGCACTTCGACCTCTACGCCAACATCCGCCCTGCCCTCTTCCCTTCCAAGTCCCTCCTCACCCACTCCCCGCTCAAGCAAGAGATCGCAGAGGGAACAGACATGATCGTAGTTCGCGAGCTGGTCAAGGGCCTCTACTTCGGTGATCGCCAGGAGGCGGACCTTGACACGCCCGGGTCAAAAGGCGAGGCGTGGGACCAGATGATCTACAATCGCGAGGATGTCGAGCGTATCACGCGCCTCGCCGCTTACTTGGCACTGCAGTCCAACCCGCCAGCCAAGATTCACTCCATCGATAAGGCTAATGTGTTGGCTTGCTCCCGTCTCTGGAGGAGGGTCGTGACTGAGACGATTAGCAAGGAGTTCCCCCAGTTGGAAGTCGATCATCAGCTCGTCGACTCGGCGGCGATGGTTATGGTTTCTAACCCGAAGAAGCTCAACGGTATTGTGCTGACGGAGAACATGTTCGGGGACATCCTGAGCGACGAGTGCGTACCCATTGCGTCGCGAAACGACCAAGCAGCTGGCTAATGTTCTTCTTCTTCTCCTTCTTCATCTTCTCCCTTTTCGTCATCGCCCGCCCCCACCCGCGCAGATCCTCCGTCATCCCAGGCTCCCTCGGTCTCCTCCCCTCAGCCTCCCTCTCCGGCCTGCCCGACGGCACCTCCGAGTGCAAGGGTCTCTACGAGCCCATCCACGGCTCTGCCCCCGATATCGCTGGGCAAGGAAAGGCCAACCCTATCGGCACGATCCTCTCTGCTGGGATGCTCCTGCGTTACTCCTTGGGTCAGCCCGAGGCTGGGGACAAGGTTTTCAAAGCTGTAGAGAAGGTCTTGGATTCGGCTGAGATGGGTGGGAAAGGGTTGAGGACGGCGGATCTGGGAGGAAAGACGAGCACCAAGGAGATGGGACAGGCGGTGCTGGAGGAGTTGGAGAAGTTGCTCTAAGAGAGTGGTGTTGAGGGGGTGGGAGCTGTTGAGAAGTCTTGCCGTGTCAACTTTTGTCAGTCAATCTTCGAGTTGATCATCATCTCAAAGTCGTGCCTGCGCGTGAAGAGGCAAGACGTCTACCTGCCTTCCTGCCTGCGTGGTGCTGTGGATATCATGGTACAATTACATGCGAAAGATCAGCTGAGCATCCATACTGCCCTGTGATCCATCCTCACTAAGCTGCGTCTACATGTACAGCTCCATCATCAGACGTCCTACTTCAGCTCCTCTGCTGCTGCTGCTGCGAATCAGCATCGAGCGCCTCGAGGTTGAAAGCCGCGCTTCGACGGTACTGTCATCGCGTCATCGTCGTCAATAGAAGTGTCAGCGTCACCCCAATTGGCTCTCTCTCCTCTCGCCATCTTCGCCAGCCACGCCAAGCACTCACATTCTCCCACATATCTGCCACCTCTGCATTTCCCTCGTTGTACACATTGATCTCTGCTAGGGAGCGGGAGAGCTCCTCGAGGGACTCGTTGAGGAGGTCGACGTTCTTTATTATGCGGGAGAGGAGGAGAGTTTGACGTTGTTCCTGTTGCGCGGGGCGATCAGAGGATGAGTGGCAGTCAGTGATGGGGCGCGAGAGAAGCAAAGGGGAATACGCGAAGACGCACGTGGGGATTCTCGATCATGGCGGCGACAGGGAGGTGAGTTGGTGGTGAGGATCGATGGAATTGACAGGCCAGGCGAGCGGAAAGCAACACCTCTCAAGACGCGAGGGAGCCTTGAGGCTGCTGCTGCCGTGGCGTGAAGCCGGAACGGAACTGGGACGCCTCGTGTCGAAAGCACTCGTCCGTGCTGCATTGGCTTCCACGACGGCGAAAGCTGAGGCTGCGCCTGCGCCTGCACTCCTTCCACTTCCCTCATCACTACTTTCCCCCCGCTTGCCCCCCTTGCCCAACATGGTAGCCGTCCAATCCCCGGACGTCGCCCGGATCACACTGCACGTCCCCATTCCCCTCTGGACACACCTGTACGTCTTGCCATTTCTCTTCCTCTATCCGCTCTACCTCTACGCATACTACGTGGCCTACGACAGTTGGATCAAGTCGGAAGAATGGACATTCGTATACACGGTATCCCTCGTCGTTTCGCATGCTCTGGCCTTCCTGGGTACCAAATGGAGCATAGGGTTCAAGGCGTGGGTAACGACGAAGCAGGTCAAGGACCTGCCCAGCGCCAAGCTGGTGAGGGTCTTCCCGCAAGCGCACAAGGGAGAGGGAATGATTGTACCCCTCGTAGTCAGTAGGCACGAGGTAGCTTTCACGTATCAGGCAGACAAGTACATTTTGGCCTTGCCGGATATCAAGGCGCCAGAGGGGTCCATCTACAGGGCAAGGGACATTACGGAGCCCACCTTTAGACGATTGCCTTACCCCGCCGACTCGAGCCCGCCCTTGAGCCATTTCCAGGCTTCGAGAGGTTTGGTCAGCGAGGACGATGCCATGGCTACTTTGGCGACGTATGGAGGTAATCAATTTGAGATCCCCAAGCCAAGCTTCACGTGAGTGCGGCATGTCCCAACGAGCCAGTATTGCCTGCTTACCCCGCTGATGCTATCTCCTCGCTCCCCTCTCTCTTACAGCGAGCTCTTCGCTGAGCACGCCGTAGCCCCCTTTTTCGTCTTTCAAGTCTTCTGCGTCGGCCTCTGGATGCTCGACGAGTACTGGTACTACTCCCTCTTCACCCTCTTCATGCTCATCGTCTTTGAGTGCACCGTCGTGTTCCAACGACTGCGAACATTGAACGAGTTTAGGACCATGTCCATCACTCCTTTCCAGATCTACGTGTATCGCTCGCGCGAGTGGCTTCAGGTGTCGACGACGGAGCTGCTCCCGGGAGATGTGGTGTCGATCACGAGGACAAAGGAAGATACGGCCACACCCTGCGATTTGCTGCTGCTCGCGGGAACGACGATTGTGAACGAGGCGATGCTGAGTGGCGAGTCGACGCCCCTGCTCAAGGAGAGTATTGAGCTGCGCAACCCATCGGACAGACTAGACGTCAACAATGTGGATCGCAACGCCGTCGTATTTGGTGGCACCAAGGTCCTCCAGACGACCAGCGCAGACGCGACCTCGCAGTACGCCAAGGAAGGCATGGTTGCCCCCGATGGCGGAGCTTTGGGTCTTGTCCTCCGCACAGGCTTCGGTACCTCGCAGGGCCAGCTTATCCGCCTCATGGTCTTCACCAACGAAGGCCGCGTAACGGCAGACAACGTCGAAGCGTTCCTCTTTATCGGCTTCCTCCTCATTTTCGCCATCGCTGCGAGCTGGTACGTCTGGACACGCGGTCTCGAGATGGGGCGTCCAAAGGGCAAGCTCCTCCTCGACTGTGTCCTCATCATCACATCCGTCGTCCCGCCCGAGCTACCCATGGAGCTCAGCATGAGCGTAAATGCTTCCCTGATGGCGCTCAGCAAGAAGGCCATCTTCTGCACTGAGCCCTTCCGCATCCCCTACGCCGGCCGCGTCGACGTGTGCTGCTTCGACAAGACGGGCACTATCACGGACACGGACCTGGAGGTGCAGGGCGTAGCGGCTATCGGTGCTCGTCTGCCCCGCGACTTGATCCCGCTTAAGCAGCTCCCTCGCGAAACGACAATCACCCTGGGTGCGGCGCATGCGCTTGTGCTTCTGGAGGACGGCGTGGTGGGGGACCCGATGGAGAAGACCACGCTGGAGAGTATGGGATGGGAGCTGCGCAAAGGTGATGTACTCTCGCCTGCCGATGTAAAGACTTCGGCGCATCGGATTGAGGTGGGGGTCAAGCGACGTTTCCAGTTCTCGTCAGCGTTGAAGAGGATGTCGACGTTGAGCTACGTGAGTGATGTTGGTGGAGGGAATAAGAGGCTGATCGCTGCGGTCAAGGGCGCTCCGGAGACGTTGAAGGGGATGTATAGCAAGGTGCCCGAGGGCTATGATGAGACGTACAAGTGAGTGGGCAGGCGCGCACGGGCAAACATGCTGGCTCGAGAGCTGACCGTCTTTGATCCCTTCCCCTCTCCCACACTCGCAGAGGCTTCGCTCAGCGCGGCTCGCGCGTCCTCGCCCTAGGTTACAAGTACGTGGACAACCTCCCCTCGTCCAACCTCAACGATGTGCAACGCGAGCAGGTCGAGTCCTCGCTCGAGTTTGGCGGTTTCCTCATCTTCCACTGCCCGCTCAAGCCAGACGCAAAGGCCACGCTCCAACAGCTCAACGACTCCTCACACCGCAGCATCATGATCACGGGTGACTCCCCGCTCACCGCAGTCCACGTAGCCGCCGAAGTGGAGATCGTAGACCGCGAGGCACTGATCCTCGATGCGCGCGAGGGAGCCACCTCGCCCACCCAGCTCAGCTGGCGCACACCGGACGAAAGCGTCGTCATCGATGTGGATTCGAGCGCTCCGCTTGATCGAGGACTGTTCGAGAAATACGACCTCTGCCTCACGGGAGCGGCCGTCGCACAGTACGCTGAGCAGACGGAGGCGTGGGAGCAGCTGGTCCAGCACACGTGGGTGTACGCGCGTGTCAGCCCGGCACAGAAGGAGTTGATCTTGAATACCCTCAAGCGCCTGGGCTACGTGACGCTCATGGCCGGCGATGGGACCAACGATGTAGGCGCGCTCAAGGCGGCCAACATCGGCGTGGCATTGCTGGACGGCACGCCGGAGGACATGCTCAAGATTGCTGAGCACCAACGCAACGAGCGAATGAAGAAGGTGTACGAGTCACAGCTGGGCCTCAGTGCTCGGTTCAACCAGCCTCCCCCTCCTGTGCCGCCTGCCCTCAAGACCCTCTACCCTGACCTGGAGACGGCCCGTGAGGAAGCGCTCAAGAAGCAGCAGCTGGCGCGCACGGCCAACCCTGGTCAGGCTCCGAAGTTCGACCTCTCCTCCATCACGAGCAAGATGGCCGACCTAGAAGGCGACGACGGTGGACCCCCCACGATCAAGCTGGGCGATGCAAGTGTAGCGGCTCCCTTTACCTCGAAGCTCCGCGTAATGGACAGCATAGTCCAGATTATCAAGCAAGGCCGTGCCTCTCTGGTAGCCACGAATCAGACGTACAAGACGCTCGGCCTCTCTTGCCTCTCATCCGCGTACGCCCTCTCTTTCCAGTACCTGGAGAACGTCAAGTTCGGCGACTACCAGATGACAATCAGCGGCGTCCTTTTGAGTGCGGCCATGTTCTTCATCTCACGTGCCCAGCCTCTCGACAAGCTGAGCAAAGAACGCCCTCTCTCTACAATCTTTGGCCTCTACTTCTTCTCCTCGGTGTTCCTCCAATTCCTCCTCCACCTAGCCACAATGCACTGGACGACCCAAGTCCTCGTCCGTCGCTACGAGGCTCCAGAGCAGGAGGTGGACCTCGAAGCAAAGTTCAACCCTTCCCTGCTCAACAGCGCTGTCTTCCTACTCAACACCCTCCAGCAGGTAAACGCAGTAACGGTCAACTTTGTTGGGCACCCTTTCCGCACTTCTATTCGGGAGACGCCCGGCCTCTTCTACGGCTTGGCAGGTTGTGCCTTCCTTTCCGTTGCGGGTACCCTGGAGATCATGCCTGAGCTCAACGACTGGCTCCAGCTCGTCAAACTCCCCGGTCCCTTCCAAGTGCGACTCCTAGCCGTAATGGCCGTCGATTACTTTGGGGCAATGGCCATCGAGTGGGGCGCTAAGGCCTTGTTTGCGGATTTGGAGCCGAAGGCGCTCATTGTTAGGGGGAGGGAGAGGAGGGAAAAGAGGAGGAAGGCATTGAGTGATAATTTGGCAGAGTTGACTGCCATTGCTGAGAAGAGGGCACAGCAGGAGGGTGAGGGAGGGGTGCAGCAGCAGCAGGGTAATGGGAAGAGTACGGCTGTTCCGCAGGGTGGGAAGGCGAGTAAGAGGAGGTGAGAGGGGTGATGAGGGAGGAAAAGAGCACGGATAGATGACTGCAAGTGGTGAGGCGGTTTGAGTGTCTTATAGAGCTAGTAGATGAACGAAGTGAACATGGAAGACGTGAATGATGCATGAGACTCATTGCTGTGCTCATGAAACATAACGATAATGTGGCTCTGATTGCAGGGTTGGAGTGTCGACCGCCAGGAAGAGAGAGACGAGAAGCCTCTCAACCACGCGGGTTGGCACTCGCACGCCACCGGACAGCGATCACCGTCTCATCGTCGCTTGCCGGCTTGTGATGCGTCGCCGCAGCACGCACCGGCGCGATCGTGGTATGTCGAAGCTGACGACCCGACTGGACACAGAGGCTCGAGGTGAACAAGCAAGCGCATCGTCATGCAGCTTCTTCGGAGCAGCGTCTGCCCGCGCTCAAGGTCGGACTAGTGCGATCGTCACGGTGTGCGCACGGGCAGTAGTTCGTGCGAGCCAAGAGGATTTCGGCATTATCAGCGGCTCGCCGCGGGTGGTCGAGTCCCGTTGATCAGAGAGTTTGGGATGCTGGCTGAGCACTGATCCAGCGCTCGAAGGATTGCGAGGAGATATGATTGCGCACGCCCGATCAGTCGGCAGGACCGCCTGACGCCATCACCACCTATGCCCCTCACGACGCTTGCCTGCCATTGCCCCGTCTCGGGTGACTGTCATCCGCTCAAAAACTATCCCCCGCAAGGTGATTGTTGAGGATTACTTCGTCTGACTTTGCCGCCTTGCTGTTCGTAGGGCACTGAGCTGCCGCAGCAACGTGGGCGGGAAGACGCGAACGGCGCTTGGTTTCAATCGTCGTCTGATCCCCAGGGCATTGTTGTCAGCTCAGGCTTGCCACTCTATCCAGACAAACGGCCGTTGCTGACGTACGTGCTTACGCTCGAGCCCCCAGCAGCGGCACTTGACACCGGCAAGACGCTGTGACTCGTGCGCGACGCTACCGGGGGCTCGAGTGCATCGCGCTCTATCTTGGCTCGCGTAATGGGGATATACAATTGATGTTGTGCAGAGTGCGAATGTACAAGGTTGAGGTGCGATTCCGGGCAACTCTAATGACGTAGAAACAACTGACGAGAAAACGCCTCATACCGCACACTCTCACGGTTGGGACGCAACGAGGTCGTGCTGATCGAGCTGGAGGAGCCCCGTATCCAGCATCTCCTTGAGCGCAGGGAAGAGAGCCCTGGCAATATTGGCGCGACGACTGAGTACGTAGGCGGGCGTGAAGTTTTGGAACTCCTTGAAGAGATGATACGCCTTTCGCGCTCGGAGCTCGTTGGAGAAACCGTGCACGATCCACGTACGGCGCCAGTCTCGCCTCCATCCCCAATCAAAGTCGTACTGGAACGTCGTGGTGATATCCTGGCCGCGCTGTGGGGTTTCGGGCTCGCGGAAGTTGGGGTCGTCGTCGTGCACCTCGTAGTACATGTTGAGGGCATCGCCGATCCAGTAGCCGGGGAAGAAGGCGTCCTTCTCGAGGGTAAGGGCGGACTTGCTGCCCTCGGCGCGGGAGTAGTGGACCATGAGCGCCGTCACGAGGTCGTTGGACGCGCGCAGCCAGTCGCCGTTGAAGACGACGTCCTGCAGTCTGGCGAAGGCGAGCATGAGCGGGTTCAAGGGTCGCGAAAGGAAGGCGGCCTGCGCAATGCGGGCGCCGTCATCGAGGGAGAAGACGTTGTCGAAGCCAGAGCGACGCAGAGGTGTCAGGTCGCGGAGGACCCAGGCATCGTCGTCGAGGTAGACGCCCCCCATCCTCGCCATGACGACTGTGCGTACAAAGTCGGAGCGGTGCGCGTACTGGTCGATCTTGACGCCCGACGACGTCACGTTAGGGAAAGTAGCTGGCATGAACTCGATGTTCGGGATACGGAACAGGGCCCGCGTAAAGGCGTCACCGTTGAGTCGCGCGTCGTCGAGCATCTCCTGGGGCGTGTCCGTCCAGAAGTAGATGCGCTCCGGCTTGAGGTAGAATGAGCTGGAGAAGTAGCTCATCAAGTGGCGGAACTCCACACGGAAGGGCGCCTGCGGTACGTAATTCTCATCGCGGTTGATCTGCCTCACGAAGTGGACAATGTTGGGGATCTCAGATGACGCGTCGTACCTTGGCGGGCCGAACCACGAGCTGCTGCTCCATCTGGAGCGCCATCCTCCTGGGCGCCGGTCGACGACATCTTGCTTCCACGGCATCGGCGGTGACCACTCTGCGATGTTGGCGTCGCGGAACTCATCTGCGAGTGGCGCGCGAGAGGAGAAGAGGAAGAAGAGGGTGGCGACCGAGATGGCTACAAGGGCGAGAATGGTGCGGCTGCGCTTGCGGCTGCGAGACATGACGCGCTGCATGGACGAGTAGAAGCTGGGCTCGGCGTAGCGTCGTCCATTGAAGGCGTCCTTCTCGTCATAGTCGTCGGCGCTACCCATTCGCCCTGGATGGCCTTTGAGCGCGGCACGCTCGATGTCGAGGTCCTTGGGCGACATCGAAAAAGAGGAGACGCGCGTGGCTGACGATGAAGCTGTGGCCTCGCTGCTGCCATCGCTGGCGGAGAGGGTGGGTGACTGAGGGCTGCTCATACGGCGTCCAGTCGCCGTTGGCTTGTTGAGGCGATGAATGATGGATGAAGCTGGGTGGTGCGACTAGGTAAGATTTGGGGACTGCTCAACGACTGAGACTTTTAAAGGATGCTCGTGGTGGCGCGCTCGTGCGTGGGTGGATGGGTGGATGGCACAGCCCTTGACGATGTCGTGTTTTTGTTCTTCGTATAAGAGGCTGTGTGGCAACGAATGGAGGAGCGAGCTAATGAAGGTGGTAGGGATCAAGGATCGAAACACGCATGATCATCAAGACCTGACTTGCTCTCTTGAGAGCGACCTCGACGCTCGACGCACAACGCTCGATGCTCAACGCTCAACGGAGCTTCGGCCCTAATGCTTGTCGATCGGGCATTTTCACCGTCCCCCTCCCCCCTTCCCCCCCTCCATCCTCTCTCCCACCAGCACAAACACACAGCCCAGGTGGAAAGTTGTGCAGCCCCCGCCGGTGTACGGAGCAACGGCGCCGAGAGCCTGCGAGAGGAGACGAAAATCTTGAGGAGAGAGAGAGAGAGGTGCGGAGGCGCCGTGTCCCTCCGCCTGTCCGTTCGACGTCTTGCCTTATTCGACGCAGGATGAGGCAGCCTGCGTGCGTGCGTGCGCGTGTCCACTACGTGCGTGCGTGCATTTCGCCTTCGTCGCAGTGCGTGTCTGTATGTTCGCACGCTCGACGCTCGACGCTCGATGCTCGACGCTCGGACGGTAATCACCCACGCCACCTGCCAAACCTGCCATAAGCTCGGCGAAACGACGGATCACCGTGGACCCACGTCGTGCCTGAGCTCGAAAATCCACCGGCACAAATGGGCAGGGCACTGATTGAGAATAAGGAATGAAATGAATCTCGACCTACACCCACTAGCTCAGACGAGGCCGGCCCTGCAGCCGGCCGCTTTTTTTCTCCTTTGCGAGGTCTGCCAAGCACTTGAGATTTGGCCCTCGAGGCCAGCCGACGGCCGAGACCAAAAGACCGCTCCGCTCCGCTCCAGCTCAGGGCCAAGGGGAGGGAGCACCAGCCCCGCGGAGGGACGTCGACGAGGGTCATGTCATGTCATGTCGATCCGAATCTTGCACACAAGCGCGAGGACCGAGGACTGCCGTCGCCGCCGTGACCGCCGTCGCCTACGGTAACCCAACGCGACGCGACTCGCCTCGACTCGACATTGCTACCATCACCAATCAGAGTGAGCACTAAATGAGCAATCGATGAGCCGTGCGCACAACGCTACGCTACGCTCGTGCCTGCAAGATTGAGACGCACGCACAGCAAACAGTAGTCTTACCAACAAGTCTCAACCGCCGCTGCCGCATCGCACCGCACCGTGACATCCGTTTGCTCCCCCTACCCCATCCTCGTTCACAGTATTGTCCGTCTAGCTACGCAGATCGTTGCGATCTTCCCTTTGCTATGTGTGCGTGCGTGCGTGCGTAGGGTAGCTAGCTCGCGTGGCGTATCGCACGCACAAAGCAGAGCGATGTGGCACGCGCATTGACATCGACATTAATGATTGTTTGGATGGGCGAGAGAATCAGAGCACACGCAGAGAGGGGTCATCGTGGTACCATTGCCCTTTTGGCGCTCGCCATACCCGAGGACGGACGATAAGGCAGTGCGTGCAGCCTGGCCTTGAACCATGCTCGGCGTCTCCACGCCTTGATCACAATCACGATTACCATGGATGCTTGCTGTTCTATGCGGGCGTGCGGGTGAGACGACGGCGTGTGCGAAGGATGTAATTACAGCGCGAGGATGATGGATCGTCGTCGTCGTCGTCGTCTTCGATCCTGATCGTCGACGCCATGCGCGTGACGAATGCCCGACCGTACATGCTGCTTCTTGAGCGCCCTTCCTCCTACAGACCCTGACGCGGCAAGGAAGGTCCTCTTCATTGCCATTGACCCAGTCGATTCCCTTGCAGATGACGAACTGAGCTATCTCTCAGCTCTGCAGCGTCCAATCGAGGTTCTAGGCGCTTTTCCCCTCCAAGAAGCGATGGAAGGAGATGATGAAGCCGGCTGCAATCCTGGCCGCAACCGTAGAGCAGCTGCGTTTGCGTGGCCGGTGAGTCAAGCGAGATTTTCATTCGCAACTTGACCGATCGCAGCCTTGGTCCCTCCTTTGGTCGTCGTATCTCTCGCTGTCTTGCCTTCGACGAGCCTGAGCAATGAGCGATGCGAGGGCTGCGCTGAAGAGGTTGTCCTGGCGAGCCAGGATGCTGTCCCGAGCAAGGGACGCCTTTGCTCGCAAAGTTCAGGACGTCCGTCGCTGCTCTTGGAGAAGACGGAGTCGGAGCAGGTTGTAGCGTCTTCTCAGTTGGCCTTCGTCACAGCAGACATTGCAGCTGAAGAATTGGGTATCCAAATTGGCCTGTCCTATCCTGTCCCTCTCGTGTGTATATGCGCGCCGCCTCCTCATCTTCTCCACCACCAGAGGAAGACCTGTACGTGCACGAAGGAGCCGAGCAATGCGTGTCAGTATGCTCCCTCGACACACGGGCATTTTTTCCCCCCCCGCCCTCGCGAGCTACTCACAAACAACCAGCATACGAAGAGGAGGAACAACATCATATTGCACCACCAACCGCCTTGCCTCCTGGCCATCTTGTTCATCTTCGTAAAGGTATTGCCCAATAGAGCTCCGGCGTTGGACATTGCTTCTGACTGTTCGCGGGGCGAGAGGGAGAACTCTCCATTGTTAGCATACATCCATCTAAGGGCGCGCAGCGAGGGAGCCTGTCTCCCAAGTTATGTCTTCTCTCGGCCGGTGCGACTCACCAACGTGCTAAGATCGGCCGTCCCCTCCCTAACCTCCTGTCCGATGCCCATTGTGATATTCTTCAATATCTTTACCCGGTCGCTCAACCCCTCCAACCTCGCATCATTGCCCTCTTCCAACTGTTCTGCCAACCTGGACTGTGTACCCCACCCACCCCATGGCTTGCCCGTTGCAGCCGGCGGCGGCGCGTCGTCGTGTTTCTTTGCGTCAAATCTGGGAGGTAAGGAGGAGGAGCTGGAGGAGGAAGGTTGGGAGTAAGGGTCCTCAAAGGGTGAAGCGGTTCGACCTAGAGGAGGTTGGGCAGGAGGGGGAGCACCATAGCCGTACGCGGAGAGGAGAGCATGACGATCCGCTATCCCACCAGCTGTGCGGGAGCGGGCGGACATGGTGTGCGAGGCGAGGCGGCGATGAAAAGAGGGCCGTAAGGACGCGATAGAGAGGATGACAGTAGCACCTGGGGCGCCGGCGTGGGTTGAGGACGACGTGGAACCTTTTGCCCTGCTCTGCTCTCCGATGTTGGTTCTGTCTGCTTTTGCATGCGTGGCCTGAGCGCAGCCCGCCTCTTGGTTCCCCTCTCGCGGGAGTGGAGTCGACGACTGGCTGCTGGCCACGAGTCGAGTGCGAGTGCGCGTGGCAGTCTCACTCACTTGGCCCGCCCGCCCGCTCGCCCGCCTGTCAAGTGGCTGCACGCCCGCACCGCACAACTCACCGTTCATCGCCAACACCATTCTTCCTCCCTTCTCATCACCAACACCACTGAACTACCAATCATGTCCTTCGACTTCGGCACGCGCAACGAATCCGACCCAACGAGCGACTTTGTGTCCAAATTCCCCGACCTCGATGGAGCAGGCGGCGATGATGCCCTCCTTTCCTCCGCAGCGGCCGCCCCCGCTGCTGCCTCTAACAATGCTCTAGATGACGATGACTTGCTTGGTGGTGGTGGATCCTCAACAGCAGCAGCAGCAGCAGCAGCGCCAGCACCCGCAGCAGCAGGTCCCTCTGCAGAAGAGCATAGCAAGGAGGCATTTGAGAGCAATTTCCCCGAGTTGGACGACCCGGATCTGGCTACGCCCGTCGAGGTTGAGCAGCCTGCTGCTACCATGCAGAGCACCGTGAGTCGATGCAGATTGAGAGCAGCGCTGCAATAATGCTTGCTTGCAACGAATCTGACCTGACATCTTCGTCCCGCGCCTCTCGCCAGTCAAACGGCTACATGGCTCCCCCCATGACATCCACTGACCGTCCCACCTCTCGCTCCGGTCCCACCTACAACGCCCCCCTCGCCTCAGACCCCTACGGCGGCGGCGATCTCAGCGACGAAGAAGAGCCCGAACCTCTTCGTACCTGGCGTCACGCGCAGGCAGACTCCATCGCCCAACGATCTGCGGCCGCTGAGCGCAAGAAGGGCGAAGTAGTCTCCAAAGCAGAGAGGGACATTGACGAATTCTATCGAGAGTACAATGCAAAGAAGGAGAAGAGCATCAAGAAGAACAAGGAGGATGAGGCACGAGAGACGGAGATGAGGAACAGGCAGTTGGCCGAGGGGACTACGTGGGATAGGGTTACGAAGCTTGTGGGTTTGGAGAATAGCCAGAGTAAGACTATCGCACCTACTGGGGGAACGGATTTGGCCAGATATAGGGGTGAGTGGGCGCGGGCTCCATCTGGTGGAATCAAGTGCGAGATCATCAAGGGAACTGACACGTCACCTCGCCCTTTTCGTGGTTCCCGCGCAGAGATCCTCCTCTCCCTCCGTCGAGAGGGACAGACGGCGCCGGCTGCTGGCGGCTACTAGGTGCGCTTCGTTATTGTACGCTCTTGGCCACTCCAAACCGTGCGGGTGCGCATGCGCATACACACTCTTTCTCTCACTGTGATATACAAAATTCATCTCTAGCCCATCCTCGCCTACGTATCGACAAGAGAAAAGAAGCAGCAGCAGCAGCAGTAGCATCGTCCCTCCGTGGTGTCCCTCCTTACCCTCACGCAGCAGGCTGCGCCCCCTCTACCCCCGCTCTCGCCCCCTTGAGATCCAACAACAACCCCGCATCTCCACCAAGCGCACACACGACCAGCCTGGCAACTTCGGCGCTCACATCCCCCCTCGTACTCCTTACCGTACATCTACACTGTCGCGCAGCAGCGTTGGGCTCCAGTCGGAGCAAGATTCCCACTTTACTAGCAGTGCTCGTCGTCGTACCCCCTCCCACCTCGGTCGTCGCTTCATCACAATACCAAAGCCCTGCAGCCACGACATTCTCGCTCTTGGGGTCAATCCCCTCTAGTAAACCCAACCTCAACCCCTTCTCAACAACTCTTCGCATCCTACCTTCATCCACACCACTCTTCGTCTCCCTACTGAGCTTAAATCCACCAAAGACGCGTTGAGCCTGTCTACCCTCCCCCTCTAGGGCCTTCCAGCGCTCAAAGAACTGTGCAGGCCCACCGAGGGAGCCAGGAGGGACGGGGGAGATGAACTTGCTCATGGGCACGGGCAGGGGCAGGACCAAGGACTGGAGTGATCCGGCCAGGTACTCTACATGGAGCAAGGGAGGATACGTTGCTACGCCGCGACAGCTCACGTCGACCACTTGCTGGATTTGGGTCATTGCGCCCAGGCTCGAGGGGGGAAGCTTGGACATGCTGGCCTTGATGGCCGGATTGGCCACGTCCGGCTCTTCAGGGTGCGGGCGCACACGAAGGGAGAGGGAGGTGAAGCCCACGCTGATCTTGTTGCCCAAATAGAGGGCAAGGCGGCCCCGTGAGCCGTGGAATTCGGTCTTGAGGCCAATTTGGAGTGAGCCGTCCTCGTAGAGGACACCTTCGTTGCTGAAGGCGGTCTTGAGATAGGACTTGGTGATGGATGGGGGGAAGACGAGGGGTGGCGCGGCGGATGAGGAGCTGGGAGCAGCTACGCCGACGCCGGTTGTGGTGGGCTTGATGCTGCTGGCGGTTCGATCTGCGCTTTCTTCGCCGTCACCGCCATGGTCGATGAGCGGTGCCCGAGCCGTATAGCTCGACTCTCCCGCCTCGCCACCGTTCTCTCCCATCCCATTGGTGACGCCCACCCCACCAGGCTGAACGCTCATGTCCAGCCCCTCCAGCCCAGCCATGATGTCGTCAATTCCAGCTCCATTGCTCTGCTGGCCCCCAGCGGGGATCACAGAGGGTGGCGCAGCAGCCCCCGCGGCCTTTGTGGTGGGCATCGCACCCCCATTGGCCGGTCCCCTCCTCAACGACTCCAGCCTCGCCTCATCCCTATTGCGATTCACCTCCTTACCCCCAATGATCCACGTGCGCTTATCGTTCGTGTCCCCATGCTTCTTCTGAAGCCTGCCCAGCAGTAGAGAGCTCTTCTCTGGGAAAGGGGGCATCTCATCGCACACGGCCTGGAGGAGCTCGTCCGACCCGTCGGGACGTTCAGCTAAGGCCACGTACTCGCACGCGCGTTGCTGTAGTTCCGAGTCGAGTACGTGCGTGTAGCGCTTGAGGACGTAGAGGAGTTGTTCGCGTATCTCTGGGAAGAGGTTGAGCCATTTCACGTAGGTGGACAGCAGAAGGGCTCGAGTCGGTTGAGAGCAGAGGTGGGAGCGCGAGTGGAGCGCATGGAACTGCTCGATAGGCGACGCGCCTGGATTGTTGGCAATCAGATGGCCATACTCGCCCAGGACGTACCCTCCTACCTTGATGAGGTTCTCGTGGCATGAGCTGGACTGTAAGTGCTCATAAGCCTTGGTGGCCGCATATTCCTGCACGTCTTCGTTGTTCGTCACGATCTGGACGACGCGAAACCATACCTCCTCGCCTACATGATCGCCCGCGCTGCTGATCAGCTGCAGGATGGTATCCACGTACCACGCGTACTCGGTGGCGAACTTTTCCGTCAGGATTGCAATCTTGAGTACTAGCTCCTCGCGAAGCGCATAGTCCGCCACCTGGAGGTAGCGCAGCATTTCGCCGACGATGCTGCGTGCGTTGTCGACGTCGCACATCGAGTAAAGGAGGTCCAATCCGCGGCGACGGACAGAGATGTCGCGGTCGCGGAGGGAATGCATGATCGTCTTTTGGTGCATCTTGATGGGCTCGAGGGACTCAACGCACGCTGCCAGGTGGGCCATGGTGTCTAGGCCGAGATAGCGTACATTGGTCTCGCGGGAGAGGATGAATTTGCCCAGCAGGACCGAGGCCTTGGCTACTACGGCGGACTCGGTGTCGAGGTGGATGGCGAGGTTGATGGCTTCGAAAAGGATGGCATTCTGGGCATTGTTGCGCTGCACATTCTTTGGCGTGTTTTGCGAGTTCTGAACAATGTGATCGAGGACATTGTGGATCGTAGCCTTGATTGTTTCGTCATCGGAGGCGGGCCAGTACTGGAGGAGGCGCAAGAGCTTGACTTGGAGCCAGGGGGCGGGGACCTTGTAGTAGAGGTAGTCCTCCGAGTAGTCCTCCTCTACGATGATTTTTGCGAGGCGGTCCACTGCCTTTGGGTAGGCGTTGGCGAATGCGTCGGGGTGGTCCTGAGCCATTGTCATGACCAGGCTGGCAACAGCCGTCGCCACGCCCAAGTCGTCGTCGTCCATAATGGCTACGATGCGCGCAGCCCAGTCTGGCACATCTGAAAGGGCCTCAGGGCTCTTGCGATAGAGTCGCAGCAGGGTCAGTGCCGCTTTCTTCTTGACAAAGGACCTCGATGTGGGCGAGATGAGCAAGCGATGAACGTCAGGGGCAAGCGTCTCTGCCATTTCTGATCCGCCAATGTTGGCGATTGCGTGGAGGGCGAGACAATTGTGCACCTCGTTCAAGTCATCGAGGTCTTTACGTATCGAGTTGACTACGAGGCGGATGAGGTCCGAGTTCTCGTGCATGAGGAGAGTGAGGGCCAGGTAGCCAATCTGTTTCTCCGAGTACTTTGACGAGGCGATGAGGTTGACCGCTTCCATGTGACCCACGTCGACTTCGTAGCCCTGCGCGCGCACGAAGGGAGGAAGGAAGAAGTGAGCTGTGAGGGTAGATTGAGCATTCGTCGATGTGCACATATACTCACGAGAATGTAGGTGAAGCAGACCTGGTCGCACAGCGCAGCACAAAGGGCAGTCATCAGCATCTCCTCTTTCCCTCCGACACGATCTGCGCCCTCTCACCTTGCTCAAGTACTTCTTCTTCTGATATCCATTCAGTTGCTGCCTAAACTGCTGTCGAATATGTGCCATCTCCTGCCTGACGACCTTCTCCTCTGCCTCACGATGCCTGGCCTGACGCAGCGCAGCAATGTACGAGACAAGGCCCTTCATGTTGGTGCTGTTCGAGGAGCCCGAGCCCGAAGCCATGGTGGCGAACGACGCCATTGCGGTGAGCGTGAGCGATGAGCGCCGACAGAAAGAGAAGGGAAAGACGTGAGATGAGGTGAAGTGAGGTGAGGTCCAGAGAGGGACGGTGCCTTAGAGAGCGAGGAACAAAGGATCCCTCGCGCCGCTCCTCGACGACGCCGCCGCCTCGACTTGCCGCCGCCCTCTCCGTCGCTCGCACGGGCCGGGGTCCAAGGCCGTGGTTGCGCCAATGGACAGACAAGGCGAACAAACGGCGACGCTTCACACCGAGCACACGCACACACGAATGAGATGTCTTATTGCCGCCAATACAGACTTCCTCCGAACAGCTCAGGTCGAGTCATGCTCACCACATTCGCGGCGAAGAGGCCTATCCCCGCTATATGCGCCGCGAAGATGGCTTGTGGCGGCAACGTTGGGGAGGGAGGAGAGGAGCACGAGGCAGTCAGCGCGTGTTGTAGCTCGAATGGCATCTTCATCTCCATCTCGTCATCTCGCCCTCGCCCTCGCTGCCAAGACTCACCCCTCTTCCTCTCCGGATGATCCCTCGCCGCCCCCCACGGGTTGGGCAGTCCCATCACATTACAGAAGACATGAGCAGCCAGCGGCCCAATCATACTTCCCGTCCTCAACCAAAGCCAATTAGCATACCACCCGAACAAGGTCGTGTACGCAAACTGCACGCCCGCCTGCAATGCCGCAAACTTGATCCCCCTCTTCTCGAGGTAGTAAGACTGGTAAAAGTGATGCAGATGCGCCAAGCCGAAGTAGAGAGGAGTGCCGAAGATCAGCCAGGCGTAGGAGGGTCGAGGGACAGAGTGGTACGAGACGGAGAGGATGCAGCTGCGCCAGATGAGCTCTTCTGTTGTGGGACCGACGACAAAATTGCGTAGGCCGTGGAGGTTACACCAGTCCTTGAGCCAGGCTTTCGCTTTCCCCCACGCTGAGGGCGTTGCCGAGGGAGCGTTTCTCCCCTTGCTGTTGCTTTTCTCACCAGGGACGTGCCTCGATGCCCACCCTGGAAGGGGGAGTGTTCCCTCCAACCACTCGACGTAGAGCGGGCCGAGGAAGAGGGACGCCGTTAGGCTCAAGGGATATAGAATGGCAGGAAGGAGGTGCGAGCTCAGAAATTCCCAAAGGCCGGGCTTGAGTGGGAGCCAAGAGGAGGTGAGAGCCGTAGGTACGCTATATGGCAGGGGCAGGCCGAGCATGAGGAGCACCTGTGGGAGACGGATGATAGGGTGCTGCGCGAGAGCATATAGCAGGTGAGCCTCGAGCATCGCTCCACTTTCGTCACCTCATTATCACGAGTACCCACCACCTTCTCCCCCAACCCCCTCCAAAGCACCAACCCTGTACCTGCGACACCCAACGCAGTAGCAATGCTAGCAACCTTCAATCGACTCCTCATAACGCGCACATCGTCCTTTGGTAATCTTCTGATCGTGGGTGAGAGGTAGAAGGCACCCACATATCCCAGAGTGAGGGCTGATGCGTGCAGCGGGGGGAGCCACGCTGGGAGGTTGAGGCTGGGGGAAGGGGCGGGAATGGGGAGGGGAAGTCCCCCGTGCGCGGAGGAGGAGGACATGCCTGGTATCGTGAGGCTTCCTGGATGCTGTATGCGATAGCCTCTTGATGCGACTCGATCTCGATCGAGCACTCCTCGCTCTTGTGCTTGTCTGACCCTGTTGCTCTCTCTCTCTCCTCTGCTTGCTTGCTTGCTGGCGTGCCGTCTTGCCCCTCTTGAAGGTTGGCAAAAGCGTCACGGATGGATCACGAATCGAGCCTCTCGAGATCTCGGGTGCGGCAAATCGGCTCGACTCGCAGACCAACCAACCAACCAGTCCAACGCGGCGGGAAGGCGGGGGGAGATCTGACTCCTTTGTTCGTCCCTCGTCTTTGTCCTCGAGGTCTAGACTACGTCGAGCTCCCAGCAATCGATAAAGTCACGTGTGCGAGACGGAAAATGTGTGCTGTCGAGCACGAAGAGACAAGAAAGCGATCCTGCTACGAGGAGAAGCGTGCCTTCTTGTCGACTCGAAGAAGAAGAGCTGCACTGGGTGGTGGGGCGGTGACTATGCTCAATCCCGCGCAAGGGAGAGAGAGCAACACATCCTCACCTAGAGAGAGCTCGACGGACGCGGCTCTGCTCTGATCTGCTCTGCTCTCCCTCGTGCGAATCGTGCTCATCAATGAAACTTCAATCGCCTCTTACTCTCACAACGCGGGCGGGAAGGAGACTCTCTCTTGTCAACCCTCTTCTGTGTATCGAGAGAGAGAAAAGGCGAGTTTTCTGTGTAAAAGAGAGAGAGAGAGAGAAGGACAAAAAGGGAAGAAAGTTGACAAGGTGAGAGAGATGGAGAGAGTGAATGGGGAGAAAAGGCGACGGCGGTGAACGGGGGGTTTGGCGGGGATAGAAGGCGTGTTGTAGGGAAGATGGGGTCGAGGTATGAAGGGAGGAGGGAGGTGCATGGGCGGGACGGGATTGAGGGAGAGAGCCAGAGCTTGGGAGTTGGTGAGGTGTTGATTGGACCATCGAGAGGAGGAGAGAGGGGGCTCGACGACGATTGAAGAGGTGGTGCCTGCTTCAATGACCGTCGACTTGGATCCCCTCACCTTCCCTCGATGCGCAACCAACCCGCTGCTCGCTCAATCCCTGCTTTGGACGTCCCATTGCGGTGATCTTGCTGCCCAACGACCCCTCGACTCCCATCTATTGCCCGACTTGTGTGACCCTGCCGCCCTCTTGCACCTTGAATGCGCCCGCCTCCACAACTACCACCAACACCACATCGCCCCACGACTTCTCCTTCATCGTCGTCTTGGTGACCATTGTTCGCCTCGCATCATCCCATCTCGCAACTCCGTCTTCTACTCGCTCTCTCCTTCCTCCCTATTCACGGACGGTTATTGCTGACACACACACGCACACGCTGCTTCCTTCTCACCACCTTTAGGCGGCCTCCTCGCCCTTGGTCTCAGCGGCGGGGGCAGCAGCGGCACCCTCGGTCGCGCCAGCGGCGGCGGCACCACCCTCTGCGGGCTTGCTCTCGGACTCTTGCATGTCCGAGGTCCAGAGAGTGAGGTTGTCACGGAGGAGCTGCATGATGAGCGTTGAGTCCTTGTAGCTCTCCTCGGAGAGGGTGTCGAGCTCGGCAATGGCGTCGTCGAAGGCCTGCTTGGCGAGATGGCAGGCGCGGTCGGGCGAGTTGAGGATCTCGTAGTAGAAGACGGAGAAGTTGAGGGCGAGACCCAGACGGATGGGGTGCGTAGGGGGGAGCTCGGTGACGGCGACGTCCGAGGCGGCCTTGTAAGCCTCGAGAGACCTGCGAGTGTGGCGAAGACGACGAGTGTCAGTGAAATGTCTCGCGTGTCTCGCTATCTCGAGAGCACCCACTTGTCAGCAGAGTCCTTGCGCTTGTCACCGGTGGCGAACTCGGCGAGGTAGCGGTGGTAGTCTCCCTTCCTGTGAGGGCGTGGGGGCGGCGACAAGGGATCAGTAAGACAGCACATCGGTTTTGTTGCGCCGCGGGCACGCACATCTTGTGGTAGAAGACCTTGCTCTCGCCCGAAGCGGCAGAGGGGATGAGGTGCTTGTCCAGGACGTCAAGAATGTCCTCGCAGATCTGGGCCAGCCTGTTGCGGAGTTTAGTGGGCGCCATTAGCAATCCGAAAAGTTATGCAAAGAGAGACGATACCACGCCTGACTCCGCACTCACTCAGCCTCGATCTTCTCGCGGTACTTCTTGATCATGGTCACCTGGGACTCGTTGTCCTTGGACTCCTCCTTCTGCTCAATCGACGAGACGATGCGCCACGAGGCACGGCGAGCACCAATGACGTTCTTGTAGGCGACGGAGAGGAGGTTGCGCTCCTCGACGGTGAGCTCGCTGTCTTGGCTGGCGACGAGCTTCATCTCCGAGACCATCTCTGCGCGTGTGTGCGGCGTGAAGGGTGCGTTAGTATCTCGGGCTACGTAGCACGATGGCTTGGTAATGAAGCGAAGCGATGCTCTGCTCTGCTCTCTACGTGTCCTTCCTCCTCCCGTCCTTATCATCCACCCATCCCCACGCCATATATGCATCCCCCCCCCAATCTGATCCCCTGAAACGTCGCGCCAATCACCACGCCATCCGCTCGTCTTTGCGCGCTCTACTCACCCTCATATCGCTCAGCCTGCTCGGCGAGCTTAGCCTGAAACGAGAAGGGGTGCAATTACTCATGATCAGCAATGCGCACGCGGGAACGCGGCGAGGTCGTCCGACTCACGAGGTAGACGTGGCTAGAACGGTCGTCGGACATCTTTGTTGTTTGTGAAGAGAGTGGGGGGCTGTGTTGGGTCGGAGCAGACGAAATGGAATCGAGTGGTCTTGTGACAAGTTGTTGTGATCGAGGGTCGAGACCGGGGTTGGTGGTAGTGGTGTGTTGGTGTGGTAGTGATGATGAGGAGAAAGGAGTCGTCGACGAGGGGGGCGAGCGAGCGAGCGAGCAGGCGGGCGGGCGGGCGCGGCGCTTCTGCTGGGCGGCTGGGCTGGCTTGCCTCTGGCTCTGGCTCAGGCGACGACGACGTCGACAGGGCGGCGGCAAGCAATCCCAAGTCCTCGAGTTGAGTCGACGAGACAAGGCCACGCCAGCCAGCTAGCCAGCCAGCCAGCCAGCCACGCTCAGGGCCAGGCCACGCCAGCTGGCGCTCGACCCGCCCCCCTTCCTCCCGCCACGCACCGGGCGGAAGAGCGGCGAGAGGGGGGGCAGGGCAGCAGCAACACAGCACACACACAGCCGACTCAACGCCCCCGCGCGTCTCGACGTTTGTGCCCCCTCCCCGCGCCCGCGCCGCGCCGCCACCACTCGTCGCCCAAAAAGAAGCAGCGTCGGCCAGCTAGCCAGACGCCACGCAGAGCAAGCCAAGCCAGCATCGACGCAGCTAGCCTGCTGCTAGTCAGGGCCAATTTCGAGAATCGAGAAGCTACGATGCGGGTGATGGTGAAGCAGCGTGCGTCGTGAGGGACGACGAGGGGGAGAGAGTCAGAGCAGAGCAGGCAAGAGATGACATCGACTGCAATTGTGAGAATGTGAGAGCTGGTCGCAGCTGGTCTCATCGTCAGCGGCGGAGATGTGGTCCGTACCATGCTTAGTGGAGCTCCATACGTCGTCGCATCTCAATGACAACAGTCAGACGGTGTCAGGTCTGAGCACGCTGTCAACAATCGCCGCTCTTTCATGTCATCTGCTCGACCTCGACCTGAGTTACCATGCTCACCACCGCCGTCACCGCTATTTGGCGGAGAGCGACAGGCATGCTCAGCGACAAAGAGACTCGTATCGACGCGAGAACGCTCCGACTGGGTTCGGACGCCTCCATCGCGACTCACCGCCTGCGAGCCTATCTGAGCAGAGCCCATCGGCGCAAGAGGCTCGAGCGTCGGCCTGATGATCAGCTCTCGAACGCGCCGATCTAGCACGCATATGCCCATCACCATGGCGTTGTCAAATGCTCATTCGCGCGCAGCATGCCGTACCTGTGCCTTGACCTCTCCGCCCTGGCCAGGTCACTTTGCCGCCTTGCCTCCGCCCCTCATCGCAACGTCCCATCGTACCTCGATGCGAGGCCGTGGCGGTGACGAAGGGCGGCGATACGTAGCTCCGTCGTCGGGTCGGAACGGAAGTCTATCCTCCCCATTTGCAGCCCGCTCAACGGCCAAAATGGCTTTGCCGGCTCTGCTTTGCTCTGCTTTGCTCTCGCTCGCGCACTGCAACTGCACTGGAGCAGCGCGAGCAAGAGCCACACGACATCCAAGTCAAGTCGAAATGCAAGCCAAGTCGCTGCAGCGCTTATTGCCTTCTTCTCGTCCAAACCGCCACCACCACAAAAAAGACTTTTACCAACTTCTCGAGAGTTAATATCGGGGAGCGGATCAAGTAGCGGTCAAGAAGCGAACAAGAAAGAACAGCTGTGCAGTAGCAAACCCCTTCGTAAAGCAGGTGAGCTGCCCATCCGCTCGCATGTATGCAGACGCACCGACTCACACGACATCCCCACCTCCCTCCTCACACCCACGCAGACAATCATGTCCACCCCTCACTCCAACCGTCGTCGCGCCTGCTTCGTCTGCGGTCGCCTGGGCCACCTGGCAGACTCGTGCTCCTCCCCCGCTCGCCTCTGCTTCGTCTGCGGCGAGCCCGGCCACGAGTCGTCCGCCTGCCCTAACCCGCGCACCGACGACAACAAGCAATGCTACCGCTGCGGCGGCACGGGCCATATCAAGGCCAACTGCAGCCAGCCCCCCGCCTCAGCCAACGCTGGCGGCGCAAACGCTGCTGCCGCTGGCGCTGGTGGAGCCCCAGTAGCGGCCAAGGCCTGCTTCACGTGCGGTGGACCCCACCTTGCCCGTCAATGCCCGCAGGGACCTGGTGCCGGGGCCCCTCGTAGCGCCGCAGGGATCACCTGCAGGGCGTGCGGTGGCGCCAACCACTTTGCAAGGGACTGCAGGGCCGCCCCTGGCGCCGCTGCGGGACGTATGGGTGGTGCTGCCCCGCGTGGCCCTAAGCTCTGCTACCGCTGCCAGGCGCCGGACCACGTTGCGAGGGAGTGCCCGCAGTTCGCTGACCCGCCTGCTCCCACTAGCGCTGCCGCTGGTGGTGCGGGAGCTGCGCCTGTTGTCGCTTGAAGTGGGCATGGCGTGAAGATGGGAGGGAGGAGCGACCCGAGTGTAGGTGTAGGGGAGGTTCGAGTGGCGATCCACGCAGCGATGTCCTGCAGGGCTCACGACTGGTGGGCCCTTTCGTGCACGCGCCACTGTTATCATTATTATGCTTAATACTCCACGAAAAAGTCCTCTTGCTCGCTCTACGAACAGGCCGCTTGGCTCGTGTGATATGGTATCTGATCTGATCTATTCGCTGTCGTGACGTCTTGCTTCGCATCTTCTAACCCTACTCTACCGCACTGCTCGAGGATCGCCGCCTGCCCCTCGCTCTCTCTCGCTCCACGTCCTCCTCAAGGCCCCACGTCAACCAAGCCGCTCCCAAGCTACTGAGCCCGCCAAGCCTGATGATCCAGCCCAAGGTTGTCCCACCCGCAACGCCTTCTTGCGCATCGTCCGGGAAGAGGGCGAAGAGCAGTGACGAGACGAGGGAGACGCTCATCTGCGGAATGACTATGCTCACGTTGTGCAGCCCGAGAACGGAGCCTGCTCGTGCGGAGGAGGAGGCAGAGCCGGAGGACGAGGTTGAGGCTGGATCGCCTCCCCCAAGGGAGGTGGGGCGATGCTCCAAGTCGTCTTCGTCGGCGCCCTCTCGATCGTGGTCAATGACCGTCTCATTTCCCTCTCCCTCCGCCTCGCCCAACTCTTCGCTCGAGGGAACAGACTGGTATTGGCCCCTCCTCGCCCTCCCAGCTCCAAGAGCCATGCCCTCCCCCTGCCCCCCTTCCCCACCTCCTTTACCCTCCCCCTCTTGAAGGAATATCCCAATCAAAGCATAAGGCGCCCAATTAGTCACAGCCCACGAGAAGCCAGAGGCGGCCACAATAGCCTTTGCGCCGCGCAGGCTGTGCGTCGCCTGAGCGGGTCCGCTGCCTAGGGTGACGAGGGCGAAGAGGAGTAGGTGGGCGTAGCGCCAGAGCTTGAGGAGGGAGGTGCGCGGGCGACGCGCCGCTAGTCTGGAGAGCCAGGATGGTAGCCATGCGGAATGAGTCTTTGTGCTACTACTCGCCGAATCGATTTCGCCCTTGTTATCCGGGTCAGGGAGCAAGAAAGGTAGGCCAGCCGAACACGCAAAGCTGACGAGCGCTTGAAGGAACATGGCGTGGGACCCGGCACGAGTGCCTCTCGCTCTATCCTTGTCCGTAGTAGCGGTGGGCGCAAGGACGGCCGTAGCGATCCATTCTGTGGCGTAAAAGAGCATCGGGAACCAACTGACGAAGCTGCACAGCTGCACGGCAAAGATGCTCGTGATGCGCGGTGGTAGGCTGCGGGCGACAGCCACGATCTCCCTCAGGGACTCGCTGGCGGACCTGATCGGGTCCAGCAGTATCGAACCACCTCCTCGAGGGTGCCGTCGATGTCTTCTTCTTCTTCGCGCAGCAGCTGCGCCCGCTTCATCTGAGGGGCACACCTCGACGAGGCGCTGCTCTACGGCGCACCATGCCACGACTGCGTGGGTGGTGAGAACGGAAAAGGCCGTGATGAGGGAGAGACAGCGCACCTGCCCCTCGCTTGGGGTTCGGGTCCCGGCGAGGAGGAAGGAGGGGAGGATGGTGAAGGGAAAAGTGGCGGGGAGGTCTATATCACCCACGAAGAAGCCTGTGCGAGGGGTAAAGTGCCAAAGGAGGGGAAGTGTCAGCTTCGGGAGAGCGCAATGACGACGTGACGAGACGTGGTATGACCGCGTCCCCCCCTTTAACTCACCTAGAATGGCCCCCAAAGTTGCCAGTCTGGCAGACCAAGCAGTTCCATCGGCCTGTCTCTCCCTTGGCAGCATATCAAGCAAAAGGGATCGATCCAGAGCCATCATTGCGTTTACAGCAAAGTCCATCCCCCAGATCCCCACGACGGCCAGAGTAGGAGTAGCCCACCCAGCCTGATCTACCTCCATCCCTAGCAACGCAGGGAGTAGCCTCGCGAATCCGAACAAGAGCACAAAAGCTGCAGTGACCAACGTAGCAGCAACGAGGTAAGGCCTACGTCTTCCCCAAGGGTGAGTAGAGGAATCTGCCAATGTACCGATGAGGGGTTGGACAACTAGCCCGCTGATGGGTCCCGCTATGAATACGATGGCCATTGTAGATTTGCTCAGACCAAGCTCGAGGAGAAAGGGAGTACCATAGGCCATTTCTATTGACCAGACCATTTGGAAGCCGAAGAAGCCCAGGGCGAGGAGGGGAAGTTGGAGATGCGAGGGGCCACGGATGTGCGGCGTGCCCACAAGGCGGTGGATGCCGTCGTCATATTGTTGGAAGGAGGTGTGCGAGTCGCCGCCACCGCCGCCGCCGCTGCCCACCATGTATGTTGATGACGAGTAGGAGAGAGAGGGATAGGGTGGAAGGAAGCGAGGAGGAGAACGAGGTGTTGATTGTATGCACCGCCGCGTTCCCCGTCTGTCCAGAGCGCCGCACGAGCCACACACGTCTGCGAGAGAGATGCGCTCATGCCAGCCTGTTACTGCAATGCGTATATGCCTCCATTCTCTCAAGCCTCTCTCCATCATCTCTCAAAGCTCTATCCGTGTCTTCATTGCAATCGAACAGAAGCGCATCATCATTCACATGACCTCAAGGAAGGCGCCTCCCCCCCACATCGCGCCCCCTCGCGACCTCACGCCTTCCTCTTATTCATCATCAACTTGGCCGTATCAGTGAAATAATCCCTCGCAGTAAATAAGAAGGCCTGCGTAATCACTGCCTTAATCAACTGCGCCTCCATCCCCTGATACCATCCTTTGATCCCTTTCTCCCTCGCTATCCTCGCCAAAAGACCAATCGCCCCCTTTTCCGGTGGTCGCTCGCTCTGCAAGATCAACTTGGCGAGGATGTAAGGGAATGTGACGATTGTAGCCAAGGACTTGGAGAGGGCTCCGACGAAGAAGGATTGCCAGGGGGTCATTTTCCCATCAGGGGTCGCAGTGAGGATGAGGGATTTGATACGTTCGAATACCCCGTAGGTGAGGGAGGGGTTTACGACGAGGAGAAGGGAAGGCTTAAGACCGCGCCAGAGACCTGTGGGTCCGTCTTGCTTGATGATCTTTTTCCCCACTCCCAAAAAGGAGTAGTCCTCGTCGTCCTCCTCCTCCTTGACCCCACCCCTCTTCACCGGCGCCTGACCCGGAGCACCAACAGCCGCAGAGGCCTGTGCTGCCTTCTCCACCTCCCGTGTCTTGCGGGGACGCAACTGCTGCCGGGTGGCTATGACGCTCACGGGGATGGTGAATACTTGCGCGACGGCGGCTGCAAGGGCCCCAATGATCAGCTCCGAAGCGGTTCCAATGACGACGCGGACGCCGGGCGGAGTCTTCTTTGTTAGTCGCTCGAGCCAGAAGGTGCGGATGGACGAGTAGAAGAAGAAGTAGGAGAATTGAAGGCCTGGTGCGCGAGCAGTCAAGTCAGCCTCCCCAATTCAAATTCATGCTGAGCACCACCACGCGCGCGCGCACGGGCGAATACTCACTCAACGTGTTCATCGTGCTGGCCACCACGCCCGAGTAAAGGGCTGGAATCCCATCCCGTTTTACGACCTCCAACACCCCCTTGAAGATGTTCGGTGAAATCTTGACCTTTCGCGGTTTACCGTCCTGCCCTCTGACGGTCACCTCCTTTTCGAGCAGTCCAGCTTGAATGCGGGTTTTGCTCATGTCCAAGGGGTAGGTGATGATGGCCGCCGTGGCTGCATTGCGAGGTGTGTGTGTGTGTGAGGCAAGGTTAGCTTCACAAACAGCGATGGGGGAACGAAGCAGGGGGGCAGGGGATGGACTCACCTGCTCCTAGAGCGCCAGCAACGGCATCGCCGAATGGGGTAAGAGGTTGATCCATGCTTGCTCTATACCGCCCGTGTGCGAATGCGACCGGCGAATACGATGGTGGGGAGGAGGAGGAGGAGGAGAAGGTCGATATCGATCAGGGCGAGGTGACTTCGCAGCAAGGGAATCGGATCGATATCGAATGATGAGGAGGAGGAAGTTGCGTCCCACGCCCGCTCCACGCTCCACGGCCCTCATGCCAAATGCAGAGGCCGCCGCCGGGCCAAGCCAAGAGGCCTTGTCCGGTCCGCCTTCTTTGCCGTGAAAGATGAGCCGGACGGAGAGAGCGACAAGGCGCCGCGTGGCGGGAGCAGGGATGAGGCAGCTCGAGATTGAGGTGAGGAGGACGACGATGAGGTCAAGAGCGAGAATCGGGGGGTGAGGGGAGCATGATGGCAAGGTTGCACCGCTCGTCACGACTGATCGATACGTTTGGGAGTGTGGCATATCGTGTGCCTTCCCTAGAAACGATAGTCTCGCCGTCTGTCTGAGCTGCCAGGAAGTAAGCTGGGGGCCTTCAAGCCATCATAGACTGGACAATGCTCTTCCTCTGCATTTCCTATATCAAATCAAAACAAATCAAATCGCATCACATCACCTCCTTCCCCGCCCCCTCTGCCTCCTCATCATCCCGTTCTCGTCGCCATGCTCGACCCTCGGACCCCTCCCCGCCTTCCTTCCTCCGGAGATCGCGGAGCGCGGCCTGGCGGGAATAATCTTCGTCTTGTCCTGTCTGCCGATCAGATGCGAGTCGATGCCGCACCGCACGCCGCACTGTGGGACAGGCGGGGCGGCACAGGCGGCGAATTCTCCTTTGGGTCTGGGGTCGAGGAGTGGGGGGCGAGGTGAGTGAGTCAAATGATCAGGCTAGCCTGTATCCCACATCAAGCAAGCACAGGATCATCCCATGAGCAGGTCGTCGAGCATTTCTTTCCTTTCAGTTCTCCTACAATAGCCAAAGGCAGCGAGGCGAGGCGACGTCACTCACTCCTTTCATCTCGAGGCGCGACTAACCAGCCAGCCGGTCTGGCATGCTCAGCTAGCTACCCTGGCGACGTGACGCAGAGCTTCATTCATTCATTCATTCATTCATCCTCGCTACTTGCCAGCTCGAGGACGAGGACGCCGGCACGACGCCATGGCAGGCCATGAACAATCGACTGACACGACTCGAGACGAGATCGCCACAACAGCCATACCAGCAACGGCTGCGCTGCCCATCCCCTCCGTGGACGAGGACCTAGTACGGCAAGAAGCCTCATCCAGCTTCTCGTCCTCCTCGCCTCCTCCTCCTCCCGCTCACAGCGGCGGCAAGCGCAAAGATGAGGAGGACGTGCCTCCTTCTCCCCCCTCGTCGAGCTCACACAGCGAGGAGTACGAGCACGACGCAAACGGCATGCCAACGGACATCGAGCACGTACCCGTCACCGATGACCCGCGTCTGTGGAGCGAAGCCCGCAAGTGGTACCAAGTCTTCATCGTCTCGTACGGCGCCCTAATCCCAACCATGGGCGCCAATGCATGGTTTCCCGCCATTGCCGACATAAAAGCAGACCTGGGCGCATCCGACGCATCCGTCGACCTATCCGTCTCACTGTACATCTTGTTCCAGGGGATGTTCCCCCTCCTCTGGTCGCCGACCTCGGAGATCTTTGGACGGAAGAAGTGCTTTCTAGTAGCAATGGGCCTCTACACGGTCGCGACGGGGTTTACGCCCTTGGCGCGCAATATGGCGACGGTGATTGCGTTGAGGAGTATCGCGGCAGCAGGGAGCGCGGCTACGTTGAGTATTGCGGCGGGCAGTCTGGCGGATATGTACGAGGCCGAGGAGCGCGGCGTCAAGGTCGGGGTGTACTACAGTTTGCCCATCTCAGGGCCAGCATTGGCGCCTATCCTCGGGGGAGCACTGACCGAGGCTGCTGGGTGGAGGGCTACGGTAAGCAGCACTCATGCGGCGGAAGCAGAAGCCGTCCCTGGCTGACCGTAGCATCCTCCTCGTCGCCGCGCAGTTCTACTTCCTCACCGCAGCAGGCGGAGCCTCCTTCCTGCTGTACTGCACCTTCAAGGAGACGTTTCGCACCGAGCGTAGCGCTGCATGGCACAAGGCGAGGATCGAGGCCGAGAAGCGGTTGCGTGAGCACCGCGAGGAGAAACATGACGGAGGAGATCTCGAGGGGACAGGGCGGCGTGCCTCGCCGGATGCCAACGCCAATGGTGATGAGCAGCACAAGCCGATGGCTGTACCGGATTACCAAGGCGCGGGAATCGAGTACCTGTACACAACGGCCAGCGAGACGCATATTGAGAGGCAGAAGAGGGGGGCCACGCGTACTACCTCGCGCGCTCAGAGGAGCAAGACATTGCCCGAGCGAGCGCCCCAAGAGGAGCAGGGCAAGGAGGCCAACAACCTTCCAGGCGTATCCGCCACTGCGGCCCGGTCTGCCGGTACTCGCGAAGAATCCCAACAAAAGGTCACAACCCCCTCACGCTCACGTCGGATAGCGCTGCAACCCCTCTCACTCCTCTCCCGCACCGCAACCACAACGCTACGTCGTCTACCCTCGCGGAACCCTACCTCCACGGGTCCCTCCTTCAAACCCTCCTTCTCCTCCGTCTCCCCACTCGGCTCGGCAGCGCACGTCCTCTCCCAGCCACACAACCTCGTCACCCTCCTCTTCTCCGGCGTGAACTTCGCAGCACAGTACAGCTTGAGCTTCGCGACCACGGAAACCTTTGTGGCTCCGCCGTACGGCTTCTCGCCCATCTTGGTTGGATGCGTGTTGCTGGCGCTGGGCGTTGGTGGGGTGATTGGCAGCGTGGTTGGGGGGAGGTTGAGTGATTTGAAGTTGAGAGAGGTGGCACGAAGATTAGGACATAAGGTGAGCGCCGCCCTCAAGATCAAGGGGGGCACAGAGCGTTGAAGGTGTCTCTTGCTCATCTCATCTCTTTCCCCCGCCCCTTTCCCGCGCAAGGCCCCATCCGAATGGCGGCTACGCACCATTGTCTACCCGATGCTGGCCGTCCCTCCCTGCTTCATAGGGTACGGCTGGTCCCTCTACTACCACGCCAACGTAGGCTGGCCTGCCGCTCTCCTCTTCCTGCTGGGCCTCACGCAAATTTGGACCTACTCCGTCTCCCTTTCCTACCTAGTCGACGCCAATCCCGGCCGATCCTCGGCAGCCATTTCGGTCAACTCGGCATTTCGAGGCGTACTGGCCTGCGTGGCGAGTGGGGTCAGTAGCCCCCTGTTGAGGGAGGTGGGACAGGGAGCATTACAGAGTGGATGGGGGGTGCTCGTCGCCGCGGTTACGGCGGTCATGTTTGTGGTGATGAAGAGGGGGGAGAGATGGAGGCAGCCCGATTGGAGGTGGCCCCGACCAAGCGCTTGGCGCAGGGGAGCGAGGGGGGAGGAGGGGGAGAAGGAAGCCGCTACGGGTGCGGGTGCGGGTGCGGCTGTTGCGTAGAGCAACCTACAACTCGGATCGCAAAGCAAGGCACCCTCATTGTACTTTTAAAAATCAAATACACCGTGAGCTATTCAATTCCATCGCGACGCTGCGCTGCTCATTGCCCATCACTTGTGGCTGCGTGCGGTGGCAAACTGATTACTATTCGCGAGAGGGAGGAGGACGAGTCCAGAGAGAGTGTTCGCGATTGCGGCAAGAAAGGAACGTGCTGATTCGAAAGAAGCAAAGGGAGAATCGAGACTATCTGTGTGTGTGTGTGCGTGCGTGCGTGAGGCTATGTGATGTGACCGTGGAGTGTCGTAGAGTCATGTTGTTATGTGCGTGTGCGCGTGCTTTGATACAAGGCTGAGTAGGCATTTACGTGCTCGGGGGAGGGAGAATGGAGGAGCATTTCGAATCGATCTATGGAAACGTATCGGTAGTGTCCATCGTCTTGCGCGACGCCGCCGCTACTCGCCCTTGAGCACGGCATCAATAAGTCGATCAAGCGTGGCCTTCTTACTCTTGAGGTCCGCATTGACAAAGCAATCCTCGACAGCCGTGCGCACCTGCCGCTTAGTGACGTGGTACAGGTCCGCCTGCGCGCCAAGGAAGGTGATGATGGCGGTTCGCAGCTCCTCTTCAGACGGGTTGGGCTCCTCGTTACGGCCAAGGGCGGCGCTGCCACCAGCGGCGGCGGAGGGGGAGGCGGGGTTGCTGGGCGCAAAGGGGTTGGCCATCATGCCGCCCGCGGGCATCATAGGCGAGGCGCCGAACAGCATCATGGAGGAGCGATTGTCCATACCCATGCCTGGGGTGCCCATCGAAGGCAAAGAGGGGAAGCCGCCGTACATGGACATTGTGGTTGGGTGAGGCGTTCCCATTGGCATCGAGGTAGAGGAGTAGGAGGGCATGCCCCACATGGACCCGGTGGAGAAGGATGGGGTCATCATCGCGTTGGCGTTGGGATTGTGCTGCAGCGCGTTGCCGCTCAGCATCGACATCGAAGGTGCACGGGGCATGCCGCCACCGCCGCCGCCGCTGTTGTTGCCAGGATTGAACATCGTCGACGCAGCGCGCGAGCCTGGACGAGAGGGGCTGCCTCCGCCGCCTTGGCCGGCGAAACCGTAAGAGCTGGCGCGAGAATGGGCGGGCGAGCCATTGCGGCCCAGGACGTTGGTCGTCTGGAAGTAGTCGTACGTAGAGGCATTGTCTCCGCCCACGGCCGAGCCAGCGTAGGAGGGCACCTTGTACATGCTGGGCGGGTGGCTTGGCCCTCCGCCGAAGGGCGAGTCAAAGCCACCACCGAGCGGACCACCCACACCTGGCGCGCCGGAGTAAACGCTCATCCCATCACCTTCGCCACGAACGGTCCCGCCATGCTCCCACACATCGCGCTGGTACTCGCTGAACCGTACGAGCGGGATCATCGAGTCGTCGTACGGCTCGTCGTCGGTGCCAGCGATAATCTTCTTGTTGCCCTTTTCGCCGACGACGACGCGCGTGTTGCCCCAGGAGAAGTCGTCCATATGCCAGAAGGAGTAGACCGGGAGGAAAAAGGAGTAGATTGGGTAGGCGAGGATGTAGATGATGAGCCAACCAATGTACCTGGGCGTGGGTCGGACGCGAAGAATTGAAGGTCAGCAAGAGTCGCGTGTTGATCTCTCGCGCCTCGCACCACGCTACTCACTGCCACTGTCGCTTGACGAGGAAGATGATGGCCTGCAACCCGTACACGGCCGCGATGAGGATGATCGAGATGAGGGGGAACTGGCCCTGCCCCGTCGCCACGGTGACGATGAGGTAGATCAAGTACACGACCGTCGCAGGTAGGATGATCGTCCCCAGCAAATCGACAAAGACGACGAAGCGCATGGAGAAGAGGCAGAAGCCGCACAGCTCAGGCATGAGGACCAGCTCTGCCAAGTTGTGCACCGTACTGTTGATCCACCTCCTCCTCTGACTCAGCAGCACCCCAAACTGATCAGGCGCAGCCGTGTGCGCTTTCGCGTCTGGGGTGAATTTGGTACGGAATGCTGGGAAATGCTTGAGGATCAAGGTGGTGAGGTAACGGTCTTCACCGAGCTGGAGGAGATTCTTCTTGTGCAGCGTGTCGACGCGGTTCTCCGAGTAGTCGTCGATGATGCGGTTCGAGATGAAGAGGGGGCGACCCTTGTCCGCGCTGCGGATGCGGTACATGGAGAAACAGCCGGGGAGACAGGTGACGGACCCGAAGAGGGATTCGAAGGCTTTGGCGAGGTGGTGCGAGATGTAGTATTCCTGGCGAGCGTGGGGGAAGAAGATAGTTCAGCGCTAGCTCTTGCTGCTCGTCGTCGTTGGTGGGGGGCGAGCACTCACGTAGACTTGGATCATCGTCCACCAAGAACCCTCTTCGTTGTCAAGCGTTGTCTCACCGCACAAGGCAATGATCCTAGAGTCGTCCGCCGCCACCGCCACAAGTCGATTGAGACCATCCGGCTCGACGGACGTATCAGCGTCGACCATGAGCACGAATTCGTAGAAGGCCGGGTCGATGCCAATGACGTTCTTCATCTGGTGGTAGATCTCCAGCTCCATCGGGTACATGGGACTGTCGAAGTGGACTCGGTTGAGGTAGCGCATGAGGAGGATCTGCGTGTCTCGCTTTCCCCTGTTGCCCGGCTTGGTGCGCTCAGAGGGACGACCGCACTTGACTACGACGACGTAGGGGACGACGTGGCCCTCGAACTCGTACAGGCCCGAGTAGACTTTGGCGTAGTTGAGCTGCTTGGAGCCCTGCGCGGCGAGAGGGCGGAAGGGGAGATGGGTCAGTCAGTTGAGCGAGAAGATGGCCACGCCTCTCTGTGTCGCGCGTACGTACCTCCGCTATACTCTTGAACATCAGCGGCTCCGGATCGACCTTCGGATCAACTCCGAGGATATCCAAGACAATCCTCGGCGTAGGCGTCTCGTTCCCGCTCCCCACGATCATCCCGTCACAAGTAATGAAGAGCAGCTTACGCTTATCGTCGTACTTCTGGCCCGCAATAGAGTCGATCGTCTTGCGAAGCTCGTCCTCGCCCTCGGTGTAGCAGGGCACTTGGCAGATGACGAACTTGTCCTGCTGCTCCGGGTTGCGCTTGGAGGTGAGCTGGAGGGCGGCGATGAACTTTGCGAGGATGGTGGCTACGATGAGGCACGAGAAGGACTGCGCGGGCGCGCACGTGTGCGGAGAGATCGGAGAGAGCGAAGGTCAGTCGAAGAAGCTCGTGCTACTGATTCTCACGTGCTCGCGACTCACCAGCAGCAGGTAGTTCTGCACCTGACACTTCGCCGTGTCCCTGAAATCCGTCTTGCCCGCATAGAAGACATTGTCCAGACAATTCTGATTAGCGGCCTTAGCTGTCGCGCTGAGCGAATTCATGGCCTTGTGATAATCGTTGGTGATGTCCGTCCCTGGCTGACTCTTGAAAAGATCCGTGATACTAGAGTCGAGGAAAGCGACTGCCTGCCCCCCACTCGAGTCTTGCGTGGACGTCGAAACCGTATTCAGGTAGTTGGTGAGATCGTACACCTTCTCATCCACTATAGCCCAGGTGCGCCAGCTCGAGTCGTTGGAGACCTGCTTCTTCGAGTAGACGTAGTCCCCCTTGTAGTATCCCTTCATCTTGGGCAGGAAGCGCTGCGTGTACCACCGGTTGTTGGCCAGCTTCGAGGACTGGTCCGCCTGCTGTGACCCGCTGGTGTGCACGGCCTGCGTGATGGTGGCCGTGAGGTTCGAGTTGAGCGTGAGCGTGAAGCTCTCGTCGGTCACGAGCGTCGGGCAGCCGAGGGTGAGGGGCACAGGGAAGTAGGGCGTGAGGTCCTGCCCCGCCAGCTGGAGCATCGTCGTCTGATCCACCTGCAGATTGGAGATATCGCTGTGCTGGCTCTTGTAGAACTTGGTCAGATCGTACACTTTCCCCGCCACGGCCACGTAGTAATCGTCCTCGCCCGCGTGCGTGCTGAGCTGCTGGGCATTCCAAGCCTTGTTCTGGTTGGGGCAGAGGATGCGTCCAAAGGCGAGGATGTAGAAGAGGACGAGGGCGCAGCTGAGGAAGATGAGGGCGCAGATGGTCACTTTTTCGCGCCAAGCCATCTGCACGTCCGGGCGCTTCATGCCGCCGCAGGAGGAGAGGAGAGACGAGGGGATCCACCACGTGAAGAGCCAGACGAAGCGAACCCACCAGCGACGGATCGCGCTCGTTTCTACTTCTTCGACGGCGTCGATGCCGCGCGGGAGGGAGGCCTTCTCTGCTAGGACTGGGTCGATGTCCCCGTAAGCGCGAGCTGCGTTGGCATTGTTGTGCTTCTCCCACTCGTTCCACCCTGCGCCGGCTCCAACTCCAGCTCCAGCTCCGGCCAGCATCCCGCCCGCGTCGTTGAAGATGCTCGACTTGTCCGCGCCGGGGGTATTGAACGGATTGGTGACATCCGACGGCCTAGGGCGTAGGAGCAGATCATCTTCGCTCGAAGCGCCCCCGGCGAGTGCTCCGTGCCCGCCCATGGGAGAAAGCAGGCTCGCCATACTCTGATCGCGGCCCAGCGGCGGAGGTGAAAGCGCGTCGAGCGACATCGAGGCGGCAGACTGAGCTGCAAGGTCCTCCCCTCCCTCTGTAGAGCGCAGTCGATCCTCCATCCTCCTCCACACGCCATACGCAAGCCAGACCTTCCCCTGCCCAAACGCAAAGTCCGCTCCCTCCCGCCAAGCGTTTGCAATCACAAACGCCTGCGCCTTCTCTCTTGGTGCTGAGGCTCCAGCAGCCGCGGAGGGCCCGGCGATCCACTCGTTGTAGCGCTGGCAGAATTCGTCGTAGGGAACGGAGCGCACCCATTGCTCCTGGGCTCGGGCGCGCGCGATGAGTGCGGGGAGACGTAGAGACTCGACTTGCGCGGTGACGGAGCGTGTGTCGAAGGAACCGGGCTGGGAGATGTCGTTTGGACGGATGCAGAACATGCGCCACTGCTGCGTGTGTCCCACCACGCCCAGGATGCTGCTGAGCGTCGCATTCATCTGTCGCGTTACGCCGTAGTGTTTCGATGGGTCGAGAAGGGGCTGCTCAGAGCCCGCGGGGACGCGGAGAGGGCGTGCCGAAACTTGTGCGTTGACTATCGTGTTGGGGTCGTGTGGGTGAGACTCAGTTGCCAGGCTGGGTCCGGCGAAGAGGCGCGCCACGAAGGAGGTGTGTGAGCGACGCAGGAGCTGGACGAAGGCCGAGTCGAGTACATCCATGTCCTGGGCAAGGAAGGAGGAGAGGCTGTACGTAGTGGGAGCAGGGGAGTTGTAGTGCTTGACCCCAAACGAGTGGGGCGAGGTGCCCTTGACGTAGGCGGCGTAGGGGGCAAAGGAGTCAAACTCGCGCTGTGTAGCATTCTCATCTTCCTCCCTTGCCTCGCCCGATCGCACGGCTTGGCCTAGCTTGGAGAGAGAGCCCAGCAGGCCCGCTGGCTTGCGGTCCGTCGCTTGCGTGCCTACGACGCTGCCGCGGAGGAGCTCGACGCAGGCTGTGGTGTTGTCCTCTTGCTGCTCCACGATGAGATCCTCGGGCATCTCGACGCCGTCGGCGACCATTTCATTTTGCTGCGCCACATGGGCGCGTTGGACCCAGTTGAGCAGGCACTCGTTGGCCACATTGATGCTGAAGTCGCTGAAGGTGGCCGTCTGCCCCTGCTGCTGCTGGAAGCCGGGCATATCTAGCAGAGCGATGCGCTGTGGCGCTTCAGCGGGCGAGGCAGGGCTGAATCGATGATTGGCCGTCTCGACGACAAATGCGAAGAGGATGGCGTACAAGTCCCTCACCAAGCCGTCCCTCTGCTTCTGTGCCGCCTCCCTCGTGAGTACTTGACTGACGAGCTCCTTGCGCACCCATCTCGAGCGATTCGTGAGGGTTGCGCCCAGCTCGTGCGCCTCTACACCCAAAAGCGAGGCTACATCGTCTAGCATCTCGTGATTGGCCACCTCGCACCCTTCCTCCCCAGAGCGGTCAGTGAAGTCGATATTGCCCAGCAGGAGGACGGCGGACAGTAGGGTGAAGATGGCGTGGACGTGTTTTCCCTTGAATCCCAGTGTCTTCATCGCATCTCTCAACGCCTCAAAAGCAATACGATCGTCGCTGACCTCCCCACCCGCTGGGAGACGATAGCAGCCCGAGGAGGAAAGGAGGGCGTATTCGGTCACATCTTGCAGCTTGAAGTCCTCCCTCTCCTGCTGTGTGGCACCAGCGAGCAATTGATAGAAGACGTGGAACGACCTCTCCTCCCTCGCGATAGGCTGGACCAGCCGCGCCTTTTCCAAACCATACGTCAGAGCGGTCGCCCCCGCCAATCTCCCTTGATGGGTGAAGTGCAGCTCCAGATAGCGGTGGAATCGGCTGGCATTACTGTTTTGCCTCGTCTTTGCACAGCCGAACGAGGTGAGGAGAATGTCGAATGCTTTGAGCTGTTGTGCTTGCTTGAGCTCTTGACGGGAGTGCGACGATGCGAGGCGCAAGAGCTCTTCAGTGACGAGTTTGGAGGCGAAGGACTTGCCTGCATCGCTGGAACCGAGGGAGAGGATGGACTGCGGCTCTCCTGTGCGCCGCATCATGTGGTAGGCACGACAGGCCAGCTCGTAGGGGTGAGGGGGTAGAACCTCTTCAGGAGAGGGCTGGCGCTCCTTCTCCCAGGTCGCTCCGCCATAGGTGCGCGCCTGGTAGTCTTGGGCACTCGCATCGTTGAGGTTTGCGAGGGGGCGAAGTGGATTGACGACGACGAGGGTGGAGGAGGAGAGGCGAGTGTAGGGCTGGTCGGAGCGAAGACGCTGTTGGAGGGTTTGGACGATTGAGGCCGCCGTGGGGTGGGAAGAGGTCGATGTGCTGCTGGCCAGATGGGCCAGGTCGTGCTGCGATGCGTCGGAAGACATGGTGATGAGGCGTGGCGTGGAAGAGCGTGCTTATCGTCGCTATATGCAAGGAAAGGGGAGGCGCCTCAAGATGGCTGCCTCAAGACACTAGGCCCAGGTGGCGGCAGCGTCGGCGGCCTTGTGATGCTGGGCTGGTAGCGTATCGAAGAGGAAGACGGGCGGGAGTAAAGGGAGAGAAGGGAAGAATGCTGATGGAAGTGAGGAAGAGTAAAGATGTCAAGACACTACTGCTCCTTGCCCTCGTTGCTACACCCTCCTTTTGGAAATGGAAATGCTGGCCGAGCGCTCACCTCATTTCACCTCCTTGCTTTGCTGCTCCTCCCTCCCTCGTCCCTCGTCCCTGGCCTCGCCTCGCCTGCTCTTCCTTCTCGAGTCGAGTCGAGTCGAGACGCGGGAGTGCGAGCGAGTGAGGGTTCGTGTCAATTCAAAGTCAGACGCCAGACTGGCCGCCGCCCCGCTCGAAACCAACACACAGCCGCGCCTGCCTGGCCTGTGTGCCTGCCTGCCTGTCCGCCGTTGAGCGCCGGGGTCGCGGCAACGAGCGAGGAAAGGGTCATTCAGCTTTCGCTTTCGACTTCGACTTCGACTTGAAAGAGAGGGGGCTCGAGCGCTATGTATGAATGGGACCACGATGAGGCCTCGATGCATGGTTCAGAGATACGAGCGGGGTGAGCTCGAGATGAAAAGACGCTCTGCATGTGTGTCGCTCGGTCTGGAAAGTTGTTGTCGCCGCTCGTCGAGTGAGCGGGCGGGTCGAAGCTTCGTCATCAATTCAGGGTGCAATCACGACGACGACGACAGGGCGGAGGTTCAAGTGATGCAACCAGATGGCTGGCTGCGCCCACGGACACGGGCAGGCTGGGCGTCACTCCACCCACGGCCCAGCTCATCACTCATGGCACGATCGTCGAGGGCAACGTCTTTGCCCCGCGTCTGCCTTGATCATCAAATCCTACTGTGCAATTTCATCCCATCCTCTCATCCTTCCCCCGTGCGTGCTTCTCGAACAAATGGGCGTGGCCCCCGCAAATTGGCCTCCTGACCCAGAGTGAAGTGGGCGGCAGCAGCTAGGGTGGATAACCGAGAAATGCGGGTAAAGGCCCTCTTTTTGCCTCTTTGCCTAGTCCTCGCCCTCGCCGTGGTTCCTTCCGTACATTGGCTCATTGCTAGCCGTCCCTACCGCCGGGCCGTCGTTCATGCCGCCGCCGAGAACTCGAGGCTACTCAGCATCAGCATCAGCATCAGATTCGAGCACTCAGACTTGACTCTGCACCATCCCATCCTGGTCCACTTAAGCATCTATCCGCACCAGCCGCCGCGATGCTCCCCCTGCTAGCTACCCTGCTGCAGCTGCTCCTACTCCTGCTCCTCTGCTCTACCCCATCAATCCACGCATCCCCCTTGACCCATCCATCACGCGGCCCACGCATCGCAGGCCCCGATGCAGAGCAACGCTGCCTCTCCCTCTCGCGCACCTTCAACACCAGCTCGATCCACTACACGCTCAATAACACTTTCACCCAATACTACCCCACAGGGTCCAACCCCTCACTCGAGCTCCTCGCCCAATCCTTACCACCTGGGGTCCTCCCATCCTCACCAAGCCTAAAGGCTCTCCTCGAAGGCGTCGGACCGGACTTTGACCTCTCTCTCGACGACTATGGCAAGAACACGGGGCCAGAAGCAAAGAATGGGCCGCTGGGAGGTCTGCCAGCCTTCTGCCGTTTCGGAGCGTACATCAAGACGAGTAACCTCACGCAGGTCTTCGCCGAGGTGTGGATGCCGCTGGCCGCGAATGGGAGTATAGATTTGGCAGCTGTTAATGCTACCGACTATCCGACGAGTAATACGCCGATCGAGTTGGATGAGAAGGGGGGATTCATCAAGGGACCGCCCTACCTGGTCAACAATGGATCGGCAGCGCCTCCAAGCTCGAGCGCTCCTCCAACCAATGCAAGCCCCAGCGCAGGTGCCCCCGCCTCCTCATCGGCACCGCCAGCAGATGCAGCGTCATCCCCCTCTTCCTCGCCACCTCTCACTCCACGCTCCTCCTCCCATCCGACCCACCTCACGGGCACCCAACTCCTCGGCTCAGGCGACGGGTGGAACGGCCGTCTCCTCTACATCGGCAACGGCGGGCTACGTGGCGCGGTCCCCTTTACGGACCTGAAAGCCAACATGGCTCGCTATCGATTCGCGGTGGTAGGCTCGAACACGGGGCACTGGAGCACCACGGGCGGGGCCACCTGGATCAACGGCACGCAGATCAATGAGACGCTCTTGGATTGGGGGAAACGGAGCACGCATGTTTCACGCCAGCTAGGCGAAGAAGTCATAGCCGCCTTCTACGGCGCTGAGCCGCGACGCGCCTACTACACGGGCTGCTCCAATGGAGGAAAGCCCGGCCTCGCCTCAGCCATGTATTACCCCAAGGACTTTGATGGGATCTTGGCGGGGGCGCCGGGGATCAACTTCAATCGTATGAACGTTGGGCAGATACACACGCAAAAGGTGCACCGCATCGCCTCGGTCGGGCAGGAGGCTTGGTTCAGCCAGGTGGTCCTTCAGGGCCCCGTGCACCAGACTATACTGGATCAATGCGACCACCTAGACGGGGTCGTCGATGGCGTCATCTCTGCGCCCAAGAGATGCAAGCCGGACTTCAGGGCTGCACTACTCTGTGGCCGTGCCGGCGCCAAGTATGGGGCAAGCAACGAGACGTGCCTCACAGAGGCGCAAATCATCAACCTCGAGGAGCTCTATCGTCCCACGATCCTCAACGGGACATTCATCTACCCGCCCTTCGCGTACGGTGCAGAGGGGCAAGCTTCGACCCTCAAGGGCACGCAGGCCAAGGCTGGCAATTTCTTCTCACTAGCCGTACGACGTCAGCCTGACCTCTCGGCAGAGGCGACGGGCAATTTTTCCTATTGGGACTCTATCACTGCGCAAGACGTGGAGGAGGGGGATAGAGAGGGGCAGAACTGGGTGAGCTACAAGACGGACCTTAGCGAGGCGTTCAGTGCAGGGAGCAAGATAATGGTCTACCACGGCCTGGCGGATGCCTTTACCATTTCTCCCTACTCGACCGAGAACTACATCAAGGCCGTGGCGGCCAACAGTAAGACTCGTGGGCCCCTCGATGAGCACATGCGTTTCTATCCGGTGCCGGGGATGCACCACTGTCGTGACGGGCCGGGGGCGTGGCATTTTGGTGGTCCGACGCAAAATGATGCGGGGAACCGACCTTACCTCTTCAGGACGGATTATGATATGTTGTTGAGCCTGGTAGCGTGGGTGGAACGCGGGCACAAGGAGGAATATCAGGTGGGAGCCGCGTACGGGATGAGGGAGAAGGTGATTCCTGAGGAGCCTGCGGAGGGAGCAAGCGCGGGTGGGGGGAGCTCGGCTGAGAAGAGGAAGAGGAGCAGCGCTGATGAGGTGATCGAGTGGATGGGCGAGCAGGAACGCGACGCCACGGGTGGCTTGCCGCTGGACGCACTCGCTCCTCCCCTCACCAACAGCACCTCCTCCCCCTCTCCCAACAACAGCTCCGTTCCCGCCGCGCCTGCCCCGCCTCCGCAGCCAAAAGAGCCCCTCCTCCCGACCGTCTACTCGAGCTACCATTACGGGTTGCGTTTCACGCGCAAGCTCTGCCCTTGGCCCAAGGAGGCGAAGTACGTGGGGAAGAAGGGAGAGGAGGGTGCGATGGGTGAGGACGCTTACAAGTGGTTTGAGTGTGTGTGATGAAGCGGGACGGACACTTCGCATCGCATCGCATCGCGTCGCATTGATGCAGCGCTTGGTGGCGGGACGATTCTTACTTTCCTTTTGTTGATGATCCATTTACTATATCCATGAGAGAATCTAGTTCAATTTTGCAAGTCCAAGGATGCTTGCTGTCTTGCTTTCAAAGCACGTTACGAGGTCGTGCAAGGCGCAGTTCCACGTAGCCCGCGCTCGGCCACGTGGAAGGGGGCGAGCGAGAGAGAGAACAACACTCCGAACTCGGACTGGCGTTGCGTTGCGTTGCGTTGCGTCGAGTGGCTGCAGCCCTGCTTCTACTCCTTCCTTCCCTCCCGCCCGCATCCACACACGCAATGCTACTCCCCCTCCTCATTTGCGTGCTCAGCATTTACGCATTTTTCCTCCTCTGGGCCCTCCTCCAAGAGCGACTCACGACAACCCCTTACGTGACGCACGCACACGATGGCATTGCCTTGATCCCTGGTGAGGTGGGGACCACCACCGAGTACTTTTCTAGTCCCTTGTTACTCCAGTGGGGTCAAGCGGTCGCGAGTACGGGAGTGGCGACAGCTTATCTGCTGGCTGTCGGGCGCAGAAATAGGGGAAAAGGAGGGGGAGAGACGATTTGGGAGAGGCTGGGGTTGGCAGCTCTTTTGCCCTCGGGAGCTCAGAGGATTGAGAAGCAGGTGACACCACCTCAGCCAAAGGCCAATGGACATGTCGTCGCCTCCTCATCATCACAGGCGCGCATATCCCCACTCCTCACCCGATATCTCCTCATCTCCTTCCTCCAATCCACCTCCTCTCAGCTGGGCCTCCATTCCCTCTCACACGGCATCTCCTACCCTACCCTCACACTCGCCAAATCATGCAAACTGGTACCCGTCCTCCTAATGAACCTTCTCCTGTATCGTCGCCACTTCCCACGATACAAGTACCTCGTAGTCGGAATGGTCACCGCGGGTATCTCGGCATTCATGCTTGGAGGGCAGGCCAAGAAGAGTAGTAGCAACAAAGGAGGAGCAGCGGGGGACAGTCTCATTGGGGTCGCCCTCCTAGTGCTCAATCTCGTCCTAGACGGGGCCACCAACTCGACGCAGGACGAGGTGTTCCACCGATGGACCGTCAGCGGGCCGCAGATGATGCTGGTCATGAATACCCTCTCCTCCCTGCTCCTTGGGGCTAGCCTCGTCTTGCCCCTGCCGGCAATCCTGGGCGGCACACACGATAGCAGCGCGAGTGGCACCGTCTCCGGCTCGGAACTAAACGCCGCTCTCTCCTTCATCTCGCGTCACCCCTCGGTCCTCCGGGACATCTTGTCCTACGCAATGGCCGGAGCTCTGGGACAGGTGGCCATCTTCGAGACCTTGCAGCGTTTTGGCAGCTTGACGCTTGTGAGCATAACGGTTACGCGCAAGTTGTTCACCATGCTGTTGAGCTTGATCGTGTACTCCCATCGATTGACGGCGATGCAGTGGGGCGGGGTGGGGGTGGTCTTTGTTGGGTTGGGAGTGGAGGCGAGAGAGAAGAGGAGGGAAGCGGGTAAGAAGCGGGGTAAGCAGAGCATGGGATTGGATGGGGATGCGGGGGCAAATGGTGGGGTAAAGACGACAGAGAAGAAGAAGGTGACATAGGTGCGCCTATGTGGTCCTGCTTCAAGAACAATACGCCATAGAATAGAGACTACCTCCCCTCCCACCGCGAGACTACCTCTCCTCCCACCGCGAGACTACCTCCCCTCCCACCCCACAGCGTCGTTCGCCCCACATCAGATATTCACCTCCCCCTCAATAACAACACCCGCCTCCCCCCCAACCCAAATCGTCTCCTCCCCTCCCTCCCCCCGCTCAGCCTCAACATAAACCCTGCCGCGTCTCCCCACCATCCTCCCCTGTGACGCCACGTACTTCTTCGGCGCCAGTCCACCCTCGATCAACCATCGTGCGATCCCGGCATTCAAAGAGCCCGTTACGGGGTCCTCATCCACCAGTTCGTCATGAAATGCTCGCACCTCAAAGTGGGCCGGGTCTAGCCCCATATCCTCTACATCTGCTTCCTCCTCTCCCACCTCGTCGGAGGGGAGCAATCCCGCCTCTCGGAGCAGCGGCATCCCGGCCTTGTACGGTCCGACCAGCCCCACATTGTAAGGAGCTTTATGGCTGAATTTGGCCTCAAGAACAGCTTGAGCCGACTTGAGCAACAGGGTGCACCACCCTGGCCCGTTGTCCGTCCATTGCGCCTTCAGCACATCCTCCCTCCTCACGCCCAGCGCGGCACAGATCGCCTCCACGTCCCCCTGCTCGGCGGGGCCAAACTTGATGAACCCGGGAGCAGCCAGGGACAGGCGACCTGCGGGGTCTTGTTGGCCTTGTTTGCCCTCGATGCGGATCTTCACCAGACCAATGTTGCACTCCTGCGTTATGACTCTTTGATCCCCCGAGGCAAGCTTGATGTCCTTTTCCTCGCGCGCCTTCTTCGCCTTGGCCTGGGCGTATAGCCAGCTCCTGGCACTGCAGAGTGTCGGGTGCCCGGCAAAGGGCAATTCTCGCTTCGTCGTGTGGATGTGAACTTTGTAGTCTGCGAGGGATGAGTCGGTAGGTGGGAGGAGGAAAGTGGTTTCCGAAAGGTTCGTCCAGGCTGAGAAGAGCTGGCGTTGCGTGGGGGAGAGGGGTTGTTGATGCGGAGACGAGAGGACTACGGCGCATGGGTTGCCTAGTAGGGGGTGCGAGCGGGGTGAGAAGGCTTCTGCTTGGATGCTGGTGGGAGGCGGGAGGGGAGGTGAGACAGGTGAGTCCTGGGATGGAAGCGGGGCTGCGCCACGTCGGGTACGTGTACATACAACGGGCGGGCCTTGGAAGTGGTTGGGTCTGTCATGCTTGCTCGCTGATGGAGGTGACTTGTCGCACTGTGTGGTAGCAGGCAAAGGAAGAGAAGGGGAGGCGCGGGATTTACGTCGACGAATGAGAAGAAGTTAAATGACTCGGCGGGATGGAGGTTTCCGCCCGCCGGCCGGCACGACGCCGGTCTTTGGCTTGTGCGAGAGACCCTTGGGACTGGCCGACTTTTCCCTCCGACGCAGACGAGAAAGCAGCGCTCGAGCCACCCGCATTTCCCTTCCCTTCTTTCTTTTCGCCCTCTCCGCCCGTGACCTCGAGGCTCGGGGGCCCCTCTGTCTCCCAGCTGTAGGCCTCTTTGCAGGTGAAGAAGAGAACAATGGAATTCGATGGCGAGAAAAGTGGAAAGGGCACAGGAATGGTACAAGGCGCGGCGCAAAGAGGAGAAGGAGGAGAGAGGCCCTGGAAGGTGGACCGGCTCAGCGTGGTCCCTTCCTACGTCGACTTCCTGGTGCGTGACTGGCCCAAAGTCCTGGCGAGGGCTCGTGGATTACTGATCTGATACTTCATACCGCTCGCTTGCTTGGCTCAAACAGCATAAGTACCTCATCACCAATCGTCCATGCATCCTCCCGCGCGCTCTGATCGAGGACTGGCCGGCCTGGAAGGAGTGGAGATGCGGGACGACGTCCTGCGCCTCCTCCTCCTCTACCTCTTCTAACAAAGACGTTGCCAAGGAGGATGCGGATGCGAATATGGATCTGCGTCTTCATCGCTCCTTCCTCCTCCTCGCCTCGCGGTACGGAGAGCACGTAGTGCCTGTTGTGGTCCGCAGAGGAGAGGAGGAGGAGGAAAGGAGAGAGATGAAGCTCAAAGACGCGGTAGAGGAGATGCGGTGCGCGCGAGCGAGAGGGAGGAGCGTAGCCAAGGGTGCTGAGGGTGGGAGCGAGGAGACGTTGATCTACATTAAAGACTGGCATCTCGTCCGCCTCTCACGCCTAGCAGGGCAGGAGGCGCCCTATGTCACTCCGGACCTCTTCAGAGATGACTGGATGAACAACGACTCGCCCTTAACACCAAATCCAGACGTGACTGCCTCTTCGTCCTCTACGCTGCCCGACGATTTCCGCTTCTGCTACGCAGGCCTGTCGGGCACCTTCACGCCCCTCCATCGGGACGTGTATACCAGCTATTCCTGGAGCACCAACATCGTCGGGCGTAAGCGCTGGACCCTCTACTCGCCCCAGCTGGCCCCGCTGCTACGGAGGGCGGATGGGAGAGGTGCACCGCTGAGCGAGGGGGAGAGGCTGGAATTAGAAGAGAGGAAGAGCGGGTGTAGGGGAGAGAGGGTAGAGGTAGTGCAGGAGGTGAGTGTGCGATCGTGGACTGAGACGCTGGGATGGAGCTGACAGCTTTTCCCCGTATCGCGCGATGACACAGGAAGGCGAAACAATCTTCGTCCCCTCGAATTGTTATCATGGTGCGGCACGACGTGGCATGGCGTGGCGTGGCGTGGCTTGACCTGACCTGACCATCTCCATCCTCTCCCCTCTCCTCCACTGGCAGAAGTCTTCAATCTGTCCGACTGCATCTCTCTCAACCACAATTGGTGCAACAGCGTCAACCTCCCGCGCATGTACGACGCGATGAAGGAGGAGATGGGGGAGGTGCGGTACGCCTTGAGGGACGTGGAGGAGATGTTGCGCACAGCAGGCCAAGGGGAGCGGGGATCGCCATGGCAAGTGGAGTTCTGGGGCCTCGTCGCAGAGGTATCCCGCGCAGACGCTGGATGGGACTGGGCGCAATTCTGGGGGATGGTACGCGACTGGACTGACAGACCCGGATGTGAGGCGGAACTGCAGCCTGATTGGGGATCGTTCGTCCAGCTGCGACTGCGGGCTATGTGTGAGGATTTCAAGAGGCAGGAAGAGTGGTTGTGGCTGGAGGAGGGCGTGAGGGGATGCGTGGCAGAGGTGGAGAGGCGATGTACGGAGGGTGATGAGGAGTAATTGAATGTAGATATGCAGAGCCACAAGAGCGAAGAAGGCAGGCAGGTAAGGGTGCAGAGCCAATGTGACGAAGAAGCATCTTTGCCGCTCAACATCCGTCGTCAGGACCTCGAGCACATTTGTATTGCACGGCCGTGGTAATGAGCTCGCCCGCCCTCTCTGTCCGCCTTCTTCCTCTTCCTTGCCGCCCCGCTCTGCTTGCTTGCTTGGTTGGTCGGGCGTCGCAGCTCAGCGTCGTCGTGGACGGGGCGGGGCGGGGCGGAGGGCGAGGCGAGGCGGCGCCAGCGAAGTCAGTCCAGAGTCGGCGTCACCTCTCTCGCTCGCTGCGAGCGGAGCCACAGGGCCAGAGCAGAGCAGCAGCAGCATCAATGAGGCCAAAGTGCCAAAGTGCTCTTTGAGCGGGGCGGAGCCAAGTCGTCGACGAAGCACGGCCGGGCGAGCGAGTGAGTGGCTCCAACTCGAGAGTGGTGTGGACTCGGGACAAGAGCGACGACAGAGCGACAGACAGGATCGTCGTTCCAATCGTTCGTTGCTACCAATCACCACGCCGCCAGCAAGCTACTCAGCGACTTGCCTCTTCCAGCCAATTAGCTAGCTAGATAGTTACGGCACTTCCCTATCGCATCACCACCACCACCACCACCCTCATTTCCCCCCTCGTCGTCGCGCCTTTGCTACTCCCTCGTGCTAGCTCAGCATCAGCCTCCCCCTCTGGAACCAACACCTTCCTTCGACTCCGCTCCCCTCTCCTCCGTGCGACACAACACACACCATGTCCCTCGCCGCTAACGGATCAGCGCCTGCCGGCCGAAAGCAGCAGATGCGCGGCTTTGTCGGGTTCGCCAACCTGCCCAACCAATGGCATCGTCGCTCTGTTCGCAAGGGGTTCAACTTTACGGCCATGGTTGTTGGTGAGTCGCAAGACCGAGGGCAAGATGCGAGCCACGAGCCACGAGATGCGAGTGGATAGAGCTGACCTGTACTCCATCGCGATGCAATCTCAGGCGAAAGCGGTCTAGGCAAATCGACGCTGGTCAACACCCTCTTCAACCACAAGCTCTATCCCAAGAAGGAGGTGCCTGCACCGCACATGGAGCGACCCAAGACGGTCGCTATCGAGAGCATCAGTGCTGGTGAGCAGGCGCAGCGTGGCGTGGCGTGGTGCGGCGTGGCGTGGCGTGGTGCGACGTGGCGTAGCATATATGAGCTCTCGCATGGCTGACTATATGCTCGTGGTTGCGCACACCCACGCACAGACATCGAGGAGAACGGCGTCCGTCTCAAGCTGACCGTAGTCGACACTCCTGGATTTGCCGACTTTGTCAACAACGATGAGAGGTGAGTGCGCCGTGTGCTTGATCCACTCACCCATCCACCCACTCACGCCCTCCCCCTCACACGCACGCCCAGCTGGAAGCCCATCGTAGACAACATCGAGTCGCGCTTCGACGCCTACCTCGAGCAGGAGAACCGAGTCAACCGCGCAAAGCTCACCGACAACCGGGTCCACGCCTGCCTCTACTTCATCCAGCCCAGCGGACACGCACTTCGCCCCATCGACATCGAGTTCATGCGCCGTCTCCACCAGAAGGTCAACCTCATCCCCGTCATTGCAAAGTCGGACACGATGACCGATGAGGAGATCCACCTCTTCAAGCAACGCATCCTGGCCGACATTGCACACCACAACATCCAGATCTTCTACGCACCCAGCTACGACGTAGAAGACGACGAGACCTTGGCCGAGAACGAGGAGATAGTACGCAAGATCCCCTTTGCCGTCGTAGGCTCAGACCAGCAGGTTGACACCATTGATGGGCGTCGCGTGAGGGGGCGTGCCTACCCATGGGGCGTCATCGAGGTGGACAATGAAGAGTGCGTACGGCGCGCCAAAGACCCCGCTATCAGAAGTGGTAGGCTGACATTCCTCCCGTCCATCCCTGTCCCGCCCTCAGGCACTGCGACTTTGTCAAGCTGCGTCAGATGCTCATCCGCTCCCACATGGAGGAGCTCAAAGAGCACACGCACAACGTCCTCTACGAGAAGTATCGTTCCGAGAAGCTCGTAGCAATGGGTGTCACGCAGGACCACTCCGTCTTCAAGGAGGTAAATCCCGCAGCCAAGATGGCAGAGGAGCGTGCGCTGCACGACGCAAAGTTGGCAAAGATGGAGAACGAGATGAAGTTGGTCTTCCAACAAAAGGTGGCAGAGAAGGAGGCGAAGCTGAAGCAGTCTGAGGAGGAGTTGTATGCTAGGCATAGGGAGATGAGGGAAGCTTTGGATAAGCAGAGGTTGGAGCTCGAGGATAAGAAGAGGAGGTTGGAGAGTGGTAGGCCACTCACACCCGAGAAGGGAGGGTATGCGCAGGGAAGTAAGAAGAAGGGATTCAGCTTGAGGAACTAGCCGCGCCGCCTAGACGGTCGAGCTGCTGCGTAGCCGGCGCGTTGAGGGGAGAGCAGGGCAAAGCGGCCGACAACCCTTCCTTTCGGCACCATCACCGCCACCGCTACCGCCATCCCCAAACGCAGAGACTCCTCTCTCGAACCGCATTGCAAAGGACAAGACACAGATGCAGATGTAGACGCGTGGGCAAGCGCGCGCCGATACCGCTACCGCCTCCCTGCTACCTTGATTCCTCCTCTCCCTCCTCTCTTTAGTCATCTCCTCTCGTCTCCTCTCCTTTACATCTCTCCACTTCCTTTCTCTTCGCCCCGCCATCTTCCCTTTCCTGCCCTGGCCTTTTCCTTTTGATTCCAACTTTTGATCTCTTCTTTCGACCTTATCACCACCATCACCTTTCTTTTGTCTCGCCTGTCGCGAATCGAAAATAACCAATAGTTTTCACCTTGAGGGGAGGGAACCCAGCGTGGTCAGGGAACATCGACGGCGGTGGCGCTAGGTTGGTGATCATGACAGGGAGAGCGAGGTCCAGGTGGGTACGAGGCTGGGTGTTGCTCACGACGACGACGACGACGACGACGACGACGCTGCGCTCAGGTCAGCGGGATCACGATCTGGACCTCATCATCGAGCGAGAAGCAGAATCTCTCTACCCACCGGGCCGAGTTCGGCATTGCAAGCCCGGTCGCCATGCCCCGCACTGTTCCCCCTGGCCTTACTCGCGCCTCGAATCTCGTACCTGAGCACGACGTCGGTCGGACGGCACTCTGGCGCATGCGCCGACGCCCTGCGACCTGCGACCCGCAATCTCGTTCCTGAACTCGTGGCTCCGCACTTGCAATTGCTTTGCTGATTGGACACGGGCATCGCCGCCGCCTACAGCGAGGGCGGAGCGGGGAGGAGAAGATTGGAACCTTCTCCTCATCAAATACGGCTGATTGGTACAAGCGCGGCGGAGCGAGATTGTGCAAGGTGCGAGTGGTCTTGGCGCGTGAGAGGTTGGAGGTACGAAACAGCGCTTCGACGACGTGCGATGCATCCATCCATCCCATCCATCCATCCCATCGCATCAATCTATTCTTCTTTCACACCACAAACATCAACCTCACGAGCCAGCAAAACCCAGCCGCCAAGCCAGTCACCGAGCAAGTGAGGGGGCCAGCGAGCAGCAGGTGAGGGAAACCGACAAAGCGCTACGGTGCGTACAGCGAGGCGAGGAGGGGCCTGTAGTAGCGTGGTAGAAGAAGAGGAGGAAGGACAGTAGCAGAGCAAGGTGAGAGCCTCGAGAGCGTAGCAGAGATCTCTATCTTGCTCTAGCTCGACCTTCAGCTCACATTCTCCCGCTCGCCCTTACGACTGCGCAGCACCCGCACACGTACTCGAGGAGACTGTGCACAGACGCACGACCTGGCCACGCAAAGACCTGAAAGAAGCCTCTGCAAGCACCAAGCGAGACACTTTCGCACTCGAAGCATGGAGACCAGACCAGTTCCCTCTCACTGTTACGGCTCATGACCAAGTGGAGGACTGGTCAATTGTAGTGTGGAGCACGTCAATTCGAAGTGATACATCAAAAGGAGGAAGCTGAAGGAGACACAGACTCGAGCTCAAGAGACCAGAGAGGGGCCAAGGAGGGGTCTGAGCGCAAGCTGGTTTCTCCGAGCCAAAGCACAACATCATCAAGATCATGCAGCGCCCACTTAAGCCCACACACGGCGTAGCGTCACTCACTAGACGGGCGACCGGCCACTCGCAGTCATGCAGACCTTGTCCACGTCCTCATCAAAAGATAGAGTCTAAACGGATTGACCAGGACGAACGGAGGAGCAGTCCGTAGCCGAGCCTCGACTCCACGTCTTAAGGCAGGATCAAATGCAGCAAATGCACAAACGCGCAGCTCAGGTGAGCGTAGCCGGTGCGAACCTGCATTCGACGGGCTCCTACCAGCAAGGCGCGGTGCAGGAGCGTTACCACTTCATTCTCACGTCGACGCCAGAAGACTGTCATGTGAAGCACGTCGATTCAAAGTGATGGATCAAAAGGAGGAAGCTGAAGGAGATACATACTCGAGCTCAAGAGACCAGATAGGGGCAGAGAAGGGGTCTGAGCGCAGGCTAGTCTAGCCGAACCAAAGCTCAACACAACGAGAACCTCTCGCTGCCGCACACCTCGCAATGGCTGCAGCTCCTGTTTCACCGCCTCACGGGCATGGCGCTCTACCGCCTCCGCGAAGGCAACTTCACGTACGAGCACATGATCCGTATGATTGTCGCCATCGACGAGCATATGGGTTGTGCGATCCTCAACACCATCTCGCGTGGAGGTTACCCGGGCGTGTACGAGCTGAGGGGGGCGCGATACGGCAAGCGACGCCATGAACGGCTCAACGGGGTGGTGCCGGCAGCAATCCAATTTATCGACCTCATCAACGACAAGGACATTCGTGATGACGTTGAGGTGGAGGACATTGGTCGAAGGGCCGGCAAGTCGAAGGCGGTGACGAGGGCGGCCGTCGAGCGCATCAATTGGGTCACCCCGACCTCCTCGCTTGCTTCTGGCCCTTGCACGGCCGTCGACAACATCACGACGAGCAAGTGGGGCTTGGTGCAGGCTCTTGCGCGAGAGGAGTTGGAGCGACAGCGCGAGGCCGGCGCAGCAAACGTGGCAATCCTCGACGTGGAGCAGCCGACCACTCAATCCTCCTTCTTCCGTGGCACCGACCACGTTCACCTCAGCCAGCCTCGCGCGGAAGACGAGACTTTCGACATCGCCCCTGCCGGACGGATCTCCATCTACTCGCGCGAGACTCAGATGGTTGGTGTGCCGGAGGACGCCGATCAGAGGGCAGCCAAATTCTCGTATGAGGAGCGGCTGGAAGCCTGGGAGAGGATGGGGGCGGCGGGAGTGACAGGATGGCCGTGTAAGGTCAGGAAGGACACCATCATCGTGGAATTCTTTGGCCGCAAACGCCGCCTAGAGCAAGACTGCTTTGGAGACCGCACGGCGCTCGAGGACGGAACCAAGGCAGTCCTCAAGCTCGTGCCGATTGCTCGAGATGGTTCTGCTTGCG